TTATAAGGTCTCAGGCTACTCTGCAATGAAGAACTTGGTGCTTGGACTTTGCATTGTATGTAAATTAATCTATTCATCGAAAATATAGCAACAGACCCCTAGACACTCGCGCATTATTGTTTCACTATCGAAGAAATGGCTTGCTATATTACCGTCAGATTTTATCCCCGTCCCCCCGCCGTCAATGCGCGGATGAGCAGAGGACATGCTCGAAGAGCAAGCCTCAATCCGAATCGGGCAGTCGACGAACGTCAATAAACCAACAGTAAACCGACGCGTCGTTAGTCGCTTAGCTAACTTACATAATTCCGGTGAAACCTCGGACGACGAGTTGGGCCAGCCGTCTCATAGCGTCCTCATCCTCACCGTTCGGCTTAATCAGGAAACACAGCTATAAATAAATTACATTATATAAGCCATATTAGATAACATCTTCACACACGCCCTAGCAGAGAGGATCGAGGACGCGAGACGGATGGTTCTAGGAGCCTGGGTCTAGCAAGGAACGACTGGCGAACTGGGTATTTATGACGAGGTCGAGGTGGATCGATGTGAAGCAATTCACCAAATATATCTTGTTGTTCTGATAGGCGTATCTCGACGCGAGACGTGCTTGAGTCAGTACTCCTGCCTTCGGCAACCTGAGCTGATTCCAGGCGGATTCCGCCGTTCATATACAGTACATAAGATTAAAGCCACGCAACTGGCTGTGGCCCAACAGGAGATGCTGAAAGTGCCCGAGAAGGACTTCACAGAACCAGCTGCTGGAAGAAGCCTGGACTTACCTTCGCTATGACGATGTCCTGATGTTGCTGCATAACGCCATTCGGGTATTTACCCCTTTACGCTCTGGGAACAGAGGGAGTCGAGAATTGACGAGGAGAGGAAGATCCCGGTACGCGGCTGCAGAACCCGTGGTTCTTAATACTCAACCTCAGAGCCCGAGTAAGGGATAGCCCGAGGAGTCCCTTACTCGGGCTCACAGGTGATTCGCTACATCAGATGGCGCACCTGCACATACACAAGACACTGGGGCTTCTACCGGAGGACCTTGTGAAATTTCACCTCGAGTCGGGGATAGATTCCCATTCTCCTGGTTTTGCGGTTACGGCTCCGCGTGTGGAAGTGGCCTGACGGCGATCTTCTTACTCTTATGACCAGCTTAAGCTCACTGCGACTATTGCAAAAGTGAGGCAATTATTACACAAGGACCAACGAGCCGAGCCGAAGGCATATTATACATCGTATTGGTACACAGGATTAGTCCTGCAAGTGACAAAGTAAGTAAACGAGGATCGCTGAGAGAAGGGGAACTAGATACTGACCCATAGTTTTATCAGGCCGTCCCACGATGCGGTGACAACCTTAGACTATTAAATAGTCAGAAAGACTGTTGATAATTCACATGATCTTGCGTGCTGTAAAGGGACTCACAGTCTCATGCGGTAGCCACTCATGGGCGATGACTACCTTGGAGTGGGCCATCAACCTCTTCTTGATCCTGCCGGTCTTCCACTCCCAGAATACCACATTCCCCTCGGCGTCCCCACTCGAGATCCACTTTCCGTCGGGTGAAAAGCCGACCTGGCATGCGTAACCCGCAACCGTATGACCAGCAAATCGCTTCTTGCGGTTTTGTCGGAAAGTATCCGTGCTATATATAAGGATTTGGTTGTCTAAGGACTGGGCGGCGAAATATTTGTCTATTCGGGCGAATATGGTAAGTGCGAATAAACTATCAGATAACGTGGCGCTCGGCACATACTGGATGGGTGTAGAGTCACGGCAGGCATTGAGTGCATGTAGGGTTCGGCAATATACTTGATCACCACGGGGATGTCCCAATCCCATGCCCGGATAGTCTTGTCGTCGGAGGTGGTGACAAACCGTCGATTTTCGTCAACGAAAGTGATGGTGTTCACGGGCCCGAGATGCTGGTCGTATTCCTGGGTAATCTCGCCCGAATTCATGTCGTACTGTTGGGGCTGTCAGCTAAACATGGGAAGATTTACGTGACGTTACACTGACCTGTACAATCTTCTTATCACTCATGCCGGCTAAGAAGATATGTTGTTTATCCTCGTCCGGGTGAAACTTTATACAGTATGGGATCTTGCCGTTGCTAAACCGTTTCAGACATTGTCCGGTCTCCGTGTCCCACAGCTTCATGCTGCGGTCGTAGGAACACGAAAGGAACCTGCGGCCATCGTTGGAAAAGGCCAGGTCCTTTACGGCCTTCACGTGCCCGTGGAAGGTCCTTAAGCAGTTGCCACTCGTATAAACGTCCCAAAGCTGTGCAGGTGACCCGTGAGGCACATCCGTGGAGCAATACTATAACGTACCTTGATCTTAGTGTCCATCGACCCACTCAACATGAGATGGCCAGTTTGGGGGAATAGCCGTATAACCGAGACTGCGTTCGTATGCCCAGTCCAAGTGTGCACACAAACTTTGGGAATGAAGCATTCTTGAGACCCTGGCTCTTCCTGCAATTGTGGTGCCTCCGATATAGGCGGGTGCATGTATGTCCGGCCCTGATAGTCGGTCATTGACTTGCCGTGGAAAACAGATGTCTCTTGACCCGGTGCACCGCGCTTAGGTTTGGCCTTTTTGGTCTTGATCTCTTCCTCAGGTTCGTCTTCGTCGTCTTCTTCTTCCTCCACGTCAGCGCCCTCTGGGAGAATGCCTTGTGGCTCGTCACCCTCCCATGACGCCCATGGCCCGACATAGGCGCCTTCGCCATCCACAATCTCAAGATCACCTTTGGCCTTTCTCTTGCGTTTGAGTTCCTTCCTCCGCTCTTTTGGGACCGATAGCGAGCCGAGCGTTGCGTACCCATTGGCGGCGGCAGCTTCAGCGTTACCTAGAAGTGCCGGCGCATTGGGATCTATTGAAGGGTTGGCCGAGTACCCGAGAATGGAATAGGTCAGATGTTGCTGCCGGAACGCGTGGTCGGTCATCTCCTGTTCCTCCACATGGCCGGCTAACGCGTTCTGCGTAGCAAATCGATTCGTAGGACCGAAGGGATTCTCGGGGCCCTGGGTGGGGAGGGTCATGGACTCGAGAGGGATGTTGACGTGCATTTGGGTGTCGGTCGGGCGCGTGATGAGGGACGTTTGGTGGAGGGGGTCCTGTGCATGGGTGTCAGACATCCTGCACCAACACCCACAGACAGTTGCGACGCACCTCAGCCAGAACATCTGGGGCTGCATTAGCCGCCACTGGCCGCGAAGGCTGCTCCTCCACGCGTGGTTTCTTCGTCACCGGCAAAGATGAGAGATTGAAGACATCCTGGGTTTTTGAGGGCCCCGCCTCGTCGTCAGACGAATAGTCGACGATCATACTAAGATCCGTAAGTCCGCACCGCCGACAACGTTCGCGACGACTTAGAGTACACACCTGAGCGGTCGCAAGCAAACAAACTAAGCTCGGTACCGCGCCACGGCTTCCTTACGTTACGGTCACGTTGCGCCGCCGGTTTACGCGCTCGGGGGCAATCTCTGAGAACCGGACCAAATAGGGCCAATGAGAATGTCGATTAACCTATGTTATGCTCTGCCCACCCGATGAGAAATGATGGAGAGGAACGTCGGAAGGCCCTGGACTGCTCAAGAAGATGCGTTTTTGAGGCAAGCGGTCGCTATTCACGGGGAAAACGACAACTGGAAGACTATCGCCCAATTCGTGCCAGGTAGAACTAATAAAGCGTGTCGAAAGGTATGCGCTTCCTGCCCATTCCCAAGCTCTCCATTGCTTGATTAGACTTTTTCTGTAGAGATGGAGGCATTCTTTGTCACCCAATGTTAAGAAGTCTGCGTGGACGCCTGAGGAAGACGAGCTCCTGTTGCAGCTCTACGCGAAGCATCACACGAAGTGGTCGCTTATTGCGCGTCAGATCCCCGGTCGCACGGACGACGCTTGCTCGAAACGGTACAGAGAGGCCTTAGATCCATCTCTGAAGAAGAGTGAATGGACACCGGAGGAGGACTCCGTATTATTAGACTTATACCAGAGGCTGGGAGGCAAATGGGGTCAGATTGGCCAGGAATTGACACGCAGCGGTCTAGCTTGTCGAAATAGGTGTGTTCACTACGCCAGTGTGCTCTAGTTAGTTTGGCTCAAACAAGCTCATCGACAACTCTTGCCTTAGATGGAGGCTCCTCGAGAGAAAGAAGAGCCACGCTCAGCCTTCTGTCGCTCTTGATCCGGCCCCTGCTGTTCAAAATACTACACCAGCATCTGATCCTTCGGTCTCGTCGTCATGGACCGATCTGCCAGTGCTCTCTTACTGGCAGACATATACCACGGATGCCCCTTTGTCTCTGGACGGAGCAGAAACAACCGGAATAGACACCAGCCATGGGATTATACCTAGGGTCGATCCCCCACCTTTCCAATTCACATCGTCCTCTCTGAGTTCTGCGCTGTCCACTCCGAGGCCCCAGCCGAGGTTACCCCCGGCACAGCCTCCTGACAGTGAGCAACAACGTCCGCAATTCAATTATGAAATTACGAGCGGCCAGATACACGTTGACTGCGATCCACAGAGCGCCGATCTTCATAGGAATGTCGAGAGGTCGCCAGATATACCTGTATATAATCCTGAGTACGGTGGGCAGGTGCAGGCCTGTCCTCAATCGTACAACTTCGCGCCTAACGGTTACGCCCCTATCGATGTCTCTGCCCACACATACGGCGACAATCGCGCCCCATGCACTCAGATCTCTTTGGGCCATGACTGCCCGCCGCAGGTCACTTCGATATCCTTTGCTCACGATGGCCATGACCGCCGGAACGAACATCAGGACATCGTCATGGGCGAGGGAAACCCGGATAACCAGAACTGCTTTCCATACCATCAAAACATATCGCCCGTCTCTGAACACAACGTTTCACCTATCACCATCACCATTCCCGAGTCGCAACACGTTCCTGAGGATAGCCATCTGCCGGATGTCTGTCCGTCCCCTTACTCTTCGTACACCCCCACGGCTGCATCACCTCGCCCTCCGGCCGTCATACAACTCTCGCCAGCGGAGCCAGATCTCCATGGGATAAGTGAGACCAGCTCACGCAATTCGCCCGCCGGCTCGGGGCCGTCAGGCGTCCGTCGCCGCGGACGAAGCCGACCTTCTACGGCCACGGCGCAGGGCGCCCGAAGGAAGCAAGGAGACCGACCGCGCAAGCTCGACTCGGATCTACCGGTTTCTTCAGAGTGAGTGATGATGCATTTCGACGTGCGCATATTACTGACGCGGTCAATAGCCCTTCCATCAAGGCCTACGCTTGTGGTCATCCGCAATGCTGGCCTGCTTCAGCTGCCACCAGCTCCTCGATATTTGCCACCTCCCACGGCCTTTCTGAGCACTGTAAGGAACGGCATGCTGACATGAATATCATCGCCGTTGGTGGCACTGGCAATGACCAGCCATTCCGGTGTGGGTTGGAAGGATGTGGGAGGGGTTGGAAGGTATGTCGCATGACCTTCAGCTAGGATTCATGGTTGACACGGAGTCCAGAGTCTGAACGGACTGCAGTACCATCTACAAGTGTAAGTCTTCCTGTCGGATCGATAGATGATTTGACATTCGAACCGTGCTTCTCGATAGATCCAAGGCGCACTTCATCAAGGCAATCACGACCGCTTCCGCTCCTTCTTCGCCTCCCGCCACCCCCGCCGACGCCGCTTCAAATACAGTTCTGTCGGGCCTAAATAGTGACGGCAGCGTTGCCGTGAGGTCCTCCACGAAGTATGAGAAACGGAAGGAACATCGCTGTCCCCACCCATCGTGCCCCAATGTATACAAGCAGCTCAGCGGGCTGAGATACCATCTTCTACACGTACGTGGTCTTATATGGGCCCTATGCCCGGCCCTTCATCGCATTCATGTGACAGAGTTGCTAATGAAAACGGGCATTTTCCCACAATTTAACAGGCTCATCACCACGGGTTACCTGTGCAACTGTCTGATGTACCGCCGACATTGGCCAGAAAAATAAAAGAGAAAGAATCCAAGGCCAGGCTCAGGCTGTCGTTGAGCCCAGACACCGACATACATGTATAACATGACTGACATGGTCTCATCTGTCGACGATGCGCTTCGTTCCGGACATTTCCCTTCGCATATGTATTCATTCAAACACGGGTCAAATCACTGTTTTTGCTGTCACCTCTGTACCATGCTATCGACGTCCTCTGCTTTGGTCGCTCACTTGTATACCTCGGACAAAACTGTTCATATGCAGTAGCTGTGTATTATTTAGATTGTAGCATGTCATTCACTGGCGATTTACGGGCCTATGTCATCTTCCTTTGTGGACTGTGCATTCGTCGAGAGGGCTGCAGCCCGAGCACGATTCCCTGCGCCGACGTTGAAGGACGGATTACAAAGGCATGAAAGACTCCGAGAACATAGGGACATGGCAGCAGAGCCTAGCCGGCTTGAGTAATTGTCACCTCCTGATACACCGATGTGTGTGCGATGCTCAACCTTAAGACAGGATGGGGTCAAATTGATAAGCGCACGGAAATTATTGCTGTCCATTCAGAACGATAACAAACAATTCACCACGCAGTTTCAGTGTGAACAAACCAAATCTGAACTGGATGGAAGATCTTGGAGCATTGCCACTGTGAAAAAAATCGTGTAGCAACAAGAAAGATTGGTCATCGACCGCCTCCGGCACCGAACTGTGATGCCCTGGAGTACACGGTAAGTCCCATGGTATTTCAAATGCAACGCGGCACGAAACATACAGATCTCTAAGTTGCGGGTCATTCATTATCTCCGACATAGAGGGCATTTCTCCGCCCTGCATACGGTTCATCTAGGACGCCGTTGGGTTAATTTCAAGTGAATAGGACAGGCACAGATGATAACCAACCATATTTGCGACCGCGGGGTTGGACATAAGGCGCTCCATCCCTCCGTTCTGCATCATCTGTTGGGCCATTTGCATGAGCATGGGATTTCCTAACAGACCGCCAAGATCGGGCATCCCCCCGGCTCCCGCTCCTGCTCCCGCTCCTCCCCCACCACCCATGTTCCTCAACATGTCAGCCATACCAGCCATGTTACCCAACCCTCCTCCAGGGCCCGCCCCTGCCCCTGACCCTGAGATACCTGTGGTAGGATCCTCCAGAGGGGGCATCTCGTCATCATCATCCGGGACGATACGAGCCTCTGCGTTCTGAAGGCCCTGCTTCAGGCTGGCATTGGAAGGATCTTTCTCCAATCCTCGCTTGAACGCGGCAGCTGAAGCTCGGTAGTCTGCTAGACAGTAATGTGCGTGTCTGAATGATGGGAACGTATTCAGTCTTATGCTACCTGAAACGGTCGATAAGACTCGACGCTGACGATACTCACCCCAAGCGATGATATGCTTTGGCGAAGGAGGGGTCTACCTCAATGGCCTTCTCGGCGTCTCCGATAGCGGCCAAATGATCCCCTTTACTTGAGTACGCAGCAGCCCGATTCGAGTAGTAAACCGCGTTGGTGGGGTCCAAGTCGATAGCTTTACCGTAGGACGCGATAGCGTCATCGTATTTCTTGCTCGACATGAATGCATTCCCTTCCGCCTTGAACTTCTCCGCGTTTGCCTTATCTTGGGCGGATGGACCCTTGGACGTGGAAGGCACCGAATTCGATGGCCCTGCAGCGGGGCCGCCCCCCACCTTGTCTCGAGTCTTCAGGAATACATCGAATATGGTCTGGAGTGTCGCAGGCTTGATACTGAGCTTGCTACATTGCTCCTCATTCGCAGGATCGACACCAAAGGCTTCGCCGATACATTGGACTGGTGATGCATGAGTCCCTAGGTACAACCTACGACCAGGGGTGAGTTGACTTACTGGCAACCTCAAGACCTTCCCTATCGTCCTGCTTGACTGTTCCGTCCTTTATGGACTGGTTCAAGAAGTCGATAATCGAGAGAACAAGTCGCTGCTGCTTTTCCGACATGAGATGGATGGCCGCCGTTTCGTAAAGGAATAAACAATCGTCAACAAGCGCGACTTTGGGTTGTACACCGCGTTGGCCTCATCCGGCCAGGCTCTTTAGTATGTTCTTCTGCGCCATCTCTGGTGAAGTCCCCCAGGACCCGGTGGTCTCTGCGAAATCCGGGCATGTGTACGAGCGGCGTCTCATTCAGAAGTATATCAACGAAAATGGCACGGATCCTGTGACAGGAGAGAAGTTGGAGGACTCCGACCTTATTGCAGTCAAAGCTAGTGCGTTCACTGTCTACGCCTCCGCTCGAGCCGTTGTAATAATCCTGTTGCCAGGCCCTAATGCTGCTCCGCCACGAGCACCCGCGCAGACGTCCATTCCTGCCCTACTGCAGACCCTCCAAAATGAATGGGACGCGCTCGTGTTGGAGACCTTTGCTCTCAAACAACAATACAACTCGACGCGTCAGGAGCTCAGTTACTCTTTATACGCGCAAGATGCAGCTACTCGTGTTGTAGCGCGGTTAATGAAAGAGCGTGACGCTGCCAGGGAGTGAGTGGTTCAGCGTTTTCTTAGTGGCGCTCCATTCTGAGACAGATCTTATGTTTGCAGCGCCCTTGCCAGCGTACAAGCCTCAATGGGCATTGCGCCGTCAGCGCCGTCAGGTGGAGACGTTGAGATGGGCGATGAGGGTGCAGGAGGCCTTCCAGCAGATATCGTGTCTCAGATTGACGAGACCCACCAAACTCTGTCCGCCGCCCGCAAAAAGCGCAAGCCTCCCGCGAACTACGCCACTCCTGCTGAAGTCAAGACCTTCAAGGCTAAGCACACCATTCCCTCTCTCCACTCTGCCTCCCCTGCTGGTGTGACTGCCTTGGCCGTTTCGCGTGTTGACCCCTCACACTTCCTCACTGGTGGTAACGATAAAATTGTTCAGCTCTATGACAGAGATACGGACAAGGTCTTGGCCACCCTCAAAGGTCACACCAAGAAGGTCAATCATGTCGCATTCCGAGAGAAGGACGGCGAGCCTACGCTATTGATATCTGGCGGAGCGGACAAGATGGCGAAGATCTGGTCACATGACGCTACGTCTGGCGAGTATTTGCCCAAGTCTACCATCCGGTCTCACAAAGGCGAAATTACTGGTCTGGCTGTACACCCCACGTCAACTATCCTCGCCCTTGCTTCCCACGACAAGTCATATTCACTCCACGACTTGACCAACTTCAAGCAAGTTTACTTCTCCGCACCGGCGGATGAACCTCTCACGTCGCTTTCCATCCATCCCGACGGCATGCTTCTGGCAGTCGGCACGCCAGCATCTACCATCCAAATATACGATATACGGTCCGGCGGTATTGCTGCTACACTCACGCCGGAGGGTAGCACACCGTTCACGGTACACACTACCAGCTTCTCTGAAAACGGATACCACCTGCTTGCGCCAGACTCCTTGTCATCCATGGCTGTCTGGGACTTGCGTAAGCCTAGAATTGCGCACTCGATAGCCTTGGGCGATGATTTCAAGATCAACAAGGTGACTTACGATTACAGTGCTCAATTGTTGGGTGTGGCAGGGAGCGAGGGTGCGCGGGTATATGCACACAAGTCATGGGAGGAGCTTGTCAGGTTTGAGGAGGGCGGCGAGGTATCCGACATTGTCTTCGGCCACCAAGGCAAAGAGATATGGGGGGTCACAGGAAGAGAGGTGCGGGTTTGGGGATCTACTGACGAGAGCATGGAGACTGCTTAGTTGTAGAAATTCTTTTTTTGTCCATCTCTGTACTACGAAAAGACGTTCTATCGAGCGCACGCAAGGGAGTCTACTGCCAGACCCATAATCTGAAGCAGCTAGTCTTGCATTCTTTAGCTTATCGCTGAAATCACCAGCGGCAGTCTTCATCGCTTTCAATTGTGGGCCATGTAGTATCATCAAAGCGTCTCGCTCGTGCATGTCATTTTGTAAGTAATACAGCCAAAGGGTGATGATACAGGTAATCGTCACTGTGTCGAAAAGGAGCTTGATCAAAGCCCAATCATAAGCAAAAGCGGCATCAACCGCATCCAAAGTAAGAATGAGAAAGTAACCAGGAGAGAGAAAGCTGTGAATGATACAATGCTGGTAAAGAGGCCATGATGCTGTACAGGAGTCGTGAGATATGCGTTTAGCAATAATTGAACATAAGAAATATAAGATCGTTTGAATCATCTAGAGCAGGACATGCCTGACCACACGCCCTCAAGTAATCGAGCTCAAGATGGTCGTACTGCGGACGTGAACCCGTTGATGGGATCTGGCATCTTGAGCGGGAGACCCATCGCATCCGCGGTGTTCATCCACACCGTGTTCCCCCACCACTCGAGGTTGATGCCGCCCTTGGGCATGAACAGCGTGAAGAAGATGACGATCGAGCCGATCGCGACACCCGAGTCCAACGCGGCGGAGAGGATGTAGTTGTAGCGCATCCACCAGCGGAAGCGGTAGCGCCGCACGACGTACTGGAAGACGAAGCCCGTGAACGCCCACGCGGAGTAGTTGATCCCGCTCGCGGGCGGGAGCGCGGTGACGCCCGCGAAGAACACGGGCATGTTCACGTACCGCCAGAGCGAGTGCGGGTAGCGCCGCGCGAGGTAGTAGAACGGCACGGGCGCGACGGCGCCGATGAGGAAGAAGAACACGAGCGGGTAGTACAGCGCGCCGGGGCCGAAGAAGCGCGCGGGGCCGACGCCGCCCCAGATGAGCGAGGCGGTCGCGAACGTGTTCGAGCTCGGGCAGATGAAGCCGTGCTCCTGCTGGTCCGTGCAGATGTCGGGGATGTTCTCGAACATCCACGCCTGGACGAGCACGACGACGAAGCAGCTGACGACGCTCGCGATCGTCTGCGCGGCGAACATGATGCGCGGCGGCACCTTCATGTAGTGGCCGAGCTTGAGGTCGCCGGAGAAGGTCGTCGCCTGCGAGACGGAGATGTAGCCGTACGTCTTGAAGAGCATCATCGCGACGGGCCGCCCGGGCAGCATGTAGCCGACGACGATCTCGACGAGCGTGTTGATCGGGATCTGCTGGTTCGTGATCGCCTGGATCATCGCGGCGGGGAGCGTGAAGACGGCGGCGATGAGGAGCGCGATGATGTACGCCCAGGTGGGGAAGCCAGTCGGGTTGGTCTCGATGGCGATGACGCCGAGGATGAAGCAGACGAGACCCAGCAGGCCGTACCAATATGCAGGCACCTCCTTGTACACCTGCATGAGCCGCGAGTGGACGTCGCGCTCGTCACGGATCGTGCGGCGGAATTGACGCATGATGTCCCGGCGGTACCACACTGTCAAGTATCAGTGAGCACATGCACGAACAAAAGGCAAAGCACTGATACATACGGAAAGTGTGCACGAAGATGGACGTGAAGATCGCGAACGCCGGTCCGTACGAGACGATGAACGTCGCGGACAGGAACATGGGCGAGTACGCCTCGAATTTGTCGACGTCGAAGATGCCGTCCGTCACGATGGCGGAGACGTTGTACTGCATGCCGAAGCGATCAAACGCGCCGCTGGACGACATGGGCAGGAAGGCTGTGAAGAAGACATTCTTGTCTGTGGAGTTGCGCGCGGTTAGCAGGTATATTACCAGATGCTACAGAAAAGCTCACAGTAAATGATCGGCGTGAGGATCCAGAAGAAAAAGATGAAGGCGACGAGAGTATTCGCTTCTGCCCACCACTAAAAACAGAAAGTTAGCTTAGAGTTCCTGGGAGGGAGGGGAATGTCACGTACGGGGGAAACCAACGGACTCCCGATGTACGCGATCATGCTCCAGTCGAACGTGAACAAGCCCATGCCGAGCCCGGACAGGGTCCCAAACAGCTGGTTGACCACGACATTGTTGGGCGCGATCCAGCACACCCAGTTGAACATGCTCAAGCCCGTCCAGAGGTACCCGGGCACCCAGTACCACACAAAGCTGCAGCACATCGCGACGAGGAAGAACTTCTCCCTGCTCCAGTGCCGCCGCTCCTTCTTCCCGTAGTTCCGGTGCAGCGTGTTGAACAGCGCGGCGTTGACGAGCGCGCCGGGCCAGATCATGCTGCTCGGCCACACGACGAACTGGCGGATGAGCCCGGCGAAGGAGTAGCCAATGACCTGCGAGGAGATGCACAGCAGGAACTGGTAGCCGAGCCCCCAGTTCTGGTTGTAGAAGACGCGCTGCGTGAGGATGGTGTCCGTCGCGTACGCGCCCATCTGCGTCACGTTCGCCATGACGGTGATGACGGTGTGCTCCTTGATGTTGAACGGCCCCGGGTTGAGCGACATGGAGAAGCGCCCGATGCGCAGGCGCTTGGCGGGGAGGAGCCATTCGAGGAACTTGCCGCAGGGGAGGGCGACGAGCTGGACGACGAGGGAGGTGAAGAAGACGGAGGGGTCTGAGGAGGGAAGTTCAGTGGAGTTGGGGTGAGGTGAAGGCGGCAGGGCTTACAGCGCAGACTGAAGAACTGGTTGCATCCTGGGACGAGGATAGATACGATAATCCCCAGGAACCACATCCGGAAGGTATTCACAGGCATGAGAGGGTCGTCGGTGCTAGCCACCGCGGCTCGCACCTCGGGGTACGGCGAATCACTGGTAAAGGGTCAAAATCCACCCAGCGGCAGAACCACCCCAGCACTCACTCGTTGAACTCAATCTCGTGCTTCAAATCGGGCGTGCCCGTCGTACTCCGGTCGCTGTCATCCTGCGACTCCGTGTCGACGTTCGTCGTGCCGGTGAAGCCCTCGGACGCGGACACGGCGCGGAACTTGTTCTCGTGGGCGTCGAACCCGCTGGAGACGGACGGGCTGCTGGGCACGCACGTGCTCAGATCGTAGTTGGGGTCGTTGAAGTGCTCCATGAGGGGGTCGTCGACGTCCTCCGGGACGTCGGGCGCGGGCCTGCGGAAGCGGAACTGGGGGAGGCTGGCGAGGTAGCCGGCGGCGCCGGTGGTGTGGGCGTCCGCCTCCATATCGCGAGCGGGCTAGGGCGTGAGTGAATGAAAGAGAGAGGGGGGGGGTTAAAGCACGACGGGGTGCCGCAGGACTCGGAGGGGGATTCGCGACTGGGATTTGGGCGCACGGGCAGCGGCCTTTTGTGCATGCTCGGGTAAGTTTGTGTGGCCTGGCGAGAGGAGGTCATAAGGCGGTTTCATGTAAACTCTGCCCTGGCTCGGCGGGAGAAGCGACTGAATTTCCATCCGGGGGGGGGGGATGAGACAATTAGTCTGCGTGACGGGTGTCCGCTATCTTCACAAAAAGCCTGGGAGCGGGGGTAATCGCATTCCATTTCATTACAACGAAGCGGGGCTGGACGTACCATCATCTAGCCGCATCTCCAGTTGCTCATACCCAGCACAGGGTGCGCTATTCCGCGCAGCTTTGTATGTTTCCTGTGCGTACAAAGTCGCGCTGCGAGGCCGACAACGCGTACGGCAGTCACAGCACGGAGTCACCGGGCGAGGCTATCTCGCTGCGATCTGTCGATACGGGCTGCGAAGCTCTTTTGTCTCGCGCAGGCTTATTGTCATTCACAATAGCCAGCGGGCCCTGTCTCGCATGTGCCAAGATCCGTCGTCCCGATCCTCCGTCGATCAACGTGGCTTTGTGGGCGCCTGTTTGGCTGGGGTCTGGCGCCACCGCAAAGAGGACACCGGAACCGCTGTGGACGTCCGGCCGGGGCTGCCGTGTATGTCTGAGAACGCCATCCCCACCGATAACTCGACATGATTGCGTGCAGAGGGGGTCGTGCCTGATGCTTTCTTGGGTTTTCCCGACATATGTGCTTGGAACGGAGTACTAACGCTATTGCTACATCCAGCAAATTTAACCAGGACGCGGCCTGCTTTCACGCTTTGCGGCGTATCCACCATACCCCCGTCTATGGAGCTGTGCCACTACACTCATCTTGATCAACGACAAGTGCCTCGGGTCCCGGTGCCAGAGTCTCGCAGTCGCGGGCCGGGCCACCCATGACCTTATCACCCTCCACAAATAACGCCTCTGCTCGTGAACTCATAATGGCGCACACCGAATCGCAAATGGCGAATACACGTCCTATATCTCCGCAGAACCACGCAGCCATGCCCGCGCACGGCTACGCATACATACAGACCCAAAAGCACTCGCACAATGGCCACCGCGACGATCACCGAGCTGAGCACCGCGCTCCCCGCCAAACTCTCGCTCAACGCCTCGGCTCCGGCTAACAGCGACACCGACACTCAGTCCCGCACGGGCTTCCCCGGCGGCCCGGGCCTGCAACAGCCGCCCAGCGAGCGCGGCACGGACTACCGCTACGCGCACCTGCTCCCCGTCTTCCCCAAGGACGAGCACTACCCCCCGCTCACGCCCTTTGCGCACGCCGACCCCGGCCTGCGCGCGCTCGCCCATGCCGACCCGCGCGCGTTCCTCCAGGGCGCGAGCACCGTCGAGATCACGCCGAACCTCGGCACCGAGGTGCGCGGCGTGAACCTCGCGAAGCTGGATCCGGATGCGAGGGACGAGTTGGCGTTGTTGGTGGGTGTTGGGTTTGCATCACGCTTTTGTTCCCCCCACCCATTGTGTTCTTTATATCGGGTTGGGTTGGTGTTGACATGGCGATCGGCTGTCTGCATAGGTCGCACAAAGAGGCTTGGTCGTCTTCCGCGACCAGCAAGATTTCATCGACGCGGGGCCCGACTTCTACCTCGAGTGGGGACGCCACTTTGGTCGGTAAGTACCCATTCCGCGTCTTCCTGCGCGCGTGTTCCTCGGCTTCTCCTTCCCGTGCTTTTGTGGTGCTATATGCACCTCCACGGGCATATCACAAACCTAACCTCGTACTCCCAGGCTTCACATCCACCCGACCTCAGGGCACCCGGAGGCCTACCCCGAGCTGCACCTCGTCTACAAGTACGTCTTGTCCGCCCTCCCCTTCTGACCCGCACCAACCCTCGCTCCCAGGGACGGCGCCTCCACCTTCAACTACGAGCTGCACGACTCCCTCCAGCCCACCGTCTGGCACTCCGACGTCTCCTACGAGCTCCAGCCGCCGGGGCTGACGACCTTCTTCCTCCTCGCGGCCCCCGCGACGGGCGGGGACACCGCGTTCGTCTCGCAGGTGTCCCTCCTGCGCACGTTCTCCCCGCAGTTCCGCGCGTTCCTCAAGACGCTCAAGGCGGTGCACTCGGGCGTGTCGCAGGCGGAGTTCAGCCGGGCGGGCAATAGGGGCGGGGTGGTGCGCAGGGAGCCGGTGGAGAACGTGCACCCCGTGGTGCGGCGGCACCCGGTGACGGGCGAGGAGGCGCTGTACGTGAACCGGCAGTTCACGCGGCGGATCGTCGGGCTCAAGAAGGAGGAGTCGGGTGCGTGGGTTTCGGTTATCTGCTCGGGGTGGGTCGCGGACGCTGACGGTGCGCGCGGGCGGGCGGGCGGGCAGACGCGATCCTGAACCTGCTGTACGACCATATCGACCGGAGCGCGGCGAACCAGGCGCGCGTCAGGTGGCAGCCGAACACGGTCGTGATCTGGGATAACCGTGTCACTGCGCACGTACGTCCTCCGCTGGTCTTCGTTGGTATGACGCTGACGCTGACGGTGCCGGTAGACCGCGATCCTCGACTATGGCGAGTCGAAGCAGACGCGCCACGGCGCGCGCATCACGCCCCAGGCGGAGAGGCCGATCCCGGCGCAGGAGGGTCTGGAGTTGGATGACTGAGGGTGTGGGATTGTGTATGCTGTAGAACTGGATGTATCGACGACGGATGTATCGGATCGAGTGTAAATGTGGACGCGAGAGGGGTTGATCCTGCGTCGTCGAAGTCGTAGACAGGTGGCGGTGCACCTCGTGTTATCGTGGCCTGCGATTGGTTGGTCAGCGCGGTGTAATCTAATCAGCAAATACTGGCCGTAGACTCTGCTAAACCACCCAGCGGGCACCCCTTGCTCGCATCCCAGCATGAGCCACACCGACTCGCCCGACCCAACGTCAGAAACCGAACCGCTCCTGCAGCCTCAACAAACCGAGGATGCGAACATCGGGCCGCTGAAGGTGTCCCCCGTCACGCTCATCTTCCCGGTCGTCCTGGTCTACCGCCTGGCGATGCTCCTCCCGAGCACGACCACGTTCTACATGCTCAAGCAGTTCGCCTGCCGCCTGTGGTACGTCCTCCACGACCCCGACGCCATCCCGCCCGGCGGGCTGTCCGACGAGCAGTGCGCGATACCGCCCGTCCAGCGCATGTTCTCCGCCATGCTCACCTTTGTCGCCATCATGGACGGCGTCGGCTGTGAGTCCACCCACCCCTCCCACGGCGGTCTCTAACACACCCCAACCCCAGCCGTCGTCGGCTACAGCGCGCTCAGCTTCTTCTCCTCGCGCCACGGCCGCAAGCCCGTCATGCTCGCCATGCTCGCCCTCGCCTCCTGCTACGGCGCCTCCCTCGTCCTCTCCACCCTCGTCCCGCCCGGCGCCCCCGAGCTCGCCCTCCTCGCCCTCTGGCTGCTCGCCCTCTCGCTCGCGTCCCCGCCCGTCTTCGGCTTCCTCGCCAACATGTTCGTCGTCGACACCACCCCCGCCGCCGCCCGCACCGCCGGCATGAGCGCCCAGAGCGGCTGGAGCATCCTCGGCGGCGCCGTCTCCTTCTCGCTCGGCGGCCTCATCACCAAGCGCGCGGACAACGTCCTCGTCGTGTACTGCCTCTCCGCGGGCATGCTCGCCGCGCTGGGCGCGTACGTGTTCTTCGTCGTCCCCGAGTCCTTCACGCGGGACAGGCGCGAGGCGCTCCGGCGCCAGCGCGCCGAGGCCCAGCGTGCGTCGGGCTCATCGAGTTGGCGGCGCCTCGTCGCGCCGTTCGAGCCGCTGAAACAGTTCAGGCCCGCGCGCAACCCGCGCACGGGCCGGCGCAACTGGCGCCTCTTCTACTGCGCGGTGCACATCTTTGCCGCGCAGCTCGCAGACGCGTACGGCGCGGTCTCCATCGTGCTCTACCTCACCGCGCGCTTCGACTACAAGCCGTCCGAGGTGCGCGCCCCCTCCCTCCTCCCTTGACTGTGTGCTTTGGTTGATTGGACCGGCAGACGGGGTACGTCCTCACCACCCTGAGCCTCGTCGACGTGTTCACCCTCACGGTCGTCCTGCCCCTCCTCGTCCGGCGCGTCCTGCGCCCGTTCTACCTCCGCCCGAAGCCGAACGGCAGCACGGACACGAGCGACCGCCTCGACGTGCACATCGCGGTCGCCTCGTGGTGCGTCAACGCCGCCGCGTACGTCCTCCTCGGCGCGGTGCACACGCGCGCCGCGCAGATCGGCGGTGCGTTGCGCCTTTTTCCTTGCTCACATTTACGCAAGTGGGCTTGACTCGTGGATGCGGGGCGGATATAGCGGTCGTCCTCCTCGGGTTCGGCAGCGGCGGCGGCCCCGTCGCGCGCAGCCTCGTCGTCGCGACCGTGCACCCGCTCAAACAAGGTGCGTGTCGGCCCACAACACCTTCACCCCGTCCAACTTGACCCGTGCGCGCCAGGCGACGCGCTCGGCGCGGTGGAGATGGTCTCGAGCCTCGGCACGCTGCTCTCGCCCGTCGTCATGGGCAGCGTCATGACCGCGTGCGTGCCCTTCCTCCCCCTCCTCCGCATTCGCGACTTGGCACATGTGTACTAACGCATTCGCGGAATGGTGCGCGCGTGTGTGTGTGTGTGCAGGACCATCTCGACGCTCCCGCAAGTCGTGTTCTGGGTCCACGGGGTGAGCGAGGGCGAGTTGACGTGCCAACGGTCTGCCCGCGACTGATACTTTGCGTGCTCTGCCGCAGGCGATCGTCGTCTCTGCCGTGATGGTCCTCTTCCTCGTGCGCGACTCGGATAGGTACCAGGGCCCGCGGGACGAGCCGCCGCAGGAAACGTCACGCTCTGAATCGTAGATGATGATATTGTAGATCTATGCCGTGTAGTACGTCGGTTTTTTTTGTTATTTTGGGCGTCGGCGCGGCTACTGATGGTTCTGAAGGTATCATATGTAATCCCTAATGCGTCGTGCTCAACGACTTGAATCGCTAGCATGAGCCTAAACTTGTGGTCCGAGGCTGCGCGCGTGGCAGCAGTTTGCAGTCAGTCTTCGAATTCTGCATCCCAGGCACCCCACCGATAACTGGCTGCCCTGCTCAACCGCTTACGCAAGTCGTTGACCCACACAATTCATACAAGTGTCACTATAATTCAGACGACCGTCACGGTATACCCTTATATTCATTACATCGACAACTAAGTACCCACATCTACCCAAGCAGCAAGCATAAACACCTAAAAATACAGCCAACGTACAACCGACGACGCGACCAAAGTAGACCACAGAAAATACAATAGTATTAGTATCGCGCTCCGAAGTCCACTTTCCTAACTCGTGAACCCCGAGCACTTCTCGTTCCCGATGCGAATGCAGGTAAGTCTTTTACTCAACGTGGTTATGATACCACAGAGGGCCACCCAGGTCGATGCCCTGGAGCACGGCGGCCCACTCGTTGGATGTGAAGCGCGCACAGCGGGGCCGGTGGCCGGGCGGGTCTTCGGACACCGCTCCATCCGGCCATCGCTGTGGCTCACCGAGTATCTGCGCCGCCTCCCTCTGGAACCGCTTAATCGCCGCGATCGCGTACTCGCGGTTCCGGGTGGGGAGAGGCGAGAGCAGCGCGCCCGCTTTCTTCATCTCGTCGGACCGCGCCAGAGAGCCGTTGGCCATGAGCGATGAGGGTATGGTCGTCTTGAGCATCTCGGCCGAGCGCATAGAGCGCGGCGGGGAGACGGGTCTCCCAGGGGAGTTAGAGCCGGACGGCGAACGGTTGCCCGTGGGGCTGCCAGACGCAGACGTAGATGGAGAGGCAGACGCTACGTCCTGGGCCTCGCGACCGCTAGCCTGCTCGAGGTCAGGCAGCAGATCGTCCGGGCGGAAGCGGTGCAGGTTCCTAAAGCTACTCGGCGTGGCATCCCACAGACGCATTAGATAACTCCCGAGCCGTACTTGCTCCTATACCCACGACACGCATGACCACCTGCGACACGCGGGAGACGCGATCTTGCTCACCGTAGCGCTCTGCGGCAGGAACGCGGCCATCATCGCGAGGACGGTCGTCCTCATACGCACCACGAGGTTCACGCTCGCCGCGAGCGAGACGGAGAAGAGCGACGTGTTGGCGGGGGGGTGCAAGCGCATCGGCAGGGCGAAGGGGGAGGGCGCGCGCGGGCCGGTGTAGTCGTCGCGGAAGTGGATGTCGAAGGTGTTCATCCTGGGCAGCTGGGCGTAGCCGTCCCTGTAGCTCGGGCGGCCCGGGTCCCTCTGGCCCGCAAAGGTCACGGCTTCGCGCTCGACCAGGGACTGCTCCTCCAGGACGATGTGTTTGCAGAGCACGTCCTTGATTGGGTAGAACGTCCATGTGTCTTTTTCGAACGAGGGAAGCGGGTAGACCACTGGGGAAAAGTGAGATAAGCTCGGCATGTAACTGTGAGAGTACCGCACTGGGCAGGATGTTCAGGAGCGATGCGTGCTGCATCCCTTGGGGTATCAGGCCGAGCGTGCACATCCGAGCGCCCTAAGCTAAGGTCAATGAAACACAGTCGATCGCTAGGAGATTGACGCACTATGCGGTCGAACAGAGAGTGTTCGTTGGAGAGCAACGGGCGCCATTCCGTCTTAACACTGGTCATGGTCGTTCGTCTATCGTTAGATCAGGTTAAATCTTCCAAATTATCCCGGAGCGCCTGATCGATGTGTTCGAAAAATGCACGCACTGCGCTCCACAGGAGTCAGCAACCCTCCACGATGGCAGCAACGAGAGACTCACAACGTTCGGGCACCGTACGAGACTTCGTGTATATGCAAGTACGGGCGCTGAAGCGAGTGGGCGACGACGAACGACGTAGAATCGATAGAACGATGACCAAGAGGCGGCATTGGCACAAGCGAGGCTCGCTCTTGAAGTATTTGCGGCGCAGAGTGTGATTCCACGCGTGACGTCACGCGAGGCTCATAGTCCTCATCACATGCACCCCATTGACGGCACGTGATCCCAATCATTCACGCGTCCCGGCGGTATCCGTGACAGGCTCTGTTCTTCGAGCTTCTTCTGCCTCCCCAACGAAATGCATTGCTGAAGCCCCCACTCTGCCCCCGCTATCTTATCCTGTTTTATATACCGCACTCTATAGGCACTCTAATCCTAATCCTTGCTTCTTCGGGCCAGCCTGTTCCGACTATCGCGCCATGCGCACGCCATTCACCCCGTCCTTGGCTTCTCCCTGGCTATTTATTCCCAGACGGACGGCTGCCATCCGACCTCACAATCGCCTTCATCGACTAGCCCTAGCACATTCGCGACCTCTCCGACATTGCAGAACCATGTCGTCGTCCACCGAGGAGCATTTCCTGGCCGCCAGCGCGGAATATCAGAAAACGTTCGGCGATAAGGGGTCCCTTGCCACCCCGCCCGTCAAGAAGCTAATTGTAGGTAATGTAAAACTATTCAGTTGTATTTCGGGCTCTCTCTGCAACTCACTTAACCAGTGACGTGCATGGATTCTCGTATCAAGTAATGGCTCGCAGGTCTTTCACGGTACAGAACGGGACTGACGATAGTCCAGCGTTGTCGCGCATCTTGGTCTGAAAGAAGGTGACGCCCACATCATCCGCAATGCGGGTGGAAGCGCGTAAGTCCTCAGCCATAGGCGTACCTGACCCAATGTGGATCCACCCTTTCCCCAGGAAGGACGCCCTGCGGAGTATCATCGTATCCCAGCGCATGCTGGGCACCCGCGAAATCGCTGTCTTCCACCACACGCAGTGCGGCATGCTCAGCGTCACCACCGATCAGATCCGCAAGACAGTGAAAGACTCGGACCCGCAGAACGACGCGCTAAAGGCGGTGAATAATATCGACTTCCTGGAATTCAGCGACCTCGAAGGGTCGGTAAAGAAAGACGTGGAGTTCTTGAAGGAGAACCCTCTCGTCTTGAAGGAAACCAAGGTGACCGGGTGGGTTTACGAGGTCGAGACCGGAAAGGTAGGATGGAATATACATGGGGATATACCGTACACAGCGCTGACGTACAAATAACCTACACAGATAAGACGGATCGTTTAAACAGAGTACAGTCGAAGCTCGCCTCTGGCTCTCGGCCTCCCATATAATTGAATATATTTCTTGACTTCTGCTTCTCCTGCTGTGGTATCTGTTAACGACTGACGGGCTTCACCCGGAGAGGCATCGCATCTTCCGGTTCTGAAGTAGACCACATCAACATGCGGAAGCCACAAGGAAATATGAGCTACAACTCACTCATAGTGACCGTGGCTGTCGGCTTGGCCTTCTGCCCTTCGTATGCGGGATAGAATTCAAAATTGGCGATAAGCACACTGCACAGAAATGGTGAGGTCAAACCCGCGGCGAATCATGAACGACACGCACGCGAGGATAGCCTTCATCTCCATTATAGCCATAGTCTTCCCGATGCATGCATGAGGTCCTGCCAGGAATGTGAGGGTGGAGAACGTAGGGTGGTAGGTCGGGGGTAGGTTAAGCCAGCGTTCCGGGCGGAATCTGGATGGATACGAGAAAAGTTTAGAAGCGCACGGGCAGCCTTGAATGAAAACTTATACTCTTCGGCGTCGTCACCCCAGACCGCCTTCCAGGTATTGATCGCTCTGATCTACTCCCAGCACTTCAGCCCAAGGGCAGTGATCCACCACGAACGAAATGACCTCACAGGCAGAGAGAAGAGAGTGCCCTTTGGCACGCGAACGCCGTCTAACCATATGTCTTTTCCGGCTTTGCGGTATGTCACGGGGACCGGCGGTAGCACTCGTAGACCTTCTTGACTAGAAAGGCGTTACCTCTCAGTTGAGTGTGGCCCCCCGTCAAGAACACTCACACGACGCAATTGAGATACGACAGCTCCTTCAATGTCTTGTAGTCCGGCCTGGGATTCGCAGAGATGATCTCAGAAACTTCTGCCCGCAGTTTGTGCTGTGCTTCCTGGTTACACGCCAGGAGCCATAGTGTCTGCGAAAGCAGCTTCAGCGAAGGGGACAAAGCGTGGTTGGAAACGACAACGGACCCAGGCAAGTCCAGATGCCGTGGTTTCATGACCGGCTCCTAAGAAGGTGAGCTAGGAATTAAATATATCGTCAACAGCGAGGTATCAAAGTACGACGATTGAATAATGTTCACCATCTGCTCGATCAACTCGTCATCTCCCATGCGGTAAGCACCCGATCTGACTTGTCCCGGCTCTTTCATATCTTCCGTCGCTCTCGCTCTGAGGAGCAGCGACATGATGTCTTTCTTGCTCGCCGTGTCGGACGCGCCGACGCCGGATGACTCGGCGATACTGGACGCGAGTATCTGGGCACATATGGTTCGTATTCTCCGTGCGGAATCCAGCATCGTCGACAGGGGTTCTGGGAGTAACGTAAAAACGTAAGCTCATGTCAGGGCTGCATGGGACCCGATGGACAAACTCACTGGTTACTGGGGTTCTGTCGAACCAATGCCGATGCTCGTAAGCCCAGTTGGTCCGGAGCAGAGCTGGTGCTCCGGGGAGGTTAATGAAGACGAGCAGTCTAGCGAGGTTCTCCCCGGACTGGAGGTTGATCAACTCTTCGTAGGCTACCGCCAGTTCGTTGTGGGGATCAAGCAATGAGTTGCATTTGTAGCCGAAGGCGGTCTCGCAGATGATGTCCAAGGTTACTTTGCTCACTGGAAGGACGCCAGATGTCAATGTTTCGCGGAAACGCAGCTCAATGTACTGGGAGCACGCACTCCAGTCGTACATATGAAACACGGTACCCTCGTGCTCTGGACCTTTGTCTTGAATTTGTGACTTTAGCGTCCTGATGAGTCTATGCGCGTCATGTAAATGGGGTAGTCTAGAAATCGGGGAAATAATGACCTACATCTCGATTGGGCCGTAGTACATTTCCGTCTCTAGAAGGGATACCGTCAAAATATCGCCGTAAAGTCAGCAAATTAGTTCACTTACGAGCTGTGAGGCTCGGAATGGAGAACGCAGGGTTCAAAACCTTCCTCATGGCCTTATGTTCGTCGCCAGTAACTGTTAAGAGGCCCCATCCAGCGACCATCCCAAGGATGTTCTTCATGAAGTCGGGCTTGCCGAGGTAGCGGGTGTCAGCTACGAGTTTTCCAGTATGGCTACTTCCAGGAACCTACCCTGGGGCAATCCAACCATCCACTGACTAGCACCTTCTCTAGAATCTCAGGTTTCACAAGGAGGACTCGCTCTACGCCCACCGGTCCCACAGCCCGAACGGTCGGGCCATAGCTCTCTACCCAGTTACGCTGGATAATGCCAGGCTCAGACTTGGCAATTGTCAGGAAGACTCCCGTCAGAGGATTTCCCAATGGAGGACCCGGAACTTTCCTGAGAGGAGACAGCAGGTAGGGATACAATATTATATTGTAGAGTGCTTTGAGCAGAACGAGCCCTGCTTAAGAGTTTAGAGGTATTTTACAGACGGTAAAGGCTGATCTCATACCTGCAACGCCGAACCAGAGGATGGCCGAGTAGTTCTCGCGCGACGGGGACGCGGCACTTTCAGGGATCTTCATTCCGAACCTCTGCACTCTTCAGGACATATATTGGATGAGGTATGTATGGATGCGCGTCGATACGTGCGCCATGCGAAGTGTCGCTAATGATATGTCAGTAGTCGGTGCATGTGATACTGTACTACGAGTAGTCCAGCAATCAAGCTTCGCCTTCTGGCTCCATTGGAGCGACCGCAGCCGCTAAGAGGAAGTCATCGGGCCTCCCTAATGGATGAAATAGGTGCGCGTTCATTCGTACGTCTCCCGCAGTTGTTGAACAATTTTCAGAACAAAGGCGGTCGATTCAACTCAATTCTCTCGAACCTGCAGAATATCTACACACCTGTAGTCTAACTGCCGCGCTAGACACGCATGCCTGCTAGCGTGCTCGTCTGGGCTAGTCAAAGCGTGCTCTGCCTCACAGTGAATGTCCGCTAGAACTTCGATGAAGACGATGCCACAGTGCCAGTGAAATCAATGGCCCCGGGCCGGGGAGCCGGCGCCGAGGCAGGTGAACTGAACGTTAAGCCAGCTTCAGGCGCCTGTCATTCGCAACGCAGTCCTCTAGCTAACTAAGTAATACGTATGACAGCCTGCACTTCGAATTGGGCACGATCCTGCATCTGAAACAAACAATACGCAGGGCTAGCGGTAAATCTGCAAAACCATCGCAATGTTCTGGGATCACAGCGTATCAGCATGTTCGTTTTGCATCCTGATATTACGTGGGTCGATATACCTTAAAGTGCGCGCACTCGAAGCGGCATGGCATCTGCGGGTTCTAAACGCCATGATTTGAACAGGTCAATGTATACTGTGCCTAACTTAGGGAGTAGACATATCTCACTCATGGTAACAGTGGCGGTAGGTTGTGCCCGCTGTCCTTCGTAGGCTGGAAGAAATTCAAAATTTGACACGAGCAACCTACGAGTAAGGCGGGTCCATAAATTTATCCCCTGAATATGAAACCGACCTGTGCTCACGCAAGGATAGCTTTCATCTCCATAATTGCCATTGTCTTTCCTATGCAGGCGTGCGGACCTGCCAGGAAGGAAAGAAGAGAGAATGTTGGATTGTAGGATTCCGGTAGCTTCAGCCAGCGTTCAGGCCGGAATCTACAAACATGAGTTAATGGGGGATATAGGTGTATTATCAACCACAGCCGTTCACTCTTCAGCGTCGTTCCCCCATATATCTTTCCAGGTGTTTATGGCTCGGATCTTTGTTCGAGATTATCAGCAGATTCCTAAGACCCAGCCTCAAGTGCACAGTGCCTTACCGGCAAACAGAAAAGTGTCCCTTTGGGCACCCACACGGAATTAAACCAGAAACCCTCGTCTGCTATCCTATTGGTCACCGCAACTGGAGGAAGCACCCGCAGGCTCTCCATACTGGCAAATTGCAGAGAGCACATGACTCAGTCAGCAATGATAACTGTCACGTGGTAGACAAGTCTGACAGCTGCGAGACTAACAATGAAGACTAACATAACACAATCCAGATACTCAAGGTCCTTCAGAGTCCTGTAGTCGGGTCTGGGATTAGACCCAGTAGTGCGCAACACCTCTGCGCGTAGTTTTGACTGCGCGTTTGGATGCGACGCTAGTAACCACAGGACCTGTCATAGTTTTAGAAGAGGTTTCAATAGAGGACCAAGCCTGCGGACCCATGATAGACCTGAAGCCGTTGTCTCGTGCCCAGCTCCCAAGAAGGTGAGCTGATACTAGGATCAGTAAATAGTCTGGAGTATAAGAGGGGGAATAGAAACCATCTGCTCTATCAAAGCTCGGTCGTCCATGTGATAACCGCCCGAGGACTTATCATCAGAATCCAAAGGATTCCTATCAGACGCCCGGGCATTCAGCAGCAACGACATGATATCCTTCTTGCCAGCAATGTCATGTACATTGAGCGATTCCGCGATCTTCTCATCCAAAAGCCGTGCACATATTGATCTGATCTGGCGCATGCATGTCATCATGGTAGACACCGGTGCTGATCAGCACAGCAATGCTCAGTTAATAAGACACAGTATGGAATCAAGCCGAGAAGCTGTGGACTCACACAAGCCAGGTATCCTATTGAACCAATGTCTGTGCTGGTATCCCCACTCCGATCGGAGGAGCGCAGGGCCACCTGGCAGCAACATTATCATCACGAGTTTCGCATTCGTTTCGTTGGACTGCAGCTTTAGTAGGTTCTCATAAGCTACAGCCAGCTCGTTGTCGGGATTCAGGAGCGAATTGCAGTCGTAACCGAATGAAGTTCTGCATATGATATCTAGGGTGACCTTACTCACTAGCCAGGCCAGTCTGAATAGTCAGTGAAAGTCGGCAAGCGAGGTATCCAGCTTACTCCAGTTGTACATATGCGTTTGTATTTCTTTGGACATATCGCCGTTCTGTCGAATTTGTGTCTTCAGCTTCTGGATAAGGCTAAAACCGTTCAAATTTGACACATCCAGTGAACGAGGCGGAAGGCCAGCCATGCAAATACTTACGTTTCGATAGGCTCGTAGTACATTTCAGTTTCTGGGCGACGACGTTTCAGAGGCAAGGAGTGACGGGACCCGGGATGCGACGCTTACGAGACATGAGATTTGGAATAGAGAAGGCCGGGTTCAAAATCTTCCTCATCAATCTATGTTCCTCTCCGGTGACAGTCAATAATCCACAACCGGCAACCATGCCCAAGATGTTCTTCATGAAGTCGGGCTGTTCGGCGTTTTGTGAGAGACCTGTTATTCCTGTGATATTCAACTCACTCTTGGACATTCAAGCCACCCAGTCACAAGGATTCGCTCGAGGTCTGCAGGCCTCACTATGACAAGTCTCTCGAGGCCGAACGGTCCTATTGCGCGGACGAAAGGGCCATATTGTTTCACCCACTCTCGTTGGATGACGCCGGGCTCCGAATTCCCGATGGTCAGGAAGACGCCAAGGAGCGGATTGCCGACCGGAGGCCCTGATACTCCCTTGAGTGGAGATAGGACAAACGGGTAGACGAATGTGTTGTACAAAATCCTGATAAGCAGTAATACTGGAAACAACCTTCGTCAGCGAGTAAACTACGACGATAAGATGGACATACCCGTGACTGCTGACACCGTGTACCCAAGAGTACATACAAGGCGGTTAACCGTATCGTAGCTCGCATAGGACGAGTTCATGGTTGAGCAGCTGTTTGTGCGGCCTATGTCACCACGACTTAGAGGTCCTTCAAGTCACCAATGCAGCTCATTGGGTTGGAAGCACCTAGTTATAATTAGTATGCCAAATATGCTCGAGTAAGCGAAGTTTCTCCATACCAGTAGTGACTGCGACATTCACTGGTATCCTGTGCGTTGCGTGACTCATGTATAATCACAGGACGGTCTCTAAAGATCCAGTCATGCACGGGAGATGTACGTGTGCGGTCAACTTACCAGGCGCTTCGATTAATTCGGAGCGTCAGTGGCGTTACACGGATGCCCTAGGCCTGAGGCCTGAGGCCTGAAATCGTAACCACACGATCCTCCTGTCCCAGTGAGAATCCGATGCTCTCCATCCAGAAGGCGATGACGAGCCTGACAAGCCCTATTCACCTAATGCTTACCCTGTACTGGAGGACGCTGTCGAGTTCGGACCACGTAGGACTTAGGCTCGTGAGCACGCTTTCGTAGCCTGATTGAGGGCACAAACTGTCTACAAAGTACCAATATTCTGCCAGTGCCCTCAATGTTGGTACGACAGTCTGGTCACGAGCCTACGTAGGACTCCGCAGAAAAGGATAAATATCCGTCCGCAGGTCGCGTCCGTGCGGAGGTCTCGAGCTTGCGTAACTGGCAAATCTCGTACCTCTCCTATTGCCTAAGACCAAGTTCAGGTCCATATATGAGAAGTCGAGAGGCAGATGCCACCAAGAAAATGCTATTTTGGGAAGGAACATGCAAACTGGTTCACTCACACTGACCGTCAATTGCAAAGCAAGTCCTTCCACCAACCTTCCACCGTTCCATATGTCCGTCTCAATCACTGATCCATACGATACCTGGCACTGAGAAGGACCTCCGAGTTACGTCCTTGCGCTTCCGCGGAACCGGTCCTCAGGAATGGCATAGAATCGCTGGGAGCGCTGGCGAATCAAGCTTCTAGATGTTAAACCGCCGGAGTTCCATGTACTCACACAGCTGCTAATGGGGACTTGTGCTATCCAGAGAACTTCTAGATCATGGGGCGAAGAGTACTTGCGGGGGCTACAGATACAGAGGATGCAGTGCACTGAAGATAATAAAGACCCTCGAATATCTCAAGTACAAACAGTCCGTGCTACCCGAGGCCACGTCCTGCCGCTCATGTGCCAACTTATCCCGATTAGACGTACACGTTGGGTTCATAACATGGATATTAACACGGCTACTGGGATTGACGTGGTGAATTTTCATCAAATATTTCCGCTGAGGCGCCATGACTATTGCCAGTGACTTGTCATATGGCTCAACCAGAATGGTCCTGCACAGGCTAGGCTTCCGATCCAGTGACATTTACCTCCGATGCTAGGTTTCACTCAGGAACAAAAACGCCATGCATTCACTGACACAAATCAGCTCATACTACCGAATTCTCGCGAACTCGACTAGCATCAGTCCATCTTCAATTGCCCTTGTATGGAATCATCCGCTAGTCTGTCCATAACTGCATGCAGTCCGGGGCATGCCTTCCCCCCCTTTCGTACCGTACGTGGCAACAACGTTTATCACAGTAGCTAATATAACGGACGATGGAACAGAGGCGGTCTGAAACAGAGCAATGGAGCATAGCTGTAGCCTTTGAACCGAAATGGGTAATTTGTGGCTCAAGTTGCGTATATAAGACCTACCCCACTGGTTGCTGAAGCTGTACTTCTCTTCGCCACATACGCTGCCCCTCAGTCACAGTCCGCTGCCTAGTACGTCTACCTCACAACCATTCACCTCAGTGTCATCTTATCCGTCCTCGTCACGCATACCAATACCACAGACGGCTCACCCAATACTACGTTGCCAATGAATATGGCATCCCTCACGCTGCCTCCATACGATGAAGAGCACAGTGGCGTCACAGACCTCAAGCCCATCTCGACGTCTGATGTAAACCGCTACGGAAGACCGTATTACGTGTTCGTGTAACTGAGGCCGGTTCTACTCAATGCTGAAGCATGCCAACAGCAGGAGAAGAGATCCGGATGCCCGTGTATGCATCCCGCCTCTTTCCAGAAATCTCAAAGAGTACGTAGTCTTTCCGGGTTCCTTGGCTCGTGACTAAACATATGACACAGTATGGGAGGTCGTGGCGAGTGGACGCTGTGCGTACATCCTGAGGGTGCGCCGTATTTCATGCACAGCGAGAAGGTCATTGTTTCGCGGGACGCCACATTAGTATGGGGTTACTTACGCCACCTGCAGAAGTACTTTACTGATGCCCAGTTGAACGACGCCACACAACGCGCGGCCATAAACAACTACGTGGCGACATTCGAAAGCCTCCTCGCCTCGAAGAAGATCGAGATGACAGATGATCTCGAAGTTGTTCTGGAACTCATCCCAGGGGAAGGTAGCACAGACCCCAGTTGTGGCTATTACATTGCAGATAATAGTCAAAGAACGCTGTTCTGGATGCACGAATACGAAGCCACGTCGATTGTAGATGAGTGCGATGGCGTCCTGACAGGATCGCATCTCAGTAAGCCCTGTTCCAGGAGTTTCGGTTCCTGTTGATTAGTTCCAATACTCTCAGGCTTGGCGCTAGAAGCCAAATACTGGTATGAGACGGACTCGTTATCGGTCAGTTCATCCGAGGGTTATTCATTCCTCTTCCCGCTGATGACCATGGAATACAGTTTACCAACTACCGCTCAATCGGAAGTGCAGGGAACACTATTCGCTCTTTCCTAACCACAGGAAATTCAGTCCAGATATACTTGCTGAGTTGAACGGCATGATGATGTTTCACGGCATTGGTGTGTTTCTCCACACGGCAACAGAGAGCTCGGCCCTGACTCATAACAGATGCGCTAACATCCGGTCTCTCCCTTTCCCCATACTCTAACAGGGAACTCAGGGAGATGAGGGAGATCGTTCAGAGCATGCAAGGTTCGTCAAACCCAGATCGAAGTCTTCCTATCCCACATGTGTACATGTAGAAGCCTCTCCTTGTTATGCGTACTCGGCACAGATTGTCGGTGCGTGTTCTTTGCTCGCGCTGAAAATACGGGACATTGTCTTATGTGGTTAACTTCACAGGTCGCCTGATGTCAATTTTCTGTATTACACTCTCCTCTCTCGCCGAGTATATCGATTAACTGTCTCGCAGTGGCTTCGCGGTTCATTAATTACCATGGAGAGTTTGGCGCGCGGATTTCTCGACATCAAAGCGTCTATGAAAGCCGCGACTCTGGCTCATTGCTGTCTACATTGAAGTTCGGTCTACTGAGTTACCCTCTTTTCAATGGTCCCAAGTATCACCTGGTTTCCCTTGAGAGGATGTGGGTCGATCGGGTGATCAATTATCAAGACTGGGCTCGACACCTTAGACTGATTTTGGAAGAATGGACAAAAACTATTTTCATAGTAGGCATACTCTTGCACGCTTGCATTGCAGAGTTTAAGGAGCTGATCTCCAAAATTCGCAGTCACTTATCACGCTGGCCATCATCATTTTTACCTTCTCCATAGCCAACGATAAGGAAGCAATCCGGACTCGTTCTCTAGCCCAGGAAACTTTGCTCTTCTCGGCGTTGTTCGACGTCACCAGTGTCATCACAGCACTCGTACTCATCCGGCAGCATCGTACATTACCGAAGGATGATGCAGGCGCTGCCGTGTGTATCTTCACCTTGTCAGCTGCCCTTATGTTTTAATGAATGTCCTGACAGCAACGCTATCTATGGTCTAAACCAGGGGGGCTGCCCGGCCTGGCTGTTGCTTATAGCATTCCCTACGCGCTCGCGCTGTGGTCGTAAGTTAAACTTCTACCCCTGCTACTTCCCAGTACTCATCACTTCCACCCTAGCATCGTCGGTTTTACCGGTGCCATCGTCTGTGTTGCATTCGATATCAACCCGGCCTTGCCCCATACGAGTAACGGTGTCCAGGCTCGTATCGCTGCTGTTGCCCTTTGCGGCTGCCTTGTGTCGTGTGTAGCGTGGGTGCTGCTCATGGACTGCGATGAGTTCATGACGAACTTCGGTGAATTCAATGAGAAGATATGGGATGCAGTGTACACCCTCAAATTGAGGATAACCAACTTTAGAATGAATCGCGAGCCGGGCCATGCGGGGGCACTGCCGAGGGACCGCATTCAAATCGTGTGATCATACACTCGAATGAAGTCAAGGAACGGAATGTTTGTAACTGCCATCCATGCTACGCGGATATGCAGACAATCTCATTACTGTACATACTTCCTCGCTTGTACCTCATTGTTATTGATATGACCCACTATGACCCATGTTCCTTGTGCTCCCACCTCTCAGTATGATCCGCCCTCCCTAGATTAGCTACAAGTCTAATGACCTCTACCTGCATGGAACCTGCGTATGTTATGGGACTGCTGTGCATCTAACCCGTGTATAGTTGCTCTACTTCTATAGAATCGGCATAACTTCCGCGTGTTTGTTCTCCGTGTTGGGTGACACTTATCATGCCCACCTGGCCCCTCACGGTCTATTCTCCTGCACCCACTTTACGACCTCACCCCAATCCCTCACTCTCCAGATCTTGCCTCCACCATCCCGCTCCCACTTCCGGTTGATCTCGTCTAGATTCGCATCCTCGTCATGCCACCACTCCCGGTTGCCTTCCTGTTCCGTTCGCTGGTCATACGACAGATAGTCGCGAGGCGAGGAGACGTTCGAAGGGCGCACGTTCCAAGGATACGTGCCGAAGAGCAGGACCGGGATCGGCTTGTGGGTATGTGGCTGTTGCGGCTTCGGGCTAGCATCTGAACAAGGCTGGGCAGATGGGGAGGGCGGGGGCGGAGGCGGAGCGGACACGGAGAGGGCGTTGTCGAGGGAATCGTCGATTAGGAGAGTTGCAGGAAGACTGCGGCAGACCTGCGACGCGGGTTAATTAAGACTACTTTCTTCGATGGCAAAAAGTGAAGCACCTCTGCTTTAGTGAGCTTGGTCACAATCTCGTGCCCTTCATCTTCTGAAATCTCTTCGAACTGGCCGATACAGATGACACTCTCAAAAACGCCTGCTGATATTCAGGACCTTCGACAAAGAGTATGGAAACGCGATGTACCGGGGAAATGCTCCTCCAGCCATTTCCAGCTGGTCTCCAGGAGCTTCCTCATGCGCGCCGTTACGATGATGAGTCGGTACCCCAATTCCCTCAGATTCGTAACGCCTTCTAACGCCCCGGGGACGGGTTCCGCTTTCAGTATCTCCCCACCTTCGTAGAACTTCTTGACCTTCTCGTTTGTTTCGTCCGGCGTGCCCCAGTATGGGTTCTAATCGGAGTATGATTTGAATGGCACAGTCACAGGCGCTGTGAAAGGTACCGTACCTTCCAGTAATGATAGTCTTGGTCATCCGCAATTAAATGAAGTTACTGCGAAAGACGTGAGCCTTACAATGGAAGTCATCAAGACTCATTTTCGAGCCGTAGTTCCTGTTGTGCCCTTTGCATAGTTCCTCTTCAGTAGCTCAGACAGATCCACCACAAACTCCTTACAATCTGCTATATATGCGTTAGTCTGACACAGAACGTCGTCCAGGTCTACTGCGATTATGGGTCCACCGGTGGGATGTGCAACCGTCGCTGGCGAAGGGGACAATGCAGCCAAAGCAGAGCCCGCTTCTTCGTCTTGCGGCGGCGGTGAGTGCACAGACGACTTCGGACATGGTGGTTGGGAAGAATGTTCCGAGCCAGCTGCCGTATTGGAAGACATGGCCAGCGCAGCGGAGAGTCGAGACGCGTCCTGGTCACGGTCTAGTACAGTACACTGAGCCCTAACCCTAAGGCAGGCCCGATCATTCATCGCAATGCCACGCACGTGGATAATCACATGCGGGTTCCCCGCAACCTCCCAGATCATGTCCACCATACCGCCCGCTGGACTGTCGCCCACCACCATAGCATTGCAGCCCGAGCGAGATGTCGGGCAGCACGACTCAGGCTGCCAAGGAGCAGTTCGCTCGATTTGCGAAAGCCTATGCGAGTCACCGCCCTGTCATCCAGCGCGCCCTCACGGGAGGTTTCGTGGCGTATGTGCTCCTCAATACGTATCAGAGCCTTGCCGCAAGGCCGGCTGTCCCAGGTAGAGGTAAAGGAGGTAGCAGAGGGAAAGGGAAGGGCAAGGAGAAAGAAGAGGGGAAAACACCCCGCGTCGCGGTGAGTAGGGAGGTTCTCCCAGTGTTGTTTCGGACCGTACTGATTGTGGATGCATCAGGTAGATGCTATATTCTATCAGCGACTATCTCGGATTCTGAGAATAGTCATTCCAAGTCTCAGGTCTAGGGAGGCCATTCTGCTCTTCATGCACTCCAGTCTACTAGTCTTTCGAACAGCGATCTCCCTTTACGTCGCATCATTGGACGGGAAGTTAGTGAACAGATCTTACTGTTGTCTCCAGTTGCTGACAGATATCCAGAATAGTCGCGTCTATTGTACGAGCACGACCACTGGAGTTCTTCTTCAACATCCTCCGCTGGCTCTTGGTCGCAATCCCTGCTACATGGTGTAACAGTTGGCTGAGCTTCGTAGAATCTCGGCTGTCCAGTGCCTACCGCACGCGCCTTACGGATGAAGTGGTCCGATCCTATCTGGAGGATGAAGAAGGTGGAGGCAAGATTTATTACAAGATTTGTGAGCCGCTCTGGACGATGACCCTGCAGCTGCATGAGGACTAACGGGTATTGCAGCTAACCTGGACGATCGAATAAAGAATCCTGATCAGTACGCTCTTACACTGTAGCCATGATGGAGTTCTTTCTGATAAATCCTCCAGGATGATAACCCATGACATACAACGCTTCTCGGCACATCTAGCGGCCATATACGCCAACATGGCTAAGCCAGTACTAGACGTCATCCTGTACAACTACCAACTATCGCAAAACGTTGGGGCAGAAGGCCTTGTCCTGCTCACTGTACTAGTCCAAGCCTCCGCTGCTCTACGTTCGTGGAACCGCTTCCTCAACTCCTGTTCACCGATACTTATCATGATAATTACTTCAGTGCGACGCCTCACCCCGCCCTTTGGACAGTATACCGCCCTCTCCGCGTCGCTCGCAGGCTCCCTGCGGCACACGCATTCCCGCTTGGCCGAGCACGCCGAGGAGATCGCGTTCTTCCGTGGCGAGGAGACTGAGAAGATGCTGCTCGAGAGAGAGTACGCTGGCATGGTGATGCACGAAAGGAAGGTCCTCAGGGGACGCTGGTGGCATGGTATCGTCGAAGAGGGGATCGTAAAGTGGCTGTGGGGAAGCTTTGGGGTGAGTGGATGTCTTGCTCTCTTGGGGGGCATGGGTGCTTATTGGTCCTACCCCTGGACAGTTGTGCATTTGCGCTATTCCTGTATTTTTCAAGCTGCCAGGGGTGTCTGTGGCGGATCTGGGTGGCAGGACAGAGGGCTTCGTGACGAATAGGCGGCTGCTCTTGTCCGCGTCCGGTGCGTTCCAGTCCAATCCAACTTGACCGGGCTGACTAACAGCAATCACACCAACTAGATGCATTCGGCCGTGTTATGTACTCCTACAAGGACCTATCTGAACTGGCTGGCTACACCGCACGGGTGTCCCTCTTGCTGGACACGATGGCAGATGTGCGCAAGGGCAAACTGGAGAAGGCGCTGGTGAGCAGTGCGAGCACCGAAGAGAATGCCCGGAGTAAGTGGATCGCGCCGATGTTACAGTGGCCATACTGAAAATACCGGCAACTGGTAGTACTGAGAGGGAAGGGAGAAGTGCTCGAGTCCGAGGAGATAAGGTTCGAGAATGTGCCCATAGTTACGCCCAATGGAGACATTCTGGTCAAGAGCCTCAGTTTCCACGTGAAGCCTGGAGTATGTATATCGGTTTCTACGATACTTGCGGCTTGGGATAATGACACTCCATTTAGGAACACCTCCTGATTGTCGGTCCAAACGGATGTGGCAAGTCGTCCTTATTCCGGATATTAGGCGGGCTATGGCCTGTTTACGGTATGACCGCCCAGAATCTGCATTTCAGACCCCAGCTAAAGTATACCCCTGCAATGTTTAGGTGGAGTCGTCCACAAGCCTCCTGCGTCGCAGTTCATTCTCATTCCCCAGCGTCCGTACCTGCCGCTGGGTACGCTTCGGGACCAGGTCATATACCCTCATTCAAAGCTGGATATGGAAGCTCGTGAGTCCAAAAGTTATGCTGATGCAAACACTTTCTCCAGCTGTCGTAAATGCAGTAGGACGCACGGACGAAGAACTGCTAGCGATTCTGTCTGTCGTCCAAATGGATCATATCGTCGAACGTGAAGGTGGATGGGATGCGGCCAAAGAATGGAGGGACGCGCTGAGCGGCGGAGATAAACAGAAGATTGCCTGGGCGAGGCTGTTTTACCACAGACCGAAGGTATGTCGATCTCCTTCTCAGGGTATGGAAGTGTTTCGATTTTGGTACCATCCTCAGTATGCTGTCTTGGACGAAGCCACGTCGCTCGTGCCAACGGAGATGGAAGGTCGTATGATGGACCATGCTACGGAGCTAGGCATAACCCTGCTGACAGTGTCCCATCGCCCATCGTTATGGAAATACCATTCCATGATACTTCAATACGATGGGCAGGGCGGGTACGTCTTGTGAGTGTATTCATCAATCCGTATCAGCCGGCCCGGTAATGACGCTGGGATGACAGCACAAAGCTAGACGCAGAGAAGCGGCTGGCACTTCAGGAGGAGAAGCAGGCTTTGGAAACGAAGTTATTGGAAGTGTGAGTCCTTTCCGTTTTGCGGCGATACGTCGGTTCGTTGACTGGTGGCATGTTTCATTGCAGGCCGAAGATGAAGGCGAGGTTGTCGGAACTGAAAGCTGCGGTGGACGCGCAAGCGGCCTGATAGTGTACAGAGATATTTGTGCTAGTAGTGTAGTTGTGACCAAGGGACAGCCTTGCGATGCTCTTGGTTCGGATTGGATTTGTAGTGCCAGGGTTATGCCGTCTTGCACAGGGTGCCGCGGCTGCAGAGCGGCTTCGCAGTACGCTGCGCGATGTCCCGAACCAATGAAAAGGCAGAGAAACGCGTCATGAGTGATTGGTCGAGATTGGCATCTTCCCAAACAAGGCCGTGCATCGGGGCCAATCGGAGGCCGAAGAGGCGCCATTACGCAGAAATTTATCACAGGGCTCCAGCTATATACCCCACAGTCGCCCCTTTGGCAGTGCTCACACGACCGTGTCGTTACACCAGTTCTTTGCCTCCTACCTTTATCTCCTAGACATGCATTACTTCTCGCAGATATTCAACTACGAGTGAGTCTGTCCCGTGTCCTGTGAGCTGACGAGCTGGTTGCTGATGAGTGCTGCGTCGTCATAAGCCACCCATGGTCGAAAGTCGTGATTGGGATGTGGCATAAATACCCCAATCCTCACTGCTCACATGTCGTTACTGTCGATGTCGTCGACCGCTCGGTAGATCCAAAGACTGGCATCATACGAACGGAGCGGATTCTTGGGTGTAAGCAGAAGGCGCCCATGTGGGTCGTCAAGGTATGTTGCCCCCCGTTGGTTACCATTGAAGAGTCGGCATATAACCCTTTCTGCAGCTTTTCGGCGGGTCAGAGGACGCTTTCGTCCGAGAAGTGTCCTTCGTCGACCCTACAACCCAGAGCGCTACGATGACATCCGTCAACCTTTCACTGTCACAGTTCGCGACCTGCTACGAGCACGTGCAGTACTCCCCTGCCCCTGGCAATCGAACAACGTTCACTCAGACGGCAGAGATCCAGGCGCGCGTGGCTTTATGGCGGAGTGTCTCTGACAAACTAGAAAACTGGCTTGTGCAGCGGTTCGAGCAGAATGCGCAACTTGGCAAGCTGGCCTTCTCAGATGTGTTGCGGAGTCTATGGGATTCGCAGGATAAGCAGTCGGCTGGACCATAGAGCTTTCCTCGGCTACGCTCTCTCTCTTTTCTCAGGGGCTTGGTGTGCGAGGGAATCGGTGCTAGACGACTAGATCACTCATTTGCTACATTACCCAAAAGCGTCTTGGACGCGCCTGCATCCCATTATACTTACGACTCGTAACGATATCGCATCTGTATACTCTGTACATCGTCATTAATGTTCACGACTCAAGAAAGAATTGAAGTCGCTTTCGTAGGGACGAGTCTTAGGCAAGTCCGACGGCTCAAGTGAAAGGCTGCTCGACCATGAAGTAGATAAGCGTGACCGTCACACTACACTGTCTGAGTCTCTTCACATTGCCGTGCTTCTTCGTTCTGCAATAACTTTGAAGAGCTGGAAGATTTTGCGCTCTCGTCCCCCATCTTAGCTCTACAAGTCTTATTCTCGCTCTTGACCGCAACTGGCCGTAGACGACGACGCACCGTACGAAGACGTGCAGGCCAATCGTACCCAGTGCTTTCAGTGAGGTAGACCGCATTCGTGCGGCATGGATGAGCTCGTACACCACTGCGTCCGAGAGCTGTCTTTCGACGGAGATCTAGGTGAGTGTTTAAGATGAGACGGGGCATGCGAAGCGCTGGGATTCGGACGGGATCGAATCTAATCTCAGGTTCGAATCCAGCAGGTGTCGCACTTGATCTACTTTTCCACATACCCTTTACTCGTGTCAGAATCTCGCTAACAAACATCCGCCTGTTTGCGTAGGGTGCAGTGTATCCAGATTGCGGGACTTTATCTCGGAATTCCACTCCCAAGACCCCGCTCATCCCCAGACCGTAGACGACGCTTATTGCGCGTTCGTATGGTCCGTCATCGTAGAACACCCTGCAGTACGTATAGGCACCGTCCCCCCGGGCGATACCACCGAGGTGTACATCGCACCCCAGACAAGTGCGAAGAGGAAAGCAAAGGAGCGGGGAGAAGCGCACGAGGAATCCGCCCCGGCCACAACGCTCGATGTCATTGAAGATGCGAAGTCGAAGAGTCTCGCCGAGCTTCAAGTTCAGTATGGAAACACCCTGCGGATTGCTGTGGATCCTGAGACATCGTTCGCTGCTATTACAGGTTCTCATATCCGAGTATGGTTAATTCATACCATGCAAGACCTTGCGCTGATGATGCGTATATGCATAGCCCTCGAAACTTAGTCCGATGGTGTATACGGCTCTGCAGCTCATTACCCGAGGCCGTGAAAACGGTATCAGCGTCATGGACCTAGGGAAGAAATCGGGATATGACCAAAAGACGTGCCATTACCTCGTGAACCAGCTCCTTGACCTCGATCATGTGTAGGTCTCTATTGACCATCTTGCGTGCTGCATCTCAAACCATCCTGCAGTGTGAAGATCAGGCGCGGAGGCGTCGGCTCCAATTTCTGTATCCACAAGTATTTTTTCGAGCGTAGCCCACTATGGAGACAAATTCGCAACGAGGAACGGCAAGGGAAGATGGGCGAAGCTGAGGCCCAGCAAGAGCGAGCACGATTAGAGGAGGAAGGCGAGGCAGAGATCTCGGGACCCAGCCAGGTTCACTTTGACCCTATCGACGCACGACATTTGTCAAGTCTGCCTCTTGTCAAGGCGCGCGTTGTCAAGCTATTGAAGAGCTGCAAGAATAATATGCACGTATCTCAGAACATGCTGATCAAGATTGTACGTTTCCCATTCCATAGTGTGAAAATATGACGCTCATGAACTCGTGATAGGGCTTCTCCAATCCCACCAAGACGGATCGTCGCTTTTTCAATACACGGGTGAACGATCTTATAGCACAGGGTGTGGTCGAGAAGTTGTATGTGCCCAACCCGAACTCGAGGCTCAAGAAGAAGAGTTGGGTGCAGTGCTTGCGCCTGCAGACTGCAGACAAGAGCCAGTCGGGCGAAGTTGAGGGCGCTACTAGTCAGATACCTGGTGAAGCCGCTACGAATGAAGTAGACGCAGAAGAATTATACGGTATGTCCTGGATGTTGTACCACGTTTGTGCATACATTGACCTTTCGCGTTGGAAGGGGACGACTCCGGTAGCCTCAAAGTTAACCTGACACTGCATAAGCAACTTGTCAATCTACTGGAAGGGGCTGGTACTAGAGGAATGACGCTGAATGCAAGTAGATTGTTACATTTCCCACGCATGCATTATAACTTTCTCTCAGGAGCTGTCTGACACCCTCGGACGCTTCGACAAGCGGACCATCGAGTTGCTCATGACACGGCTAGAGAAATACCCTCCCCCGGCGCACATTGCAGATCTCGGTGTTGCCGAGTTAATGGAGACGCATGGTCGAGAACGCAGGCACAGGTATTACACTGTCGCTGCGTATCACGCATTGGTTGCCCGGGAAAATCTGCACGATTCAACCAGCCGGTATACAAATTTTGAGTTCTCCTCAGTGGGGGATTTCCTTCCCGTAGACTTATCCTTGTTTTACGAGAATGAGGCTGCGCTACTGTGGCATCAAGACAACACCATAGACCAGAAGCAGGGCAAGTCTTCTGCGTCTGGCAAGCCGCGTGGAAGGCCAGCGAAAGCAGAAACTGCGAAAGGTAAGGCAAAGGACAATGTGACGGACTCTACTCCCAGACAAAGTCGGAAATCGCTCAAACGAGGAAGGAATGCGGCGGATCCCGATGGCGCGGGTGATGCGCAGAATAATGATCCCGCGGAGAGTGCGACCCCTCGAAAGAGAGGGAGGCCTCCTACAAAGGCGAAGTTGGATGCGACTCCGGGCTCAACATTGATGGTCCCTGTCTATGGCACCGCTGAAGTCTTTCTTGGTGAAAGCCAACCTCCGCCCAAGAAACGCGGTCGACCCTCCAGGGTCAAGAGAGAGATCACCGGAGACGTAATCGAGACGACTACTTCGACCGCCGCTGTGGCCGAAGTCATCCCTTCTCCTACTCCGCGCAAAAGAGATCGACCGCCAAAGCGGGGCGGTGGAGGTGGAGGTGCGAAGAAGAACGAACCCTTGGCGGAAGACATGGATCCTGAAGGGGATGCGTCACGGTCCACGGAATGTGTCCCGGGAGTATCTGAACCCAAAAACGCTGTTCAGCCGGCACGAGCGGACACTGTCGATAGAATCCGGCCTCTCGATCCCGGTCCTGGTACGTTCCCACTTGCTTGAGCCGGTACGAACGGAATCTGATTGTCCTATAACGTGAGAAGGATCTGAGGAGCTTGCCATCCCTCAGACTATCACTAATAACTTGCGACCTCACGGTTCAGACGAGCTCGAGGGTCTCCTTGTGATGGATTCTCCTCTCACAGAACTATCAGATGAATTCCCAGACGGGCCAGAGGAACATTCCGGAGCTAGGCTACCCTCCAGGCACCCGTCCGTGGCGCTCCATGGCAATCAGTTGGTGGACGAAGCAAGATCTAGTCAAGAGTTTCCCTCTATACCAATCGATCCTGTTCTGATGGGCGAAGGAGTGGATCAAAGCCTGGTTCAGATAGGCTTCTCAGGGGAGGCCTCTCGGGCACCTCCTGCGGAACAATGCGTCCATCCCGCAGACGGCGGTGGAGGCAAACGAGATACGACCGAACTGGAGGACACAAGCCATCCGGCGAAGCGACATAAGTCCATGGTCCCAGATGAGCAAAACAGCAAACCACGACCGAAAGCAAACGTGTCACAATTGCGCAGGGAAAACGAAATCCTCCAGCTACTACAAGAAATGGGTGGGATAGCCTTGACTAGCGGCAAGGATTTCGTGGATGCTCACGTAGACTTGATCCGAAGACTTGCCGAGGCTCGAGAACCTACTTCTGCACCAGTGGGCAGCCGTTTAGACAGGCGCACAATCGAAAGCGTCCTGAATAACCTAGAAGCTCGGGAAAATGTGAAGACTTTGAAAACTTTGGTTAAGCTACCGACAGGGTCCCAGCGGCCGGCACGGGTCACGTATCTGCCACATGTGTCTCAAGACAAACTCAACGCTTTCTTGGGTGAGCTCGGACGCACTCTGCTGAACATCCAACCGTCCTCGGTCAAGAAAGTAGACGAAGAGATAGCTTTCTTACCGGGGCAAGACATCGAACGCGCAGCTCTACCCTTGCAGTTACTTCGTCTGGACAAACCGTCAGGTAACGATGATGAGCGCTGGTCTAGGAACATTGCCAGAGCAGACCAGCTTTTCAACTATGACGATGAAACGATTCGGAACGTCTTGTTGACAGAGAATCACACCAGGGCACAACTGTATGGCTTCAAAGTTGGTAAGATGGTAAGGGCCCGCCGACTCCACTTACACATGCTTCGCTGCTTTGAGTTCGGCCAAGATTCATCGCGCATTGTCTCATTCGATGACCGTATCGTGGATCTCTACTATTTCTTCAATGACCTTCCGGCTGAGGTTTATTTTGAAGTGGTGTCGGCCTTAGCATATGATGAGAGGCTTTCAGCGTTGCTCTATTCGGAGCAAGGGAGGCGAATGCCAGTAGGTGAAATCGACCAACAACTTCACTCAGTACTGCAGATAGGCCGGTCGAGGGCTCGCGCTCGCATCCTGGATATCTTAGAGATGCTTCGCGACCTCGAAGTCGTAACCCCTTTAGAGCCGACGGAATCAGGAACTGCCCAGATTAGCTGTGTAACTAAATGCGACTACCCTGCCGACTACTCTATTACATCCCTTCAAGACTGGACACCCCACTCAGCGCCTCAATATTGGCGTTTCCACAATTCTGCCCCTATTCGTTTGTGGGCTCTTCCGGATACTCTACCTGCCCTATGGAAGAAGGTCCCGTTGGTTACTGAAGCCGATGGTAAACTGTACTGGGAAGAGCTGCAGAAAGTGTCAATGAATACAGACTACGCCAAACAGTTGATGTGTCCAGGAAACATCGAATTGCCAGAGGACGCCCGAGCCTCCCCGGCTGTAGGGAGATCCATTCGCCGCGCAGGTGCATGGAATGATGCCTATGTCCTATCCTGGCATCAGAGCCAGTATCTGAAGAAATTCGTAGATTCGTCTACAGGTCGGACTCCTCTCGAGGACGAGGGCAGCGCCGATGCGACGTTACAGCGGATTTGCTGGGTTGTCTGTGCACCTGTCGAGGTCGTTCGTGAGTTCTTCATCGCAGCCCAGGCACGATGCCGTCGAGAATTGGAGATTGCTGAGAAGAAGGCTCGAAGGAAGGCTGCGGAGGAGTTAGCACAACAGACGGTTGAAGCAAAGGCGCTACTGGCCCAGAAATCTGCTGAAGGTCGAGCTAAGAGGGAGCAAGAGTGGGACGACCTTCTTCGAAGGGTACACCCAGAGCCCTTGTCTGAGTCTGCTATGCGTCGATTGCGCGTTGTTCGCACTCGTTTCATGCAGTCAGGTTCTGGCCCAGATGCTGGAAATTGGGAAGAAGACATATTGCGCGTCGTCCGGGAGGCCGAAATTGTTGCTGAGAAACTAGTCATCGCGCGACCGAAGCAAACCAGGATCCCTCCGGCGCCCCGAGATGCCCCAAAGCCTGCCCCCAAAGCCCCTCCACCTGCCCATCCGCCGCCCGTAATCCCGAACGCGCCGTCCCAATCTGTGGAGGTGCTGGTAGGGCAGCGAGCTTCGCTCTTCCGGATGAAACCCGAAGAGGAAGCGGAGAAACAGCCTAAGGGGAAACGCGAAGGTTCGAGTGAAGGTCTCGTCTGGCGGATAATCTACTTACTAGACAGGCATGATAAGCAGGCAAGAAAAAGAAAGAGATGGAAGAGAAGAAGCCCCAGAGGAGAAGCCGACTTCTCTGGACGAAGGAGTATGATGACCTTGCCAAGGACGCATCTGTCATTATCAGGGCCCGCTGTCGTGGTCAACGCATTGACTGGGCGGCATTTGATCAACTGTTCCCCGCTGCGTTCAGGAATTCCGTCCGACAAAGGGTCGCTAGTCTGCGAGAAGCCCCAGGTGCCGAGACCTACATGCAACGGCTGGAAGACAAATGGTACGAGTTATGGACAAGATACAGAGGAAGTGCCTTCCTACCAGATGATGATCCCCCGACCCCATCAAATTTCAATATCATCATGCACATTGACTTCCTGCGCAGGCATATTGATAAGAGTGCAATGTGGGCCAGGTTCCATCGTGATTACTCCGATAGTTGTAACCTAAAGTTGCTCCAGACTTGCAGGCTTCCAGGAATCTGCAGAAGGGAACCCCACCATCTTACCGGCCAGCATAGAAGAGCTCCAGAGAGATTATGACATCGTAGAAAAGTCTAGCACCGAGTCAGCCTGGGATTTCGTGTGGAGTACCAGTGCAGACGACGATCGCGGAAAGAATATGGCAAGGCAGCCTTTTCTGGCAGAGACACACGACAACTACGTCGTTGTGGAGGACGCGTCAGAGACAGTCCGACTAGCAGAAGCCGCGTCGAAGGTGCGTCCGCTATGCTTCTGGATACTGGATGCCAAGTGAACGACTACTGTAGATGGTCCTTGGTACTCCCAACGAGGTGTATGATTCTGAGGTGGCTTCTCGGATGTTACACGATGTTGGCGAGGAGCCCGTTTCTGCGGCGACTAAGAACATGCTCGAGCGGGGCGTTCTCTCGAAGCTACACCGCGACCCAAAGAAGCCAAAGCCTGGAAGGTCGCTCAAGATCTCGGACATGTAAAACTTCCAGCCTCTAGAAGCTCCGTAATCCTGACATTTGTTTGATCTTCAGGAACCAGAATGCATTGGGAGGCTCATTCTCCAGCGATCTCTTCCAGGATGCTTCTGCGCTGGAGGACATTTGCTTCCTGCAAGACGGTGAATGGCGCGAATGGCCGCTACTTGCGACCGATGGTGACATTGCGGTATTGATAGAGCTTGCCTCAGAGAATAAGGTGTGTAGGGTCGTCGACCGCAGATCCTCACAGGCTCACATGTCGATTTCCAGGCTGAGTTCAAGGTTGATACGTCACATGCCCAGTCCGTTCGTCCCATGATAGACTGGAACAGCAAGCGAGCAGGTAAGTAAGCCAGGCTTCAATTGATTATTCCACTTGCTCATCATTTTCCTCGCAGATGATGATCAGATTGAGACAGCCATACACGTCCGATTCCACGACCTTGACGACCCTGTCAGTGAACTGTCGCCTGCGCGGCAGCCAAACACACAGGCTGAGTTTCCCGCCGGTGTTGAGTACACCGGTACTGTGACGGAACACGGGAAGACGTGTGACGGAAAGGCTGCCGCGTGCAGAGTAACAGGCTCGGAAGCAGTTGACTGTCAGGGCTGCCTCGCGGCGGAGCTAACGCGGTTAAAATCCGGGTCGAGCGATGAGCAGGCTAAGATCATAGAGCAAACCGCACGAATCTTACATGAAATGGGACCGTCGGGCATTTCGGCGGAAGAGCTTGTAGTATGTTATGAATTTTTTCCTTCTTATTATGCTTCGTTGACGCAGCGCAGGCTAAATCTTCGAAGGAAAATGCCGAAGTACGACAAGCCATTCATCTTCTGGCCGACGGGCCTATTCCTGTGCTGCACATAGTAGGATATGCCGACATTGTGCTAGTGTCGTCCACAAATGTCAGATCGTGGACAGTGGCCATTTCCGGCAATCCTCTTTGGCGGACATTCCCGCGACGCTGGCTCGATATCTTTGGCCAGAGAATAAACGAGGTCTGGGAAGCCGCGCTGCGGGCTGTGATGGGCGTGATCGTTCTGAGACCCGGCATCTCGCAGGTAAGCCTCGTCTTGTGCTTGTTTCCTCGAAGGTGTCCACGGCTGACGATGATGGCAGGCAGAGGTACGATGGAGACTGCGCGCTGTTTACGATAGACAGGAAGTCAACGAGACTCTAAGATACCTTCTGCGATCAGGCTTCCTCGAGCGGAGGCTTCCACCTGATCTGCACGTGGACGATTGGGAACTCGCAGCACCCAATAATATGCTGGAAAAAAAGGTGATGTGGTTCCTCGGTAAGAGACATTGGTATCAAGTGTAGAGGAGATTCAGTTCCCCTATCATTATTCAAGTGAGTGCCTGGGGATTTCCTTGGATCCCTGATTCCAGTGATGCTCATGTCTGTGCTACAGTCATTATCGTAGTGATGTTGTCAGAGACCAGGAAGCAACCGTTGTAACACTGGACATAGAATTGTATAATTAGGTTTGTGCAACAGGTTCAAACCGTTCAATGAATGTAGTCTGGACAATTGCAAGGTGCCAGTGCGATTATCTTGACCATGGCTATGAGTTAATGCTGCTGGATATCTCATACCCTTTGAACCCACGTTATCCCGTCGATATCCACCATGGTCCGGTCGCAATGATATGTAGAAATGAGCAGAATGGCTTGGTGTTCAGAGCCTCACATCACCGTGACAACGAGTCGACATCGAATTATGAGGTGAATACGCCACAGTTACCAAAGGTAGTATATTGGACCCACGTCCATTAGCCGATCGTGTTGGGTCGCGATGAGTTGTGCGCCTGCTCTGAACCATCCCTTCCATCCCTCTTTCATCCATTTTCCTGGTCTGCACCCCGGCTGGCCGTCGTCGCAGCCGTATACCTTGTCTGTATCTATACCGACTGGCTGAAGACACCTTGACTGGTGTTTCTCTTACCTTAACTTGCCCTAGTGGCAACCTCATTCCTTTCTTTCTCAAGACTTAGCGCAGGTGCGCTCTCTAAGCTTGGGAACAGGTTGTGGCGAGTTGCTGGGCTAGAAGACAGAAGAAAGTCTCATCATGCGTGTCAAGCAAGTCCTTTCTTTGCTGCCCCTGGCAAAAGTGCAACTTCTGGTAAGTCACCTACTTGTGTTACTTCAGCGCGCTGTCTCTGATACCATTACACGCAGTGGGAGAGAATCTCGTTGAACAAGCTCACCCTCTTCTACTTCATTTTCTCCGTGGTCCACTGCATCGTTCAAATTGTATTCCAAGTCCAAGCCTTCACGATCAATGCGCAAGCCGAGGCCTTCCTGAATAATATCATCGCGCGCGGCAACGCCACTGGTCCCGGTTTTCCCGTCTTCAATGGCGAGGAGCTTCGCTGGTGCAACACAGTACCAGAGAACTCTAGCACGGAGTCCTGCCAGCCGATATGGAATGGCAGCTCATCAAAGTCTTCATCTCCCGCTTCCACGTCTCCCGCATTGAACGCTGCTTCTATGTCGACTTCTGTAACCTCGTCCACTGTGTCTTCATCGACGGCTGTCTCTACGTCCGCAAGTGCCAGTGTCTCAAGTGCCGTGTCTCAAAAGTCATCCACCGCAGTTTCTACTTCGTCCTCGTCCGCGAGCGGCTCGCCGTCGTTCCAGCGGGCAGCTGCTACAGCTGTTACTACCGTGAAGTCAGTTCCAAGCACGGTTACCGCTACCGTGACTGCCATTGCAACGGCTGTGCCCAGTCCGTCACTTAAGTTTAAGGACGACGACGACGATGACGAGGAGGAGGATGACGAGGAGGAGGAGGATGAAGAGCACGAACATGATGTATGTATCCCGTGCTCTTTCTGGGTGACCCCTGACTCCAACTTCTGCACATATAGCACCGCAAGCGTGATCTGTTTGGTATGGTCCAAATCGCAGTCAACGGCAGCGTCACTGTCAACATCAACGGCTTCGGGAACGACGACCGTGACGTTTCTCTGGATCAGACATGCTTGGTGTCGCTGAACTGGCCCGCCTTACAGTGTGTATAATTCTGGCTTTACTATCAACAACGGTGTTGATTTTGTCCAGGCTTGCAGACACGAAGCGTGAAGATGTGACGTTCATTGCATTCCAGGTCTGGGTACTCGGCATGTCCCTTGTCGCGGTATGTGCTGAAAATGCGATCTGTTCCTGCAAGGATATTAATACACACCTATTCTGTATCTAGCTCCTCAATGAATCTATCCCCCACATGTGCGCTGCTCTATACAGAATAATTACATTATGTGTGCTGACTACCGTATAGCATAGCTTCATTGCTCACTCACGCTTTGGCGACGTCATGGGCTGCGTTCGCAGTCAGCGACACGGGTGTTTTCCACAAGCAGTTCACCCACCTGACATCAGACGGCCCTTGTCACCAGCCGTCCCTCCTCCCGGCCTACTGGAAGGCCCGGGGCGACGCTGAGATCCCTGGTTTGGCGCTCAACGCGGCCGCCCTTTTGCTATCGTCCTTTTTGTCGTGGAGGTTGATCCGGGTGTGTTAGGCCGAGTTATATTCGCATATGTCGTTAGGCTGACTGCCACTCCATCTCGCAGCTGTTCGGCTGGCAGACATTCAAGCGCGTCGGAGCGTCCTTCACCATCAACAGGGTGTACAAGTTCGTCCTGAGCTTGACGATCGTCATCCAGCTTTCGCTGTTTTTCATCGTCGCGTCTTTGGGTCTCTGGCTCGACCAACTCTGGAATGGCCAGATTGGCATGATGACGGAGCACGCTCTCCGACTGAAGTCCGTTGTCCTCGTCGTCTTCATTGTAAGTGACAGTATGTTGAGTGTCGGCGTGCATCTGATCTATGCAATATAGCTGTTGTTCCCCTGGCTGGCGATGGTAAGTTCCCCTCGTGGACGGCCCATTAGCACGGGCACTCAACTCTCTTTTGTAGGGCTGGTTCGCTGTTCGACGGGAGCTGAAGATCTTCATGCTCATATTCATTGCTCTCTCCCTACTCTACGTTACGGGATGGGCTGCCATGTTTGTGTCGCGCACGTTCCGATGGACCTTCCTGCAATGGCGGTTCTTCAGCATCATCACCTCTGCGTCCGTCTTCTTGACTTTGATGACGTTCGTCCTTGGTGTCATCTGTCGCTTAAACTTTGGCAAGGGTTTGCCTCGCTACTGTAGGTCGGGTTCTTCGGGCTAGGACGTGATATTGACGTACTTCTCAGTGAATGCGCAGGAGCCCCTACCAGGTGACGACTTCGAGCCTGTATCACCGGGTAGCGAGAAGATGGACGAGGAGAAAGTACAGTTCCCCGACCACAGCGTCCCTGTTCCGACCTACTCCGCGGCATTTGGCTCTGGTAATGAGGTCCCTCCTCCCAGCCAGATGTTTGCGCCTCGTCAGATGGGGCCTCGGTTCACGCAAACCAGCAGTAACATGACCTTCGGTGGACATTCGAGTATGACTACGGTGCAGCCTCCATACATTGCTCACGTCAGGAAGCCGTCCAACGCATCATCGACCTATTATTCAAACGGCACGACGTTGTCGCGACATGACAGCCGCGGCAGTCAGAACAGCTACTCGAGCCAGTCTAGTGGACACGGGTCAGATCGCACGATAGGTGGAAAGCGGTGGGTTATTGAGTAGATGATCGTACTCTCCCAATGTATTGTCCTTACAATCTTTCGGCCACGGGCTGGTTGATTCTTGCTGTATTTTACCTCGCTTTCGTTACAAATGTTATATATGTCACGCACGATGCAAGCAATAAATGCAAATTCGGGGTAGATGAAATACAAAACAATGCAAGACTAGGCTACATCATGTCTGGAAGTAGAAATGCAACAATTCAAGAAGCATATTCGTGTATGTACAATAATAAACAAAATCATTAACAAGGAGGAGTTCCCGAGGGATTCTCCCGTTCGGACTCGGGAGTCTCGACGGGAGACATACTCGGTGACAGGGCCGTGATTGCCTCGACTTCCTTCTCCTGAATTATAGCAGCTTGCCGCGCGACGGAGGCAGCTTCGTACTCCTCTTGAGAAGGTATCTCGCTGGGAGGACTAGTCGCCAACTCCTCTTCCTCATAATTTAGAAGAGCATCACGGAATTCAAGCATCCAAGGATGGTCCATGAGTTCATTAGCGGTGGGTCGTTTCATGGGGTCGATGGTCAGACATTGCTTGATAAAGTTGATACCCAGCTCGCTGAGCTGGCCGGGCTCCGGTAATGGAGGGTGTTGAGTAGCTACGCCGATTTGGAACATGATGGCCCTGATAGGAATGAATAAAGAACATCAATCTGATGCGTCGCAACACGTACCATTCGTTGTCCAAGTTACTCCAAGGCTTCCGTCCGGTTGCGCACTCGAGCACCACGCAGCCTAAGGACCAGATGTCCATAGCGCCGTGTCGTCCGCGTCGGTCGTTTTTGATCATTTCAGGAGACATGTACATAGGGGTACCCGTCAAGCTATTGCCATTCGCAAGTCCTGGTGGAGCAGGTTCGGTACTACCCCGTCGAGACCGCTGAATGGAGCGTTGATTCCGGGCTAGAACTTTAGCGGCCCCGAAATCAACATATTTGATGACTCCTAGATGATCAAGAAGGATATCTAGGGAGGTTTTATGTCAGCTTGTCCTCCGACCCATTAATCGTAGACTGACTGTCTGGTTTGATGTCGCGATGGACGATACCCTGCGAATGAAGATATGCCAGGCCTTCGAGCATCTGCATCGTGTACACTTGCAAGATACCCTCATCTTCGATCCGACCATGTTCAAGTAACGCAGCTAAGCTACCGCCTTGGCAGTACTCCTCGAAGATGTACACCTTGTCTCGATGCACTTCTATCCCGTAGTACTCCACAATGTTGGGGTGATGAAGCATCTCCATGACATGTAGCTCATCCTTGATCTGCGAGAAGAGATTGGGTTGCCCAGAAATTTCTTGATACTTGATTTCCTTGACGGCCATGAGAGATCCAGAATCAAGATTGACTCCCAGGTATACTGAGCCAAAGGCACCGGCACCGATGAATCTACCTTGTTGCCATCGTATGGCGATATTAGAGCTGGACGACGCCAAGAAAGCGAGAGAACGGTTTTCTGGCCTATCATCAAGTACTCGGCCCACGACGCGCTGTTCTGAGCTGACTTGGGCCCGTCGGCTCTCTAGATCCTGCAAAGCCCGGGACGCCTTATCCCAGAAGATACGTACACTAGGATCCCTAAACGTCCGAGGTGGGACGTTAGAGGCTACAGCGTCCTCATGATCAGCACGAGGGGAAGTCGACCGAGAGATTATATCTTCTCCTTTAGCAGTCGCATCCAATGCTTGTTGACGTAGGAGCTCTTCTTGCCTTTCCCGCTCCTTCTGGGCCAAGCTTGAGCGCGCTCCCAGGATGTCGAAGTGACTGATGAGAAGGGTCATACAACTCGCGACCTTCTGTCGTAACATCTCGAACTGGTCCTCAGGTAGCTGTAGGATGTTGTTACGGCGAGTGCGATGAAGAGCGAACTCTAGAGCATTAACAGCCCATCGGAAAGTTTTCCTGTCGTTGGGGTCGCAATCGTCACAGATGAAGGAGACCCAAGATATGGCGAGCTTGATCAGTAGCCTATTGAATTTGAGCAGATTCGCCCGATCCATAGAACGTTGAGCATGCTGGCCATTCTCGGACGCGAAAGAGTACCAGTTTTCCAACAAGTCTTGACATCCCTTCACGCCTCGTAGAACGTTACGAACGTGGTGGACTGAATCTACTATTGACTCCGCCAGGCGGTTGGTAGCACGCGCAATCTTTCGCAGCTCTCGGTTGACAGCTGGGAGGTGAGCTTGCTGTTCTACGATACAGGACAAAGGACCAATAGGGCTCTCCACAGGCATACCCTCTTCATCGACGGGCATGAAGACTTCGGCGAATTCTTCCTTCGCCAGGGCCAAGCGGCTATGAGCACCATCAGCGATGAGGCGGACACGGTTATCCCTCATTTCCAGGTCAATCTTTGGCATCTCCAGCATGAGAACGAGGCCATTCCACAGGAATCGACTTCGCGGCGAGAGCACGAGAATATAAGAGACCTCTTCATACTCATCGCTACCAGGGTCTCCGCTGTTCGACATGCCGACGCCATCCTCTGAGGTAATCTCCTGGACGTGGAAAGCCTCCATCAGCAGACGTCGAATAGCATCCGGCCGGTCACGCAGGCTGGGGTGAGCGATGATGTAGGTCCCGTCTTCCTCAAATGACTGTGTGTATACAAGGAAGTGATCCGTTTCCACTAGAGCAGCGATGACGTGATCTAGAGAGACGTTCTCGAGACTGTACTCGGCGGAGTTACCGAATCTCTGCGTTAGAGCACTGTGAACTATGTAAGAGACCAATCAGAGGATAGACTTGACAAGCAGTACGCACCGAGCAAAGCGTTGCAATTTCCTATATCGTAGACGTACGCTATCAAGGATCTTACTATACCACGATATCATCTGCTCGTCGGTCATAGTCTTGTGAGCCTCCGGGATGTAGGAATTATGCGATGACGAGGTAGAGTTATTCAACCCGTCCCAGGACGGGGCGCCGTTCTCTTTCTGCGTCGGTACTTTGATCTGGTTCTCGAAGTAGTTGGTCACTCGAACCATGAGCTTGTTGGTTAAAGCACTACGTTCCCATAAGCTTCACACCACAAACGATACGGCAGGTACCCACCATATTTGTTCGGCTACCAGCGTTGAACCCCCGGCGGTACTTAAACTGACATCATTGAAGGTGGCCCACTGTGCTTCAAGAAGATCAGTCTCCTTGAAGTATATGCCTTTGGTAGCACTCTTGAGCTTCCAGTGGATGAGTTTGAAGAAGAACGTTAACGCTTCCAGAACTACGTTGTCATAGTCCCGGTCTATACTAGAGGGTAAATTCCAATTTCCTCCTGGGTCGGGTGCTAAGAAAGCCTCGTATTGCCTCTTGAGCGTACAAGCTAGTCCGATGCTGACCTTCAGGTCGTCAATCATTTGGTCAATGATCAATACTTCTGGGTCCTTTAGCCTCTGGATATACGACAGCCGCAATCGTAGCGTGGCCTGCACCAGCTTGGTAGGGAAGGAGATGAGAGGGAGCAATTCGTTCTCAAAAGTGGGTAGATTCATCTCTCTGAAGATGGGAGCGAGGTTTACTTGCGCATCTCGGGTCGTACCGATAAGAGAATGGACTGTGGTCAGGATTTCCTTCTCAAAAGTCCGTTGGATAGAGTCTTCCTTGAGGACCCTCTCGACGAAGGATGTCCCGTCCGCGACTTCCGTTTCCCCATCCTTGGTTATGCGCGGCGACGGACCGCCGACAGCCCCATCTTTGTCATGCCTTGGCTGCGTGACATCGAGATTCTCACTCCCGGTCCACTGCCGCAATAGCTTGACATATGTACGAATAGACGTCAGGACGGTCGACCAAGTATTGAGGGTATCACAGCGAGCTTGGAACGCTGGCTCGGCAGCTGCGGGCTTGTCCGAATAGAATGCTTTCAGATTGGGGTATAGAGATTGAACCATATCCAAGCGGTTGAGGATGGCATTGACGTGCTTCAGTGCGTTGGTATGCGGATCCGTATCTGAATTTTCGTCGACGATGCGGAAGGTCATGATCTCGTTAATGATCGCGTCGACGTTACGAAGCCTTCGCTCCTCGAGTCGTCTCCTTTCTTCCTCCTCCGTCCGCCCGTGCAGTTTCGCGCGTATGCCCAGCCAGATGTCTGCATGCAACGTGCTCTGTTCATCCGCTGAAGACTCCAAGGCCACCGCTATACGCGTCTTCTCCGATTTGAGGACGTCACCGGCGAGAACGGAGGCAAGCATTGTTTGCCATTCTAACCGTTCTCTTTCCTCTAGTGTAGCAGGCTCTATGGGCTCGGTGTCTAGAAGTGTGGCGGCAGCGTCTCCGGACAGGATGCCGCCCCGTCCCAGCTCTTCGTCGTCACTCTCCCCGCCATCTACTAGCTGCCCGAGACCGCGTTGAAGATAGTGGCTGTCTGGGTCATTCCGGGGGTCGTCGTCGCCCTCGGTTCCCGATCTGTAGCGCCGGACAAATTGCGAATAGATGTCAGAGTACTTCGGAACATGCTGAGGCGGGGAAATGGGGTTGCTGCCGGAGCTAGAAGCAGAGGAATAGGATGGCCGTGTACGGAGCTTTATCCTGTTCCTGCTGGACAGACCACCAGATTGCTGAAGGGGCGGAGAAGAATACTGCAAACCCCAGCTGGACGGAGAGTCGTCCTCGTTGCCGTCAAGTTCTGGGTGGGTGAACAGGGTGGGGGTGTGTCTGCGCATTAATCGGTCAGGTCAGTGCTGTCCGTATCGGGGGCGACTGCAGTCGTTGCTAGAGCGCAGCAGAGTACCTCTATTAGCAGCAGGCTGAGCAGTGCCCGGCCATAGCAAGGCATTCGCTGCACGAAGGGCCCGGCAGGACCGTCATCAGCCACGCGAAATTTCCGTTTCCGTCTTATGTTTTGATGTCCATGAAGTCGAGACTCGGAACGTGGCTGAAGCTTCGCCCTTGAGCTTAACGTCTCTAGCGGACTCGTGCGTGTAGGCTCTCGACACTCATACATCAGGTCTAATGGAGCCACTGGGGCATGTTTTTATCAATAACCTCGATAGAACCCCGTCCTTCTGCACAAGCATCTCGATGAGGCAGCGCGGCTTCCCGGAAGTCTCTCCAGAGCTTGTCGACATCAGTGCATTGCACCCACCCTACAGTCAATGAACGTTCGTTGATAAGCTTCCGTCCTAGGAAGGTGTGGGCACAACGATTGCGCACCTTGCTGGGCTAATAACTCCACTGCATCCCGAGTCCAATGATTGCATCTCCACTCCTCACCCGGAGCGCAACGAGGAGACTGCAGCATCGGGACTCTTTCGAATAGCTCAACCAGATCCTCGTGGTTTATGGCGTCGTCCACTACACCAATCTTCATGGCGGCGACAGCTATTCTGGATGACAGTGTATCCGCATCCTTCACGATCTGGAATGACCAGCTGGGCGACTGAGTTACATGGTAGAGAAAGCCGTCGTCGTGCTTCGTCTTGACATACAGCCCATAGTGGAAGGGTTCTCCGGGAGGGTACGGCCTCCAGAATGCCATCATATAGATGTATTTGACTTCGAGGATTGAGCCTAAGGACATTGTGGGGGATATCTCTCAGGGTCTATCGATGATTCTTATATATGTTATATATGATGCACTCGTCGATGGGCTTCAATAGCAGTCCGTATATCAGCATTGTATTCAGATCTTGATTTAGAGTCGATAGATTCATCCGAGATTCCTCTCCCGTTATCGTGGGACAATTCGTTCTTTCTTCAAGTGTAACTTGCAGCTTTCGAGATTGAAATAACTCTAGATCTTCACTCGTTCCCTTGAAGCAACCCTAGGGTCAGATATTGAAGACATTCTGGTGAATTACGTCTTGTCAACATGGGTATCATAGAGAAGGTGAGAGACATCCTTCGGGTAACAAGTCTCGATTGCTTAAACATTGGTATGCGTAGATCAAGGAGATTGAGGGTATGTCCCGTCGTAACCCCAGAGGGCGAGCCTGAACTGACGTTGCGGTGACCTTTGACAGAGGAGATGGCGAGGAGTTAGTCCAGTTCACTGTTCTGACGGACGAAATGTTCACCACCGTGTCTCAACAGCGCAGAAGAACAAGGTACATAGGCAACCTCTTCTCGCGCTCGACTCATAAGCGACCCAATCGAAGTAGGCGACGGAATACCATCTCGGGCTGCTCAAGGCGAAGCTTGCTCGCTACCGTGCGCAATTGCTGGAGCCGGACAAGAAGAGCAGCGGTGGCGGCACCGGGTTCGACGTGCAGAAGTCGGGAGATGCTCGAGTGGCACTGATCGGCTTTCCATCCGTGGGGAAGGTGAGTGGACTCGATGTGATGAGCCGTCTGCTATAGCTGTAAACTCCTATGTCCCCATTCAGTCGACGCTACTGAGCAAAGTAACGCATACGGCTTCGGAAACAGCTGCGTATGAGTTTACCACTCTCACGGTAAGTACAATCAGGTAATCATCTTCTCGAGTTTACTTAGATACTCGGTAGGCCATCCCTGGCGTCATAGAGCATCAAGGTGCGCGTATACAACTATTGGATCTTCCTGGTATCGTCGAGGGTGCCAGTCAAGGTACGAATAGTCTTGGACTAGGCTGCTAGCGCATGCTCACACCAATCTGTAGGTCGTGGCCGAGGACGACAAGTCGTGGCCAGTAGGGTCCAATCTTTAACCTGCCGTACGTATCGCTCATTGAGGATCTTCAGCCGCCAAGACGGCAGACTTAATTGTCATGATGCTGGACGCCACAAAATCGGAGGAGCAGCGAAGATTGCTAGAAATTGAATTGGACGCTGTTGGCATCCGTCTCAATAAGCAAAAACCTGATGTTGTCTTCAAGCGGAAAACGACCGGTGGTGTACGTACCGCCATCTTAAGTCGTGCCTTCTGACTAATGAACCCCTCATAGATCACGGTTAGTCTCCCTCAAAAGTTCAATTAATCGTGGCTGATTGCATCCGGTGAAGATCAACACCACCGTGAAGCTGACGAAGACTGATGAGAAGACCATTCGCACTATTTTGGCTGGTTGTAAGTGCAATAGTCCTCCGGTCTGATCTACTCCCAACGCCTCCAATACAGACAAGCTTCACAATTGCGATGTCATGATCCGAGAAGACGTAGGTATATTCTCTCCACCCCAGTCTTTGTCGCTGAAATTATTCCCTAAGATCACGACTGACGAGTTCATTGATGTCCTGATCGGTATGACGCACCACACTGACTACTCGAACCTGATTAACCTAGCGCCACAGGCAACCGGAAATATGTCCCATGTCTCTGTACGCCGATCACTTCCTTGAGGATGCACGATAATGACCGGAGACCGACAACACCCCAGACGTATACAACAAGATTGACGCGATCAGCTTGGAACGCATGGATCAACTCGCGCGGGAGGATAACACCGTTGTCATAAGTTGCGAACAAGATCTAAAGCAAGTGCAGACTTCCGTCCTCTTACGCTGGACTAATATATCGGCGTAGTCTCGACTACCTTATTGAGCGCATGTGGAGCGATTTACGGCTTGTCAGGGTGTACACAAAGAAGCGGGGCGCCCACCCGGACCTAGATGACCCGGTTTGCTTGAGGCAGGGCGCCACAATTGAAGTAGGTCCTTCGCTATTGACGCCACTAACTCCGTGTCATGATTTTCCGCCAGGACGTCTGTAATGGTATCCACAGATCGCTTGCCACCAATTTCCGGTATGCTCTGGTTTGGTAAGCACCACTTTGTCCTTTCTTGACATAGCGCAGACCTAAGGGGTCGATGACAGGGTGAGTTGCTTCTGATGTGGCGTAGCTGTCGATCTCACAAGGACGGAAGGGCAAATCCTCGAAATTCTCGCCTCATGCCCAGAAAGTAAGTCTTACCCATCTGGTCGCCGACGAAGACGTCGTATCTGGTAAGTCCAGTCGGGTGTCCTTAATAACGGGAGATCCTGACGCCCGACGTAGTTTTTACAAAGTGAACTGTCACTCCTGTCAACGCTGTCATGTTCAATCATCCATGTATTTTATTGTAATTTTGAGTTTGAGTGCTTCACTGCTTGAAATCTGCTTGAAGTGCTTCACAACCTTCGGTCCCGATCGATGCGAGTGTCATGGCACGCACGTGAGATGTCCGGAGACGGTGAGATCGGGGCAGATTCGCAAATCCCTGAAGGAAGCTCTGCGCCTCTGGCTCGTTCTATTTGGCCGATACGACCGGGCGTATGCAGTCCCTGATGTACTGGACGCCACTATCCTCGTCCACACGAGCATGGCCACTCGGAGCTCGCCTGTTCCTGGCGCCCGCGACGGCCCCGGCGTAAGCAGCCGCACGTGCTGCCAGCCAACGTCAGTGATTTCGTTTATATTCGAATCGACCGGTTTGTGAGGAAAGTGTGGACGCGTCTCTATCTTCTCTTTTCACTATGAGCTCTCAACCACAACACGGAAGTGCAAGCGATGACGCCGTTGAATTGATCTTCCTGGGGACGGGGACTTCTTCCGGCCTGCCTCACGTGGACTGTCTGACTGCACCTCCGGACGCGACGCCTTGCCACACTTGTCTTTCTACACTCAAACCGGAGGGAAAGAAGAATTTTCGCAGGAATACATCTGCTGTGTTGAGAGTCAATGGTCGCGACGGCAATAAAAGGTTCGTCTAGTCAAGCCTCTACCGTGCCTTGGACCGAGAGTTCAATTTACTTCGCAGGACAATTGTCATAGATGTGGGCAAGACTTTTCAGGCAGCTGCTCTAGAATGGTTCCCGAAATATGGCCTGCGGCGAATAGACGCGGTGTTGATTACTCATGCTCATGCGGATGGTGTGTAGTAGTTTTCTTCTTGCAGCTATGCCATGCTGAGGGCCCCAAAGCCATGAACGGTTTAGATGATTTACGAGGTACGTTGCACTGTCGTGCAGCATGGTAAATTTCCTTTGACACTATGATCGTAGGGTGGACATTGCGCGCGGCTATTCAGCCGTATGTGGATGTTTACGCATCCCAGGCGACGTTTGCGGAAGTATTGAGGTCATTTCCGTACCTTGTCTCGAAAGAATATGCATCAGGTGGTGGCGACGTACGTATTGCTGTCGAATTTCTAATCTATTCCTTACATTCTTCATCCCAGGTGCCCGATTTCAAATGGCATATCATAGATGATCGTGTGCCGTTCGAAATCGACGATACCGGCATTGAAATAACACCGTTTTCTGGTGAGAAAATTCCTCGGTATCTCCTCTACAAATACCCTGACTGTTGCAACGAAGTACATCACGGCCGCCATTTTTCACCCGCTCCTCCACTAGCTTACATGCCGACGCCACCGGGGACTGCGTCCCCATCACCTCCAGGCTCGGGAGCGGTAACACCTCTGCATCCCAAAGAGTCTTCAGGGATCGACGGCAATACAATTCATCCCTACCTCTGTTTCGGATTCAAAATTCAGGACGCGGTCGTTTACCTGTCCGACGTCTCACATATCACTGAAGATACCTGGGAGTTCCTCGAGCGGTCATCGAACGGCTCGGGATCCCGAAAGCCTCTCCCCGTCCTTGTCCTCGACTGTCTAAGGCTGGCTCCTCACACGTCGCATCTGGGCTTGAAGGAATCCATAGCTATGGCGCGAAGGTTTCACGCCAAACGAACTTACCTTACAGGCTTCGGACACGAGGTGTCACACGAGGAGTACGTCGCAATTGGGGAAGCAGTGGGAGGCAAGAAGGACCACCTCACGAACGCCACATCGAATGTACAACGAGGCGTGAAGATGATAGAGGAAGGCGAGGCTATATGGGTAAGACCCGCATATGATGGACTGCGTGTCTCTGTTCAGAACGATGGCGATACCATACACGATGAAGCATATGATGAATAAACATTCTGCTTATGAGGTTTACGGGAACTTTGCTCTAATCTCTTGCTGATCTCTCACGAGGAGCCTCACGTTGTACGGTCGGGTGACTGAAGCTTACTATTCGCAAACGCAGGGAAACTGTAAATAGGCATAATCTGCTGTGTACAGGGTATTGAATCCTCTCTAAATAGACTGCCGTCTCCTTGCCGTAGCGATCTTTGCTCCTTGGAAGTTTAGTAGTTGGGGTCTGAATTGCGGTAAGGCCCACGGGCGGTAGCGGCAAGTGGCGGTAAGTAAAGCTCCGGAAGCACTGCCAATCAATAGAAGGATTGCCTGGAAAGGGAATTTGTATTACGTAAATGGGACGCTCGAGCCAAGCCGCGGTTTATACGAAGCCTGGAGCCGCACTGCGAAACAGCCTGGAGCAGGTTGGAGCCCTCATATCTCTCCTCTCTTTCCACCGTCTCTTTCGTACCGCATTGCAACTCGTACCCGTACTGCTATAATACTGGAGTATATTACTTAGTCCTGCCGGGACTACACCTGAGCGTTCGTCCATTATGAGATTCTTCTCGCAGTCTTTCTCGTATGAGTGAGTGCCACCGTTTCGCTGCGTCTTCATGTGTTGAATGGCGACCGCAGCGAACCCTGGTCTATTGTCTCTTTGGCTTACTTCCTACGCTATCCTAACCCCCATGCCTCTCACATCGTTTCCTGCGACGTCATCTCGAGGGAGTTCACACCGTCTGGCTCCCTTGTTACCACTCGTTTGATCCTGAAGAAAGGCTCGCTGCCTCGCTGGGCGCCTGAGGGTATCATACCTCGTTCTGAAGCATGGGTCATCGAGGAGAGCGAAGTCGATCCTTACGGCCAGGTTCTGCGCTGCACGTCTAAGAACTTGGACCATGTCAAGATACTGTCCGCGCGCGAATCAGTCATCTTGAAGCCCAACCAGGACGGGTATGTCTGCTGACCGTGACATAGGAAGCATACTCACCCCTTCGTATAGTAAAACCATCCAGCGCACGGATGTCAGCATCGTCTCAGGATTCGGCTGGGGTCTGACCCAGCGCATCGAACAGTTTGGTCTGCAGAAATTCAAGTCTAACCTCCAGAAGGTGTGTGGATTCTTGCTTATCTGTGCGCCCGCATTTTGATTCTCTCCCAGTCAAGAGAAGGCTTGAAGGCCATAGTCGAGCTGACCCGGCAGTCACGCCAAGGGATGACAATGGGGCTCGCTGGTGGTGATCATGCTCAAGGCTCGTTTCGCGCCTCTGAATCCCCGAAGGAGTACAGGGACCCGGCGGCTCCCCAGCCATCCTCTGAGGCACCCCGCCAGGGGATAGCAAACTCCGTCTGGAACCGATTATCGGCGTGGTCGCGACCTCGCTCTGCATAGGACCGGACGGCCTTCGGGTCATGAAACTTAAGTATAATACTGTACTGTACTATAGGCTGTGGGAGTTATGTGGTGTTTTATCTTATTCTTCCTTCGTGTGTTTTGTTCGGTCCTTCTCCCCACTATCATTGTATCATTAGCACCGCAATCGCAATTCTCGCTGTTCACCAGATCTGGCATGTCTTGTGCTGGGTACTGCATGTCATCTGATTCTTAGTAGCACAGGCAATAGTTATTCTTGTCAATGTGATCATCGCCACTTTAAGCTGTAGGTGCATATGTACGCACAGACGTCCACATACCGTGCAGTGATTGGTGTCGTAATTGATATATACAGCGACCTTGTAGACGGACAGCATCGACAGGATGTACTTCCCAACGTCCGCAGCCCGACAACTATGCACAACGCCTGCTTTGCCCGATATCCCCCCTGAGCTTGTTTTGTCCCTTTGTCCGAGCCCGCAAAGATCTTGGTTCTGCGCCTTGTCTAGGACAGGATTGGCCATATGGAGAGTGCGGGTGCGTGTAGTATGCTCTTGAGACGGGAGCCAGGCGGGTTAACCAGGAGTCCTTCAAAATCCTAGCCGTCAGTCTTGTTGGCGTATCTTGAGCGTACACCTACTTCTTTGGACGAGCACGGTGACAGTGCCAATGTGCACTGGCCGCCAGATGGAAGGAGGATAGTTATTCAGGTATGTATTCAAGTAGTCCATGTGGACTCTGGGTTGCTGAACCTGTGCCTACACTCAGACGACGAAGTCCTACCTGCTCCTCGTGACAGTGGAATATGACCCCGACGCGGAGGTGTACAAGTCCCCCCCGCTGGCTAGCACTGCTCAGCGCCACTTCTTTCCCGGACCTGGAGAGGGTCTCACCCTGCAGGGACTCACTGTGCACTTGGAGGGAGTTGTACGAATTGATGGTCACTTGCTTTGGTGAGCATACCCTTAGTATGGGCTTCACGCATCTCTAACGCTGTCCAGTGTTTCTCCCCGCAGAAACTACATCATATTTTCGACTACCTCTCCACAAGCCGTGCAACGCATACCATGGCCAGACGACGGAGAACCGAAGACGTATCCGGCACGCAGGGACAACCTCTACGGGGCGCACGCCTGGTATATAGAGGATCATGAGTTTCCATGGCTAGTCGATTCTGATGGTACATCCTCCTTGTCCATACATCTCGTTCACTGACCACGGGGGACAGTTGCTGTAACAAAGATCTTCCACCACCGGGGTATGGGCTCGGAGATCTGGATCACGTCAGACGGGAGGGCCTACTTCGTCCAGCTGCGAGAGATACCGTCTCGTGAGGCGATGCCATTCCCTGAGCGGTCTGCGGAAGACATGCAGGTATGTGTTGTGCAGTTGCTATCTTGGCTGGCTCCCGAGAAGGTCCACAGGATTCTGGTCGTGCCAGGGCCAGCATGGATGCAAGCAGAAGAAGATCGGCGTCTCCTGATGACTCTGCAGGCCGCACTCGGTGGCACGGCACATGTATTCACAATTTCGAGATCCCTCGGTGGGTGCAGAAACAACGCAGAGTAGAACCAGACGAAACAGGCTTGAATCCGTATCCATATGACGAACCTCGGCGAGCTGTCTGCGCTTCGGTCAACAGCCACTTTTCATTGGTGGCCATCGGCACACATGGGTTTGTTCACGCCGTCCTCTTATTCCGTTTCATGACATTGATCTGCTCAACAGGGGTGCAGTACACTTGACAAACTTTCCACTGCACGAAGGTGTAGTACCAAAGTCCCAGACCCTTCAACTGCCGAGCCTATATGCTGGTACAAAGCCCGGCAGCGTTCTCACTATGGAGTGGAGCTCGGACGGCTACGTGCTGGCTGTGGGCTGGGAGCACGGATGGGCCGTTTGGAGTGTGGGGGGCCGGTGCTTAGCCTGGGGTTTCGGCGTCGAAGAGCATATTGATGCCGAAAAGTGAGTTGTTTGGCATCAACATCTACCCTTGCGCTGATGGAACGTCCTAGGTTCCAAGATTACTTTATGAATGGCATTCGTAGTCTGGTACATATTTACTTTCTGAGAGTACGCGTGCTTTCAGACACTTATTATACGTGTCCCAGTTCTGGTCCTCTGGCAACTTCGAGCTCGTGGTCCTATCTGTCGTTGACCCGCCTCGTAAGTGGACCAACTGCCTACGAGAATGTACCCTTCGTAACATTTGCATAGGTGTCGGCAGCGAACTGTTCGTCATACCTTTTGCGAAGAGCGCCGCGACCGGTCAGCATGCACCAGTACGTGCTTTCTATGTGCCCTTTGCAAGACTCTAAAGAAAGCCCCAGGATAACACGCGCTATGCGTTCCTCCAAATGGACGACCGTGTACTCATTTATAGAGGAGCTGATCAGCCGGACATGAGCGTGATTAATCCAGAGTCCGACGTCTGGCAGCATATACAAGTGAGGACCGAGCGTTGTGCACCGTCTATGGCGACGCTGAACATGCCTCCAGATACCGCAGACTTATCTCGCGACTAACTGGCCTATAAAGTATTCTTCCATAAGCTCCGACGGCAGACTAGTTGCTGTTGCTGGCCGCCGGGGCCTAGTTCACTACAGCAGTAGTTCGGGCCGCTGGAAGCTGTTCGCCGACGAGGTACAGGAGCAAGCCTTTGCCGTTAAGGGCGGCCTCCTCTGGTTTCACCACGTCCTCATAGCTGCAGTCGAAGTGTCGAAATCACACCAGGTCTGGGTTTTCTGAGGCACTCTTTAGACTGTGCTGACGTCTCATCAGATACGACTGTACTCTCGTGACTTGGAACTCAGCAATAAGAATGTATTGCATCGAGAAGTCATGTCCTCTCCCGTTGTCATCTTGTCCTTGGTGGACAATTCATTATTAGTATACACCATGGACAACACCTTGCTCCACTACTTGATCGTGCCGACCGCAGACACTATCAAGCTTCACCTTTGCGGGAGCATCACTTTCGACGGTATTATCGCTGCGCCGAGTGCCGTCAGGGTACTGAGCTGGATGATCCCCAACGCTCAGAAGCGTGGGTACCGCTATGAATCGCTTTGAATGACTGTCTGACGTGAGTTTGTTACAGAGCTTGGTGATCCCGTGGATGACCTAGCTGTCGCAACAGTCCTTATGATGGTAGGCGGCAAGCTGGTGCTGCTGCGTCCGCGAAAGGTCGCCCTTCTTTGTATATGTATGAGAGGCGTGGATATGACTGACCACAATTTATGCAGATGGCAAGCGAAGAGGTTAGATACGATATGCAAATCCTCGCGGATCGCGTAGAGTTCTGCTGGATTCATCTTCGCGGCATCGGTGCCCTTGAAAACTCCCTGTGGGGTTACGATGGGCAAAGCCTGCGGATCTGGTTGAATGCTCTGTCGATCGAACCGAGCAAATCTAGTCCCGAGGATGATGCAGCAGATGGGGCAAGTCTTGCCCCGAAAGAGAGCCTAAGCATTCAACTCGACTTCTACCCTTTATGTGAGGTTATCCTAGTCAGCCCCTCTTCTGCCGGTTTCTGTACTAACTCTCCGGAAGCGGTGTTAATGGATAAAGGTATCATCATCGGAGTAGAGCATGAAGCTATTGCCCGAATGAATCTGCCGTTCGTCATCTTTCGACACGCTACCAGCGTACGTCCCCAGGCTATCGTTGATATCATTCGTTCCTGACCTTTGAGCCAGTCTCATCTCTTCCTACACCACGTTTTACTGGCTCACCTCGAAGCTGGGCAGGTACAACAAGCCGTGCTCTTTGCATCCCATTACCAGAAGCTGGTCTACTTCGCGCACGCGCTGGAGATTCTCCTGCACACTATCGTTGAAAGTGACTCGAGCTCGTCCGGTTCCAAAGATGCTGAGGTCAACGGTGATGCCACGGGTTCGGACAGCGTGCTGCATGCTGTCGTCGAGTTCCTGGACCACTTTGACGAGTCGCTGGACGTCGTAGTACGCTGCGCGCGCAAGACCGAGATGACGCGGTGGAGACGACTGTTCGACGTCGTAGGCAACCCGAAATCTCTCTTCGAGGTGAGTTCGTTTATTCCTCCTGCTCCCTTGCTCTGAAGCCTGCGTTAGACATGCCTGTCCACAGGACGCTTGAAGACGGCTGCTTCTTACTTGCTCGTACTGCACAATCTGGAGCAGTTGGACGAGAGCAATGAAGATGCTCACCGGCTTCTCAAGGTCGCCGTACAGGAGGAAGAGTGGCAGCTCTGTCGAGAGTTGCTTCGCTTCCTGCGTTCCATTGATGAATCAGGTTCAGTGCTGCGAGATGCCCTGGCAAAGACGGGTATCATGACAGACATGCCCCAAGTGCCTGTTGTTCTGACATAATGTATTAATCAAGCAAAGTATTGTTACACCACTGTTTGTTCTAGGGTTGACCTCAACCAAACTCCATATCACAAAAGCACAAATCGCAGTATAACACCAACTTTGTTCTATTCCAAGACAGGGCATGCAATTACGCAAGACTGGATAACTGCTGCCAACGCACCAAGTTCCACAAGGTGTCAAATGCCCCGCAATAAATACTTAGGACACAATTAGGCAATAGCTTCCAGCCAAATCTATTCGCTGAAACCTTCCAACTGTCCAGTGACAGTTTCCAGGACAACAGCGAAAAGAGAGGCAGAGATCCCCCGACGACACAAGCCGGTAGTGCAGTGGCAAGGTCATCGCGCCCCCGAGTTGCAAGCAGAGCTCGGGGGTCAAGGGCGGCAAAAATTAGATAACCAAAAATGAGGGCGGTGCCCTCATAATAGTGGTTAAACTATTAAGAACAGATACTACACTTGATCTAAGCCAAAAGGCCAGAGTGGTAAGGAATCAGAATGTCGGGGTGCGGGTTATATAGGAAAAGAAAGGCGCGCACGGACCAGGTATCTATAATACAAAAGGCGGTTGCCTTTCCCACGGGGGACAAACGCAGAATTGACTTTTATGGCAGAGCTGCCTAAAACGGGGACGCGCCTGCAGATCAAGTTTCACAGGACTCAGACGCGTTTGTGGACTATACCTACTCGCACTGGGATTAATTCTAACATATTATACTATCTCATGGTGCTACAATAATCTCGAGCTGTACTAGCTTAATGCATGGTGAAGCAGGAGACGTTGACAGATGGAGATCAATCAGATGTACGTCCTCAAGTAACCACTGCATTGTCGGCCTCACTGAATACGGGGGTGTCATAAGGCTGCCTGCGTGCAGCCGGCTCGCAGACAATACACAAATCCGACAATTGGATGATGTCAGCACCAATACTCTTCACCTGAATGAAGCGGGGCAGGAAGCGGAGCGCGAACGCGCAGCGAGGCGTGTATCGACACGCTCGGAACGAGAACAGGAGTCAACGCTGGAGTCACCACCCCGACGGCGAACGCAGCCTTCAGACAATAATGAAAATGAGTCTTATCTACAAGTGGTATCTCATCCGTCTGGTCTCCCATTGACACCTCCCACAACTGCAGAAGCAAAGGAGTCAGAAGTTGACGTGTCAAGTGATGGATCCTCAGACGTGGAGGAGCGTCGAGTGCCTCTGACAACTCTACCGGTTCAGTTGTCACCTCGAAGACAACTCAGATTCATGGCACCGCTGTCTCCAGACTCGCAAGAGCTTCACACACCGAGCCGAGTCACGGGCAGGCGCTTCCGACAATCCACGATTGCGTCAACGAGTTCTCTCGACACTCCTACTGTAGACCGGCGGTCTGCTGCTCAGCGCGCAAGGAGAGCGCGAGAGCGGGCAGAACGTCAGCGACATGATGGCATGCTTTGTTCAAGTCCTCTGAGTGGACGTCACGGTGGCACTCGCAGAGCAGGCTCAAGGCGTGATCGTGATTCAACCACTCAGCATACTACTATGAATACCTCGCAGTCTCCTTCCTCACGTGTGCTCACACTGCAGCATGTGAATCCACCATCTCTGGATGGACTGCAAGATGGTATGTGTTTGACATATATAAGTCCTGCCCTTTGATCTAACTGGATTTCAATGTGTCAGACTCTCATCGTCTTGGAGAAGACTTTAGCATCCGCCGAAGGCAAACTCTCCTGGGCCGTATGCAGCAACTACCTTGGGAGGAAGTACCTGCAGCCAGACGCCCTTACCGGGAGCCCCAGGTCCGACATGACCTTGGCCGCATGGATGTAGAATGCATATTCTGCGGAGCACTCCACTGGCGACTGGAGAGGCTGTCTAAGTCGACTGAACGATCACCAACATTTGGACTCTGCTGCGACAGTGGGCAGGTACGTTTGCCTGCATTTGATACTGCTCCGTATCTGTTGCGGCGACTGTTCGTGGCGAATGATCCGCAAGCTCGCGAGTTCAGAGAGAACATCCGCCAGTATAATGCTGCCTTGGCATTCACCTCCTTGGGCGTAACAATTGATGATAGTGTGAATACTGGGCGTGGGCCCTATGTCTTTCGTGTGCATGGGGAACTCTATCACCAAGCTGGATCTCTTCTACCCCCTGAAGGTACACCTCCTGCATATGCACAGTTATATATTCATGATCCACGTGACGCGCTCGAGCAGCGGATGCGACGGAATCCAAATCTTCGGCGGGACACGATGGACTTGCTCCAGGGTCTCCTGTTAGAGCATCATTGGTATGCTCACCGCTACAAGCATGCTTTCGAGATCATACGGGAGTATGGTGAGGATGATATTGCAGTCCGGTTGCGCTTCAATCCTAGAGAGCATGACTGGCGCCGCTACAACCTACCAACTGCGGATGAGGTAGCGGCAATAATTCCTGGTGATGGGCAGCAGGTGAAGGACAGTCGCGACATCATCCTGCATAAGAGGACTGGCCGTCTGGAGAGGATGACTGACCTTCACCCTGCATATGGGTGTCTACACTATGTCCTCCTCTTTCCAAAAGGGGATCATGGATGGCACTGGGATCTTCGAATGTATCAACCTGATCGTCAGAAGCCAAAACGGTTGACACAGACACGTTGGTTGGCATACCACCTCCAAGTGCGGCGGGATGAATTCTCGACAATCCTGCGAGGAGGAAGGCTGTTTCAGCAATATGTTGTCGACATGTGGGCATGTGCTGATCAGAACAGATTGAAATGGCTCCGGGAGAATCAGCGCCAATGTCGGGCATCACTGTACTCTGGCCTCGAAGACGCAGTTGCTGAAGCTGATGATAACATCGATCTGAGTCAACTCGGGAGTCGATATATCTTGCCATCATCGTACCAAGGTGGCCCTCGGCATATGCACCAACAATTCCAGGATGCCCTTGCAATAGGCCGGCGTTACAAGAAAGTAGACATCTTTATGACGGTGACCTGCAATCCGGAATGGCCAGAGATAACCCGTGAACTGCTGCCTGGACAAACAGCCGCTGACCGGCCAGACCTTATCACACGTGTCTTTGCCCTGAAGAAGAAAGCAATTTTGGAGGACATTTTCAAGAATGGTGTCCTGGGACGGACTGTCGCGCACGTATATACTATTGAGTTCCAGAAACGTGGTCTCCCACACATGCACCTACTTATTTTCTTCGAGGACCAGTTCAAGCTCCTGGAACCAGAGGACATCGACTCTTTGATATGGGCTATGTGGCCAGACCCTGCGACGGAACCCCTTCTGTTCGAGGCTGTCAAGAAAACCATGGTCCACGGTCCATGTGGTGCTGCAAACATGAATGCTCCATGCATGGAAAACGGCAAGTGTACGAAGCACTATCCGAAACCTTTCCAGAGCCATACTACTATGGATGAAGATGGTTACCCGATGTACTACAGACCAGATGACGGTCGCAGCCACGAAGTACGCGGGTTCATGCTGGACAACAGGTGGATTGTCCCATTCTCGCCTTATTTGTCTGCGAAGTACTTCTGCCATATAAACATCGAATGTGCCGTGTCCTTCGCATCTATAAAGTATGTCCATAAATATATCTTCAAGGGTCCAGATCGAGCGACACTCGAAATACAGCACCGGGATGAGATCAGATCATATCTTGACTCCCGGTACATCTCAGCATGTGAAGCTGTCCATCGGATCTTTCACATGGAGCTTCATGGACGGGATCCTGCCGTTGTTCGGCTGCAGATTCACTTGCCAGGCAAGCACCTTTCAATTTCACATTTGAATGTTTATGGATATTCACCGTGTCAGATGTTCAGGTCAACATATGGTGAATTTTAATCCAGATGAGGATCCTCAAGAAGTACTCCAGCGTGCTGCATCAGAGCGAACCACACTGACAGCATTTTTTGCTGCTAATGCAGATCAAGGTGAACTCGGTGCACTTGCACGTCAATATACATATCAAGATTTTCCAGAGCATTTTGTCTGGAACGCACGGCAGAAGGCTTGGACGATCCGCAAACAAGACTTTGCTATTGGACGTATGTACTTTGTTCCGCCAACTGGTGGTGAGAAGTTTTACCTTCGCACACTCTTGACCGTAGTCAAAGGCCCAACATCATTTGAAGATCTTCGTACGGTTAACGGAGTCGTTCACCCAACATTTCGAGGAGCTTGCCTTGCACGGGGACTGCTTGAAGACGATGGCGAATGGAGACAGTGCTTACAAGAAGCATGCTTGATGCAGACGGGCCGCCAATTGCGTCACTTATTTGCCACTATTCTGCTGTTCTGCTCTCCCGCGAAACCTGAGGACCTCTGGCAGGAGTTCCACATTCACATATGTGATGATCTTACTCTGCAGCTACAGCGGCTCGGAAGAACAAGGCCCACTCAAGATGAGCTTTGTGACTACGGTCTGTATCTCCTTGATAAACTTTTGCAGGAGTCGGGGCATTCCTTGCGTGAATTCACATCAATGCCACAGCCTCAGAATGACTGGGGCCAGCGCATCAGCAATCCTTACATCGCTGAGCAAACTGCATATGACCAAGCCGAACAGGAAGAACAGGCAAGATGTGATATTGCACGCCTGAATGACGACCAGCGCTGTGCTTTCGACCGAATTGTTGCCTCTGTGGAGAGCGGGGCTGGACGAGTTTTCTTTCTCAGTGGCTCGGGCGGTACCGGAAAGACGTTTGTATATCGTACGGTCTGCCACTACCTGCGGGGAATGGCTCGCATCGTTCTTTGTGTTGCATCATCTGGAATTGCTGCACTGCTGCTGCAAGGCGGACGAACAGCACATTCTATGTTCAAGATCCCGATTGAAGGTCTCACCGCTGATTCACTCTGTGCCATTACGAAGGAGTCACAACACGCACAGCTCATCCGTGCTATGGATATGGTTATCTGGGATGAGATCACGATGCAGCATCGCTTCACAGTCGAGGCCTTCGAACGCACATGCCGCGATATTCGTGACGATGAACGCCCCTTTGGTGGAGCCACCATTGTATTCGGTGGGGACTACAAGCAAACACTGCCTGTTGTTCCCAAAGGTAGCCGTGAAGATATTGTTGGCGCGACGCTCCAGCGATCGCACATATGGTCACATGTCGAAGTATTGCGCCTTCAACTGAATATGAGACTAGAGCAATCACCAGGTGCTCAAGAGTTCTCAGCATGGCTAGATGATGTTGGATGTGGCCGTAACAATCTGGCTGCTGACTCTATTCTCCTCCCCGACTCTATGAGGGCTAACAATCTTGAGTCATTGATCAGCTTTATCTACCCAGACATCAATTCCGACCCACCACCACCACCTGAATACTTCTTAAATCGCATGATCCTTGCTCCACGCAATACCGATGTGGATGACATCAATGCAGAAGTCTTGGGAAGGATGTCTGGTGAAGCGCAAGTTTTTAGAAGTGCTGACTCTATTGTGCGAGATGACAACTCTCGGGAAGCTCCAGCCATTCCAGTGGAGTTTCTGCATACCATGGATGCTTCAAATCTCCCTCCATCCGAGCTGCACCTCAAGCCAGGCTGCCCGCTTATCCTGCTGCGAAATCTGGCCCCACGTCGGGGACTCTGCAACGGCACAAGGATGACTCTTCGCCGCGCCATGGACCGGGTGTTAGAAGTTGAAATCATCGGTGGGGATCACCATGGTGAGATTGCTCTCATCCCACGGATATCCCTCACACCACCGAACAGCCAGGGGAGCTTCACGTTCCTCCTCAAACGCCGACAATTCCCAGTTCGGCTTGCATTTACAATTACAATCAATAAAGCGCAGGGTCAATCTGTCAAATATGTGGGGATTGACCTTCGAATTCCAGTATTTACTCATGGACAGTTGTATGTTGCTCTCTCCCGTGCAACATCAGCTCACCGGATCCGCATCCTCTTGCCCGACACTTCAATCGAACCATTGACGAAAAATATTGTATTTCCAGAAGTTCTATTAGATTGAGTAAGTTGCAACAGTATCCTATACATAATATGTGACTGACATCGCCGTCTTCCTCACAAACACTGGCAGTTGCAAACTAATATCAAGTATTGTATATCATGTATCACATAGTAATGTACAATATTGGTCCCATTAGTATATAGTATGGTGTCAAATAATCATACTGAATTCACGTCATATTTGATGCTGTCCCATGGACTTCTGTTGAGTCTAGGATGTAAGGCTGCACGTCTACAATGAGTGTGTCTCAGCCCGTGTGATACTGTCACATCCACCAGTCACATACATGAATTGTCGAGCCAGATATGTCCGGACGGTCAATTTTCTAACGTATTTGGGATCCTACTGCTTCAAAGAGACCGTTTGCACCAATTTTGAACCTTAGATTCCCATCCGACGACGAATATGAGAGGTGTGACATAAAGTGTTACAATGTCACCCTGCTCGGACCGATAACGCCCGGCGTACAGGGCATAGAATACATGGACAGATGCCACCATCGACGCATCTCCGCACTGTCGAGTGCCTCGCCATGGGACATCTACTAATGGTAAAGATATATCGTGGCATAGCCCGGCCTTTCCAGCACATTCGATGATATTCTTCGAAAGCTCCGCCGTGGCGCCAGGGCTCGCATCGCCAACGCGCTTCAACATATATAGCGTGAGTGAACCTGGCGTTGACTGCATTATCGATTCCTCTCCATTTGCTATGAGTTGTGCGAGCCTTACTGGTGTGGTCGCTCTTGAGAACGCACGTCAGGTGCCTGGAAAGGGCAAAACCCTCATCTTTGATGCACAGTTTTACCTCGGTGAGACGTCTGATACCCCACCGGAGCCTATCACGATGGTTGGCGGTCTACGGTATTACAATAGCAATAATTTGTCTTTCAGTCAACCAGGTCTCTACTTTGTGCATGCCATAGTAAGTTCGTTGTGCATTATAGTCATGTGCATGACCGGGGTTATCATGCTGATAATATCAAATTCCAGGTCGCAAAATATGAGAAGAAGGCCTACGACGAACTATACTCCTCCGTACTCGGGGGGGATGATTACGACATAGTAGGGGATATAATAATGGTATGTGGGTTGCTTTGTGAAGTATACTATGTTCCAGTTCCATTGACTGACATCTGTCGAGTAGCTAATTCCTATTCCCAATGCCGACAAAGACACTGGCCGCCACATCCCACTTTTGCAAGTGTGCGGGTCTGTATTTGAGGCAGACAAGAACTCCGCGACATTCGTAATCAACGCCGAACAGCGCACGCAGGTGCTTACAGACGGTATCTTGCCGGTTACTGCTGCTTTCCCTACGGAGAGCGCGCGGTTCAAAAACAAAATTCCGCTGCCCGGTGTTGGTACCATAGTCTATGTATGTGGTCCTATCAGTGATGTGAGACGAATCGACAATGGTGCACCCGATCGATTCCACTTTTCTGTGGAGCAGATCCAGTTCCTGGCTAAAAGCCCAGTTCCACCTCGAGCTATCAATCCCAGTATGTTCTCCGCTGTATACATTACCTGACGCAAGCTGAATCATTATAATGCAGCTCCACCAAAGGCCCCTGGGCGGAAGAAATTACAATTTAACTTCACCCCGAACAACAGCAGCTCGCCTCCACCGGCGCTGTCCCCTCTTTCGTCGCCTCAGTCGTCACCGGCTCGCCCGCAAACGCCGACTCCGTCAAGTAACACTCGCGCGAGCAAACGTGCCAGGACAGACTCATGAGGTCTTCTTACCAATACCACTGATCATCGTAGTAGGCTCATCGTCGGGGACTCGGCAGTAGTTTGGAACTACTGTAGATTGTATATAACTTATTTGTATATATATTCTCGCATCAGACAAACAATCTACAGCCGTGCGGTACGCACGGGTAGCTGCTAGTTGTTGGACGTTTGGCATGGGTTGGTCGCTTGCCTTAGTGGGAATGACAGTTACCCTTTACAGATGCAAAGTGGCTGACACGCACACACTGACACTGTGTGCCCGCTCATAAAGCCGCTTTTGACTGCTTAGAGGGCCAGCCCAATAAGTATATGTCTAGCTAAAACCTGCTACCAACGGTTGGATGTAGCTGTGGTAGTGCGCGCTGGCTTCGAATCTGTCGTCAAAGGGACCGCATCGCGACAGCTGCAACATCGTATCCATTACCACTGGCAGGACATCACGGTCGGTGGCAGGTTGCCCCGTTATCTTGAGTACTAGTCAGGAAGTGCCAAGCTAGATTGATGGTACAATTCTCGCTCCTACGGGCCCTTCTTTGCCTGGTCACGAATTCCTCCTCTCCCTTACATGCACGCTGCTTCGCGCAGGACAGGATAATGTTCGTGAACGTAGATTGTCGTTTGCTCGCCTTCACGCCATAGTACCATCCCCCATCCTCGATTGTGGCCGCGATCGAAGTTGAATTTGAGGCTATGGAACGGGCAAGGAACGGGCAGTCCTGGGTTTGCACTCGCTGGGCCAGCGTTTTACCCCAGGAGTAGTGGAGGACACGGGTCCCGCATCCATCGGTAACGTGTTAGTCTCGCATTACATTCACCTGTGTGATCCCGGAACTGTGGAATAGTGACGAAAGACCTTTGTTTCAGCGCTCCTTCGAAGGTACGGGCATGTGGTGCGCGGGTCGTAGCGATTTGACTTGATGCCGTGGATTTACTTGAACTGCGCTGGTGCAGGGAGGGTTGTCATTCTCGCGGTCCTGGTCCATCCCTGTCCTTCGGGTCTCTGCTATACCAGCGGTGACTGACACGTAGCGGCCCAGAAGCTGCTCGGCCTGTATGTTGGGGGGGTTGGGGATGGGATGAAGGAGCGGCTGACGGCGTTCCCAGAGTTCATACAGAGTTGACGGCGGAAAGGAGCGATGTCAGCCAACGTCTGAATATTGATCGTGGCGGACGCAGAGTCGCAAGGTGACCAGCCACCGATGGATGTGTCAGTCTTGACTGTCGGCAGACGCAAATCAACGCCAATCGTGTAAGAGGCTCCCAGAGACAGATGGCTGACAGCTACATGTCAAATGATGATGGTTCCATCGGGGTGGATGTGTCGTGGTATATTGCCACGGGGGTCCTCTCCGCCACAAGTCGTAGCGGCGACGAGGCAGGCTTTGTCGAAGGTATCGTTCTCTATGGATGCCACGGCAACGCTGGCATAGCCCCGCATCTCCTGCTCCAAAGCGTCGACGTCGGGGCACCTCAGGAAGTGGGAGGCATGCAGATGCTTGATAACCTCCTTGATCCACACCCGGCATGTAAACTTGGGCTCCTTGCCCACGTCGGCGGAAGGGACCTCGTTCAAGGGGACGGCCTGGGCGATCTGAACAATATCCACAACGGACTTGCCCTCTGGTACTCTGCCGACTATCGCGGCTGCGCACACGGAAGAGGGTGAGGCATTTATGTTATTGGGTTCAGCTACGAAACGCCAGGCGTCGGAAGGGTCGGTGGCGAGTGGGAGGTCTGTAACGTGGATCTTGGTCCCTTGGCCGCTGTTGCTGGCGGCGTCGGGGACGAAGAGGAACCAGTGATAGCGGTCGGGCTCGCCCAGGAGACTGAGGGCGAGGACGATGTGAGGGTACTGGGGCAGCGGACTGATCCCAGACATGGCTGTAGGAGCCTGGCGATGTGGCGTCGTTGATAGCCTCGTTATCTTATCCTGCCCGAACCAGCACGTGGGAACTTGTACCTAGCCTCGTCGATCATGTATCACTCAGATGGTCACCTTGCCCATAAGCCCTGCAGAATACTATGCTCGCTAGGAACCTGCTCAAGAGGACGATGACCACCATCACCCGCCAGCCCGTATCCTACACCGCCGACGGAGCCGTGTCCATCTCATACCCAACCTTGGTCTCGGATCCCCTCTCGCTCACAGAGTCGATAGGTACGTGCCTTGCATGAGGGCCATGAGGGCACTGATACGACTGTACTGCAGAGAAAGCATTCGGCTCCCACCCAAAGTCCCTCGGGATAATCATCGTCAAGGACCTGCCAGACGAATATCCCAAATTGCGCGAGAGCTTGCTATGGCAAGCGTACAAGTTCGCTCAGCTCCCCGTCAACGTCCGGGAGAAGTACGCGGACCGGAAGAGTCGCTATAGGTATGCTGCGCACACTCTACTATGACTGGCAGAGGACCGCTGACTCGAGCAGCTTTGGTTGGTCCCATGGAAAGGTAGGCATCCGATGGTTTTCAACGGACCTCACGGATTGACCTGCCCAAGGAAATCATGAACGGGAAACCAGGTGTGTGTATTGCTTAGTCAGTCGTGAGGTGTCTAACTACCGCCCGTCGTCCCTTTCAAGATACACTGAAAGGGTCATACTACGCCAACCCTGTAATCGACGAACCGACGGTCTCCGCCGCTCTACGCGAGGCGTACCCCGAATACTACGGGAAGAACATCTGTACGTTTATATACCTCCACTTCCATGGCCTTTTCCAACGCAATCTGCTTCCCCAAAGGGCCAGCAAAAGACGAGAAGGGTATCGAGGGCTTCGAAGACGCCTTCAAAGCTCTCGGCAAGTACGTTCCCCTTCGCCGTTTACCACACCAGCAACTCTGACAACCCCGCAGATTCGTATTCACAGTAGGCTGTCAGCTTGCCACCGCCTGCCAACCCTTCGGTCCGCTCTTCTCCTCTCCTCCCCGTCTCACACCGACCTGACCCACCCCACCCCACCACGCACAGCCTCCGCCCACCTCACCGACTCCTCCCTCTCCCTGTCGCACCTCATCTCCACCTCGCAGACCACCAAGGCGCGCCTGCTGCACTACTTCCCCCCGCCGCCCGACGCGCCCCCGCCCGCCGCGGACGAGCCTGTTGACAGCTGGTGCGGCTTCCACGTCGACCACTCGCTCCTCACCGGGCTGTGCTCCGTACGTCCCCTCCTCCCTTTCCCCCTCAGATCCTAACCAACCATACACTGCACAGGCGATGTTCATCCACGCACCCCCCTCCTCCGCCCCAAAAGTCGTCCCCCCGCCCTCGCCCACCTCCGGCCTCTACATCCGCACGCGCGGGCAGACCCTCACCAAAGTCTCCATCCCCGCGGACGCGCTCGCCTTCCAGACGGGCGAGGCCCTCGAGCTCGCGACCGCCGGCCGCCTGCGCGCGACGCCGCACTGCGTGCGCGTCGGCAGCGGCGGCGCACACGTCAGCCGCGAGACGCTCGCGGTGTTCATGCAGCCCGACGTGCACCAGCCGCTCGGCGCGCGCGAGACGTTCGGCGAGTTTAGCAAGCGCGTGTTCGACGAGCATTATACGGAGAAGGAGGGCGGCGCGATGTGAGGAGCGGTGAAGGCTATTAGAATTATGTTAGGCATGTCTGTCTATACAGCGGTACAGGAATATATACGGAGACTAGCATCGGCGTTACATAGAGATTAAACCAACATCGACGGCACGTAGATCTAGTAAAACAAAGGAGCAGCACGACCGCGCAAAACCGACATCGTCATCTACACCGAGGCAGGTTCGCCTGCCCGGAGCCGTTGCCCGTCACCGGCGAGCTCGACCTCCTCATCACATTCGGCATGACATTCAGCACCGCCGCGCCCAGGCTGCTCCGCCTGCGCATGTCCGGCCGGCTGTGTGGACCATCGCTCATGCCCCCGTCGGAAATCACGCTCCAGTCCTCGCTCGCGTTCCCGTCGACGGACTCGACGGAGCTCTGCGCGGTGCTCGGGCGCTCGGGCGTCGAGCCCGACGCGCTGCTGCTCGGTGGCTCGACGTCGCGGATCGTCGCGATCTCGCCGTCGGGCTCCTCGTGCGGCTTCTTCACGAGCGAGCGGGCGTACTCGAGGTCGCGGTAGATGGCCTCGATGGCAGTCGCCACGCCGTTCTCCTGGTGCAGATGTGAGTAGGGGACACGACAAGTCGTTCAATTCACGTACACTCCGGATCTTCTCCCCAACTTGACGAGCGCGAGCGATCTGCTTCTCGTCTGTCGTGGCCGCGAGCAGCGCTGCAGTCAGGGCTTCGACTGTGAGGTGCCGCACGCCTGTGCCAATGCCCAAGGCCTCCACTCGATCGGCCCAGAAGAACTGGTCGCCGAAGAATGGATGGATGATCGTAGGCAAGCCAGCTGCAATTCTAGTTAGGGTATAGCACTAGACAGAGCGCTTAAGGGGCGCTCACCTCGCAGGCTGGCGCCTGTCGTCCCGGCTCCGCCATGATGACAAGCAGCGTCAATGCGCTTGAAGAGCCAGTCATGTGGCAGGGAGGCTATCGAATATATCTGTTTCGGCAGAGGCTCCTCAACCTCGGCAGCTTCACCCGGGTTCTTGACCTGGAGCCGGTCGGACCAGCCCTTCGACAGGATCGCGCAGACACCACTCTTGACTATGGCGTCGATAACACAGCGAGTCATGGCTTTAGGGTTTGACACAACGATACTTCCAAACCCGATGTACACAACCTTCTTCCCTGCATTATGAGCCGAGTCGATAAACTCCAGAAGATCGGGAGGTGGTGACCACTTCTTCGCCCCTACTTCGGCGTCATCCAGGAACCAGTAACCTGCGTCCGAGATTAGCCCTCCCTTAGCGGTCACGAACGTAGCCACAAAGCAGCGACCTACCGGTGACATGTATCCATTCAGGCCAGTCTAAAGGAGGCGGGACCACGGTCGGACTAAAGTTATATAGGAACGGAACTTTATGCGGCTCCATCTTATCTAAATTGGTGCCCCCGAGTCTCAGGACATTCCTCCGCCATCGGTTGATCTGACCAGAAATTGCCTTCCAGAATACTTGGTCGAACAAGACGTAGGACTGTGTCTCGTGAAAAAAGCGTCCGGCGGAGATTGCATATGAGACTCACCATGTAGTTGTAATTGCCGCCCATCTATGGAGAATGTTGGATGAGACGAGTACGATACAGGAGTAATGAGCAATCATACCCTGTGTTCAGGTACTGCAAAAGCATGTGGGTATGCCCTGACGATGGTAGATTGAGGAATGCGGCGCTACCAACTACAGGAGAACTCACCGAGTTCGGGTCCATGTCATCGTGAAAGCTCTATAATATGGAATGCCCAGCGCTTCGGCTATGTGATAGCCTGCCATAGCACTGGGGCTCTCCACAAGGACGTCGGTACCTTGACAAGCTTCCCACGAGGTCTTCAAAAGGTCATCCAGCCATCCACGGAACTATAATCACCATGTCGACTTTCATGTAGAGCATTTAGCCTTTCCGAAACATACCTTGAGAAGCCCCTCCTTCAAGAAAGCCACAGTAAACGTGCCGTTCTCCACGCAGATACGCATCAGTTCAGCAGGATCGCCACCTACGCATGAGAATTCGATCCCATGCTACGGCGTTGAGAAGGGCGTCAATAAATAGGGGAAGCCGCTTACTGCTTCAATCCATTCCTTGAACTCCCCATGGGTCGCGATCCTAGCTCGATGGCCGTCCGCCATGAGGCCCTTAGCGAGGGCTATGTACGGTTGCACATCACCGCGAGAACCTATCGTGAGGAAGGTGAAGTGCAAAGACTCTTTCGGCTTGAACGTGAGGAACGTGGAGGACGAGGATGTGAACATGACCGCAGGCACGGATTGGTCCATTGACTCCGGGGGTGGCCGTGAGTCCGAAGTCTGCACGAGTGATGTACGCGAACCAAAGCCCTCCAAAATAAGGGCATCACTTCTACCGGGGCTAGACGGATTGCTGCCCTCTTGACTCTGAACAACATCCATCTGTCTCTCTAAGAGACTGATAAAGGCCCTCCGCCGCTCCTCAAGGCGGAACTCAAAGAACAGCTCCTCATAACCTTTGACGATCAATATAAGCCCGTAATGCGAGAAATGGAAGGCTTTCGACTTCTGTGCCGCTAAAATATCGCGGATAGGAAGAATCATCTGGTCTTCTACGTGAGTTCCATTACCAGTCCGAGGAATGTGATGCACCTACACGGAGCCTCGTGGACAGTGGTCCAGTGGACTTGAAGCAGAAATAATTAGTAGATATATAGAGGCGACCTGGTTGAGGAAGAAGGCGATAGATATATCCAGGGAAGTCTGCGATAATATTCAGTAACACGTCCTGGAATATCAGGGGATGATACATACAGCCTAGCAAAGTCTCCCGTTCGTCGAAAGCAAAGTAGGTGCGGAACTTCTCTTGCATATCAGCATCAACGGCAGCCCCAGGCTTGTCCAGGACACTGAATCCCAGTTCGCCGTGTCGCGCGCTAGGAGAGGTGGATGTCGGGTAAGACTCTGACACAAAACCTGGAACGGCAGGCATTGTAGCCGCGTGCTCCGGGCCATGACTAGCCCCTGAACTAGAAGTGAACATCCTCTTTGACGGGACCTTGAACCATGCAGGAACCCCCCATAGACCGCCGGTGTGATCCGCTCCTGCAGCATGGAATGATTCCGACGGTGAAGGATGGGGAGGATATGTATGGTTAGAAGAGACACTGGAAGACACGTGGGACGAACCCTCGAAACCGTCAGAGTCGGCTGACGGGAGCTGTGATTTTTCTCCCTTAGGAGAAGTGGTGAAGGGCACGAAGGACGAGCCGCTCTTCCTCTTGGATATGTGGGTGAAGTCCTCGTTATCATCCACGGTGGACTGTGACTGTTGTGGCGCGCTAGTCGTGCGGCCGACAGGCCAGATGGAAGGTAACCTGAAGGCAGAATAGGCCCTCGTGAGGTGATCGGCAACGGGGAGACTGTGAGTCCGCTCCGCCGACTGGTCCGCTGGTTGTGAGGGAACATTAAGTAGACGTGGGGTCGTTGTATCCATTATGGGCTGAGGGGAGGAACCCTGGGGGACAGTACGGTACTTGCGAATCACATCGCGGATCTGCTCTAACGCAGTGTCCAAGTCATGGAAGTAAGCAAAGAAATACGAATCGACAACGCTGTCGTCTCTGTCGATAACCTTCACTTCGATGGTCTCGCTGAAGTCGAGGGCAGATGACTTCTCCACGTCCACGATGGCCGAGTAAGGTATGGCAATCTAAGGAAGGGCGTGGAAAGTTATTGAGTGTGGCAGGTTTTAGAAATAAACGGAGAGTGTACCTTCACGGAGTCACCACTGTTCTGCGCCTTGAACATCACCTTATGGACAGCCTTTACCCATTCATCTCTGCTCGACGGTGAATCGGCGGCCAGAAGAACGGTCTTCTGGTTGGTACGGATACGGAACTCTTTATCTTTTACAGGTTCCACCGAGATTGCATATCGAAGGTCTACGACACCGTGAGGAAAATATGGGTCCTTTCGCAACCTTCAGTAAGAGCGCCCCAGAAATGACTAGTATCTCACCGAAGATGATTGATACCAGGAAAGTACATCATTCTTGAGGACGAACCAGTGCTTGATCCATCGCTTCGTGCGTTGGGCCTTCTTACTGAGCGAACCAGATTTCAGGGTCTGATTCTATAGCGGCAAAATCAGGGACAGATCGTCTCGGGAGAGACTAGATAATAACTCACTTCTCTAGAAGGCATATGCGCAAAGAAACAAAGGTGAGAGTTCGTAAGGAACATGTAACCCTGCAGTACTAAGAGAGACCTTTTTAGTCCAGATAATATTTCTGCACCGTTTAGTTGTGGGCACGTACGGATGGTTCGAAGAAGCCAACAAGGTATTTCTGATGAAACTCAGTTTATGTACGCCTGCGGTAGCCTGAGCACCTACCTGCCACTACCTCGTCGATCCCTTCAAGATCAAAGATGTCCTTCAATTTATCGGCTAGGCGCGCCCGACGCTGTAATCTAACGGTGGCCATACTCCCAGAACGAGTGATAGAAGACTGAGGACCATCAACTCGACCGCGATGGATCGAGGGTGTCGATATGGGACTAGACGTGAGTCCCGCGGGAGTGTAGTCTGGCATGCGAGGCGTGTCGACTTCGAAGTCGGCATCGTCAGTTTCTGAGCTTGAAAGAGTCTCCCGTTCTTTCTCCTCTTCAGGAGATTCGGAGCGGACGCTGAAGACATTTCTCAAGGCCGTTGCACCTCGGCGTGACTTGTCAAGTGGTCGGTGGATGGTATGTAAAGACGAAGTCATCGGCGTGTCTGACACAATGTGAGTATACCATAGGCCTGGAGCTAAAAAGTAGAGTCCTACCAGTGTTCTCATCCGGTTCACTATCAGACTCGACCTGGGTCGGGTGATGGTTGCCCAGGTCATCGTCAGTTTCCTGGTCTTCAGTAAACGGAATAGCTCCCAGAGCTTGGATTATTGCGTGTGTGCCTCCACGTATCTAGTTCAAGCTGGTCATTGGAACGGAAACAGAGTAACATGAGGGAAACGTACAGAGCCGTCTCCGCGAAACAGCTGAAACATGGACCGAGATAACCTTGAAGTGGGTGGTGGGGAAGGGGGTCGTATGAAAGGGGAATCATCGCTGGGCCCGCCTTGCGGTGTAAGAGGGGGGGACTGAGGGCCCCGCAGGTCACCTGTGAACATAAATACGACATGAGAATCTTATGAAGGTGACTAGAGACGTACCTTCGCTCATTCCCAGTGTCAAGCCGCTTGACTCCTCTCTACTCTTCCCTTTACGGTGCAGACTGAATAACCGCCTTGGGGCCACACTCACTGCACTTTGTGTGGATGAGGGGGTCCTGCTCCCAATTGATTTGGCTCTTCCAAGCCTATCGACAGCGCGCTGCACTAGACCCTTGGAGGTGGATAGCTCATCATCTTTCTCCGCCAGGACAGAGTCTTCCGGTGTGCTCATTGCATATAGATGGGTTCTAAGGCTGCGCGTGCCGCTGCGCAAGAGGCAAGTTGAGCCAAAACTTGAGCAGAATCAAGTAACAGTGTAGGTGGTCGCTGCAAGACTTATAGCAAGTCGAGCAAGGCTCAGCGAATGCTGGGAGCAAGTAGGGCAATATCCACTGCAATAAACAACCTCAGCTGCAGCAACCGAAAGGGGCTTGCTGTGTCGGGTATATTGACCGGTCCCCGGAGACTTCCCGGAGTCCGATCACTCATAATCACCTTCCAATGAGCGTCGGACGGCCGGATGCCGCCGGGTTAGGGTTATATTATCGTGGGAAGGTCGTTGTATCGTGACCTCCGGGCTTGGCAGTCGCGTCGCGTGTAGGGCACGCTGCACTGCGCAAAGGTCAACTTTCGGTTGACTTAGGTCATCGGCTTCCCGCCTTGTTCGTCCTTTCCTTCTTTCCTCTGCGACACCGACATGCGCGGCGAGATATGCATAGGCTCTGCATCGTTTTTATCGTGCGCCTTACTATGTTCTGCCGTGGATCACTGACGGGACTTACGTTCTCCAAGCTTCGTAGCCCTGCTCCTCTGTATTTTTATGCATGTGCGTACCTGGACTCCCTGCGTGGTCTTGATGCTTGAGTAATCTTGCGATAGGTGGGCCAAATCAATACGTCAACGATACCTCGAGGGATAGCCATGGTGATGCTTCATTTGCCTCGAGTAATCAACCAGCCCTATTGATGGATGGTCTGTAGGCTAAGGTCAACGTCTCGGGCTATGGGTGAGTAAAACACCATTGGAGCCCGTCACGACTATTGAGGGTGTATAGCAATGCTCTATATGCTGCCCTGGGCGATCCCATCCAAGGCCTGTACGCGAGTAACGCCTCTGCTCCTCTCGGTGCTGAAGCTGGGCTACGAAACTTTTACGACTACGGCCTTTACTCGTACTGTGCCTATCTGGAGCCCCCACAAGGGATATGCTCCAATCACAGCACCGCCAATAGGTTCGAGCCCTTCACGGCCATGACCTCGGACATGATTGGCAACTGGTCATTCATAACTGAAGGCTTGATACCTTCTGTATCCTTCCGGAACTCGGGTTCACTCGGGAGTCAGTCCAACTCGGCCTATTACCTATTACTGCTGGGAACGATCTGCGCTGGCCTGGCTTTCCTCCTGTCGGTGCTTCCTCGATGAATCCTCTGGGATAGCTACTTATCTGATGTCATGCGTGTAGGGGCATGGCCAAACAGACCATCACGTTTCTGGCTTCAAGTATTTTGGCCATACTGGGCAGCATTTTCCTCCTCGCTGGGGCAGCGATATGGACGGCTGTCGTCCACAAAGCTGCGAGCGTCAATGACCTAGTGGTGGGATCGTCGAGCTCCCCGACACCACTCGGAATCACCATTTCTGTGGGAAACGGAATATACCTTGCTTGGGCAGCCTTTGCATGCTTGGTGGTATCGATCCTTCCCTACATGACCAGGTACGGTTCTCCCATGTTAGCAGCTCATTTCATTGTCTAAATGCACACCCAGCTGTTGCACATACCGAGGATAAGGAGCTGGAATCCTCCACCTGTACTGACGACCAACGCGACACCTTGTACATCCGAACTCGCGTTTTACGAATACTTACCTGTAGGATATGAAAATAACGACCACGCATTGCTCTGTAATACCTTGCATATACGTAGAAGGCATAAGCTCTCGCATAAACATCCGTGAACTTAAGAGAGATACGGACAACAGTAGGTCATATTTGGCGAGACGGAAGCATTAATATTCGTGCGAAGGAGTCCGATCGATGGCTGTGCGCCCTGTAAGGTGCTTGTGAAAAGTGAAGCGTCCCTCCACACACTGCAGCGCGTTCTGCGCGACTGCGTCTCTCCCAACCTCGATGTCGCGCTCAATGCTGGCGCGTTCTCCGATTAAAATATCTCATCAACTACGAGGCAACGCTCAGCGATATGCCATACGCGCTGCTAGTCAAGCTGCAACGGTGACCAAGTCAAAATCTTTGCCAGAAAAACCGGCTGCCTCGCTCGGGTCTCCGCCTCAGCAGACATGGCTCACGAGATACTTGAAGGAACATCCAGCAGCAATGAACGTTTTCATGAGGTTCAGCAGACTCCTAGGATACGGTAGCCCCAAGCAACTCGCGGCGAGACGCGCCCTCGCGCTTTACCGGGGTGTATGCGTCAATAAAGCAGACGAAGAGCAGAAATTCTGGCAACTAGGTGGGTCTGATTTCCGACGCATATAGCATCCTCAAGGTGCTATCACCTGGAGGGCTCTCCGTGACCCTAGCCTGGAGCTATGTCTTCTCTCAATCTGAAGTTCCCCCTGCTGACGCACCGCCACCCGCCACCTCCTCTGCGCCCCACCAGAGTGCGACCTCCCGCCGACCTTCCAGTCCTGGTTCACAATCACGAACTTGCACGTCTGGCTGCTCATCGTGCGCCTGCGCGCGCTGCCGCCCCCGCACGGGATGAACCACATCCAGGCGCTGCTCGACCACTTCTTCATGGACGTCGAGGACCGCATCCGCGCGATTCTGCAGCCGCGCACGTTCGAGGCCGCGCAACGCACGCCGCCCAGCTCCGCGTTCTACCCGAACCGCCGGCGCGACGAGGGGCCCGAGGCGGGCGTCACTGAGGACGGAGAGAAGAAGCCGCTGCGCAAGAACGCGCCCGAGAGCCTCGTGTCCCGCCAGATGAAGATCTTCCGCGACCAGTACCAGGGGATGGCGATGGCGCTCGACCTGGGCGTGGTGAAGGGCGACGCGGAGCTCGCCGGCGCGGTATGGCGAAACTTCCTCGGCGCGCGGGGCGCGCGCGGGATCGTCTACGCGGAGGACGGCGACGCGCTCGCTGGGCAGCCCGCATTCCGGCGCTCGGTGAACCCCACGGACAAGAGCCTGCAGAGCGTGTCGAACGACAAGCTCGAGGCGGCGGAGACGGAGGACGACCAGTCGGGCGTGCACGACTACTTCCCGCACGAGGCGGACAAGTACCTCGCGTACCCGGAGCTGATGAAGACGCTCGCGACGTATATACGCAAGGAGCTCGTGCGCCTGGGGAGGGTGAGCGACGAGGAGATCATGGGGTCAATGCAGCCCGGGAAGGAGTTTGACGGCGTGGAGAAGTTGAAGTTTGGGCCCATCAAGGGACACTGAGGGGCGCTGTCTGGGTCACTGCACGAAGAAAGTACTGTAGAACATACAGCTAGTTGTAATGTAACTCCCTACTCTTCCGCATATTCGTAGATAACTTAGAGTGGTATACAGCGTAACTCCGACATACCGCGTTATACGGCCATTCACGCTCCTCTTATTCCCGAGCGGACAGGATTTAATGATGCCATCCCACTGAAACTGGTGCGTCTGTGAGGAGATGCCAGGTTGTGTACTCCGAAACTTGCGGGAAACCATGGAATTACGCATCAGTAACAGAACAGGCCAAGACTGCCTTACTCATCACACAGGATCTCCAACTAGTGTATAAAGGGGAACATCACAGGTCGGTTCGACCACAAACTCAGCCTCACATCGCCATTCGCACGAACAAACAATGTCGCAGCTATCATCCGTTCTCTTACTCGGTGCTGGAGAGCTGGGGACAGCCATCCTCAGCGGTCTGGCCAAAAAGTATACCCTGGGGAGTATCCAACTCGCACTATGCCTCCGACCTCAGACGATTTCCGACACAAAGAAGACACAGCGCCTTCGCGATCTCGCCAGCCCGCACACGCTCGAGCTCGTCAGCGGGGACCTCGGCAGCGACAGCGCGGCCGAGCTCGCCACAAAGTTCGCGCGGTTCGACGTCGTGATCGGGTGCACTGGCTACGCCGCCGGGCGCGGGACGCAAGTGAAGATCTGCGAGGCGGTCCTCAAGGCGGGCGTGAAGCGCTACTTTCCGTGGCAGTTCGGCGGGGACTACGATGCGATCGGCCGGGGGAGCGCTCAGGACCTATTCGATGAGCAGCTGGACGTACGAGATATGCTGAGGGCACAGGACAAGACGCGTTGGGTGATAATCAGCACGGGGATGTTCACGAGCTTCCTGTTCGACGACAGCTTTGGGCTGGTGGAAAGGAAGGAAGACGGGGAGATCGTGGTGCGCGGGCTGGGGAGCTGGGAGAACCGGATCACGGTGACCGCGGTGGAGGATATCGGCAGGATCACAGCGGAGGTGGCCATTGACGAGTCCATCGAAGGGGTCGTGTATGGCGCGGGCGAGACGATCACATGCGAGAGACTGGCGCAGCTGGTCGAGGCAGCGATGGGCAAGGACGCGAGGGTGACGAGGGAGCTGTGGACGCTCGACCAGCTGAGAGAAGCGTTGAGGCAGGACCCGCTGAACCCGCTGAAGAAGTACCGAGTCATCTTTGCGGAGGGGAAAGGCGTCAGCTGGGACATCGAGCGCACGATTAATTACCAGAGGGGCATCGATACGACGGATGTAGCGCGATGGCTGAAGCTGCACGCAATTAATTAGCCCTGTACCTTGGATTTTTCGAATTTATAATGCTGGTCGAATGGTATAATTGCCGCCTGAGAAACACGGACGATCCTGGAAGAGTAATGAGACGGGGCAGACTCGGAAAGAAACGCGTCGAGACGAGTGCTATACGCCGAGACCTGATTGGTTCCCGAAATTTTGGGCCGCACTGCTAAATTGGCCGATTGAGCAGTGTCGAGCTTTGCTGTACGCTCGGCTTTCTTCAGGACTCTATCCTCTGGCACTCCTCCTCGCTCGTTCCCCGTCTCCCTGCCGGTCAGCCATGTCTCCCCCAGTCAGCAAAAAGGGCAGCGAGTCCGGCACCGCTCGAGTCCTCGGTGCTGGAACCTCTGGTGAACTGCGCTATTGCCTTGTTATTAAATGGGAGTTAATAGAGCCCCAGGTGTCGCCGAGCTGTTGATCTTCCACCCGGTGGACACGATCGCGAAGCGTCTCATGAGTAACAAGCAAAAGGTGCGTCAGCCCAGCTCTCCCGGCTTCCCCCACTCACCACCTGTCCCCCCTCCTAGGTCTCGCTATCCACGCTCTCTCCCATCATCTTCCGCGACCAGGCCAACGCATCCCTCGGCAAGCGCTTCTTCTCACTCTTCCCCGGGCTCGGCTATGCAGCAGGCTACAAAATCGCCCAGCGGATATACAAGTTCGGTGGGCAGCCATGGTTCAACGACCTCATCACGCGACACTACAAGACCGAGTTTACGAATACGTTCGGAGAGCGCAAGGGCAAGATGATGATGCAGGCGACGGCTGGGAGGTGAGCAGCTGTGGATAATCGATGGTGTCGGCCTGGCTGATGGATTACGGCTAGTTTGACGGGTATCGGTGAAGTGGTGAGCTTGACGGGAGTTACCTAGGATTGTGGCAGAATAACTGATTCGGTGCGTAGGTACTGCTACCACTGGATGCCCTCAAAATCAAAAGACAGGTCAATCCGGAAGCCTTCCGGGGACGAGGCGTCATCCGGATCTTCCTGGAGGAAGGTACGACTCTATACCGCGGGTGGGGCTGGACAATGGCACGAAACGCCCCTGGTAGTTTCTCAGTAAGCACCGTCATCTACCTTTCCTCATCACCTCTTCACTGACCCCGTCCCATATAGCTTTTCGGCGCGTCAGCCGTAACGAAAGAGTACGTCCTCGGCGTCAAGGATTACTCCAAGGCCACTTGGACACAAAACTTCATCGCCTCCATCGCGGGCGCAGTCGCGTCCATCACCGTCGCAGCCCCGCTCGACGTCGTCAAGACGCGCATCCAGAACGCCAACTTTGAGAACAAGGTCTCCGGCGTAGTCGTGATCAAGGAGCTGCTGAAGAATGAGGGCCCGCTCGCGCTGTTCAAGGGCTTGACGCCGAAGATTCTGGTTGTCGGCCCGAAGCTTGTCTTCAGCTACACGATTGCGCAGTCGTTGATTCCTTGGTTTGGGAAATATGTGTAGAGGCTTTGAGGGTATTGGATAGACGTCTCGGTTCTTGCATATATCACATCTAATAGACATCTAATCACCACTTACACTGACTGCCTGTCAGAGTGAAGAGAAGAGAAGCACCGGCAACATCTTCCTATTGAATCATGTATGTGCTTGTGATCAAGGGTGATATTAGTGACGGCATTACGGTTGCTATCGACTACAAGACAGCGTATACAGTGCACAAAAACATTACAACGTCAAGAAGGACAAGTCCGACAAGAACAAGAACAAAAGATACTAGCCCACCGCGAGGGTCGAACTCGCAGCCTTCAGATCGCCTAGTCGTAAGAGTCTGACGCTCTATCCGATTGAGCTAGGCGGGCTTGTCATGGATAATTATCCGTGGCTTTACCAACGTCTTTGCAAACAATTGTGGCTTGCAAGAATGAACGGAAGGCCACATCAACACCTGTCCGATGGTTAGTCACTGCAAGCTTGCAAGTGATGGACCAGAATGTCACTGGCCATGACAGACGAAGACATGGCGGTACGAATCGTTACGGTTTCCTGGTAGCTGCGACGGTCTGCGATGCGGGCGGGGAAAAACTCAGACTGGGGAATATCAGGGCCCCCGTGACATGGGCGCTACTCACTGCGCGGCATGCTGAGAATCTGAGCGCTATGTGAGCATCGCCATCGGTATGACTTGACCGTAGAAATCGATGTTCGCCAAGGTTAGACGTGGAGAACTGAGAATACATAGGCTGATATTTGAGTTCCTGGACCGAGGGACATGAGGCAACCCCGCGATGCTGGAAGAACCGTCCCCTGTTCCACCTCGCGGCACGGTATGAAGTCAGGATGACAGCAGGCAGTAGAGTCGCATATTTAGGGCAGCTGTCGTCAAGCGTGTAATCATAGGCAGAGCAAATATGGGACAAGAGCTAACTGACTGACGGGGAGGAACTGACTGGAAGGCGGTAGCTGTCGGCGAAACAAGGTACCAGGTGCCGCATCGTATTCGCTGGACGGAACCAAGCGGCGCCTGCCAGACTCATGTCACTCCCACGCTTCGCGGGCGGTCGACTTGCACGGAGCGGCCTTCGTCCCCGTCTGGATCCCTCCTATTTTCTTCCCTCACCTCCATCACCTCTGAGTCGCTCAGTGCCGTCGTTCCTTCCTTTAGAGCTTCTCATTGTCTAATACTGCTCTGTGATGTGGGCGACCGCTCGACGAGTGACCGCTGGTTTGGCTGCTGCAGCCGCTCTCTTCACCGGCGTGCAGGCCATTGCCAAAGTCTCGAGGGGTGGGCGCTACCTCTACACGGACGATGGCAACAGGTTCTATATCAAGGGTGTTGCGTACCAGCCCCAAGGTATGTTCTGGTGTGATAGCGAATGGGTTTTCAAGGGGTACTCAATCCTCTGTAGGTGATGTTGTCGCTAGCTCGGACAACGCCTTTGGAGAGCCATCAACGTTCACCGATCCCTTGGCGAACGACACTGCCTGCAGCCGCGACTTGCCTTATCTGCAACAGCTCGGCGTGAACACCGTTCGAGTGTACAGCGTCAACTCGTCTCTGAATCATGATAGCTGCATGCATGCGCTGAGCGGTGCCAACATTTACGTGATGTGAGTTTGCAGTCGCTGCTTCGTCAATAGCATGCTGATCCGTTCGGTGTAGTATCGACCTGTCCCTTCCCCTTAACGGCTCATTCGATCGTAATGCTCCTGCTTGGACAACCAGTCTGCTTGATCAATATATCACGACCATTGATGCTTTCTCCGGTTACGATAACGTCTTGGCCTATAATGTTGGAAACGAAGTGGTCATTGCGGCCAACGGGACGGGAACGGCAGCCTTCATCAAGGCAGCTGCTCGAGACGTCAAGGCTTACCTGTATGTTTTGGGTGCAGAGCCTACTCCGCCTAGCTGCTGACGCTCCTGTAGCGCGTCCAAATCGTATAACGCCTTAGTTGGTTACGCCGCCATTGACGGTACCCCCACTTGGCGTGATCCTCTAGCCAACTATCTGTCTTGTGACCCTTCCAGCAGTAACTCTGGTTCCACTGCTTTGGACCTTTATGGCTTGAACAACTAGTTAGTGGGTTGTCGCATCGAAGTTGCACATACTGACGTTCTCTCCAGCGAATGGTGTGGAGACTCGACGTACCAGGCATCCTACGCGGGTACCAATGGTGATTATGCTGGCTACAACATCCCGGCCTACTTCAGCGAGTTCGGTTGTGTCACCAGCGGAGAGTCTCGCACGTTCCAGGAGGTTTCGGCTATCTACAGCAGCCCCATGACCGATGTCTGGTCCGGAGGACTTGCGTTCTCCTACTTCCCTGCTTCGAGTTCAGCCGGTCAGTTCGGTCTCGTCACCATCGACGGCAACTCGGTTACCCCGAGCACGGATTTCAACAATCTGAAGACGCAGTACGGCTCCGTGTCTCCGCCGAACTCGCCAAGCTCCAGCAGTGCCGGGTCGACCCAGTACCCCTCGTGCCCCGGCCAGAACGACACTTTCTTGGCCTCCACGACTCTCCCGCCGACCCCCAGCGATGCAGAGTGTGGCTGCATGGCCGGCGCGCTCAGCTGCCGGTTCACGCCGCCGTCGTCCAATGATACTGCTACCGTTGGAGCTCTGCTCAACTACGGCTGCTCTCTCTTGGGCCAAGCAGGCCTCAGCTGCAACGACATCGCCGCGAACGGGTCCACTGGTACTTACGGCCGTGCTTCGTTCTGTGATCCTGGTTAGTGATTTCACTACCGACTTGTATTACCCTCGGACTGAGCTTCGTCTTCTCTAGAAACCAAGCTCTCCTATGTGATGAGCCAGTACTACGAGTCTCAGAACAAGAACCAGCAGGCTTGCAGCTTTGGCGGCAACGGCACCGTGCACTCCACTTCGGCCTCGGCCTCCGCTGTCGCCAGCTCGTGTATCGCCAACCCCTCCGCAACGTTCACGCCCAGCGCCCCAGCCTCTGCAACTGGAGGCTCGAGCACTGGGGGTAGTGGATCCTCGGGATCCAACCACAGTGGTGCCCTCTCAGGGTTCAGCTTGGACTCGCGCGCTATCTTTGGAGTGGGTTTGATGATTGTTGTCAGCGCCTTTGGAGGCATTGCTACCTTGGCTTGAGCAAAATGTATCTCGTGATTGTTGATCTCCTATAGGAGCTATGGACCTACGTTTAATATTCGTATTACTCGCATACCAGCGTATTGGACTTCCGAAGGATTTGACTAGTCTCAGACGATGGACGATGTGGCTTGTATATCTCTACACTATTGTGCTCTATCTAGGTTCTCGTGTACAGCACGTTATTATTCAGGTAGCCCCGTTGCTTGTCTCCACAGTCAGATGTTGCATTGAGGGTGGCTGTGCACGGGAATACGATCGGAGTTTGAAAGGCGTGTTTTGCCCTGTCTGAGGTGCCGTGTCGTCTTCAACCTCCGACTTCGTCGTAAAAATTGGCAACAATGGCCGCATCCCCTGCTGCAGCTGGCGCAGAGCCTATGGACCAAGATAAGTGGGCTCCTTCAGATCAGGACGCTATGGGTCCTGCGGGTGACGGTGCTGGTAACGGTGCTCCTCCGCCTTCGGATGACCGGATGGCCCAGGATACCGAGAATCCTGACTACAGTCGCAGCGCTAACGGCGGTGAAGCGGCTGCTCCTGATCCCCCTGGAAGTGCGAATGGGAAGTCTGGCTCTGAGCGCCGCGAAAAACAAGTAAAGGTGCTTAGCTTTCTTTTGTGTCTTCCTTGGCTCGGGCTGTGTCGGTGCGCTGGTTCCTGTCGCTTGTCATTGGGTTTGCTGTTTTCTTGGACTCCTCGGTCCCAGAGTCTGGTCTTTCACCTGTGCTTTTGCCCGAGCCGTTGGTCTTCCTGTCTGGACTGCTTGTTCACTTCCTGCTCTGCAGCCGAATAAGGTCTACATTGGCGGCTTGCCTGAACATACGCGCCGGGAAGACCTTCAAAGTTGCTTTGGAAAGATTGGCAATATAGTCAACATCGAACTGAAGTAAGTTCCATCTCCTTGGGTGTATTACAGTGTAGTGACTAATTATTTTCCTGCCATCAGAATTGGCTATGGTTTTGTCGTATGTTTTGAGCTTGCTTGCTGATGAGAGTGGCGCTGATACATGGGTATCGCAGGAATTCGACAGTAAAGAAGCTGCGGAGGAGAGCGTTGCTAAGTACAACGAGGGTTATTTCATGGGAAATAAAATCCGTGTCGAGCTCTCCCATGGTGGAGGTAGGACCCAAAAATACTCTAGTGACCCTGGCGCTTGCTTCAAATGCGGCCAATTGGGTCATTGGGCAAGGCAAGCTCCGTCTCATAGGTTCAAGGTCTGTTTCTGACTACTATCACGTTATAGGGAATGTCCCAACCATCCCCTCTCAGGGTGCGTGCTCTCCGAGATCGCTATGAAATTAACCTTACATTTTCACAGTGGTGGTGGACGCCGTGACTCATCCCTCATAGACCGCATTCAGCCACCCCGTGATTATCTTCCACCTCCCCCAAGGGACTACCCGCCCTACAGGGATGATTATGGGAGGTACCCGCCTCCTCCTCGGGATCCTCGCTACTACGATTATCCCCCTCTGCCTCCTCCGGGACGTGAGTATAGAAGACCGCCTACGCCGCCCAGAGACTACCGTGATTACCCTGGTGCACCCCCTCCGCGCTCCTCTCGTGACCCTGAGGATTTCAGAGGCAGGCCGCCTCCTCCTCCTCCTTCGTCTCGCTACGAGTCTAGACCTGGCTATTATCCTCCGGATGATCTGCCCCCGCCAGGGTATCCCCCTCGTGGATATCCCCCGCCTCCGCCCCCTCGAGACTACTATGATAGATATGAGCGGAGGCCACCCCCTCCTGGGGAGAGGTATGGATCTTACCCTCCTCCTAGCGCTAGCGCCAGGCCAAGGACCCCGCCTGGTGCTCCCCTTCCCCCTCCCCGCGCTCGCGACGACTACGAGAGGCCTCCGCCAGCACGGTTTGTACACAGGCTTATGTCACTGTACGCTGAGCTAAATTCTGTTTTAGTGACTATCCTCCACCGCCTTCGGAAGGTCGCGCCCGCCCAGTAAGTCCGCCGCCTTCGCGTTATGCGGACTATCCTCCTCGGGCAGGTAGCACTGAAGCACCACCTGCGCGGTACCGGTCAGTGCCGCTCATTGTGCCTCCTACCTGCTTTTGACTCACCATCCCGTTATAACTCAAAGCAGTCGTCGTTCTCAGAGTCCTCCTCCTCGTGGTTCTTCCAGTGCTGCAGGCTATGACTCTGGTTACCCACCTAGTTCTCGTGCTCGGGACTTGGGTTATGCTGGCGGTGGCGGACCTCCATCTCCCCCAAGGAGCAGTAGCGCTCGCGACTATCCTCGCAGTTCTCGAGATGTTCCTGAACCGTCTGGCGGTTACAGCAGGAGGCCCTAAATTGCTATCTCTAAAAATCGACTGTGCTTTGCATGGCGGCTCTGGCTCCGCGGCTCTTCGCCCTATGTCTTCCACTATATGGCCTTGACTTCCTGTCTGATTTCATGTCGGATATCTTAGTAGCTTCTACTTCTGTTCTGTAAGACCCAATATCCGCTTTATGTGCAGTCTTGTGCTTGGTTCTATCTTCGTCTTGCTTTCGGCCGGCCTTGCCTCGCAGCCTATCCAAACTCACTCCAGCCGCGGCTACTATCTGTTCGGCGTCAGTCCCTTGCATTCAAACAACTCGGTGCTGTCCGTCCGTTGGCATTGCACATCCATTTCAAACAGTGGATCTCTCAACGAGGCGAAGGCTACTGTTGTGGTGCCCTTGCTCCTACAATCTCCATAGCCTACGATGTCTATAGTGGGCGCATGTTCTCGGAACGGTGTAATCACTGTGATGGCCTGCGCGGGAAGGAAAATGATCCACTTATCTCCTGTTTATATCAGAATGTATAGAGCTACGATTGCTATGGTTATTGTCAGACAATGAATGCTTTTCTGCTAGCAATTATCGACGTTACTACTTAGTCTGGTGCCTGGTCGACACAGCACGTTGCCCGAAGTTGTGGCAAAATTAGATCGGGCGCTTCTGAGATCTACGGTAATTGCTCTTGAAAACACGTGGCTTTCCCAACTTACCGTCATACAATCACCATCGACCGGACATGTCCACTTCATCCGATCCCGCTGGGACAAGTCGTCCCTCGACATCAGAGGGCCAACAGCCAGGACCTATACCATTATTTGATCACCACCTCAGGGTGCTAACCGACTCTTACCTCCAGTTCTTTCAAGAAAGGTATGTTGCTGCGGTTCAAATCAGTCTGCGAGGCTTGACGTCGATTGTGGCGCCACAGGAAACGGATTGAAGAGGTATAGTGAGTGCATAAACTGTCAATCAGCTTGCAGACCCTCAGACATTCTGCTAGCTGTGATTCACTATTGAAGTTGCACAAGAAGGCGAAGACCATCGATACATACCTAGATGGACGGGGGGAGTCGAGTACAGCACGGAGTGCTTGGTCAGAAGTTAGGGACAATGTGGAGAGGGGTGAGGCTTTCCTCGATTCTTCACTACGCAATATCTTACACCCGCTATAGAGGCCCAGACACGACAGGCTTTCCTCACTACTTTGACCGTAGATGTGCTGAATCCGCTTTCGGCCCTGAAGGTCTGCCTAGCATTCCTCCATCACAATTGAAACTTGCATAACACTGTGATGCAGGAGACCCAGGATCGGACTAGGAAGCGTATCAAGGAGGATATCAAGGATTCAACTAATGCCCACACTGACTATGCGGAGAATACCGTTCCCAAGCTAAAGCGAACCTATCTGAGGAAGTGTCAGGAAGTCGAAGTGCGTCAATACTTGTTCACAAACGAATTTTCCTTACGTCCTACCTAGGACCTGAAACTAGCTGCAGCTGCCCCTTCCCAGCCCCTCACGTCTCAGTCAGACAGTTCAACCATCAAGTCTCCCACAAGTCCCAAACCTACTGTTACCTCTCCGCATCCATTAAGACCTCTGGACCGGAGGCCGTCTGGGGGTGCTCCCGGAGGGCCTCGGAATCGCTCTCCCTCGGGTTCTACTGCCTTGCAAGATCTCGCCCATCAAGGTCCGTGTATAGCTAGGCAATCCTCCGCCCGTATCTTTCGCTGAATTGATCATCCTCAGGGAAGAAACAGTTGAACCAGCTCATGACCTTCCTGGAGAAAAGAGATACGGTTAAGGACGGGCTTGGGGGCCGCTCCTCGGATGCTTCACTGAGGATAGTCCGCGCTAAACGAGAAGCTGACGAGGCAGGTCCGGACCATTCTATTCGATGTACGATTCCAGTTTCTTAATCCATGACTACAGACAAAGAGTATCGCAAAGCCGTGCATTGGCTCGAAACCCTCCGAATACGACGAATGAAGATACTGGAAGCTGGATATAAGGTGGTTTTGCTATTCTAGTCCTTTCTCGTTCCCCATCTGACCTGACGCAGAGCTTGGAAATGTTCCTCCACGAGTCGGCGGATACCTTGAAGAAGGTCTTATGCCGATACACTGACAATATGATGTACGCACTCCTTTGTATTCCAGCGGGAGCGCTCGTCTCATTTTTTTTTCTTAGTGCAACTACTATGACACAAACACAGTTATCCTCTCATGCACGCTCCCTGGTAGACAAGATCTCGCCTGAAATGGACGTGTCGGTAGTGTCGTCGAAGATATCGCGGTCTCTGGCGTCGGCAACCCCACCGCCAGTCCGATACTATAATTACGAAGTCGGCGAGTGCAACGACCTCATATTCGGTGTCAGTCTTGTAGATTATGCGACTGCGAGAGGTTTGGGTGAAGGGGAGATACCTAAGATAGTGAAGATGTGCATAGAAGAAGTGGATAAGCGCGGACTGGAGGTCGAGGGGATATACCGAGTGCGGCGATTCCATAACGTTGCTGATGTTGGCGCTGACCTCGCTTCAGGTGTCAGGACGTCATGCTGTTGTACAAGCGGTAAGATTGACATCTACCGCAAACGGGCTACTTCTGACGAATTTTCGAAATTGCAGCTTCAGCACAAACTGGAGCGGAATGAACAAACATTCAAGTTTAATCCTAATGTTGATGATGTATACGTTGTATCGTCTCTACTCAAGGTATACTTCTCTATCATTCATGTGTGTATTCGCGCCTGACTGTCTCGCCTACAGCTGTATCTGCGAGAACTCCCGGAGCCTGTCTTCCGTTTCCCATTGACCGAACGAATCCAGCATTCGGAAGACCTTCGTAAGCCTCTCGTACATATCACACTCGAGTGATACTGAAAACGTCCTTAGACGAGCACAAGTCGAATAACTTTGCACTGCTACGGTCCAAGATGAGACGTCTCCCCGCCGTACATCAGGCAACGCTGAGGGCGATTGTGGAGCACCTATCGCGGGTTGCATCCTTCAGCGAGAAGAACAAGATGGATGCCAAGAATCTGGCTATAGTGTTCGGTGGTGTCATATTCGGGGAAGATGACATGCCAAAAGGAGGGGATTTGTTGAACATGCAAAATTTCAGGGTTTGTTCCATTTCTTCAAATAGCATCGAAACTAGTGACTCACAATTCTCAGGATTCACTCATGGAGGATCTGATTCTCAATGCCCCAGTATTGTTCGATGATCGCCCTAGCAATGGAGAAACTCCCCTGCCCGCCGCACCTGCGGGAGAAGCTCCGGTCCAGTTCCCCCTAGGCTCATCGCATACCAAAGTCGCTAGTGTGCCGAATGTCCCCGTCCCACCAACGTCCTCCCTTCGACCCCCCGACGACTTCATCCCGGCTCTCCCTGCGCGACCCGCTAATAGCATCCACCCGTCTTCACGGGCCAACCATATATCGAACCACAGGCAGGATGGGGACTCGAAACAAGCCGGACGACCTAAGTACCAGGCAGCGGAGGCGCCCGAGGCTTGGAGAGCACCCGAGGAGATTCTCGACGACGAATTTGAATCTCGAGGTCGAAAGCGCTCCATCGCGCGGAAGCGCACCTCGGCCCCTCCTTCCATGCGAAGGCCTTCCAAGCCAGAGCAATGAACTCACGATACCGCTCATTGGACTCGGGATTTTTGTTGTGTTTGTTTTTTTTGTTGCGTTTGGCATCATATTGCTAGGGTATTTGAGTTGGTTGTCTTGATTGACTAATAATCTCTATAGGTAAGATATTTACGTAGATGTAGCGTGTTGTACTATTAGGCTGTAATCCGACGATGTAGGCAGGACTAGGAATCGTACCAACAAATGGTATAATTAGTAGATCATGATCAGTAGGGGAGGAAAGTGCTGCAACGATGACAGATGTGCGCAGACGTGCAGATGATGCTATGTGCTTGTACAGGTAAAGTAGGCAGCGACAGCTTCCTCATTATCCATTTCGTCAAACAAGTCATCGGAATCATAGGCACGCTCGTCTTTCGCCATACTTCGGTACCACTCCAGAACCCTCGAGTGCGCAACAACCCTAGAGACAAATTATGAGGACCTGCTCCCAACGAGACGAATATTACGACGTACTTCGCCGGATGGAAGTTAAGTACTTGAAGGGTATCCATCTTCGTCGCGCGCGACAGGGCGACGTATGCTATGGGCAAATTCCTCAGTCAGTCACACCAAGTACACCTAAGCGCTACTGACCCTGTCCCTTTTCGAATGTCCGGGCGAGGTCTACCCGCACGCGCTCCAGTGTCTGGCCCTGTGATTTGTGGATACTCAAGGCCCAAGCACATATGAGAGGAACCTGCAAGAATCACTCGCATCAAGGACAATTAGGCCACCGTTTCTTCCACTGACCTGCTCCCTTTTGGCCTGTACTTCTCCTGAAGCATTGTTCACGGTGAATTCAGCAGGAACCATGAGCATTCTCCTCCGGTTTGTGAACTGAACTACCGGCCACAGCCTGTCAATGCCCATCGCACGGATTCTATCCGGAATGCGAGGCTTCAGCTCTTCTTTCTTGGTTTTGTCGTTATTCTCTAGGACTTCGGCATCTGAGATCTCTAGACTCTTCGCCAAAGCTTCGTGAGACGTAGCGAAGTCGACCACTTTGCCCAGGGAGCCGTTGACAAGTTCGCCCTGTACAAGGTTCTGACGTACGGTAGATCATATTAGGAAACATGTAGTTGAGCGATGCGACTTGCCTTGATGAGCATCACTTGAGCGCCGACCTGTCCTACAAATGAGTTGGTGTATAGTTAAGTTGATTCTTGACCTACCTTCAGCATGACATCCTTCTGAGCGACTAGCCTCTGCAGGAGTTTGTCCATCTGTACTTCATCTATCAGTTTGCGGTCATCGTCATAGCCCGGTGTGTCCATTGCGCGATACGTATGAGTCATGCCGGGAAGCGCAGCCAAGCGGCTCCTATTGGCGTTGTCCACCTCGCGACGTGTAGGGTACCTATAAAATAACACTATCCCTCAGAATCCAACTTAGCTATTCAGAAGAGAATGTATCGCACAGCTCGGTAGGCTCGATTCCATCCGTATATGTCACATTGCGTCTCAAGCTGCGGAACTCATTGGTGATCTGATCGTTCAACCGTCCGAAACGCAGTGCATTGAGCATATCGACGAAGTCTTATGCGTGAACGCGAGGTGAGCAAATTGACGGACACGAGGCACGTTTAGATTGCTACGCACGCTGGTCCTGCTGTCGGAAGACCTTCGTCAGGATTACGGGTGGACCGACGCATTCCTTCCATGTTTGCGCCTCGAATGCAAATAGGGATGGAAGCGGGACGTTATGTTTGCCCCGGCCAGGCACGGGTGGTAGCTGACAGAAGTCGCCGGAGATCACTAACTAGCATGATGCGTCAACATATCTTCGTCATCAAGCGAGAGACGGTCTACCTGGATGCCCCCGAATGGTTTGTCCTTGTGCTCCCGTCTTACTTTACGAGCAATATATTCCTTTCGTATTTATGTTCAGTGACTCGACCGTCAGTTTGGAACGACGGCAAGGGGGCAAGGATGGCGTACTAGTTTATCAAACAGCGTGGCGTCGATCATTGATACTATCGTCATAAGGGTGTCAAACCACATATTGAATCAAAACAGTAGCATAACCTACTCTCATCTATGATGAGTGTTTGGACTTCCCACCACTTGTCTCTGACAGGTTCTAAGTTTTTGTTGCCTAATATTTTGCCAGCGAGCTTCTCTGCAGGCTCTTCGCCTAACCCGATGCCAGCCCAGGAATGCACGGTCGTGCCACCGATGTTCACAGAAGCAATCCCCGTTGACGCCGTGATAGCAAGTTGATGCCTTATTAGCCCACGTCTCCGACAACTTCGTATTATCTCTCTTAGGAGCACGGACTTCCCAGTTCCTGGGGGAAACTGAGCCCGGTGGATTATATGACTTGTGACGGCTTACCAGCAGATCCTGTAAAGAAGACGCTTTTGCCCTCTTCCACCATGCGGAGCACTGTTTCTTGCTCAGGAGATAGTTTAATGTCAGGTGGCCTTTGCTGTGGACCAACGGGATTCGAAGCAATCGCATGATGCTTCTCTTCCACTTTTGGTGGCAGCAGCGCTGGTCGCTGGTCCTCCGCTTTGACTCGCCCATTGTCATGAGGAGCGAAAGCTTGGGCTGTGCCTGGACATTCACCGACTAGGGTCAGGTCGTCCGGTGCCATATACAACCTAGGATACGGTGATGCTGGCGGGATAATTCCTCCGCGAATGGAGCTGGTGACTGAACATACCTCTTGCAGGCTCATTGAGCCACGCCTCCGCCTGCGTTCTCGAGCTGAAGCTCTTGTGAATTGCCCCAGGCACATGATCAGTCTATCACAACACTTATTGGTGACCCGATCGTTCTCCTGATATGACATACTCACGTTTCGTTTGCACTATTCAATACGTTCGTTAGTCTCTTCCTCGTCACGATCAAGAGCCCAAAAGCTCACCTCTTCCCATGAACCATAGATCTTTGGCCCTTCTCGTCCCACTTTCACCGCATAATATTTCACTTTCGGCATGGTAAGGAGGCTGGAACACGGGATATAGTTAGGATTCCTCCACGAGCGCGCGTCGAACCCACGACGCGGTTCCGACGCGCCTTGTTGACGCGACCAAATATATCGGCCAAAATAGGCAGTTCTGAGAAGCAGTGGTGGCTGTGTAACTGCGGAACTGGGGCCGGCAATCTTAGATCCTCAGCCACACTGGGCGGGGGTGTTGTACAACATGTTATTCAAGTCTCTCAACAAGAAGGGGGAATCTTCAAATGCCTATCATACATAAAGGATTCAGATTGCTTTCAGCCTCTAAAACTGACTTTTCCCTGCACAGAGGAGCTACGGCCGTGTGAATGCCACTGCGAGGGAACGTCGCGGATTCGGGCATCACCACACATACACCGTCATCTATGCCTTCTTGACGCATTTGCCTGTGAGGGAAAAAATAAGCGTTACAGGACCAGCTGCGACACGTTGTGCACCAGAGCATACAGGGAAAAAGTCCTTCCTTTGAGTTGACCTGGCCTTTCCATAAGTCACCGTCACCGGTCTCTGTGACAAATACTTCATCGCCCAACTCAAGGTTGATGTGGCCATCAGTCTGTTGAGTTAAACGAAAGCGAGATGTTAGACATCTTGAGCGTGTACAAGAGACAACGTACATTAGTCCTGTATGATTGAACGACATTATACATATCCGGACCCTTCGAATTCTTTCTCGAACTCGGAGGTGAAATGGGCTTAGATGGTGGTGCCATGTCGAGAGGAGATGGGTAAGATTGCGGAGGGCGATGGTGTGTTGATGAAGTACGAGCGAATATATACGCGCCCACATGTCCTGCCTATCACTCTCATAGGCGGAGCGAGGGGGTTATCATCGGTACTTGCGCGGTTGCTTATGGAGTGCGACATCAGCAAGCGAGACAATGGGTTATATTCAGCCTTTGTGAGGCAATCTTGTTCCCATGACGGAGACGGGGATCTCTCTCGCGACGCGATTCGTAAGGAGTCGAGAGTCACCAGGCGAGAGGAGGCCCGATTAGGCCTACGCCAGAAGCATCCCTTTACCCGTCGGTCGTTCCTGCGATATGAGACCGACTTGCTCACAATGCGAGCTTTTTAGGCGCCCGGCATTGCATGTCCGGTAACCCAACAAGACGGCGCAGAAGCAGCGCCTACCCACAGTAGGCGCGCTGCATATAACTCAGCGATTGTCCGCGAATCCGATGGCGACTTTCCTATGCATGCCGCCAAAATTGGTTCGACGAGCGCTAAGGCGCGAACTTGATAACATCACATGAGTTGCTTGGTTGAAAAAGTTTTGAGACGACTTCCGCGAGATGCGTCCTGGCTGTCACTGCAGGCCCCAGTAACATTCGATACGGACGAACCTGCCTGACAATTGAGATCATCTGCTGAGACGAGAGCTTATGTCGACTTGAGCTAGTACGATAGCAATCACGTGCACCTGGGCAGGTAAGTAAAGGACTGTTTCTGAACCAAGGTACTCACGGGTATTGGTCCTTGCAATGAAAGCGTTGAAACAAGCGCTCGGTCCATAGGCGCTCCGAGTGCATGGGTAAAGCCAGAGATAGGACAGCAGTTGGACGATGCACGACCAAACCGGATGAACGACGATCAGGAGAGTGGAAGTACGTGTATGTCTTCACGTAATACAAGGGTTTTCTGTATGGTGCCTTATCGGTCTCGCAAAGTCGGAACCTTTCCAGACGTGCGGGACGGCAGGCCAGCATCCAAGTTTATAGGGTTGATACGGAAGTCAATCCAGGACGAAGCGATCCTTCCGGCCGGTCGTTCGGTGGAGCCATGAAAGTGCCCAGACCTAGTCGCCCCCATGATGCATGAGTAACGATGCTGTCGTCACCTACAGAACGCCACTTCCAATGTCCATGTTTGTCTCATCGGTCCGCATACCATGGATGGTCTCTATTATGTCCGAGCGGGCCAGGTAAAGATACAACGTAGAGACAAAGCATATACAACCATTAGATGCGATATTTCTTCTCCATCTCGGCATGGATACTCTGCGGCGTCCGCATCTCCACTCCTGCATGAACAGACGTCAGTCCAGCTCGAAACTGTCGGCGTTGCAACTCGCTAGACGCACCACCAAAGAAGTCCCCTACGTCCAGGGTCTCGTCGCGTCCCATGAGAATGTCGAGATGCAAGTTTGACTGGGGCATCGTAGGCATCTGAGCCATCTGTCCGTCGTGAATGCCATCAGTCGGATCCACTCAGCCAGACTAGGGAGGCGCAACGTACGGATGAGACTATCTTCCTCTCCATCAGCAGTCTGACCGGTGCATGCAGCCCATCGATATTCCGCTGCATGGTCAGTTTGAGGTTGTCTTGCGTCTGCTCCCACTACCCGCCGAAAAGAGTTGAGCTCAGAAGGCAAATGGATACATTGACGATTATCACGTACGTTCTCCAGACGGTGACGGATGGGACTGACGGTCTTCACCTCCGTCGCAATACTCCTGGGGCCATATTGCAGAGTGTCGTGGAGCCCGAGACTGTTCGAGGTGTCCTTCACGGAGGCTGCTTTCGGGTTGGAGGACGGCGTGAGGCGCAGAGAAGGTTCCTAAGCCGGCAGTGTAAGTATCAGTTAGAAACGTTCAAAGTCAACATACCATGGCGAATGTGTACTGTGTAGACTGAAAGGTAGCAAGCCCGCTGCGTGGTGGATGTATACGCGTCTGTGCTTGAGTACGCGTACATTAGCACCGCATCCGTCACGCGCGTCGGAGAACGCCGACACTTGAGACCAAGGAGGATGAGTGCAGTCTCGTGCTTCGCACCGGCACCTTCTGGGCAAGGCGTTCTTTCTCTCAGCTGTTCGTGTGCCCCGCACCTTTGTCGACGTAGCGCCGACTGACGTGGACGAGCCTCCTTGGGCGCAATTGCGGACGGCCTCGGAGAGTGTCGATCGACGATCAAGAGCGCAGCAACGCGGGGAGCGTGCTCTAACCAGGACAGCTCACGCGGGAAGTAGACTGGGTTAACGTGGTGTTAGAGTTTGCTTGATATACTATACCCTTGCATAGGTGAGCAAATGAGATGCGTCTGCAATCTCTGAAATGAAGCTGATGCAGGATCCCTGGCTAGCTACTACCAACTTGCCATGTCGAGTCACGGCCGCTCCAACCGGTCTGCCAGCATACCCATACCACGAAGCATCGAGGCTGCGCTACCCCTGACGTTTGGCATCAGCCCGGGCTCTCTCCCTCGATCTCGTCCGGGTAGTTCTGTGGGAGGCATCGGCGTACGGGGTCATGTCACTCTTGCTGGTACCAGCCCTTCATCTTCAAGACATACCCCCGCCCGGTCATTTACAACGCCACATCCATTAGGCACCTCTCAGAGCCCTGTCGAGCCCCGAAGGATTCGTGCTAACGGCGGCGTCGGTCCATCTCGCAGCGTCGGAGATAACGACGGGTCTCCGCACGTCCCCCCTTTACTAAGCAGGAGACGCAGTGTTGCCAGCAACAGTACTGGAGTACCGAGTATTGGAGCGGCGGGGCCATTGTTCTACCGCGCGCCTTCGTCAAGCCATCATGCCCCCCGTCCCCCATCTCCTCAGCCCCTCCCCGCGGCATTTGCGCCCCCTGCGTACCTTGCTCATTCGGCGCTCCGACATCTCCTGCAAACTGAAGCGGCACCGACGCTTCCACCTAGCCGGTATGCAAACCCCGATGCTTCATCCACCGCACCGAGCGTCGTGTGGCCCCATATCAAGCACAGAGAAGTCACGCCTGGGACGGACAGCGAGGATGAGAGCCCTCCGCCCAGAGACCTCAGCCTCCCTCCCTCAGTGCTCATCTCCAGCAGCCCCATCTTGAGGCTTCCCACTAGATGGAGCGATCAAGATCGTTATCCGTCCTTGAGCGTCTCTAGTGATGGGAGTCATTTGAGTTTCACCGGTGAGTGCTTTTCGCGTCATCTGATGCCGAGTGCGGCTATATCGCTTGAGCGTGGCAGGACTGTGTTCTTATATACTACATGTATGACCAGGGCCCGCACTCGGTAACGACAAGGACGCCGCGGCTGCCAGGACGAATCACCCGATCCCGCCTGCTTGCGGGATCTACTACTACGAGGTGCAGATACTCAGCAAAGGTACTAGAGGGTGCGTTTTGGCCATCATGCAATGGTACATGGTCAAGTCTGACACTCGGATCTGTGTCGCAGAGGTATCACTATCGGGTAAGTGATGGTTCGCCCTTTAAACTACTTGACCTTAACCGTTCCGAAGTCTGGCTGCCGGCCAAGTTCGGTTATCCCGTATTCCGGGGTATGAAGCTCATTCGTGGGGATACCGCGGGGAAGATGGCCTAGTCTTTGCTTCCGACAAGAATGGGACTCCATATGGTCCGAGGTTCGAGGGTTTGTGCTGTTTCTCTGTCACCTGTACTTGCCAAACTTGGTTCTCATTACCTTTCTCTGTCTTTAGATCATGATGTCATTGGATGTGGTATTGATTTCACCTCGCATCGTGCATTCTTCACCAGGAATGGACGATTTTTAGGTTCGTGAGAGGTCGTTGATGTTTGACCGAGGGTTGATGCTGATAGTTCTACTCTCGTTATCGCACAGGAAATGTCTTCGAGGACGTCGGGAAGGAGTGCGACGTCTATCCTTGTGTCTCTTTACGCCAGCAGGGAGAAGCGATCAGCGTAAATTTCGGACATCGTAACTTTGCCTTTGACATCAACGATTACGTCCAGCAGCAGAGGAATCTGGTTTGGGCCAACATTCAAAGTACTCCTATCAAACGCGACCTTCTTGGCAGATTCGACCATTCCGATCACTCTCAACCTGCCGCCACTGCACGCACAGAAGACGGCGAGTCCGAGTCTTGGGAGTCGTCGGACCTAGAAGAAGTCGAGAGGGTGCGCGCCCCGTTGGGCAGGCTGGTCCTGGAGTACCTAGAGCATCACGGCTATGCTAAGACTGCACAAGCCTTCCGGACCCAGTTCGATCATCTCAATCGTGCCGCCCTGCTAGAAGGCGGTAGGGACAAGGGGGTGACCCCGGTTCCAGTGCCAGTGCCTTCGAGTAGCCGGACTCTGGACGAAGACCTGGTCATGGACGACCTGACTCAACCCGATTCATACAAGACTGCGTCTTCCTTTTCTAATGGGGACTCCGTGGATGGTCTAGATGCACGGCTCCATATAGTGAATGCTGTGACGGCTGGAGACATCGACACCGCTATTGACAAGACCGCGAAGCAGTTTCCAAAGGTCCTAGAGGAGAACGAGGGCTTAATGCTGGTAAAGCTGAAATGCCGGAAGTTCGTAGAGCTGGTATTGCAAGCCAGCGATGCCATGAAGCGAATGAAGGAGGAGCAGAGACTCAAAGACGACAGCAGAGAGAGGGACGACGACCCGATGGGGGTAAGCGCGATGGATATTGACGACTCTGACGCCCTACCCATGCCTGCTCCTGGCACGAATGGATTTCCCCCGCGTGGCGTACGGGACGGCAGTGCCACCAACGGTAGCACCGACTATCCAACGTCATCGTCAAGTACTCCTGCTCTGAGCTACGCAACATCTGAATACCACGCCGCTCTGTCGGCCGCCCTGAGTTACGGACAGAAGCTGCGTTCGGACTACAAATCTGATAGTCGGGCTGAAGTACAAGCCCTCTTCAAGCGTACGTTTGGAATCGTTGCGTACGAAGACCCTGCAAGTGCTGGAGCCGAGATTGCTGAGATTGTAGGGCCGGAGGCCAAAGCTGCCCTTGCAAACGAACTGAACATTGCGATCCTGAGTGAGTGCGGTCTTCATTTATCTTTGTACTACTGGGTAACGCCGCGTCCCAGAATCACAAGGCAGGCCGTCACACCCTGCGCTGGAGCAACTGTACCGTCAGGCTGCTGCATGCGTCGAACAGCTTGGTTTATTCGGTGTAGGCGCAGCAGCATTCGCTGACATGTCCAAGGAGTTCCTGGACGAGTAGTCGTGATTCTTTATCTGGGCACTTACGGACTTCCGCATGTATAAACATCTATGTCAAAGCTGGTGTATTTTGTAGGGTGGCAACAACACCGAGTGTAGGAATACTGTGGCATAATTGATGCTTCCGATCTATTTCCAGCAACGTATCCAACAAGATCTATTCCGAAGCCTGCAGCTAATACAAAACACGGTAGACGACAATAGACAAGATAAATAAGTTAGCGTAGGATACTCCAGTTAGCGACGGCGAGACACGGTTAGTTGTCGAAATAAGCAGATCCTCAAATCCAAGAAGAACAGCCCATGAGCATCAGGCATATTAGGAGAGGCCAAAGAATTTCTTGATGAGTGCTGGATCATTAGATATATCCCGAGACACAGGCCGGGTCGGTGCCTGGAGGTCATCCGAAAGACCCATGTCCAACGGGGCCTCACCGATACGGATCCTCTGAAGCTGACAATCCGAGCTTCAGTTCGCAGAGCACAGTGGACAGGGGATGAAGAGCACCTACATTCTCATCCATGAGACACTCCTGCATCAGCAAGTCTCTAATATGAGCTCTCTCCGGAAAGTTGTATTCATCAACGCATTGTACTTGGCGTTGTCTGATACCACGAATGAACCGGCCCATGAGGTTGAACTTGCCCCAGTGGATCTGCGTGGGATCATTCCCATTCACATCGGCGTTGCCTTCGTGCGTCCTGATGAGGTCCGAGAGGTGCACAGCGCTGATAAGGAGAATGGTTAGGAGACTACGAAGGAGGAGGATAGAGCACTAACAGGGAGGGTATACATGCACCTCTGGTGTTTTTGAGAGCCATCCTATACGCTTGATGTCCTCGGCTTTGTTGAAATAACCGATCATATGATTGTAGAATCTTATAATGTGAAGTAGACTTCTTCAGCAGGTCCATGGTCTGGTCGTCCAGTGCGCACTTGTTGATCCCAGCAACAATGGAACGAAGCGCTGAATAATTTTGTAGGCGACGCAAGCATGTTGCAATCTCAAGGAACCTTTCAATCTGTCGCGACCGTGCGCGTGCTTTGTCGTGACACAAGATGAGTGAGACGACCCTATCATTCGGGGGTAAGCAATTAACGATGGAAGATGAAGGACACCTTTGGTATACGAACCATTGCGCTAGATGTTCAGAAACCTTATTGAATCGAGCAATAGGATCAGTTTCCGGATCCTTTCTGCCAGAAACGAAGACATGCTGCAGCCAATGGCGGGGCTGAAAATTTTTCAGTGAAGGCTGTTCGGAGAGGTACCTCGCGGAACCCACCTCAATCTGCAGGAATAATTTGACTTCCAATCTCGTTATTTCCTGCGCGATGTCCTTGGAGTCCAGCAAACTGAGATCCTGACAGATCTTATGAAGCTCCCTGATGATGACCTTGGGAGATGGATTGAACCCATCATGGGCAAAGCTCTCGACAAGGGGAGTGTTGGGCATCACGAGCGCCTTGGCAGTCAGAGGCAAGCTAGGCCTGCGATCTCGCGTATAAGCAGCCGACTTGGGCGGTGCGGGTGGGCTATCCGGTGGCTCTTGCACAGCAGGCGATATTTCCAGGACCTCCTCGTCCGACGTGCTGTACGAGTCATCACTGTGGTCCGGCAGCTCATCCGTCTTCAGTGCCCATTGCACATCACGGTCCACCAGGTTGGGAAGGACTTCGAGGAACGGAAGGAAGTCGGCAGCATAGTGCAGAAGGTGCGATTTGGACATGACGGACTTCACTACGGCGGAGAGTGCTCCAGCACTGCCTGGAACGGCAAAATCATAGGGGTAGTCTTGTATCCAGGCGCCAAGCAAATGGCAGATTCTGTCGGAAGTCAATCCATTTAATCCGATCTCACCTTGCTGAGAGACTTACCGTAACTGAGCAAAGCATGCCAAGAGCGGATCTGAGAGCAGCTGATCCAGCTGACGCATGCGCTTTTGCATAGCGAGCAACACGCTCCTAGGATTAGCGAAACGGCGGTAGGTAAGCAGGAAGTGTGAAATAAAAGCGGGGTCTAAAGGTCGGTCAGCAAGGCTGCGAAAGAGAGATGTACGCGCGGCTCACCGTCTCCAGAGACAGCCAAAAATAATAACTTATCAAGAATTTGTTCTAAGGTTGCCCATGGACTTGGAGCACTATAATATCACTTAGGACTTATGCCATTAGGACTGCATGTTCATGCAAACTCTCACCGTTCTTGCTGCTCCGCACGCAACGAGTGAGACACAGTTCCATTATGACTGTTATGGCTATGCACGCTGTCTCTCCCGTGCCCGGACGAACCATTATCCAGCGACTCTGAGCTGACTGTCTGCGGTTCTCTGTGATTGGATGGAGACGTAGACACATCCATGCGCTGCCGCGACGTCTGTGGCGAGATGCGACCGGAGAACCCAAGCTCGTCCCCTGACCATGACCGGGGAAGGTTGCTCGAAGGGGACGAGGCAGACAACGGCGAATGGGATAGCGTCGTCGACTGTCGATGAGCCATATCTGAGGACGTGCTTTTCTCTGACTTCATCGCCACAGTAACGGGCGCTGAAGGGTAGTGAGGCTCGTCGAGCAGGATCGTGTTCTCAGCGCCTGAGGGTGTGTCCAACTGGCGTTCTGTAGGTTGTGGATCAATGATTGATGCAGCAATATTACGAAGAGTTACGAACGCTGGCTCTGCACTATCCTGTTTACGATCCACTCGAAACACCTATGCATCCGCTCTTTCCCGCTCTCATGGTTACTGGTGACCTCGACGAAACCAGCGCGGTAGTCTTGCGCGGTCGCCAGACTCTCATGAGGGTCTACCTCGGCTTCCAAGTCAGACTTACATGCGACAAGGACAGTGGGGTGTTTCAGATCCCTAAAGCCACCTAGCATGAAGCATGACCGCGACCTCAATCTCCGTACTCATCCGAGAAGCAATGAAGACGCACTAAGGAGTGTCTCCACATGTTGGTACGACTGTTGATCAGCACTGTCATAGCAGATCACGACTCCCGAGATATGAGAAGCGTGTGCAGGCCAGACTTCGCCAGTAACTTCCATCTGAAGGGCTTCCACGTCTATCTCCTTGATACCAATGGTTGAAGTGGTACCCAAAGCAATATGTGGCATGCGTGCAGCATAGAAAGTATCTGCGGCATAAGTACATGTTAAATAAGGGAGAATCAGGACAATGGGGATCTTTTCACTAACAATCCAAGTTGCCGATGGAACGGACGAGCATCGAAACTGGAGCCGGGTCCGATAGGCCATGCAACTTCAGACCTTCACGAATGAGGGTCGTCTTTCCGGAGCCCCTAGTACCGATGACAGCCACTGATATCTTCGGCGGCAAGTCGTAGACGGCGTTCATCGCATGGTAAACATCCGTATCACAGCTCAAACCCGGCATGGGACTGACAATAGCAGCAGGAGACAACCGCGACAGCGAGCCTGGTCTGACTTTGCGCTTCGCTGGTGTGCGCTGAGTAGCGTCCCAGTTCTCGCGGGAGTCTTTCCTTATTGGCTCCTTCGAGCTCGAAGCATGATTATTTTGAGTGGGAGGGACTGGTAGCGCGAGCTCGGGTATAGCGTCGTACCCTAGGTTCCGCGGAGAGATCGGAGAGTTCCTCGAAGTATCATGCTTATAGTTAGCAAAGGAGTCCACGGAGATCGCCTTGCGCACAGCAGTTGGCGAAAGGGGCGAGGCAGGCGGTGGTCGCTCCGGCGCGTGCGCTTCATCTGGGCTTGATTCAGACGAGAGGGCAGTTTGGAAGGTCTCCTGAGATGCTAGAGATGCAGAGGATGCTTGAAATGTCGAAAGCCTGTCCCTGTCCAGAGGGTAACCATTGCTGCTAGGCATGTTCGCGGCAGGAGTTTGGTATGGACGCTTGACAGATGCAGCGCCTCGGATGCGGACGTGATCGCCGAATACCAGAGCAATGGAAATGAAGAGATCGCAGAATTAGGTTGAAGCAGGTTGCAGCATTGGCGGTGGTGTCCTACAGAACGTGGGCGTCGTCGCGGCGGTAGGCCTACGTTGGGGGCCGTGCGAGAGGATGATGGCGGGAACGTAGCGCGTACTTTATTGCACTCTTCTATGTAAACACCATTTAGGGATATGTCGCGAAACGGTCTCGGTCGTGGCGAGTAACGGCAACAGCCTGTTCTGATCGTCCCATACAATTATCAGATATGCGTCCGGAAGCCAGGTCGAATGACACCGCCCTCCTCACGCCACGTTTGCGAGCCTGACGACTCCTCAGCTTGGGGAACCCAGCAGTCGACTGACACCGGTATGTGGTGCATTTTACGTTACATCCGGAATGCAGTACTAACGATATGGATAAATGTCGCTGTTTTCCTTCTTTACTGGCAGGACGAACGGTTCAAAATAGAGCAATCGGTGTCATATAAACCCTCACAGCATTCTCTTACGATTATTCCAACGATTTTGAATTCAAATTTGCACGAATGACGACCCCCGTGAAAGTGGCAGTGGTAGGCAGCGGTCTTGCAGGTCTCACCGCCGCATATCTGCTGTCGAAAGAGCTCAAAGGTCATGCAGCACGGTACGAGGTCCACATTTTCGAAAAGGTGAGGTGTCGGTCATGCTCGGGAGTGCTCCTGCTCACACCGTGCAAAGGCTTCCAGTCTGGGTATGGATGCTCATTCAGTATCTCTGTCCCCCGAAGGCGTGGGGGAGGAATGGCGTGTAGACGTACCCATGCGTTCGTTCCAAGGAGGTATGTTCTCGTTGCCTTGACGCGCCCACTTGACACGATAATTCGAGATGTTTAGGGTACTATCCGCGTCTAATGACCTTGTACAAGAATTTGGGAGTCACTTTCAGGAAGTCGGATTTCTCGTACTCCTTCTCAGTGGCAGCCCCAACAATATCAGGGTGCTATACGATCGTCTCAAGCATGATATACAATGGCGCCTCTGGTCTCCGCGGCGTCAGTATGCCCTCTGCAATGAAGGCCCAATACCAGGAGACGAAGGAAATGCTACCGCGTCTACTGATGCAACTCTTCACGTTTACTCTCTTCGCGTTGAGCACGTTGCAGCTTCTCTATAATTATGTGCGACTTGTATTATTATCGGCCCCAGTGCTCAGGAGCCGTCAAACACCTCACATGACGTTCCACGAATGGGCCCAATATAGCGCCCCCAGCGGTTCTCTGGCAAGGCTCATTGGGATGGACGCCGCATGGCTAGAGTTCCTGGGCTCCGTGGTCACGCCCCTTTTCTCGGCCGTTTGTACCGCGTCTGAGCACGATATCATGCAACATCCCGTCGAGGAATTTCTGGGTACGTAGTTGTCGATGCGCCTGAGTTATTTATGTCTAACCGTTCTTTCAGATTATATCTGGCTGACCCTCTTCACGCACCATTACGTGGTAAACAACGGAGTGCGTGATGTTGTCAAGCGGTTATCCGCACCCCTTGAAAACGTCCACGTTTCCTCGACGATAACCGGCATTCGGCCTGACTCTAGCGATCCAAGTCTTGTAACATTGGAATGGGCTGATGCGCAAGGGTCCAAGCATACATACGACGGATTCTCGCATATAATCTTCGCGACGCAGGCAAACCACGCATCCGAGCTGCTGTCCGGCTATCTCTCGAATCTCCCGCGCAATTCGACCCATTCAGAATTCGTGCGGCAGCAGGTTCAATGTCTCAAGACTTTCACTTACAAGCCAACGATTGTCATCAATCACACCGACGACTCCTTGCTCCCGGAGAATCCGAGTGATAGACGCGACCTAAACTTGATCCGTATGTCAGACGACGCGAGTCGCTCGAAACCGCTGTCTCCTTCCAGTGAACCAGGAAGCCTATGCGTTTCTCCATCCTACACCATGGCTACGCATCGTTTGCGGAAGCCCAGTAATGCGGACTCGCGGGCGTCGGCCGTGTTCCAGACGACCAACCCAATAGTCTCGCCCCGAGAGGAGAGTGTCTTGTCTATAGCGAAGATGGAGCGGGCCATCCTAACACTGGACGCAAAAAAGGCGCTGCAAGATTTGTACATAGCGGACCAGCATCCGCAGGTACCCGGAGGACAAACATCGCTCGGTTCTGGCAGACTTGGGCGCTTGCAAGGCACGCCTCGTCACGGTGAGCGAGAGGTTCCTGGTATCTGGCTATGCGGGTCCTACGCCTACCAAGGTATCCCATTGCTGGAGGGTTGCGTAGTTAGCGCAGCAAATGTGGTCGAACAAGGAATTCTCATGCGGGACTCCACATCGTCATCGATATAGATTGTATATCGTCCTTCTTGTATAATGACATTGCTAGGCACATGGTATAATACAGGCCATCGACATGGGTCCAGGCAGAACTGTACCACTCTTACGCGTACGCCCTGCTCTCCTCATGCAACGTATGCAAGATCATCCCTAGAGCTATCAGACCGAAACTCTGCGCACCGAAGCCGTCAGGGTCTCGGCGTACTGCTTCTTCAGCTATGATCCAGGCGGCATAGGCACGCCTGAGCGTTTCCTCCCTCCGCTCAAACTCTTCATCCTCATCATCGTCTGAATCGTCATAGAAATCACCTTCATCGGCGTCGTTCTCCCTTGCTGCTTGACGGTCTAGATCTCCCCTGAGCTCCCTTCGAATCACTTTCACAAGTTCGTGAGTCTGTAATACATAAATTTCAGCGACAGGTGATGGATGAGACACCTCGGAGGACTGACCTGGAAATTCATGACAGCTACAGCGTCCCTGCGCTTTTGATGATCGTTCCAGGTAGCTTGAATAGTCCCGCTGACCAGTTCCCCTTCGGATAGCCCGTTCCGTGGCGAGAGGGAGCTCGAGTTCGCGATAGTGAAGAGCTGGTCTATGTAGGCTTCCATGAGATCCTGCATCTCCCTACGCAATTCAGCGGGGGGGCTGGTGATAGCGGGCAGTGCGGCACGTATCATGGAGCCGTGAGTGGGCTCCGCGTAGTCTTCATCTGGAGGACGGATGTCCATGGGCACGTTTCTGAAAAGCTTACCAAGGGTCTTCTTGCTAGGGTAGAAGCGCCTGCTTGTGCTGGGATCGGTACCCTCATGTGCCAAGAAATCTGGCCTCTCTGAGGGCACTCGAGGCAAATCTCCAATCTGTACTGCCGTCCCAGTCTTCGGGAAGTCAACGGCATGGGATGCATATTCTGCTAATTTGATGCAATCCGGTTGCCCAGGATCGGTAAGATCTGCCAGTATTAGGTGGTGTATGGCAATGGTTCCGACTAAATCAGACTTGATCTATTGAAGGGGCCTGGGTATCAGCTACCATCGAGGCAAGCACAGGAAAAAGACCGACATAGTCGATAATGAAATCAGCTATGTCACCGATTGTACACGGTCTGTTTAGGGTTCTGTCCTCGAGAGCTTTGTAAGAACCGGGCTCAGATACTCTGCGGGGCATAAGGTTCGGCTGGAACAGAAGAATTGAGCGCAACGAAATTGCAACCAGGACATGGTACTGCTCACGTCCAGGATGAGGTTAAATATGTCACCGTCAAGATCACCACCCGCAAGGCACGATGGAAGACTTCTGCGACCACTTCACATAAAAAATCCAATCAGTCGGCTTCAGCATGGCAGTATGAATAAACATACCGGCAAGGAAAGACGACTGCATTCCTGAGGTGCTGTAGTTGCGGACGCCTCACTGCTCTGACGACCTGGAGATCGCCGGGATGAATCTGGGGGCTGCGCGTTATGAGGACGTCGCCCTCAATTGGGCGGATGTCCCCTGTTCTAGGATCATACACGGTTGCGAAGATCTCGTTCTCCGCAAGACAATCCCATTCATCCGACACACCGATGAGAGTCACAGAACCAGGAACGGGTATACGCGCCCGGTGTTTGATTTCTCGAAGTACATGGGTTGCTCCATAGCATAGACAGATATCCAGCAGTTGATGTTTGAGACCGTGGAGTGTCGATAGACTGTATGGGACGATGTCCAATTGCGCGTCCAAGTGTTTGAAGAGACTCGGGAGTCCAAAAGAAGCACCCAACCCATGAGACTGGAACAGATAGGACGCTCGTTCAAAAGATGCGAAGATACTGTGTACGTCGGCTATCGCTCTTTCTTGAAGTCGAAATATATACCCTTCGTCCACTCCGTGATACTCCATGAGCACGATCATAGGTCGATTTAGGAACATGGGAATGGGACGGGTCGACGTGGCTGTGATATCAAGTGTCCCACCTGCAGGAGCGTTGAATTTTCTTTGGGACGGTCGGAAACACACTACCTTGCCTTCCAATCGGTTGTCTTCTACAAGGACGCCCTTGTAACCCCCATGGCGGAATTGAAGGCATGACGGCGGCGGCTTCGGCAGCCCAGACAGCTTCCCTTGAGATCTTCGCATATGTGTCCAGACTTCACGAAGTGATTCTGTGGATATAGTCCCGCATCCGTCCGTAAAACAGGTCCCATCCTGCGCTATCTTGTCATCGATCTGCCTTATTTGCGAATCGTCAAGGGTGACAGAGGGATCGGAAGTCGAGAAGGCCTGCGCCCATCTTGCCGCTAGACGAGCCGGCTTGTAGGCGATTCTACTAAAATCGCCCTGTTGGAGAGTTACTTGCCACACATCTTGACAGGATGTGAAATTCGTACCAATCGCGTGCGGATGCTCTCTGCATTCATAAGTACGCCGGCCTCATCTCTATAAGGCGAAACGAACCACACTGAATGCTGTCGAAGTCCGCTCATGGAATATCCAAGAAACTCATAGTTCCGGCCAGCGAGCTGAAACCCGTCCACAAGCAAGGGTCGGAATCTTTGTTTCAATAAAGCCGAGATATCAGACCCAGGCCCTGCGCGCATCTTCGAGAGGTCCTCGTCCTCGAAAGACACTCGAAGAAATGAATCGTGATGCCCAAAGCGCCGAAGCACACTGTTCCCCTGGTCGGGCAAGGGTCCTTCCAATACGAAAGTTGAGGGCGTAACGACCAAAAAAAATGATCGGAGGACGGTGGGCGAGGACAATGTGCGTAGTCGATGCCTGGGTCGCTGGAGTTGGGTGACATAGACTTGCGCAGCATCTTCAAGTTGAGGGACCAACACCCGAGGCTGATGACTGAGAGCGTCTTGATGTTCTCGGTACGGGCGCCGTGCTCTTCGACCTCGACGCCCGCCTGGAGTCAGGTGACAGGTCTCCAGGTTTGCTACAAAAACACGAAAGATATCCGGGAACTCAAGTCCATAGCTAAGGCTGAGCCGAGCTATGGCCGGCTGTAATTTCACCACTTCCGCAGGTTCCAGGATACCACCATACACGGCCTTCGTTGCCTCGAATGCGACGCTGAAGTCCAATGACCGCAGAACGATCCGCAGCTCATTCATTCTCTCCGGCGAATAGATATCAAGATCCCTGACTGTCACTCTTTGTGGCGATGGTGACGGATGACGCAGACGCAGTTCCACGCATCTCTGCCAGAAGATGTCCACCGCTTCCGCTGTCTTGAATCTGAGGAGGAACTGGCGCCCGACGTACTGGAAGGCAGCGTTGCCATCGATGTTTGCTACACGTTCCGGGATCGGATCCCTGTCCAAAATACTAGACATGACACCCATTTTCAAGACTTGGGTAGTGGGTCGCACTTCGCTTTCCACCACAACCCCCAAAGGACCGGCGTAGGCAAGCGCGCCAATCTTCGAGGCAGGAAAGAAAGCACTCCCTTCAGTATCGCCTACCATTAGATCCTGAAAAATCGAGGATAGATCAATGGAGGAAACACCCATGATATCCATCCTCGATGATGCAGCATCATCGGCGGGCCTAGCTGGAGCCGGGGTAGGCTTATATGTCAGTGTCATGCGACGATTAGCCATATCAAGCACTACTGCGCAAGTCCCGGTGAAAGTGGCTTCCGGTGAGAAGACGTAGCCGTCGCACAGTCTCCCAAACGCGAACGAATCCAGAGGGATTGGCCGTGAGTTGGCCTCGAGCCTCTCTTGTTCCCTCCTCAGGATCTCGGGATCCTGCCATTCCGTGGAGAGAATCCTCCGCAGTGTCCCTGGATTTGCGTCCTTGTTGCTTCTGGTCACCTGTGCATGTTGGCCCTTTATGTTCACATACGGGTGTACCTGCAACAAAGTCTCTCCTGCCTGTCGTTCAGGCAACGTAAGATTCGCGAGCTTAAAACGTGCATTTCTGCGTTTCTTTAGAAGCCGGACATCGAAGTTCATGAGCGGTTCATTCCCTCGTACTCGGAAAGGAGGGCCATGTAAGATGCGAGCAAACGTGCAGGTCACGTCCAGCTCAGAAGCCTGGGGATGTATGTTGCGCAAGAATATTTCCATTGCCACAGATGTTGGAGCCTCAACTCTGATGAAGTAAGATGGAACTGCGAGTCAATTTTATAGTAAAGTTCAACGCACAGGAAAAGCAGGACTTGTGAAGGGCCACCGATATGAGGTACCTTGAAGAAGGGAGGGGCGCTCGAGGGAAAGCCTTTGAAATAGTCTTATAAGCTGCGCTCATCGATAGACGCTTGAAGAAGTCAAGGATGACCACATGTGCCTCATGCTGCCTGGTGTTTGCTTCACTTCCCACCTCAGAACAGATGATCACCCTCATGCAGCATAGCTCGGCCATGTCCTGCCAGCAGTAAGGTAAGTTCAAAAATACTTAGGAAACAGCCTTGCCTCATGTCGAATGGTCGGTGATGAGCGATGGACTATGCGTCTTATAATTAGGTTGGACCTCTATATGATAGTAGCATCGGCATGGGGCACAAGGCTCCACACAGAGTTCGAATCGCCACACGTCGCCGACGTCGCTGATTGGACGCGAGGGAAGGCGGGCATGCGTGGCGGTGCAATAATGACCGAAACTGCCAGTGTGGCACGGCGACAAAGCCTCCAAGTTTCAACACTGCAACGAAAGGATCAGAAGTCGAGTTGACCCGAGCGGGATATGACCTTGCATTATTATACGAGTATTCTACTGCAACCAAGAGAAAGAAGGAAGTAGGGGATACATGGGGGTAAAAGGGAGCAAAACACTAAATGGATACAGAGAAGTCGGAGAGGGGAGGTACGATCCAGATCCGGGTGTGCCAGAGAGAGGTTAACATATACTACAAGTGATCGAAGGATATCTGCACGGATAACATAAAAAATAAACGCAGGAACGGCAATATTGACCAGGTATAAACAGAGAATATGACAAACGACAGCGAAAGCACACCATGCACAATGGCCTACACCAACCCGAGCACAACCGTCGCCCGGAGACTCACCTCCCTCCCCATCGCACGCCGCCCCTGGTCCGCGCCGACCTCCAAATACTCCTCCGTCCTCAAGCTGCTGCTCTTCCACCCCCAGCTCTGGCTCACGCTAAACACGTCCGGCGCGCTCGTGAACTGCGTGAGGCTCGCGCCGGTCGCGCTCGCGCACGAGATGGTAAAGTACGCCGAGATCGCGCTGCGCGGGTCGCGGTACGGCTGCGGCGGCGCGACGGGCGCGGACGTCGCGGGGATCGTGTTCGTGTACGACGACGACGACGACGACGTCGCGAGCGACGCGCCCGGCGAGCCGGGGAGGGAGGAGGAGGAGAAGGGGCTGCCGGCGGAGACGGGGGTGGTGCTCCTGCTCAGGGGACTCCCGATGGACGGGAGGCTCGTGCTCGCGTGGACGCCCGCGTTGGCGCTCGGCGCGGAGATCCGCCTGTTGTGCCCGGACCCATGCTCGCGCTCCCTCTCCGCGACTCTCAGGCCCAGCGCAAGCGGGCTCGGCGCGCTCCTCGGCGGGACCGGATCCACACTGCTCTGCCTGTGAAGGTATACGCCCAGCTGCACCCCGGGCACGCCCTTCTTCCGCACCACCTGCACATACACATTGAACAAGCTCCCGGCGTACCACACCGTCTGGCTATGCAGCCGGCTCTTCTCCTTCAGCTCGTCGACGTCCCAGAACTCGACGCCGAACCGGAACGGCGGGAAGCGCGACCACCGCGCCTTGCCGGTAGGGTCCTGCAGCACGCACGCGGACACGGGGCGCCGCTGCGACGACGACGAGAGCAGGCCGAAGAACGTGCGCTCGGACGTGCTCAGGCGCGACACCTTCTTCGGGTCGGCGGGCTCCGCCGCGGGCGCGGCGAACAGCTCGTCCATCGACGCGTTCTCGAGCGCGCTCGTGTCCCCGATGCGCACGCTCGAGTCCGCGGGGATCGGGAAGTAGCTCTTGTCCATGTCCGCGGCGGTGGCGGAGCGGAGGATGTCGGCCGTGGTGAGCGTGATGCCGAGCTCTTTGTCGCGCTGGCCCGTGGGCGAGGAGGGCGGGGACGAGGATCCCTGGGAGGGCCGCGCGGTGATGTGGTGTCGGAGGACAGACTGGCTCCACAGGGCGGCCTGCAAGACCTGGATGGGCACATACGGGCGCCCCGTCGTCGGCGAGACATCGTTGGATATCTCCATGAGATCTTCCAAAAGCTGCGAGGTGCAACGATCAGACACCTCCCGCCATTCAGGTACTCCAGCACGCACCATATTCGCATAAAAGATCCCCTGGCTGAACATATCCTCCCACTCGGCCTCCTCCCTCTCGTCCAAGCCCTCCCCGCCCAGCTGCCGCCGGCGCATCTCCACCACGCCCTTCGCAAGGTCGTACCTCTCTCTCTCGCCGCTCACAAACAAAAAATCACTCATGATCAGCGCCTTCACCCAGGCCGGCTCCAGCCCGCCCCGGCGCCAGATCACCGGCACCACCACGTCCGCGCTGTTGAAGTTGAAGTCCGGGAAGGAGAAGGACGAGGCGGGCGGGTAGGGCGTGGACGAGACCGTCGTCGCGCGCCGCCGGGCGGGTGCGGGTGCGGGCTGCGCGGCCTTGCCGTCCGCGACCTTCTCCTCGTACGCGAACATGTCGCGCCCCCAGCGCGCGAGCCAGCACGCGCACGCCTCGCCGACCTTGGCGCTCACCGCGCCGTAATAGTAGCTCGGGCCCTCGTCCGCGTCGGGCTGCGCGCCGGAGGGCAGGTCTTCCTGGGACGAGGAGGAGGAGGAGCTGGAGATGTCCGCGGGGTCCTCCTTCTTGACCTCCATGTAGTCGAGGTTCTTGGCGATGTCGTCGGGGGTCTCGGCGTCGTCTTCGTGCTTTGCCGGGGAGGGAGACAGGGGTGGGGGCTTGCTGGGCTCTTCGTCCTCCTCTGGGTCTTCGTCTTTGATCATCTCCGCGACGGTCTCGAGCCCCACCGCGCCCTCGCTCAACGCCTCCACCTCCTCGGTGCCGCCGATCCCGCAGCCGATGGCGAAGCCTAGATACCGCATCACCGTGTACGGCCCGACGGAATTGAGGATCATGGTGAGGGCTTGAGCGGCGACGGAGGGTATGGCGAGGTAGACTGCGGTAGCGAGGAGGGAGAGGAGGAAGGGCGGGGTCGCGGGGTGCTGGCCAGTGGGGGTGGGGTGGGCACTCGGGTTAGGAGGACATGGAAAGGAGGCTGTTAGGGGGTTGGAGGGAGAGGGGAGGAGGGAGGGGGAGATGTGCAGGGCCGGGCCGCCGCCGTATAGGCGTGCAATGCATATTCTGACGGTGAATATTAGTATTGTCACGGAGAGCGAGATCAGAATATCAGAGTACTGCAGATCGCACGATTGAGAGAATCAAGTGCGCCCTGGTCCAGATACAGACGTCATGAATAGACGTTACGGATCAATAGTCCGCGGGCGCACACACAGGGTCGGGGAAATCGCGGGATTCGCGACGATTTTGGAACGGAGAAAACGGGAATGAATTGAGAAAGACAAAACATCAACTCACTCAAAGGCTGTTCCATGCGAGACATGAGTAATCGTGTGACGCCGCGAGAGAGCGAGGGAACGCACCAGGCCGTGTAATATTGGGGTCGTCGAATACGATCTCTACCTCGTCAGCACGGGAGTTGTGTCCGCTCGCGCGGAATTTATGGACGGACTCGACGAAGGCGCCGGTGAAGAGGGATTGGAAGAATCCCTGGAGGGAGAGGGTAGTTAGAGTATGAAAGCGAGGCATAGTACAGGAGAGACTAGCCAGTCGCAGCGGCCATAGGGGTGACAGAAGCCGTCATAGCACACGAGCGGCCTGGCAGGATGCGATGGATGCATTCCGGCCTGGGACGAGTCCCCGGATGAGAGGACAGGACGTACCGATTGGATCAAGACGACGCGGTGCAGCTTGTACAGGGCATGCCAGCAGCCTTTTACCCTAAGTATAACGTCTGCGGTGCGTCCCTCTAGGAATGATTTGTACAAGTGGGTCTGTATGTCGTTCGGGGAGGGCCCTGGCGAGGCCATGCGGGGGTCGTGGTGCCCGGCGAAGGAGGCGGCGATGGTGGACTGGGGACGGGTCTGGGTGAAGAGCTGGGGCAGCGAGGGCGAGGGGTGGATGGAGCGGGAGGGGGAGTGCGGGAGAGTGTGAGAGGACGAGGGACGGTGCATTGGGTGCTCAGTTATCATTCCAGCCCATGCCAAGCCCCACTCGCGCGCCAAGGTTAGGGCTTCGGCTCCGGCCCGGCCGCGTCTCCGCGTCGCTGGCTGCGGGCTGCCCACGTCCATCCAACACCATGTCGTACGCACAACCACACCCGCGCTTCTCCGTCCTGTCCTCGTCCTCACTCTCCTCCGCGGACCACACATATGTCCAGTCTCCCACCGCGGCGTCCAGCACCACCAGGTTCTCCCTCCCATCTGTCAATACCACCCCCGTCAGCACGACCCCGAAACCCCCAGGCGCACGTCCGAGTATCTATGACAGGCCGCTGAACAAGACCAGGACCGCCGAGGTCTCTGCAAGTGCCTTTGCGTTCCTTTTCAGCGAGGTCGTCCAGTACACCCAGAAGCGAGTCGCGGGGATCAATGACTTGGAGAGAAGGTGCGCCTTGCATACTATCTACTGCCCCCCCCCCTTTCCTGACCTCATGCCAGGCTGAATACCCTGGGATACCGCATTGGCACTCGTGTCCTCGAACTTATGGTCTGGCGCACCGAATCCACCTCCAAAGCGCCCAAGCGAGAAATCCGCTTCCTCCAAGCCCTCATGAGCATCCACACACAAGTCTGGAGGACATGCTTCGGCAAGCCCGCGGACGGGCTTGAGAAGAGCGTGGAGAACGATGATGAGTGTGAGTTATACTCCCTGTGCCGCTGGTCTTCAATTGAAGATTGGGATCAGATATGATAGTGGACAACGACCCGCCCATCACGCGCAATATATCCGTTCCCCGGGATCTGTCGTCTCTAAGTTGCTCGTCCTTCACAGCAGGTATAGTCGAAGCCGTGCTGGACGGGCTAGGCTTCGTACGTCGTTCGGGTTCTCCAGGCGGGAATCCTTCACTAACCCCCAACTCGCACCACTATCCTTTCTCGTTTACTACCCACTCAGCCTGCCCGTGTAACAGCACACAACACCCCCACATCACAGTACCCAGGGCGGACCGTCATCCTCATAAAAGTAGAAAAGTCCGTGTTGGAACGGGAAGAAGCTCTGAAGTGATTGTACATTGTAATACTACTGTCCATATATTTATCGCCTCGTTTCGACTGGATACATCGCTCTCCATCTACATACTTACCAGCAGACTTGACCCTTTCATCGAATGCTACGCACTGCATCACTTTGACCTTTCACGTCAGTGGACTTCGACCAATCACACAGGGTGTCACCAAACCGGCAACCCATTCCCACGTCTGCCCCCACCACATTGGAGCCTGCACTTCACCCTCGCTCACTCACCCGGACGTGCGCCCCCCTCCTCTTCCGCACGATGTCCACCATCCTCGCCACCACCGTCCCGCGCAAAACCGCCCCGCGCCCCGCCAAGCCCGTGGGGCGCTACTGGAAGGGCAAGGCGCCCAAGGGCGCGCCCGAGCTCCCCCAGTCCGACTCTGACGAAGACGACAATGAGGACGATGAGCAGAAACCCGAGGAGGAGGGGGACGAGCGGATCGACGAGATGCAGGGAGAGGGCGATGACGAGGGCGAGCTGCAGGTGCGCAGGGAGGAGGGGCCAGGGCCGGGGAGGAAGGGGACGCGGGCGATCAATGTGGCGCTGCGCGATGTGAATATTTCGAGGGAGGGGAAGGTGATTGTCGGGGGGAGGGAGGAGTCGGGGAGGACTGCGCTGGAAGGTGAGTGATTGGTTGGGTTTGTATTAGTTGTGGGGTGTTGATTTGGGGTGCTTTGGTAGAGTCTGAAGAGGAGGAGGAGGAAGAGAAGGAGGAGGCCAAAGAAGAGGTGCGTTTGTGATGTTATTATATCTCATCTCTGCTAGCACTTAACGTCAATACCTAAGTCCAGTGAATACGAAACCGACTCTGAAGAAGAAGAGTCCGAGGAGGAGAAACCGAAAGTCCAATTCCGACCCGTCTTTGTCCCCAAGTGCGTCTACTCCACGTCCCCTTTTAGAGCTTACTCTCATAGTGATTCGGAATTCCAGACGTGCGCGAGTGACCGTCGCGGAACGCGAAGCACTAGCAGAGGACACGGAAGAGGCGCTAGCTCGGAAAGAACGCGAGGCCGAGGAACGGCGGAAACAGAGCCACGACCTCGTAGCTGAGAGCATCAAGCGCGAGCTCGCAGAAAGTACGCCTCCCCTCCCCTCCCTCTGCCCTCCTTCCACTAACATCTCCCTTCGCACTTGTAGAAGAGAAGGACGAAATCATCCCCGACGTGGACGACACGGACGGGCTCGACCCGGAGGGCGAGTTCGAGGCGTGGCGCCTGCGCGAGCTCGCGCGCATCAAGCGCGACAAGGAGGAGGAGATGGCGCGCGAGCTCGAGCGCGAGGAGATCGAGCGGCGGCGCGCGCTGCCCGAGGAGGTGCGCCTCCGCGAGGACCTCGAGCGCGCGAAGAAGCTGCGCGAGGAGAAGCCCAAGGGCAGCCAGAAGTTCTTGCAGAAGTACTGGCACAAGGGGGCGTTCCACCAGGTGCGTGGTCCTCATCGTTTGGTGGTGATGTTTTGGGAGGTGTTGATTTCTTGGTGGATGTTTAGGACCAAGAGATCCTGAAGAGGCATGACTATACGGAGGCGACGGAGTCGTACAAGGACGTGGCGCTCCTGCCGAAGGTCATGCAAGTGAAGGACTTTGGGAAGCGCAGCCGGACGAAGTACACGCACTTGCTCGACCAGGACACCACCGTCGGGAACGGTGGCTTCGGGGGGTTGGTCGCGGGCAAGCCAGGTGCGGGGAAGAGCGCGGACGGCCCCGCGCAGGCGGGCTGCTTCAACTGCGGGGGCCCGCATCTCAAGAAAGGTCTGGAGGTTCCTCTTGTGTACCGCCGGACAGAGCTGATTCAGAATTACTAGATTGTCCGCAGAAGATGGAGCAGCAGGGCGGGCGCGGTCCGCATGGGCCCACGGGTGCGAATGCTGCACCGACGGGCCCCAGGCGGGAGCGTGAGGAGGCGGGCAAGTCGTGGCGGGACCGGGACCGGGATGACCGGCCGCCTATCCGTCGTGACGCGGACAGGTGGAGAGACGATGATCGGGAACGGGATGGGCGGAGAGGAGATAGGTATGATGGGCCGCGCAGGTCGAGGTCGCGCTCGCGCTCGCCGCCTAGGAGGGAGAGGGAGCACAGACGGTCGAGGTCGAGGGATCGGTATAGGGAGGATGAATATCGGAGGCGGAGGTCGAGAGAGCGGTCGGTGGAGTATGAGAGGGATGGGAAGCGGAGGCGGGTGGATTAGAGGTGCGCGCGCTGTTGCGTGTTTTGCGTATCTGTATATTTGATGTACTCTTAGGTTTACAAGTATTGCGACATGGCTTTTGGCCAGTGATAGCATCGAACGACTGACCCTCGGATGAGCGTTGAAATGCCTGCGGTGCCGGGTTTGGACCTTTATCTTATCTCTGATTCGCGCTTCCTCCACCCCGAAGTTCTGGATCGCGATCTAGTGCTATGGGAGCTATATATCTTCCCTCCTTATCCGCTGACCAGTCCATCCGCTGAAATGTCTTCCCCGTCTCTGCCCTCGACCTCGCTGCATACGCTCAATGTCTGCCCCACGCTGACCAATTCGTCTTGCGCGTGGGCTTCGGATCTGAAGCAGTTGACGGAGCTGTATGAGTGCGAGTGGACAGGGGCGGTCGTATGTCGGACAGCTACGCGGAATGGGTTCAAGGAGGGGGAAGAACATGGGGTGAGTATCTGAGCACTTTGTACACCTCCGCCGTGGACACGGCGCTGGCGATAGTCTCTAGCTGTGGGCGATCGGGTGTTTGGGCCAAGTGCTGGTGGTCTCCTTCTAATACATCTCTTCGTCAGTATGCATCTCTAATGCCCCTTCGTCTTCCGCTTAGGTCGTCTTTGGCAAGGACAAGTCCGAGGCTACATTAACCACCCTGAACTCTTATGGCTACTCACCACATCCCCTCTCCCAATACCTCGTTTGGTTCCGTGAGCTACTGTGTTCCCCGCCGCCTTCTACGAATCCCTCCAAGCCCATTATCATCAGCATAACTTCCAACGACCCCCGTGAACTGAAGGAGATGGTAGATTCCATCCAAACCTTCCGCAGAGAAATTGGCGACATCCCTTTAACCCCGTTCTCAAATGCGAACCTACCGACATGTCGAATAGGCATCGAACTTAATACTTCGTGCCCTAATATGGGCCCATCACATCCGCCGCCGGCGTACATACCGACCTTGCTGCTCCCGTTGCTCACCGTCCTGTCGAATGCGTTCAAGGCAGACCGGAGCCTCGCCATTGGGCTGAAGCTGCCGCCCTTCGTGTACCGCGGCCAGTTCGATGCCATGATCGGCGCTGTGCATCTGTTTACTTACAAGTCCCCCGAGGGAGAGGAGATCAACCCCTTCGCGTACTTCGCGACCACCAATACTCTGGGCTCCGCGCTGCTCCTGACATCACAGTCGGATCTCTCCCCGCCATCGTTTGTCCCGTCGCCATCCGCTTCTACACCCCCGTCGGAATACGCACTGCCGACGCCGTTGGGCGGCCTCGCCGGCGCGCCTTTGCATCCTCTGGCACTGGGCAATGTCTTTACTTTCACGTCCCTTCTTTCGCCCTACCCTGCGCAAGCCATAGCGCGCATAAAGGTCGTGGGGATTGGCGGAGTTGCGGATGGCGAGGGCGTGCGGCGGATGCAGAGCGTAGGGGCGGCTGTTGTGGGGTGTGCGAGTGTATTTGGGAGGGACGGTGTAGGTGCGTTTGCGAGATTGGCCGAGGAGGTGGGATGGAAGGGTTCATCTGCATGAGGTTAGTCCGACCATGCTAAGCAGCAGACGTCGATACATCAGAGCGCTACAGTCTGGATGCGGGTTATTTGGCGGTGGGCACCCGTGACTAGTGCGCAGATCTCGTGCTGAGCGCTGAACCCAACGGCTGCCTGGTAAGGCGGAAGACTTGGTCTAAGCACTACCATGATACTTAGTCCCGAGTCTATAACAAGAATATACACGTAGTTGATTTGTCGGCCTCATGTTTGGCATCTACGCGCACCACGCTCCGAGTCATGCATGTTCTCGAAGACTCACCTAACGAATGACTCGTGCTCATCGTGCAGCACCGACGGAAGCCCGATGGATTGCCATAAGTAGTAACTGCGCGCACACCACGAGGGCGGGAAACACCCGATATGGGAAGTGGCGGGACCGACGCTGCTCACCTGACTCGTGCCACATTCACGCAGGCGGGCTTCGCGGTGTGGCGTCTGATCGAGCGCGCATCCATAAATAGCCGATCCACTGTGGCTTGACCACCCTCACTTCGCCCTCGAACAATTCCTGCCTCCGGGTCTCTTTGGCATCACAACTAATTCATCCACATACAATCACTGTAAGGATGCCTCCTAAGAAGAAGGCCACCGGCGCTCAACCTGCTGCGCCCACGAGGCGTTCCACCCGAACGAAAGCACCTGCTGTCGACGCGTCCCAGGACTCTCAACCTCAAGCACCGTCCCAGGTCGACGCTAAAGTGGACACGAATGTGAAGGGGAAGGCTAAAGCAGCGCCGAAGCGTACGAGAGACAGCGAGTCAGGAGATGAAGAGGACGCCCCTGCTCCGAAGAAGACCAAGGCCGCCCCTGCGTCCAAGAAGACAAAGGCTGCCCCCGCTTCGAAGAAAGCTGATGCAGACGACGAGGGTGAAGACGATCAAGAGGACCAGAAGAAGGAGAATAAGGTGATGTCAGGTTATGAGCTCGGCTCCTCTATGCACTCATGGCTTTCCGTAGGTTACCGTACTCAAACGTGGTGCAGCGCCCGTGGATCCTCGGTCTGGTTTTGTTTGTACGCCTAATATACTATTACATGCCTGTTCTACGGTAATAATGAACTCGGGCAGATACGCATCAAGTCTACGCCGACGCGGAGGGTGTATGGGACGCTATGCTCAATCAGACGGACATCTCTGGAAGCAAAAATTCAAACAAGTTGAGTGCCGGAACACCAGCTAGCCACTACGGAGTGCCTAACGGTACTTCCCAGATTCTACGTGATCCAGGTATTGCATCCCATCGGTAACACAAGCACATGTCAACTGTTCGTCCGCTGGGGCCGCATCGGCGAGAATGGCCAGAGCCAGGTGAAGGTAAGGGTCGACAGTCACTCATGGGTAAGGGCTGTGGCTCACGGGTCGCGATGGTAGGGTCCGTGGGACCCTGCAAGGGCTGTCCAAGAGTTCAAGAAGCAGTTCAAGACGAAAGCCGGCGTGAATTGGGAGCAGAGGCATGGCATGACCGCGAAGAAGGGTAAGTCATCTTATAGCAGACTCCATCGACAGGGGTGCTCAACTACGCTTCCTGCTTCCTGCAGGAAAGTATGTGTGGATAGGTGCGTCACAAGGGTCTTAGCCAAATTTTAACGGTTGAGATTGGTTACCAGAACGTTCATTTGAGGAGGAGAAAGACGAAGACAAAGAAGAGGGGTCGTCCTCAAAGGAGAAGAAGAAAAAGGAAGAGGCGAAGCCGCCAGCGTCTGAGTTGGCTCCTGAGCTACAGGTTTGAGGTTGTCGATATTTGCGCCAAACAAACCCTGACCATATTTGCAGTCCTTCTGTCAAATCATCTTTTCGTCGAAGTGAGAACCCATCGCTTCTCCGCTCCTCCTGCGTGTTAGTTAATCATCGCCAGGCTTGCTGATGCCGCCTTGACATCTATGAACTACGACGCAAACAAACTGCCACTGGGTAAAGGAGTCTTGTACAAAGTACCCTGGCTGTGCTAAATTTGTGTCGTTGCGCAGGCAAACTCTCCAAGTCCACCATCTTGAACGGCTTTGCAGCATTAAAGGCACGGACTGGCCTACCATTCCAAAGCGATAGCAGGCTGACGCATCATCCTATCAGGCCCTGGCTGAGGTTATCGAAAAACCGAACTGCGACAGTGCGGTGCAGATGGGCGGACAGCGGAATGCTTGCGAAGAATTGAGCGGAAGATATTATTCGTGAGTTTGCTCGCAGCTCTCGGCATGCAGTTCACACTCATCCTATCGCAACTCAGGATCATCCCTCATGCTTTTGGGCGTAACCGACCCGTGGTTATCGATAACATGGCCACGTTAAAGAAGGTATATCATACATCTGATCCCTGGTCGTGGATATTGACCGAGCGCCGTGCAGGAATTGGAGCTCGTCGACGCTCTCGGCGACATGGTTCGTGTTATCCTTCTCCCTGGATAGCGTGACTGCGCTGACAGACATAATGCACTACAGGAAGTCGCGCAGGAGCTGATCAAGTCGACTATCATGACTGACGAAGACGGGAAACCTTTAAATCCTCTGGACGCGCACTTCAAGTCGCTGAAACTGTCCCGTATGGACCCGCTTGATCGAGGGAATTCTGAGTTTGCTGCCTTGGAGAAGTACGCTCGGGACACGCACGGAGCGACGCATCGCTTCCAGGCGAAGGTCCTGAACATTTTCGCAGTCGAGAGGTAATTTCCCCCAGTACGAAGGCTGCTGAGGGAATGTCTGGGACTGACTACTTTGCATACAGGCAAAGTGAGACGGAAGCCTGGCACAATGCGGGGTTCGACAAGCTGGAGCAAGGAAAGCGTCGATTGTTATGGCACGGTTCTCGGTCCACGAATTTCGCTGGTATTTTAAGTCAGGGCCTGCGCATCGCGCCTCCCGAAGGTGTGTCCTGAGGTGGTCGCGAATGTATTCTCAACTCATAGCCTGCGATGCAACCCAGCTCCCGTGAATGGTAAGATGATAGGTTTATTTGAACTCCCGCTGTCCCTGACGGCCTACCAGGGTACATGTTTGGCAAGGGTGTCTATTTCGCGGATGTGGGTGTTATACTTCTCTTTTGGTCATTTAATTAATCAAACGTTCAGATGATGTCGAAAGTGAGCGGACCGTACGTATTCCCACCTTGGAAGGCATTGCTAACAGTTTTGTTCAATATCAGTCCGCCGGATACTGCTATACCCAGTAAGTGCCTTAATCGAAGCTGGCGCTGTGTCGTTCACGTCTGGCCACAGCCTGAGCAACGGCGTCGGTATCTTGCTCCTCTGCGAGGTCGCCGTCAAACCGTTCTTCGAGCAGTACGGCGCCAACTCCAATGCCGCTGAGGAATGCAAAGCGGAGGGAAAACTGTTGGTCATCCGCCTTCCTGTGCGCTATGCCGAATGCTAATATACTATTACCAGCTGTACCCTGGGTTTAGGTAGAACTCAACCTGTTGATTGGCAAGACGCCGGCGAGGTGCTGGGCAACCCGGAGCTCAAAGGTTGCGAGATGCCGAAGGGAGGTGGACAAGATGTCAACTCTCCGAATGCTTACCTGCAGTACAACGAGGCGAGTGTTCAGTGACGAGTGTCTCAGATTGACAGCTCAACCCCTGTTGCAGTACATTGTATACAATGTGGCCCAAATACGTGTCCGATATCTTCTCATGGTCCAACTGAACTGATTGCCTTGGGTATACGGAATGCCTTCATACACGAAAATAATTTTCGTGCTCGTCATGGTCCCTCAAATTTACCCTCCACTGCACGCTCCGTATTCATCGTAGGTATACCCCATATAAGAGTAATGAAATGATCGCCATATGCTTCGTGGCATTTTATGAGTGGTCTATGGTCTCTGTTACTTCGGCCATGCCACTGGCACAACCTGAGCCAATGGCCGATCGCAGTAAGTGTAAGTCACTATAAGTTACACTATAAGTTAATAGGCGGGATTGAGGCAGTGCTATGCCACGATCTAGGAAGAGCTGAGCCAATCAGAGCGCTCAGAACTGTTATTTTTGAACGCGAGCGTCAGTTACTTCCGTCCGCCTACGCCGACTCCGTGCTGCTCCTAAACGCCAAACATAAGCCTTGACGCTCGATATCAACATCCACTGCGCTTTCTCTTCGTGCAGTCTTCACCGTCGCGTTTGTCTCACCTAGGGTCCTACACAGACGTCGTTACTTGCCGCCAATATCGCGTTACACGCGAGACACTTGCCACCGCGATGCAGAGTGGAAGCGGCTGTAGCGCGAATGGAGGATCGAGGCCTGTCGTTCTACCTCTAATGGCAAACCCCGCTACTGGGAGCGCGAACCCGAGCGCGTCCCTGCCCGCTCTGTGGGGCTACATGGTACCTGCACTCGATCATATCATCCGGTCTCCGACCAACGACCTTACGAAGGCACCGGCGATTGACCCAGCCTATCATATGGGCGTCCATACCGCCGTGTACAACTACTTTACGAATAAGTCCACGGAGGCGCAGTACAATCCGCCTCCTGCTCGTGGAGATAAGGGCAAGGGGACGTCGGCGGTCAGTGGAATGGACCTTTACCACCAGCTCGACGATTACTTTGGGGCGACCGCTCGCGAGGTCCTGCTGGGAACCCCGCACGACGACTCGACCTTGGTCCACTATCTTATCCCCTGCTTCAACCGCTACTCAGCTGGGGCTAAGTCGATCAACCGACTACTTAACTATGTCAACCGGCACTACGTGAAACGCGCAGTCGACGAAGACAGAGGCTGGTTGCGTTTGAATGACGTGCTTGACGCCGTTGCTAAGACAATCACTGAAGATGACGACCGTGAGCAGATCTCGCAGAGGCTGAAGGAGAGGAGAACAGAGGAGTTGAAGAAGTACGGCTACAAGGATGGAGGGCCCGCGGAGCTTTATAGTCAGGCGGAAGCGTACGCTGAAGCCGCAAGCCCTCCCGATCGAGTCGTACCTCTGCTTTCTCTAGCGTACAGACGGTTCCGAATCGATGTTATCGAGCCCCTTCTGGCTATACCGAAGGTGAAAAAGAAGAGCGGCAAGAACAAAAGGCCTCCCCCAAGTAACGGGGATAAGACTCCGGGTCCGAAAGGAAGGTTGGCTAGATCTGTGAAGGAGTTGCTCGAGACAAAGGGAGGGGATGAGGATGAGAAGAGAAGGCTCGCTTCGGGGCTTCTCATATGCCTCAAGACATGTGGGATACGAGCGGACCATCCCCTCAGGAAAAGGCTTGAGAAATTCCTGGTAGCTGAAGTCTGATGTTTATCACTTGTTTGTTTGTTTATTACATCGATTATCGTTGCACGCGAATGTTCGCCATTGATACTTGCAGCCATCACGCTATTATGTTCTTGGAAGTCTTGAATGCACTGTGGATTCGGCAGTTGTCAATACCACTGACATGAGCGGTCCGAGACCTGATAGTGCCGAAGCATAGCAAAACTGATGATACATAGTGATGCTACATGAACTGTACAGAAAAATAGCGGAGTCCTCCGATCTAACCTATGCTATTTCTACGAGCCCTCCTTGGGCCGCTCACCCTCGGGTTCGCCTGTAAGGTCGAATAATGCCTCCATTTCAGCGAAATTAGGGTTCTCAGCCTGACCAAAGTCGAAGTCGGGATCGAAATTAGACATGTTTGACAGGTCTAAATTCATTCCGAAAGGCGTTCCCAACGCGGGCACTTGATCCATGGATTGCGAGGCGGCGTCAGGAGCGGCAGAGGAAGGGTTCAACCCAGCCAAGATGGAGCCGGGGGACGGTGCTGAGTTGGAGGAGCTGGGCATGCCAGACCCTAGCTCAAGGTGAGATTGACCCTGCGGAGGATTCTCCTGGCCCTGTTCTGGTCCATGCAGCGACCCAAAGATCTCGTGGCCTTCCTGAGTCTGGTCCGAGCTGGACAACGCATTGAAGATATCCATGCCGTCTTGCTGTTGACTTCCTGCGCCATCGAGACCAGCCGAAGCAGACTGGGCTTGGTTCATGAGGTCCTGTACCGAAGCGTTCGCATTGTTGTCAGACGGCGCGGAGTTGCGAAATAAGTTCTTCGCCATATCGTCGACCAGGTTTGCGCTATTACCCAGGTCCATATCGAGATCCAGCTCGATAGGCATATCCGCCGAGCTGCCCGCGCCCGTCTCGTGGGACGTCGATGGTACGGGATCCGAGCCTGACAGGTCGATGTCGACGGACCGCTCAGACGCGTCGGCAGACGCCAGAGCGGTCAGGAAGTCGGGCGGGAATTCAGATGCAGCGGTCGGCCGAGCCGATCTCGGCGCTAAAGTGACGGGGGAGGCCAGGGGGTTCTGGCCAAGGATGTCGGTTTCGTCGAGTTTGAGCGCGGTCGATGAGAGATCGAGCTTGTGAGGGAAGGCGGGGCGGTGGAGGGAGGAGAGGGAAATGGCGGATGGCCGCCGGCCACTGTGGGAGGGTGCTAGGGCGCCGCTGGGAGGCGTCATTTGCGGAGTCCTGTTCGGCGGGGGCTGCCTGCTGACGTCCTCTGTGGCGAGCTGCGTGGCTTGTTCACTAGAGGGTGAAGCGGGTAAGGCGGATGCAGCAGCCTCTTGCTTCTCGGCTTTCTTCTGGTCTTCAGAGGCCTTTGCAGCTAGTTCAGCCTCTTTCAGACGGTTCCGTTCACGGTCGATATCCCTTTGTAGTACGGCAATCGCGCGGACCTGGTGTCCACTTATTACACAGCTCTGACGCTCACATGAGGGTACCTACCAAATGTGCCTCCATGGCATCGCACAACTGGTCGTACTTCTCGACTTCCCGGCCAAGCGAAGCTACCAAAGACCGCGGGGGATGAGGTGCATGGCCTTGGAGCCCGCTGATACTCCGTTAACATTTCTTCCACGCCTGTTGATGATAGCAACTTACAGTCTGGAGACTTCGGTGTAGAATTGGCAGACTTGACCGGTCTTCACTATAGCGTTCTGTCGAGCAGACGTCTTATGGCACGTTCATGGGGAGCAGGAAGCTACGCGCACCCTCAAACACCCTTGAAGGGCGTTCATTTCTGGCTCAAGTACACCCTGCGGAGCTGGAGGGACGGGAGGGGGTGGCATGGGCAAATCCTTCATCGGCGAAGGTTTGGCCGCTAGTGCCGGCGAACCCTTGTTCGATGCTGAAGAAACCTTGCGAGGTCTCGGTCTCGGAGGCATATTATAGAGATGGTAAGAACAAAGGTATTATAGTCAGCACAGATAAGTCTGTTTGTCGTTGATACAAGCGATTATAGCGTCGGATTGCGGGGCAAGTGGCGGTCAGTGTAGAGTTGGCTTCGAAAGGATGTGGCAATACCCGATTAGTGCTTCGGACTTCCGAACGCTTGCCACATCTGTCAAGTACGGCGACCTGGATTCTATGTTCTACCCTCGGCGAGGTTCCACTTGCTTCACTTTCCTATGAGACTTGGACAGTCTAGAAATTTTCGCTGAACCAGAATTTGCTGAGCATTTTATATTCCACGGAGAAAACCTCGTAGCATTGCACTGTTGCACGAGCGCGTAGTATGGGTACGGACGATACTCAGGATGAATGCATGGATCCCAGCTCTACAGGAGACGGGATGATGCTGGTGAGTCTTACTTCTGCTACGTATTGCCTTATTTTTGCTCAAGACAGCCCAATCGAACAACCTCCAGCGTCGGTTGCGCAACGTTACCGCCGTACAAGTGCGGAATCTCACCCCCTTCCCAGTTCGCGATTCGTTTGCGACTGCTATGACCCAGCCGTCGGAACAGTCACAATTTACCTCACTTGGCCGGCTTTCAGACGACTTAGATCTGACAGTGGGGAGACGCAGAGGGCGCAGGATATCCTCGAGCTCCGTCGTGACTACTAAAACCACCCAGTCTGAGGACAGCGAAGATGTACACAATGCGGCGACAATTGACGATACACAGAGACGGAGGGCTGCTTCGAAAGTGAGTTTCCTGGGTCAGGCAGCTGGCGGGTCAAGTCCGCACGCAGGATCATTACGGAGGCATTCCCAAGTGTACGGCTCCCCTTCCAGTAGCAGACCTGTCCACAAACGAACCACGTCTACCGGTTCGTATCGCAGTCTTGGGACGAGTTCGGTCGGTATCACCGAAGAGAACAACGTACCTCCTGTAACCCCTGCGCCGTTATCGCGGTTGTTACCTGATAATTCTCAATGCAGTCTGGAGAAGATTGTGTCCTCTCGGCTTGTCGAAACCTTCATTACCATTACTGTTCCCCCATCCTATGCAGAGTCCAGTGTCGGCAGTGCGCCGTCTTCGCTGCGTCATGTCAAATCAACGGATCTCGCATCTGCCTCTAGGCCTGTGTCTCCGGCTTTGGGCACTCATAACACAAAGGGCACGGTTTCCGCACCCAAGCATAAGCGCGGTTCCTCAGCAAGTAGTGTTAGCCCTCAGCATATGAGCCGTACTAGGCCCACGTCCTCGTCACTCCGGTCGTCTTCCTCAGAGTCCAGTCCTCCCAGCCCGACACGGAGCCAGGCTATGCCATCCCATTCGCGTACCAAGTCAAGTCAGGTTGGCTCTCGTTTGCGAAGTGATGGCTCTGGCAACAACGCTACCGCTCCTCAGGCTTTCCCGTCCGCAGGAGCCGCTGCACATTCAATCAGGGTCCCTGACTATATTTCTCCCATCCACAGACCATCCACCAACCCGTACTTTTCTCTTGATCCGGCATCGGGGCACGACTTTCCTGCATGGACTGATTTGAATGCCCAAGACATAAAAGTCGAATTATGGGGCAAGGTAGGCCGCGGCTGGGGTACGGACAAGTTATCGAATGGAAAGGGTAAGGAGAAGGCGATTGATTCGTGCATTCATTCCGACGAGAGTACGACTTGGCATGTCCTAGAGAAGTGGGACGTCAAATTCACTGACCTTACGCCTTGTACTGAAGACGTACGTATCTCAATATTCGTTCCATTTTCCCTGACCTTATATCGTGCCGTATTTGTAGCTCGCTTCCCACTCGTCGCATATTGCCTTCAACACGCTGACAATCACATTCACCCCCTTCGGGCGTACCTACTACGTACCGCGTCGATCCTTACCTCCAAACAGTCCTCGCCCTCCTTCCCCATCTGGCGGCTACAACTCCGATCTGGAGCAGCCATCGGTCACGACGTTAGGCAGCGCTGGAGACATCATCGTTCCAGCATCCACATCTGGACTGGACGATGCCAGGGCTCGGGCATCGAGTATACGAGGGGATCAGAATACTGCTCAGGTTACAAGATCCAAGAGACATCCTGAAAGCTCAAAGACGGCAAGTTGGCAGGACCTTGTCAGGTTAGTTGTGCTACTTCGTCACGTCATTTACTGCTAATCAGTGGTTGCTCGGCAAGACTGGTCACGCTGCAGGCATGTATATTAGATACCAAGCAGTCGCTTTCCCAGATTCTACAGAACGTCGACAACCTGGTTAACGACGGGTTAAACGATCTGGTAAGCACCGCGTTGTCACTTTTGCCACACTCCCGTGCATCGTTCCTGGCCTTCCCCTTCATCGTCCTTCTCCGCATATCCACATTCTCAAGTTTTCGTGCTGAAAGAAACGCGAAGTGTCGGAACGACAAGCATGGGTGGATCAGCTTCATTCTGAGATCAAGGAGGTCGAAGGGACGTCGAACGACTGTAGGTCTTTCCTCCTATCCATCCACTGCAAGTCTTAGTTTTCGCCTTCGTAGTCAGGACGCGGATCCGGTCCCGAGCGGAGGATCTTCGCCGACGGCGTGACGTTCTCCGGCAAGCGCGGGAAGAGCTCCAACTGGATATATTCGGTGAGCACGAGATAGACGAAGAGTTGGAAGACATGCGGTAAGCGGCGACAGAACGATTCTCACGGCACTATACTCATAGATGGCATCCCTTCCCAGTGAGCAGTTGTCCTCCCTCCGTAGTAATTTCTCTCCCGTGCGCACAACGCTGGTGGCCACTCTTGCCAGTATCTTCCCCATCGAGCTACTCTCTACTACACCCGATTTACTCTACACCATCCTTGATGTGCCACTACCTATACCCTCAGGCTCGACAGACCCTGCGCCACCTCTGTCGGTCCCCTCTCGCAAAGACATCAATGAAGATACGGTAGCTACCGCTCTGGGATATGCGGCCCAGGTAGTCCAGTTGCTGGCAGCGTACATGGGGATAAGGCTCGTGTATCCTGTGACGTGCATAGGAAGTAGGAGCCTTGTCAGAGATGGTATCTCGACCATGGTGGGGCCCAGGATGTCAGTTACAACTTTTACTTCATATATCGGTCATCTCAAATTTTTTAGGTTCCCCCTCTACTCTAAGGGAGTCGACACCTATAGATTCGAGTATGGTGTATACTTACTAAATAAAGACATAGAAATGGTAACGTGTACTGTTCTTTTTGTACAACTTCGCCAGATGATATTGACGCCCTTATAGTTAATGACCGAGCGAGAACTGCGTGCTGCTGATACACGCTATACCCTCCCTAACCTAAATAACTTGTTGCTCACTCTTAGCGCTGGAGATGGTGTACACTTACCGTGAGTAATGTGCACTACTGAGGCTGCCTTCGTCAGAGGTTTGACCGCTCGATCAAATCCAGCATACCCGTCCCCGAAGATTCTCAGCCTTCTTCACGTGCAGAATCGCCTTTGCCAGCTATCGACTCATCTTCTACTATCGTAGCCGGCGACCATCAAGTTGCGGGCGAGACAACCCCTCCGGTTAGCGGGAGTACAACCCCCACGGCTGCTAGCGCTGACAACAGTGCCTTCTCGAGAATGTCACGCCCTTTCTTCTCCCTTTCACCTTTCGGGCTTCTTCGGTCTTCAAGCTCGGATAGGCCGTCCACGAAGCCGTCCAAGTCGAATGCCCCTGAACCACCTCAAGATGCAGAGCGCAACGGTGATGCTCGGCATCCGCAGTCAGAGCAGACTGTTGACGAGGAAGAGGACCGACGCACGATTCGCGGGGTATCTTTGCACGGCGACGAAACCAAGTCGCTCGTGAATGATAATTCTGGAAGCGGCGCTGTTCCACAGCCAGAGAAGGCGACTGATGGCAGTGGGCCGGACGTAGCTGCCCCGACGACTAATATTGTCGCGCCTATCGTATAGCCCACTTATCTGTCTGTGCTTCTTCTAATTAAAGAGGTGCCTGGGGTGTGTTTCTTTCAGCCAAGCGGCGGAGACCTCGCATGGGGACCCACACACGGTGCCTTGGTATGCTCGTCCCAATGCGGTCTGGGCAGGACCGATTCCGGGGACCATCGGAGTACCGGAGCCTTGCATAATTGAAGTCCACCGTCAATCCACAGTTGTTGCTAGGACGCAACTGATGGAGATGGAGCCTCGTCATCTTCGTTACATGTACACTGGTACGGTACTTAAGCTTCAAGCTTCAAGCTTCAGCGCTTCAGCTCAAAAGGAGACAAACGGCGGCTGCATCATTGTACTTAATCAAACTCTCAGTGCTTGATAGCCTTGCAGTACGTTAGTAAGCATCAGGCATAACAGGCAGCTGCCGGCAGTCTACCAGCAGCTCCAGTTACGCTGCAGCCTGTGGTCTCTGCGCGCAACGAGAAGAATGATATGGCCGCCACCCATCCAAAGGAAGCAGTTTCATTCCGAGCAAGAAGCCCATGCTGAGGAGACGATAAATTTCTGCCTGCCGGTTGTTGACGTTCGTGTATTGGATCGCTTCTCAATTGCGCGCCATTACGACGTCTAGACGCATGCCCAGAAGAGGTCTCAGTGTTGAACGCCGTCAAGAAGACGGCGGGGGATCCAAGGACGCTAGGGTTGTATATACAGACTAGGTTGCAGGACGATAACGAAGCCACTTAATGATCCTCAAGAAGCTGGGAGCAAGGGGCAGTGGGCTACAGAGATCTCGCAACGTCTGCGGTATATGAAACGGAGGCAAAATTTGGATTTTAGATTGACGGTTGGCGAAGATCTGGGCCTCCCACTTGAGAAAGTTTTCGCGGGAAGGGGTGGCCTGGTAAAGATGGTAAGGGTTGCCGGGTGAATTTGCATGCTTCGTATGATGCGCTCGGAGTACGGCGTGTGTAAGTACGGCTTTCGCTGCCGCACACGGTCGGCTAGGGCGAGGAATATTCGATTCGCACAGGCAGGACTGCGAGGAACGCCATGCGCCACAGCGGCGAAAGGGATGTGATTGGTGTGAAGGGCGGGCAGAAAGTTTAGAGAAGGCCGCGCTTACATGATTCGGAAGCGAGCCATAAACGGAATGGACCTCGGTCGGAGCCCGAAAAAACCAGGGTAACGTCTGGTAACCTCCGTGATCTTTTAGAGTTCTTGTCCCTATTACAAGTCCCCATATAATTCCACCAGCCGCCGACAGCGAACTCTCCTTGCTTGCAATTTCCTCTCGGTCATTGCAGTGAAACAAAAGGTCTGTGCTTCGTCGACTGCGCGCCAGCGGTCGCAGCACCGGTGCTGACCCCCTGTGCGCAGGCCGTTTCCGCCGCATTGTAACAACAGTCCTTTCTAGACGGGCTCAAAAGTGGCTTGCAGGTGCGGATCGGATGCCGCGTATTATGCTAGTGCGCCGTGCTAAAGACGACACGGTGGCCTTGAACAGGATTACCCTTGTGCAACTAGGCTTATCGCTTTCTATTTCTTACTTCCACTCCGTTTCTTGTCTGTCACTCACCGCCCTGGAACCAAATTGAACTCATCGCAATGAACACTACTTTGGAACCCTCTACTTCACCTACCGATAATCGACCCCCCTCCGAACAAAGGAAACAAAGTCCACCGGCCTTTTTGGACTTGGCGGACTCTGTGAGTCAAAATTCTTGATTTATGCCGTTTTTGGTCCATCCTAAGTATTCTCGTTATAGGCGGCGAGGCTGGGGACTAATATGCCGGACATCTCTGCTGTAAGCTGCTCTTCTCCTTCTCGTCCCTTTCAACCTGTTCAAGGCCGATACGCTATGCAGCGCGTGGAACTCAAACGCATGGAGCATGAGCGCCAGCGCGCCCTTCAGCGGAAAATGTTCGAGGATCAAATGCGGGTCCTAGAGCACCAGCAGGCCCAGGAACTCCTTAGCATTCCTTATGACCCAAGTTCTGGTGCGTCCCTCCAACATTTGGCGGTTTCGGCGCCCACCACCCCTCCACGCGTTAATGCGGTTCTCGTGGGGGAAATGTCTTCTGGCTATGCTTCTGGCTTGGCTCCATCTGCTTTCGATTCGGACCGTTTGCCAAAAGCCGGTACTGCCACCTCGGACAAGCGCAAGTCAGTCACGTACGCGCCCTCCGTCAACCACTCCCCGGAGATGAGTCTGGCCCCTTCCTCCGGTCAGGCGTATGGACGCATCGGCGCGAAGAGCATGCCCGCCAGTCGTCGCACGTCCGCTAGCGAACATGACGAGGAGCTTGCTGGTCACTTGCAGGGCCTATCCTTGGCAGGAGAAAGCAATGGCACGGCCTCTCCTCTATCCAGGACTCCGTCTGTGTCTGTCCTGCGTCGTGGCGCGTCTGGAGATGAGCCAGCCGGTGCGTACGGGAAGGGGTACAATGCTGGGATGATGTTGGACGAGCAACTCGACCAAGAGATGCATAGTGAGTGCACTTACATTGCTCAGCCCGTATGCATACCCAATCCCGTCCCCTTAGATGCCATGAGACATCTTCCAACCTCTGATGACGACAAATATCAGTATCAGAACAAGGTAAAGCCTATTCTCTTCGTCATGCCACCGAAAGTTGCCTAGATCCCGTTCACTGACGCGCTGATCTAGCTGTCGACTTCTTCGGCCGCGTTGGACCTTGCTCCGCTGTCTCAGACTCCCCCTCGCCCGTCGCTAGCTGGTAGGGGCTTGGAGGCCCGCGAAAAGGCCTCGGAATGGCCGCAGTTTACTCGTGGGCAGGATGGTCTTCCTGTGAGATCTGACAGACGCACCGTCACCAACCCGCCACTGAACTTGGGTTCTGGCATCGACTTGACTAACAAGTTGGGCTCTACTATGTCTGCGTCGACCACTCCTCACCTGCAACAGAGTCTTGCTAACTCTCGCCGGGGGTCCCCCTTGGGTATCCAGGACCCATTGTCCATTGCGACGAGGTCTGTTCCGGGCACCCCTCTGGCTGGGTTACCTAGTGTTGCCTCCCAGTTCTTGAAGACTCCGGGCACCCCTTTGTCTCCTGATGCGCAGGGCCTGAACGGTCGCCTGACCAATCAGTCAGGCCAGTTAGGTGACGGTAGCGGTAGTGCTGGGGACCTTCGGGCGTCTTTGTCTAGAGCCCCTTCTGCTCAGTACGACGGGTCTCAGACGCCGCTGACGTTCAACTCCATCCAGTCGAGTCTCGATGATTCACTGCAGGTGAGCTCCTTTCGTAACATGTTAGCTTGACCAGCTTGCTTACCGTCGGGGCACCCAGTCCTACGGCGGGGAATCCGTGTACAGCCTCAATGCAGGCCTGGATAATAACTATAATTCCTACGGATTCGACACGAATGGGCGTATCAACACCCCGTTGAATGGTGCGCCAGGGTCTGCGGCCTTGTACAATAACCAGGGTTCTCGTTATGGTGTGGGCAGCCGAGTGAATGGGGTGGACGCTAAGATGAATGGGCTCCACGGTCCGAAGCATAAGCGCGGCGATGTTGACAGGGAGTGTGAGTGCCGTGCCCCACGTGGCCGTAGGCGACTACTAACCGTCGTTTTGTAGTTAACCGGTTCGCTGGCACTCGTCTGGAAGATCTGCAGGGCGAGATCTTGGGGCTCTGCAAGGACCAGCATGGCTGTCGGTACTTGCAGAAGAAGCTCGAGGAGGGTGTCCCTGAGCATCGGGACATGATCTTCCGGGAGACCTTTGGTCATTTTGCGGACTTGATGACGGGTACGTCCTCTGCCAGGTCATCACTATATACCTCCTCACCTGCGTGATTCAGACCCCTTCGGCAACTACTTGTGCCAAAAGTTGCTGGAGTACTCAACCGATGAACAACGGAATGTGATCTGCGAATCTGTAGCACAGGATCTGGTGAACATCTCCTTGAACATGCACGGCACCCGGGCCGTTCAGAAGATGATAGATTTCCTGTCAACTAGAAGACAGGCAAGTTTGATCGCTAGTTTCAATCCACCTTCAACACTTACGGGTGGATCACGAACGCAGACTGATCATAGATACTATGCTCAGATCCACTCTATTATTGTCGCCCTCAGTCTTCATGTTGTAGTGCTAATCAAGGACCTGAATGGCAATCACGTAATTCAAAAGTGCTTGAACAAGCTTGCGCCGGAAGATAATCAGGTATGGCATCAGTGCTTCTTTGCTTGACTCTTTGAGCTGATCTTCTAATCATGATAGTTCATCTATAACGCTGTTGCGGCCAACTGCGTCGAAGTCGCTACTCACCGTCATGGATGCTGCGTCTTGCAGCGATGCATTGATCACGCATCTGATCACCAACGTGTTCAATTGGTGAACGAGATTACTTACAACGCGCTTACCCTAGTTCAGGACCCATACGGCAACTATGTAAGTGGAGACCTCCTTGTTGATGTATTGGAATGGTGTAGCTAATCCTTCTTCAAAGGTTGTACAATATATTCTAGACCTGAACGACAATCGCTTCAGTGACGCCGTTATTCGTCAATTCACGGGCAACGTCTGCGCGCTCTCCGTGCAGAAGTTCAGCTCCAACGTGATTGAGAAGGTATGTTGGTCTGTTAGAGGATTTGCAGCCGGTGCTAACGTTTAATGTAGTGTATACGGGTCGCTGAGCACAGCACTCGAAAGTTGTTAATTGAGGAAATGTTGAACCGCACTCGCCTGGAGAAGCTGTTGCGTGACTCGTATGGCAATTACTGCGTCCAGGTACGAGTTGGTTTTGTCGCTGTGTTAGCCTCTAGGGACCCTGATTCATGCTGTTCTGTAGACTGCATTGGATTATGCGGAACCTACCCAGCGTGCTCTCCTTGTTGAAGGTATCCGGCCGGTCTTGCCGCTGATTCGGAACACGCCATACGGGAAGCGCATCCAAAACAAGTTGCAACGCGAGCAGCAAATGGAGCAATTCGGTGGTTACTCTGGACAGCAGTCCGTGGCCGGTATGAGCTTGAGTGTTCAAGGACTAGGTGGTGCCCATCTGGGGAGCCGTCATATTCCTGGTCAAGGTCTGCATCAAAGTAACGGATTAGCCGACGTCTACGGCACGCAGAATGGGCTGTACTCTCTACCGGGCCAAGGCTCTCTCGCACAGACGCATCTCCACGGTTCTCAGTTGCATGGGTTGCAACCGCACTCGATAGACTCTTACGTTCTCCAAGGTGGATCTCCCCAGGGCCTGACGCCCACTCACACCATGGGAGGCGGGTTCAACGGCGTTTCTACCTTCCAGAACGTTAATGGCCCGTTCGCCAGTGTCGGACTCTCGGGAACGCTGAACGACCCGTACCAGCGAACCTCTTTCGGATACGGAATGTAATCTAGTCCGCCCCAAAATCGTCCAGGTCACGATGAATTAGGGCATCCGCTCGTTTACCCAAGCCATACCCTATGTGTAAAACTCAAGAACAGGTCTTATGCTCGTTTACATTCTCCGACATCTACATTATATCCATCGCTCGACTCACCCCTGACTGTTTACTATGCCATCTCATCGCTCGGACCTGCTCGGGCAGTCGATATAACATACCAGCACGCATTGTATTCCGAATTCGCATTATTGACTTGGTCGTATTTTGCTTTCCCTAGTATCGAACTCACGTTTTATTATTGCCTGCGTTGTATACACAGTACTTTCATTTGTAAAGTATTTTGTCCACTGTCACTGGCTCAGGTCGTTTGTCTAATAGCATATCTCCCAGCGCTATTTGTCTGTCATTGTGTAGTTATTCTGCAACCAACTTGTTTTCGCTCATACAAGATATCGAGGGAAAAGGTCCGACACCTGCACCACACCAGCACTGTATCTCTGCGAAGTCCAAAGGAAGGCCCGGACGACGGCTTACTCTGGCAAATCTGTCGCTCCATCACTTAGGTCGGGCAATCTGAGTTGCAGAATCATGTCTCGTTGGTCACATGGACATAGGCATACAAGACAGCACCGAGTGTGAATGCATGAGAGAGCAGAAAGCGAGATGAGGGTGTGAGAGAGACAGAAAGAGGCTAGGTGAGACGAATAGGCTTCACCGGTTCTATCGCATAGTATAAGACACGACATGGGGTTGCGCAATCTGAGACGTACCTTCACGAAACCGATCTGGCTGGACTTCTCCCGGAAGCATTGACGGCAGAGGTCAAGACCATACTTGCGGATGAGACCAGCCTGGTGCGCGCACAGACGGCTACATTGACAAGACGTCAGATCAAGAGCACCAAGAACTGATAGCAAGACGCACCATTGACGGCTGCCCTTGCCATATTTCCTCGGGCGAGAGAACCAAACAGCGTCGTGGGTCATTTTGATAGAGGCTTAGGGGAATGTCTTGCTGCAAACAAGAATGTCTATGTTTCAGCTGACCGTCAGAACCTCCGCAAGTAGGAGACCCACCTCGCCCGTGGATTTGCGTGTCTGCCTGCGGTGGAGATTCGATGCTAGGAAGTCAAAAGGTTCGTGTGTGTCTGCTTACGTAAACTATATAGCTTTCGTGGTTCTCACGGTTTGCCACCATACAAGCCGAGGATACAACGACGTACAGCTTCTTCGTGCAGCATGCAACAGGTGCTTCAGCATCCATGCATCGGAACGATACAGTTTCTCAAAAAGATTGGGACATGAAGTTGCAATAAAACGAGGAATCCGGCAATACCAAAAGATGACTAGCCCACCGCGAGGGTCGAACTCGCAGCCTTCAGATCGCCTAGTCATAAGAGTCTGACGCTCTATCCGATTGAGCTAGGCGGGCATGCCTGTGTGTGCACATTATAAAGATAGAATGAAACGTTCCCAGATAGATGAATAAGCTTGTGAAACAGCAAACATATCATATGGGCATTAATGTAATGAGAGTATGTACGAATAATAGAAGGCATGCAGTACAGATATGCAGATATGCCAAACAAGCGAGCCAGGTGCACCCTTCCTATGACTTCCCACCCTTCTTCTTTTTGTTGACGACCTTGAAACCGCCCCAGCCATCGTTTTGAGCAGGCTTAGGTTGTGCTTTCACCACGTCAGCGATGCTGGGAGCCTTCATGCCGTTCGTCTTTCCGCGAGAGGAGGCATCAAGTTTGCGCCTACTGACAAAGTCAGCTGCAAAGCGTCTGCCATCCATGGTCGTGCTGTTCGCGTATATCAGTTCAGATATGAGCTCGAGGGTCGAGGGGTCCGGGTCGAGTGGGAACGTGAGCAGCATGGAGATAATCTCCTCCACTAGAACATACTTTAAGCGACGGCGTAGCAAAACTCCAGAGATTGAAGACGTACAATTGACCGAGCTATCAAGCCCTTTGAGACTGTCGCTCATCCATTTGAGGAGTTCCGCAGACGGGACTGCCGGCACGTCCTCAGCCTTCGCGCCTGGCGCAGCTTTAGCAGCAGCGGGCACAGAGGAGCCACCACCATTACGGGCGACGGCATTGACAGAGTTAACGGACCGGGGTGTGGCACTCGCGACCGCAGGCGTAGAGGTTGATGTTGGTAAGCTGGGTCGACTCGCCGGTGTAGCGGTCGCACTTGCACCAGGCGTAGACACTTTACCACCAGGGCCAACCATTGCCCACGGTCCACCGATTGTGGCTGGTGTAACAGGCGTACTCTGAAAGTGTGAAGAGTTCAGAAGAATGAAATCTTGCCGCTGAAGGAATGCACCAACCCTTGTAGTAGTCTCAGCGTATCCCCGGCGGGCAGCTGTAGCCATCGACTCTTTCTGCTTAGCAGCTTCCTTCTTGCGTCTTTCCTCCTCTTCCTGGATTTCTTTCATAGTCTTCTTGGTCGTGACAGGTTTGACCGCATTTGTCCAAGGTGCGGCAGCCTGCGGCGGGGAGGTCGCGGGAGCAGCTGATTCCTTCGGCGCTTGGGATACGGTACGAGCAGCGCCAGCTTTCGAAGTAGGTAATCCCCATGACGCGACGAAGGGTGGAGACTCTTCACTGGTCGAGGAAGCATTGGCTTTCGAGAGGCGCTCTCGATCTTCTTTCTCTTTCTCTGCTACTTTGCGAGCCTCGAGCCTCTTAGCTTCGGCCTCCTGGATCTCACGGAAACCCATAGCTACGCCAGAGGGCTTAGCCTTCTCCTCCCCTATAGACCACGCAGGCTTCGGGGGAGCGACACTTGAGGAAACATTGGCCGTTGTCGGAGTTGCAGATGCGGTAGACGAGGGCACTGGGGCCGGCTCGGCAGCTTCGGCAGGCGCGCCTTGGGTCGTCTTCTGAGACGCCTTCTTCTTACTTACAACCTTGTCGCCCGTAGCTGCAGGAACCGTCGGTTGCACAGGTGATGGCTCTACAACGACTGCAGGCGGCTCCATGGGTTCGGGACTATCCTTCTGTGATGGTGTCCGCTCTGCTTGCTGTTCCTGTTGTTCATTATGTTGCATCAAGTTGCTGACCGTAAGCCGATTGGCGCCAGACGGGTCTCCCCAACCATCTTCTACGATGCCTCGGGATGCAGTGTACCACGGGGACTGCTCATGTTGAGGTTGGGGTTGCGATGGGGTTGCAGAATTGCCGGACGCGGTCCGGCGAGGTTGCTGGTGAAAAGGTGCGACCGACCCACTACTACTAATTGCACCACCCTGGGTAGCGTTTACAGAAGTATTACCGGTTTTGGGGAGGGGGGCATCGAATGGGTTCGGCCGTCTGGACGGCGACTGTTCTTGCACGTTCCAGGAAGATGATGGCGTCCTGGGAGAAGGACCAGAAATCAAGGACTGTTGTAGACCCTGAGAATGCTGCACATTGGGGGGAGGAGGACCAACGGATGATTGGGCTAGTGCAGCAGCCAGTGGAGCTAATGCTTGGCTTTGTTGGGAGCCTAATTGTGACGGAGGCGATTGCGGAAAGGACGGCGTCTGAGGGAGTGGGCCAAAGGAAGGGCCATGTCCATTCAACACATTATCGACTGCGGGGCTCTCGGGTAGTCCATGACGAGACAAGGCGTCTCTAGATAGATGGGACAATGACCTCTGAGCAGCGAATGGCATGCCGGAGGACCCGGGTGAATTAAGAGGGCCTATTCCAGAGTCACTTAGTCCTCGGACGCCCGCGAGTCCGTTTGCATTCATCGGTATAGCCGGCGAGATGTACGGACTGTCGCTGATTAGGCCATTGTACTCGCCAGTGAAGCCAGCACCACCATCGGGACCGAAGCGACCATGCCCCATAGGTCCGTATCCAAAGCTATCTATCGAAGAAGCTCGATTGGGGAGAGTACGCTCGAAGGGTGAAGCCGCGGGCAGATAGGAACTATCAAATGAGGTGTCGTTATACCCTCCTCTGAATTGTCGATCAGAGATAGGCTGAGACTCCCGAGGTGCACCGAACCTTGCACCTCGGGCGCCCATGGATGGGTCCCCGGCCGCATAGAGGTTATTTTGAACATTATTACCGAAAGCGGCTGGATCGGGTGAGCCATTGCTGAACCTACCCGCCCCGAGCGACGACGAAGGCGATGCTGAAACACTGGGAGATCCGTTAAGATACGAGTCCAAAGTCGACGTCCGCAAAGAACGCAGTGGAACCGGTTGGTAAGGCTGGGCTATCATTACGGGATCTCGGGGTGGTAGGAGCTGGTCGGCAGATGGTTCAGAACGTCGGGGTAAACCTGGCGGGGCCGTGGACTGAACCAAAGGCGACAAGAATATCTGTCCTCCTCCCGCACGAAGGGCCAACTCCCCAACACTGGTCCATTCGGTGTCAATATGGGTCCTTTTCATTAAAAGGTCGGGCGTGAAATATCCCTCATCGTGCCATTTTTGCATTACATCAGCACGGAAAGGTCCTAAAGTTGACCATTGATAAGATCCACCATAAGCATTGACGGCTAAAGCAGTAGAGATAGCCCACCTTGAACCTGGCCTTGCGGGTCGAGGTAAGACCACTCTATGCTCACTAAGTCGGACAGTCCAGGGAGACCTGACGACTTATTGTCCGGATGTACAGACACAGAACCGCCAGCATTATTACTTGAGTCTCCTGAAGATAAGCTCGCGATTCCATTGTCGAGAACTGCAGTCGTTTCGGACGTGCAGTTGGCCTTATTGTCTTGCGCTGCTGGTGTACCCGTCGCGGACGTCGTAGCGGAGGACTGCTCGGAACTGGTGCGATCTCCGTGAGCCTGGGCTGACTCCTCTTCCTCCTTGATCTTGTCTCGTTGACCATCAGACTGTGGAGCCATCTCACCATGCTCCATGGATATACTATTCGCTCTCAATGGCCCTTCAGATGGTCGCCTGCGAAGATTCCACGAGTCGCCTCCGTTCAGCACGCCGTCAAAGCCCTGAGTGAACCCAACACGCGTCCGAGGAGAGGGTAGAGCACCTTCGCGGGGACCATTCAGCGCGCCGTGTATTCCAGACACCGAGAGCTTTCGAGGAATGATTGAGGGTTGCTGGTCTTATACCCAACACAAGTCAGTCTGGCCCATGGCAGATCATGCGTGGAGAAGTCACCAGTGCTATCACCCCTTCTTCGTCCCATCAGCGACCCAAACCGCTCTCTCATAGGACTGACACCACCTGAGCTGTTGTGTGCCAGTCGCGGTCTTTCCCCAGTGAGCGACGTCGCGGCTGAGGATCCCAGATAATCCGTGGACTGTCGTCTGCGCATCTCGGAGTTGAGGGATCCTGCAAAGAGCTGTCCAACACGTGTTAACAGCGATGTCATCTACGCAACGTGATATGCGGGTTATAACCTTCTTCTCTGCTTCAGTCCACTCTTTGAGTGCGGCGGGCTCAGAGCCCACCTCGCGGACAATACCTTCCCATCGCTCAACCTCTAGTCCTAGTCCGCCCCGTCCTCCGCCTTCCTTGTAAATTCTGAGCATGTCTTCCTTTGAGTACTTAAATGGGTTAGATGATTCTCTCTTTTCCTCCGGTGGCTGCGGCGCAGGAGTAACGAGAGATGAATATGAGGAAGCCGCAGGGAGTCCACTAGACTGGAGCGGCGGTGAGGGAGCTGCCTGAGACCGAGGGGTCTGTGGCTTGGTGCGCATCCATTCTGGACCAAACTGGAGAGTTGCGGCAGTCATTCTGATCGACTTCGACGTCTGATGAGCGGCGGGCGTGTGCAGGCGAATTGCAGAGTGAGAGCAAGAGTTGCGGGAACGAGAAATGGAAAGAATTCTCAAATCAGCCACACTCTTCGAATGGCCGGGCACGAGTCTACTTCAGGGCCGGTGCCGCTAAACTTAGCACAAAAGGAGTCCAATGGACGATGCTGTTCTCTAAAGAGCGAACATAGTGTAAGATAAATACTTGATTATACGCGGTGACTCTACATCCTTTTGGCTACATCTGGTTGTCCGTAGTAGAGCCTTATTTTAATGTTACCCGCCATCTGGCTGGCGGAAGAGCTGTTACAGAGCGATCCGAATGAGTACAAGGCATCACAGCAACGAGACAATGAAGAACATTACCTTGAAGCCTCCTAGCAGTCGGCGCGATGTAGAAGACAAAGAACAGAACGCCAAACGTAATGCAGATCGCCGAGACCCAGTAATATCCATCGCGCTCCGTGACACACTCTCCACCAACATCTGCACAATGAGCTTTCCCTTGATCGCTCACGCATTCAGAAGCTTGTAGCGGAGCTTAATCACAGACAAACGATGGAGCTCAAAGGAAACCCACCTTTGAGAGCTAATTCTTCCCCTGCTTCCTTTACCTTGCATGTCGCAATGCTGAACATGTCCACGCCTGCAAACAAAGGTCAACCCACTGGAGGTGCCATACGCTGAAAATATGCACCTTTCAGGACGAAATAACGCGGCCACGTGCCGCCGAGGTTAGTGAAGGTATTAAGAAGCTACATCAATGTCAGCAAGCTAACCGGGTGACAGACAGGAGGTTCCCAGCGCTCACCGTCATGTATGTTCCACCTATAAGTGGATCTGAAATACGAGTATGGAAGGCCGATATTCCCACAAACTGTATTGTTCTGTATTCCTCTCCGTTAGCGCCTATGCATTCCCCATGCGGAAAACGCAGAAGACCCACGAGGAGAATGACTGTAGCACAGTATGAAGAACCAAAAACACGAAGAAAGCAGGTGAGATGGGAGGCTTGGGGAACCAGTACACGATCAGGGTCGACATGAACGCGAATCCGAGTCTCGGCCAGAAAGCGTAGAGCCAAGGACGCAACGGTTTGTCTGGCGTGGCCCAACGAGCCGCAAGCCATCCTCCAACAATCTGAACTGGGAAATCAATGAGGACGGCAAGAGCGAGGTCTTCCCGGCCTAAGCCTTTCTCGACCATTTTCAGTTGCGTCACAGCTTCGTTCGCCTGGAAGCCAATCTTCGCAAACAGATGCATGATGAGCATGGATTGCACGTCTGTTAAAGGGTCAGTTAAGGGTCAGCATTTAAGTAGCAAGGCTCATAACACCACAGACGTTTGAGTTTGCATATGTCCCAAATGTTCTTGTATACCGACTTAATGTTCATGTCTGCTTGGTCCAGGTTCTCCTTATCCTGATGTATGACTTCATCAGGACTGGAGCGACCTATCAGAGGCTCGGATACTCACTTCCTTCTTGAAGAATAACAGCCAGATCGTCGCAAAATAGCACACTGCGGCCCAGAACCGGAGGTAAGCACTCAGCGTGAGCCGAGGGAGACCCCATCTCTCGCTGAGACCATTATTCAGTCGGAATACTTGATCAGTCTGGGAATCAGCTTACGCGAATGCCTCACTATTGAACGCCAGGAAAACGGTGAATGACGCAAAATAGCCAGTGTTCAGCCCGATTGTCTGGCAGGTCGAAGCATAGGAGAGATTCTCCTCCGAAAGCAAGGTCAATGCCCATCCTAACATCACCAGTTACTCGTGTCCATAGCGATACTGGCTGGACGCACCATCGACAGCGATATCTACAGAGTTCATGAGCACAAGAAGCATGCACATTGGCGCATGAATAACACACCTTGAGTCGCAGACATCGTGACTAATGTGAGGAAAAGACCTGTAAGACCGTAGACGTTCTCTCCTGGCTAGCACATGGGTCATGAGATATACATAACAAATGCTTCAGGAGTACGAACATTCTCCAAAAGCTCATGCGAATAGAAGGATATGTATAGCATGATTGAGCCGATCACGACCTGCATTGGTATAATCCAGGACTTTCTTCGTCCAACAGACGGAAGAAATATCGAGTCCACTATGGGCGACCATAGCAGCTTCAGGGAGTACGGGTAGCTTGCTAACGAGAATACACCAAGCTGGGAATATGAAAGATGCTCCCGCAGCAAGAACGGCATGGACCCTTTCCAGCGATAAAGTTAGGACAAGTGAACAAGGGCGAAGCATGTATACGGACCTAATGCAAGTCCCAGCTGTAAATGACACATGAGGAGCTGAAGATAAACGAGATATACAGACGACCTACTGGAACACCCTGAATAAGATCTTGGAAATACGTTCAGCATGCGAGATTCACAAGTCAAGCGCGGACTTACAGAGCAGTATTAACAGGGCCATTCCACCCTTGTCCTTCGAGGACAGAGATCTCCCTTCCTTACTCTTCTCTTTAGCTCCTAGCCCATCTGCGCCCACAGCTGCCCGTCGCCTCTCCTCATCTCCAAGCAAACTCATCTCCACCTCGTCGCTTTCGAGTCCATTTTCGCCTGGCCAGTCCTCGATATCCCTTGGTGTCCGAGCTGTTCTGGCTGTGATAGGGGTACGCGGGACCACCTGCACCGAATCTAAAGACGAGGCCATTGCATGGTTCTCGTTTGTCATTCCCTTGCTGCCTGGCGAAGGAACCTTTCTATTCGGATTTGATTTGTGACGGTGTCGCGGCTTGGGGCTTGGAGAGGGACGAGATTTGGTAGACATGCAGCTGCGCTGTTGATGCCCACGAAGCGGTAACCGTCGTGGCAGGCGTTCTCGTTCGGGGGGAATACGAAGCGTATGTGGCTGCAGACGCGGGGTCTGATCCGCGTCTTGAAGACCACGTCACGCGTGCGCTTCGAAGTCTCGCTCTCATTGGCTACTGAGCTTAATGGAGTACGCTGCCTTAGAGACCGCTCATACGCAGCACAAATGCCTCTCTACCGGCAGTCGGCAAATGTACACAACCCCGCACCATTCCATCATTCCACCAGGGCGTTCATTGATAAACCATCGGTTACAGAACAAGTCCTATCTCAACGGCGTCCATGGCCCTTGTCATATCTTCGATATCCGAATCAAGGAAATCGCTTTCTAGAGTGAAGCCGTCCCCGGTATAGGTCGTACTGTGGGTAGGCGTTGGGAGATATTCCCCGGGAATGTGCAACCGAGCAAGAGAGTAAGGGGAATCTAGCGATGACGGTCAGTTAACGAGCTGACAATTGAGGTCGGGAGCAAACACACCTCGACCCCGCTCAGCTGCCAGAGGACTCGCTACGCTGGTCTGCGGCGTCTTGCGCGCCCTCTTTCGGGTAGTGAAGAGCGGCTCTAGCCTCCCTTCCCTGCAAGCACCACATACTGTTGTCGAACCGAAGTCAGATCAGCACTCTCAGATCAACTGGCGCATTTTCAGTTCCTTGCTCACCGCATTCCTCAGGGTTAATAGATTTGCTGAACCGTCCGTATCTAAGAGTGTCCGCAGTGAGAAGCATGAGGGATGCGAGAGGTGCAATTCCTCACATCTTCGAACATTTCTGGCATTCTGCAGGGACAAGGCAGTTGGCGCGAATATGCAGACTGAAGGGGTTGCATCTCACTTACGCCATTCATACTTGTAAGAAATCTCGTAGTTGTGCCTTGTCTGTGAAGGGGATTGGTGAGATTGCAGACTTACTGAAGGGCAAGTTTCTCACTGATATTTCGATATCTGGTCGCTTGCGCATGACTTTACAAGCCCTGAGGGAACAATGAGCACGGGAAAATCCGTTGCAGGCCAGGTACTTGCCAAGCGTTGAAGTTTTTGCCGTGCCCTGTTGTTGGGTCATGGTCGATTATCCAGCAAGCAAGGTGACACATTTCATGCGCCAGCGTGAACCTAATACGTTCTGCATGCGACTGAGCCAGAAGTCCACGGTCATTCAGCTATGGCCTTACCTTCGCAGTCGAGTATCTTTCTGGCAAGCTCTATCGATGCACTCTTGGTCCCATCGCTCGATCTAGTGAACGGGATCCCATCAATCACTACTATCTGCAACGGATAACGACGAAACCGCACTTATGCCACCTAGCTTTACCAGCAGTCGTCAGTAGCCTCGGATTCCACACCAGTTCAGTATCAGCAGGCAACCTGTCCTTAAATATAGTACGATTCAATTCAATGAATAGCTTTTCTGCATACGCGGCGCGCTCCGCATGTTCGGCTGCCTCGCGAGCTTTCTTCGTCATTCGCGGTTGCCTGGGCGTCCTAGAGGAGCCCGCGCGCGACGGGGTCTGCGGGAGCATACCGCTAGCCGGAAGTGATTCCACATCCTCGGAATCACTATCCACAGCACTGACAGCTCGTCTTGGGGTAGTTGGAGCTCTGCGAGTGCTGACGCTAGAAGGCACTGCTGGCGTAGATGCACCAGGTGCCTTCTTCTTGCGCAGCGGCGTCCTCGCAGCCCTGGGCTCATTCCTGGGTATCGCCAAGGACTGTAAGTAGGTGGAAAGATCGATCGAGCGAGAGCTTACAGCATCAGGATCGAGCCGTCATCTACTTCCCGAGGTTCCTCATCAGCATATAACGGTAACATCCTGGATGCGGATGATACCGGTTCATCTGGCGCAGGAGGCAAAACTGCCTTGTTCTTTGACCTTGGCTTGGGTTTCGGTCTCAGGTCGACAGGCTCTGGATCGCTGTCAGTGAGTTCAATGATATTTGGTTCGTCGGCAGAAGCTTTTAATATCGACCCTTCCTGGCTGTCGGAGACATGGGTAGTAGTCGAGCTATGCACGGTGACTTGACTATCATCCCGAGGAATGTCTCGTTGCTTAGATGAGCCAAATTGCCCAGGAGTTGAGATAAAATCCCTTACAATCGGCATAGCGAGGGTTAGACACGAATTTATGATATAAAAGGAAAGCCCTACATGTTCCGAGGCCGCACTGCAGAGACGGATGGAGATCCTCTGGCCGTCGTACCAGTCGTCGTTGTAGCCGCAGGAGCAGTGGGTTGTTTAGTCCCTAGGCCACCGAGCTTTGCACGTGTAGGACGTCTGACAAGATTGAACAGACTATAGAGACTCCACATGAGACTTCGAGTGCGTACCTCGGCTGCTCGTCCTCAGAGTCCGAAGATATCTCGATGATTTCGAGGACCTTTTTCGTCTTGGTACTCAAGTCCTCTCCACCTTCTCGAGTGCCAGTGTTCATCCTGCATAACCATTAATCATCGCGAAACCGTCTGAACATTACTCCTTCAGCCCCACTGTAGTGCCACTCACCTCTCCTCCTCGCTATCCGGTATAACTTCGTTACTCGAGTCGCGCGTCCGTACAGCTCTCGCCCTTGCACTCGGAGTAACATTCCCAGGTTTGAGATGATTACGCGCCTTCGAAGGCGTGTTCAAGTCCATATCCCGGAGAGACGGTTCCCGCCGGAGGCCCCGCGCTTGCGTATCATCGCCTTGCGCGACCTCCTTCATCGTGCATATCGTCGTAGAGACTACAAATACGAGATATCAGCAGCTCCTCCGCGGGGCAACTCGACAAGTTCAAAAGCAACGCAAACAAGGTACCCAACTGCGCGGGATTCGATCTCGGAACCGCGTCGCGTTCCCCATTATGTGCATCACGTGCCCCGTGTCCTCTTCACCTCCTCCCGCCTGGAAAGGCAGTCGATATGTCGCAAATGACCAGTCTCCCAAGGGTATCGGCTATTCATGATCACAAACCACGATACATCCTGTTATGAAACTCTATCCGTACACTTAATGGTATATGCAAGACTCCTCGACAAATAGTGCTCTATACTAGCTCTATAAATACCCCATATTCTATCAAACAGTTCACCCAAATACCCCTCAACCCGCTACCATGAGTCCATGACATACAAGAACTTCCCAAGGGGACATGATACAATTGACCGATGTAGAATAGATACAGCAGCGAACCAGATCCTACAATCTATGCGTGTCCGTGTGGGGGGAAAGCGCCCGACGAGGGATATGAATATACAGGTCGTCGCGGGTCGTAAAGTGGAGCGTGAGAGGAATAAGTACGTGCAGGAGGATGAGTATTGCTTGAGTTGAGAGGGTATTGACTTGCAGATGAGGTCGAGAGAAGGGAGTGCTGGATGCTTACGAAGAAGATTGGTTCTTCTCCTGGTAGACCTTGACGTAGTTTACTTCCCAGTCTACAAAATGGCCATCAATACAAACATACCAACGAAAACCATATCAAAACACTCACAAGCATCCTCAAACGCGCTCCCCTCCGCCCTCACAAACTGCTCACAAGTCGCGTACCCAGTCCTCTGCGCGCAGCTCTGCTCCTGCCCGGGGATCCCGGCGGTGTTCCACACGCCGCTCGCCCAGTCCCCGCACAGCGTCGTGTCAAAGATGGCGGTGTGGTCGTAGAAGAAGGTGGTCATGTTGCAGGAAGTCGCCGGCCAGAGCGCCATGGGCGTGCCCCACGCGGAAGACGTGGGGTCCGGGTTACCGGCAGCGATGTCGGATGGGATAGACGAACGAGGGAAAAAGTAGACTGAGATCGATTCAGTGGTCCAATGCACTGAAGAGAACCATAGTCAGTATACACGAACGACATGACGACATCGGTAGACGTACTGGCATAGACACCTCCATTGACCTTATTGAATCCCGATCCGTAAGAGGTAGCATCATTGGACCGGATGCCACACCCAGCGTTGTTTGTCTCTGCGGCGGCACAATTCGTCGTCGCCACGAGCGTCCCGGTAATATCCAAGCTCGGGCCTTGGCTAGTGGCATTGGTCGCCGGCGTATTGGCCGGAACCGTCGTCAACGACGGTATCGAGCAGCCCGGGTTGGTGTGTATCGTCGCCTGGTTGTTTGTGTAATCGTTCACACCCTCGACGACGTCGATCTCGCCGCCAGCGGGCCAGTTCGGGCCGTTGCTCCAGAACGCCGGCCATGTCCCGCACCCGGTGGGCATGTGCACCGCGTCCATGAGGACGAGGCCGAGCGTCCACGATGCCTGGGTCGTTATGCGCACGGATGCGCGGTTCGCGGTGGCGCTGAGGTTATTCGTGGTGTCGACTTTCATCAGGGCGGTACCGCTGGAAGAGATTGAAGCCAACCCTTGGCTCATGGCGTCACTCTGGCTGAGGTAATTGACGATGCCATGCGTAGGATCCGCCGTATCCCAGAAGTCCCACCCATCAAAGAAGTTCTTTCCTTGCTACAAACGATACCAGGTTAGACCTCATCCGGGACAGAAAAGTAAAGGGTACGCGCCCAGGAATGAACCAAATTCCAATTCGAAGATGCCGAGGGAGTCGCTTTGGGCGGAGGTACGCCGATAGTAGCGGAGGGATTAGCAGAGCTTGATCCCTTACTCCCTGAACTCGTTCCGTTGCTCGAAGTCCCTCCGCCGAGGCTCTTACCCCCAGAGACGCAGAAAACTTTCTGAACAACTGCGTCAATATCAGGGGTCACGTCCCGAGGTACTAGGAGTGCGCCGGAGGGTTCACCGATGCCCTTGAGGGCTATCCGGAGATCCCGAGCGAGTCCCTTGCTGTGGCGGAGAGCGGTCTCGTGCGCCCTCTTCAGGATGCTTGCAGAAACGGTCTCCGGAGCATGCAGAAGGGATGCTGAGAGAAGAATGAGGGATAATGGGAGCTGCATCTTGTCTATGTGTCGTCGAGGAGCGAGTGAGAGAGCGCGCGGGATAGTGTGTAACGGAAAAGAAAGATCGTAGGAGGGTGCGAGAATTTAAGTACTGCGGCTCAGCCGGAATGTCGATGTACGCCGTACAGACGGAGAAAAGTCGTGCACAGGTGGTCGTGACGGTCGAGGTTTAAGTAGAGGAAGAGGGCACACAGACGGGATGGAGGATGGAGGCGCGGAGCAAAAGGGCCACACGCCGCGTGTTGCCGCAGTAACCAGTTTTGTCCCTGCCTATTCTTGTCTGGACATCTTTGCTCCAGCGCCATGTCCGTCCTTGTCCTCCAGCAAAGCGCCTTTCTGCGTACTGGGCCACGGCACAACAGGCCGAAAGGACATGTAGTGGCGTGCGTTCGCGTCGCAGGTCGTTTCGAAACTCTAATAGATTGCGATTAACGTCCATTCAGTGGCTATACACGATCATCATAATGAGATCCCGGCTTTCATATTCGCGATCCATCCGCTCCCGCTCGCCGACTCCTTTCCAGTGACCTGCACGCCTCTGCTGCCCTTCTGTCGCCTGAATACAACACGCATCTGTCTTGGGACGGACGCGCTCACGTCTGATCACGCTGGACAGTGCATCCGTCGCCGCCGGAACAACAACCTCGTGGGGGGACACCCAGTCTGCATTAAAATCACAGCCTACGCTGCTGAACGAGTCGCCTATGTGTCTCAGCAGTGTAATCTTCTAACAGGACATGATGCTGTAGGCTCTATCTGGGCCGACATGCTCTCACATCACCTTTTTGCAGCTTTGCGTGTCGGGACGAAAGATATTGCTAGTCAGCTACATATGCTAGATATCCGCCGCCGTATAACTGCTCTCATGGGCTCAAGCACTCGTCATATCTGGTCGAGTCTACAGGGAATATCTTCCTTCCAGTGCCCACGGATCCCTTGTATTCTGGTCAAAGTCATGCTCATGCAGCTCTGCATGCATACATACATGTCATTGCAATCATTACCGATCAAGTACCTATCTGTGCTTACGCACAACTAGTCACCGACATATCTCGCTTGCGTGATGATAGAGATGTCGGACAGAAAAAAAGAAGAAAACCGAAATCAAAAGCGCAGGGAATATATAATAAAAGAGCGTACTAATAGTTCACCACAAAAACAACAACCATAATGTACACTGGAACGCACCGCAATAAATCGATCTAACATCGAACACCAACACTGAACGGGGTAAAAGGTCTCCATAGCATGCGCATCGTCCCGTCCCAGCAGAACTGCTACCGTCACCGACCCCGACTCGAGCCGACCGCCAGCGCCTCCCGCACGCTCCGCCTCAGCTCCTCGTGCTCCTTCCCGTCATAGCTCCCGCCGAGCACCCCGCCCGCGCTCGGCGTGATGCTCTGCGCCGCCTTCTCCACGACGTCGTCGAGGTCCGCGTCGACGTACTCCAGTATCCGCCGCGAGAGCAGCACGATCTCCGCGTCCCCCGTGTCCGTCTCCTGGTACGACTGTGAATGTGAGCGGTGCGAGCGAGGCGTGCCGCCCAGCGACGACGTCCGCGAGGTGTTGCGTGATTGTGAGAGTTGGCGGATGTTCGGGATTAGAAGGTCGGAATTGCGGATGTTGCTGATGAGTTGAGGGTCTGCAACGACTGCTCAGCCCGGTTGCGCCTGTAAAAGTTTAATGGACATACCGCCTGATTCCAAAAGCTGGACAATGGTCCACACGGCGATATGCTGGAACGTGGCATCGGGACTGGTCAAGAAGCGGTAGAGGTATCTGTGCATTCCTCCTTCAGGCTTATCCCAGACGTCATTGAAAGCAGAGTAGTCGTCCGTCGCTGTCCGCCCATCTGCAGATGCGTTCAGTACCTGCTGCACTACCCCATATCCGTCAACATACCCTTCGACGATAGATTGCCAAGAGCTGCTGCGCTGTTGCCCTGCACTTCCGAACTCGGCGAGTTCGTCAAAGGAATCAAGACCTCGCATATGCCCATCTCCAATAGCTGGCCCTTCAGCTCATCTTCAAACGACCGTCACTAAGCGATGATGTTCCAATGACAAGGCTTAGACAAAGCACCCACCACTCAGAGCCAACACCGCAACGCACGCCGTCATCTCGCTCTGCACATTCATGGGCACTTCGAGCACCAACTGCTTGATGCTGTGCACCGCCCCGGCTTTCACAATTGCGAGCTTATTCTTTTCCGAGCTCGCCGCCAAATTACGCAGGGTAGAGATAGCATGACACTGGACCTCCTCGTTGTCCTTGAACGCTAGAAGATTGATCAACGGCTGGAGGAACCCAGCCTCGATAATGGGCGACTCGTTCTGCGGGTGGATGGACACATTGCGGACGCATGCGGCAGCGGAGAGTATCAGAGGCAAGTACGACGACTGCAGGAGCCTGAGCAGCGGTGTGAGGCCGTCGCATTTGACGATCTCCAGCTGATATTTCTCTACAAACAAACGTCAGACTATTTCCGAGTACCAGTGACATCACGCACCATCGCTAGCCAGATTCCGTAGTGCCAAAGCAGCCTGACACTGCACCTTCAAACTGGAGCTGTCCATCAAGGACACCAAGCTCGACACCAGTTTCGGTTCGCTCTGTGCTAGCTTCTTCCGGTTGACACCTATTTATAGATTACGTTCAGTCAGAATGCAAATCCGATCGATGAGGAGAGGGAAGCAGTATACCATCCACGGCAATGTTACTGAGGGCGGTGGTGCAGTAGTACTGTACATCAGTATCCGGCGAATTTAGCAAGCTAACAAGCACAGGTATCGCTCCGGCGTTGACAAGTTGCTGACGGTTCTCGTCTAAAGAAGAGGACAGCGGAATTATTACAATCATCACACAGCTTGTTCACAGGACAACACACCTGAATGCGTCATGTTCAATAGAGCACCTGTAGCGTTGCGTTGTACACGCATATCCTTCGATCGAGCTAACCGGGTGAGGGGAACTAAAGCGCCAGACTTTGCGATCTTGGTCTTGTTGTCATCTACCCCAACTCTGAGTACTCCACCGATCCCGGACCTCAAGAATGTACTTACCATGCGTAGCCAGGTTCGTCACGCATCCGACTGCGTTACATTGAACCTCGACGTTCGGGCTGAGCATCTGTCTGATGAGCGGCTCCAAACCACCGAGCTTCACAATGAGAAGCTTGTTCTCAGCTGACGTGTATTTCAGCTTCGGATGCGCGAGACATCAGAGACATGCAGTTCTTACTGTTAACGGCGAGGTTGCCCAGCGCTGCGCTAGCTGCTCGCTGGACTTCGGTATCATGGCTGCTGAGGAGGAAGAGAATGGGATCCAGCGTATCCCTGCCGACCGGCCGCACCTCCTTCTCGGTAATTTCAGCGAACGCTAGCGCGGCACTCCGCTGGAGGTCGACATTATCGGAAAAGGAGAGGGTGGTAAGGGCCTGGAGGGGAGAGCCCTGGAAGAAGTTGGTGGTCGTCCGGTCTGGCGAAGCACAGTAAAGAGCACCGACAAGGGGAAGAGCAGCATGACGACGTACTCTCGAGGAATTGGAGAAGGTCGGCTACCGCCTCGCGCTCGTTCTCCAGGAGTAACGGCTCATAAGACTGGGACTTGCGCGAACGAACTGGGAACAAAGCGACCTCCTTCTTCAGTATTCAGCACAAAGACACGACAGTAGAGGACATACAGCAAGATTCGCAGCAGCTGCTTATGGCGTTACCCATGCTTAGAGGCCGCAAAGGTACAAATTGAACGTCACAGGCGACGGGAAGGAGTTGGGCGCTGTTTGGTTCGCTCAATCTCGATCTGAGCTCGCAGTCACCTGCGACGAGCCACGTGCATTTCCTATTTTGGCATACGTGGCGGACAACCGCCCACGATTCGCCCAGGCTCTTCTGCAAAGTCGCGTCTACTTTACTCGACTTGAAGCTACTCGTACGGACAACGTCCTCATCTGGACCTAGGTGGTGCGCAAAAAAGATTATATAAACTGCAAAGCAAGAAAAAATACGACGGGCAAATAGCGGAGGTATACCCAAGTCAATCCTCGGACCCCTACTCGTTTAGCATCTTCCTGATCCCCTCATACTCGGGATGCAGTCTCTCCAGCATCCTCCTCACAAAGCCCTTAATCGCCACCTTTCCCAACACCAGCTTGTTGAAGTACGCGTTGCTCCTCTGACTCAGCCCATTCACCAAGAAGCCATATATGAAGACGTCTACCTCCGTGGGCGTCGCGGTCTGATGGAAATACTCCCTGCCGTCACTAAACTTCGCGTCCAGGGCGTCCACGAACTCTTTCTCCAGCGTGTGGACCTCCTCGAGAGAGTGCTGCCCGGTGCCCTGAGCCTTTAGGCGGCCAGTGATGCGCCGCCTGAAGTACCACGGGACGATCGCGCGGAAGGGCCAAGGTATCGTGTTGAATCCGGCTGCAGTCTGGGCGTAGCCCGCGTCGTCCACCCACCGCTCGTACACCATGCATGGGTAGACGACCTCCTCGAGCCACCCCTGCCATGCCCTCGAGTCTCCTTTCTGTGCTGGGGTCAGCTCGGCGTCCAGGTCCTTGGATACGCCTGAAGCTTTAAGGTGTTGTATGATGAAGTGGGAGTCGGGGATTACTTCTCCCTTGGGCGTGGTGATGTAGGGTAGTTTACCCTTGGGGGCTGAGAACGGATAGGAGGGGACGTTCTCGTATGGGATAGAGGTAGCGCGCAGGTAAGAGTCGAGCTTTTGGCAGAACCCCGAAGAAGAGGGAGCATTTGGCTCGGTCAAGGGGAAGGCATGTACTTTGATAGTCTCTGGCATGATTGACCCGATCTATGTCCTGAGGCTCGAGTCAGATTCATGTTAACTGCGACGATGGAACCACTTCATCACCTTTTCCCGGTGCAGACCTCTGCAGGCCGTGACTTGAGAGGGCGAAGAGATGCAGGCTCCCCCCCCCTCCCCCACTGTCTTTATACTGCACGGATGCATCAATCTCCTGCGACATCCGCAGCCCCTGTATGCACATTGTACCCTGCGTCGGCAGTGTTTCGGTTTCCCAGATAAAGGATAGGCGGAATGCCTGCTCTATTGACTGCGCACTTACACGTATGACCGCAGTCGGAATGCACTAGCTACAGATTACTATTGACACCATTTGCCTACTTATTGAAGTTACGGGAGGTTGGTCCCTGCGCCCTGGCACAGAAACATTTCCCCGAAGTCGACGTCAGGCTTCCACAGACTTCGAGATCGCAGAATCCCGGTCATTCGACCAAACATCAGCCACTGACACCTTGCAAAGAGCGACTTACATAAACGTGTACATGCTATTGCTGAAACATCTGAGTCGCATTCATTGCTGTACATATCCTGCTTTCCGCTCGCGTCGCATGGCCAGCAGCTTCATCTCTCTCAAAAATGTCCCCGTCCAGCGGATCCAGGTACCCGAGAATATGTCGGTCACTCTGACTGAGGAGGAAGATCAAATCTGTACGTTCCTGGACGAATGCACGAAGAACATGGCCGAGAAGGATGGCGTCTCTACGTCATGTAGAATAGCGGGAGGATGGGTTCGGGACAAGGTCAATCGGCAGCACAGTCCTTGGTATCGTATATATTCTGATGTACGTTTCGTACGGAAGTTATTAGGCGCACAGAGCAATGATATGGATATTGCCCTGAGTGACATGATGGGATTCCCCTTCGCTGAGCGCTTCGTCTCGTTCGTGTCTGAGGAGAAGAACGTCGAAGTGGGCAAAATATCGAAGGTGGAGAGCAATCCGGAACAGTCGAAGCACCTTGAGACAGCGAAGACAAAGCTCTTCGGTATCGAGCTTGAGTTTGTCAACCTGAGGAGTGAGGAGTACACGGACGATAGTCGCATTCCAACGCAAATCGTGAGCGGTATTCAAGACTGGTCGTAGATCAGGTCACACTCTGATCAACTACCGTATACTGGCCATAGAAATTCGGAACACCGCTCGAAGATGCCCTTCGTCGAGATATCACAATTAATGCGCTCTTTTACAATGTGCACTCTCGAGAAGTCGAGGATCATACTAACAAGGTCGGTACCTGAGTAGCAGACTCTCCTTGACGCGACATCAATGAATATCAGGGATTGCAAGACCTCAAAGATGGTGTCGTGCGGACGCCCCTTCCTCCAAAAGAGACATTCATGGACGATCCGTTGCGGGTAATTCGTTGCATACGATTTGCCAGCCGATTTGGATATAACATGGTGCCGGAGTTGCAAGACGCAGCCCGTGATCCACAGATTCAAGTAAGTCATCTTTTCCGAGGCTATACAGTAGAGTACGCGGTAAACGTGACCAACCCCTGACAAGTCGGCTGTCATCTCGAAAATCAGTCGCGAAAGGGTCGGAGAAGAGCTCGACAAGATGATGAAGGGTATGAGCATTGCAATATTACTGAACGACCGATTCGTAGCAACTGACTGTAACATAGGCCGAGACCCCCTCCGGTCAGTCCATCTCATCAACGACCTCTCCCTCTACGACTCGGTTTTCCCCCTACCTTCGTCCGTTACCTCCATCCAGTCCAAACCACCGTCCCACCCCTCGACTTCCCTCGCTGCCGCCTCCGTTCTTCACACCCTCCTTTCCACATCCTCTCTCCCTCCACTCCACCCCTTGTTCACCTCCACCTCCACCGCCCTCGACTCTTCTACAAAAGCCCGCCTCTACTTCGCCTGTGCCCTAACCCCTTTTGCGGGTATCACGTACACAGACGCAAAGGGCAAGGTGCATCCGGTCGTCGAAGCGGCCATCCGGGAATGTCTTAAGCTCGGCACGCAGAATCATTATCTTGACGGGATACCAGCGCTGTTCGCGGCTGCAGATGTCCTAAGGAACCCAGTGCTCGAACGGTTTGACCAGCCATCCCAGAGAGTTGCTATCGGTAAGAGATCAGGGGCGGATCAGATTTTCATCGTTAACCCACGGGCTAGGGCTGGTGCTGCGTGACAAGTCGGTGCACAATCCGAATACCGGCTCGCACTGGGTCACCTCGACGCTGTTCTCCTTGGTACAGGAGCTGGTGTCGCTCTGGGATCCCGAAGGTGATGAGTTGGACGGTGAGGTCATCCTAAGGAGCACGGGAGATTGATACTTAGCCTCCTCCGATTTCCAGTCAGACAGGCGGCAGAGCGGATAGGCGTCTATAACGCCTTTATGTCTAGGATCGACGAGCTTGCACTGCAGTCTGCTGCTGATATGAAACCAATACTGACGGTGTGTCTTCGCGCGCATACCACTTCGTCTTGGTGACTCAGTGCGTTGTTCACAGGGCCGCGATGTCGTAGCTGAACTGAATGCCAAACCTGGGCCCTGGACAGGACAGGCTCTGGCGCGCGTAGTGGAGTGGCAACTGGACCATCCACAGGGCACAAAGGAGGAGTGCGCCACTTGGCTGAGGGCGGAACATGCAGAGGGAAGGATCGAAGCTGTCGATCCGAAAGCGCCAGAGCAAGCTACTGGTAAGAGGCGCGAGGGAGGCGGGGAGAAGAACCCAAAGAAAGCGAAGCGCTGATGCTTTAGACTAGCGCTAGCGCACTTCCTCGTATGGCGTATTCATAAGCATCGATGAAGTAGAAGTGCTGGATTGCAGATGAGGTAATGATACGGTAGCGGCACATGCGCGTTCGGGGACAGCCATTTCATTGTACAAGAAAGCTTACGAAGACAGAAGACATGCATATAGACGGGACATAAGATCGAAGCAGGAGCGGTACGGCGTAAGCTATGAGCGCGCTTTTGGCGCTTTGGTAGTCGGGATACGGAAGAAAACAGACCCAGCTCATGGAAAGAAATGTACGTACTCTTTCTTTCTTTCAGAGAAGACGAATTAGAAAGGGAAAGATGAGAAATCCACTGATCAGTACGGCGCGTCGAAGTTGAGGTATTGGGTGAGGTCCATGTCGGGGGTTGCGAAGGGCGAAGGATTATCCCAGACGAACAAAGACGAGGAACCGTCATTGATGGGCTGGGTGACGCCCTCGATGGCCGCATATGAAGTAAATAGAGCAGAATAATCCACGCCCGCAGTAGTCCATTGCTCCATGCTGGAAAGCTGCTCCTGCGGCAAGTACAACTCGCCCACAGGGTGGTGCACGAGATCAGTGTGATCCCCTTGCAGCAGGTGGATGCCAATCTGTTGTTGGACGCCCTGTAAATCATGATCAGCGAAGAGTACGTGTCCGCTGGCAGATGCACGCACCTCAGGATTGACAGGCTGGGACGACAAAGCGAGCGCAGACATATCTTCCGTGGGGGCGAACACAGGGGTGTCGTGTACAAAGGAAGGTTCGAACGTAAGACCTGGCATCTGAGGAGACTCCTGCTTGGGCGGAGGAGAAGGCGGCTGCTCCACGACACGCTGGCGAGAACGGATCTTCGGCGCCTTCGTCTCTATCTTGGGCTCCCGCTTGGAGCCCTGGCTCTCCAGCTCGTTCAGGCGACGCTCGAGCTCGTCTCCTTCGTATCCGTCGAGGATCAGCTTGGCCATGACCTCGCAGCGTCTCTGGTCATCCGCCCCATTCCTCTTGACGCGCCTCTTCGAACCCTTCTTCTTCTGTCCAGAGGGGTGATACTTGTAGTCGGGATACAGGCGGGCGTGCTCTTGCTTCTCCCTCTCGGCTGCGGCATGGTAAGGAGCTCGCTGCTCGGGCGACAAACTGTTCCATACGTGGCCCGCCACACGGCTATGGCATCGCTGATCACGTTCAACAGACTCCTTCAGCCAACCGCCTCTGACGAGGTCCTTGCGGAACATGATGAAGGCGTTGGGCGGACGCGGGATGTGATCGTCGCCTCGCTGGCGGGCATGGGAGGACTTGGACTTGGACTTGGAGCGATGAGCCGGCGACGGAGACGGCAAGCCATCAGAGCTGAGACTGGGGCTACTAGTGGTCGACGAAGGAAGGGAGGAGTGATACGAGGAAGGCGTCGTAGTCTGCGACGAGGCTGGGCTTAACGTGGTCGGGTAAAGTAGGCTCTCTTCGCCCCAGTAGGTTTCCCACTGTGCGGAATCTACGGGACCATAACAAGCAAGTAAGAACGTTGGGGACCCACAGTCGCAAATAAACAGTACTCACCGCCAAGTGGCTCCTGCCTCGAGAGGCGGCGAGAGCGTCTGACGTTGCGGATAGCAGGCATGGCGAGTGGCTATTGCTGCAATCGATAGAGGTGCGTTTGCTTTCGTTCGAAATCGCTCTTGAGGGGAGCGGTGGGTGCTGGGGTATGTCCTCTGGAGAGCCATTGTGCGTCCCTTTTGAATGTTCGGCCTGAGAATACTGCATTTTCCGTGCTCTGGCGTAGGGAAGGTAGTTATCACTCTCTCGGAGCCTCGTTGAAGAAACGAGGCAAATTCTCAACTTTATTTTGATCTAGATATTAATGGTCGCAATCGACCTTACCTTTTGTAGGACTTGATAAATGCTTCCGGCTCCGCCCCCGCCGTCCCCCCCAGCTCAGATCAATGTTTGGAACCTACGTGCGTTTCTCTTCAAAAATTAGGTCGTTGGAAGGCGCCATGTCTGAAGGGTACGCTGACCGAAGCTCGTCTTTTTTCAGCGCCAAACAAGACCGGAAATGAATAAACAGTGCACGGAGGCAAATACAAGTGGCGTAGTCCAAGGCACTGGTTACTATAATAGGATCTCTGTCAGCAGTTCCGCCGATCGGCACACCGTCCATAGCGATGCACGAGAACCGAAAGAACCATTCCATCGCTGCATTAGGATGTGATCCCTGGCATGGTTGTGATAATAGGGCGGGGGAATCTTCCCACTACGACGCTGTTGATCTGCCCAGCACCACACGCTATGACATGCCGTTCATCATGCTTTGGCCATTCAGGTAATTTGGGACTCCACGTACGGCGGTGCCCGACGCACTGACGAGGCACAATGGCTGAGAGGATCAGTACCCCTCTACCGGTCCTATCAACGCGTCTACATGATGTTCTATCTTGCCCTCAATTATTAACATAGGTCTAGGCAAGCGTCCGCCGCCATAGTCCCTCGCATCTCGCATTGCTTGGACATGAGGATGTTTTGGCAAAACTGACTGAGATAACTCGTTTGAGCGTACAAAAGACCAGCCACTTTGCACGCATCCACAACGCCCTCCAGCGGGGTATGAAGTACAAAAGAACACACTTGATCCCCGTGGTGGACTTCGGAGAATAGCCGCTAACATGTTCCGTACGTCGTACTTATATTCACTCTCGACGAGTGGCTTTCGGAGTGGCGTTCTAAGGACAATGGTCACACAGAGTGTAACGGTAACGAGAAGCGCAGCCACACCACCAGATGTCGATAGGGCACCCGGATCATCTTCCATTATCGGTCCCCTCCCCGGTTTTCCAACTGCTCGCTTGACTCGCCGTTCCGCGCCGCCTTTTCTTTCCGACGCTTCGAGCCAGCAATCATATCCCTGTTGGGGTACGAGCAGCGAGATCAGCTTATTGTGCTCGATCTGTACCCCTCCAAACAGTCGCCGAGGCTCACCTTTTTTTGATCGCATCGTTCCTACCGATCTTCCGAGCCTTGTCGACGAAGTCGCCCCTCTGGACCTTGCCCATTGCCTTCCGCTTCATCTTCGAGGGCTTCGGCAATTTCATGATCCACTCGGGGACAGTAGAGCCAGATTGCAGAATAACGTTGGCGATACTATGATTGCGAGAAGACCCATTATACAGGGACCCACATAATTGAGATTCGAAACGTACGATTTCAGGAAAGGTGCGTCTTCGTTCGTGAAGTACGTCACCGCCTTGCCCTCCCGACCAGCGCGCCCAGTCCGTCCTAAGGGTCCCCACTGTAAGCACATGGATAGACGGAATCGGCCAATAATACGCACCGATCCTATGGATATAGCTCTGGACACTGGTGGGGAAGTCGTAGTTGATGACTTCCCTGACACCCTTGAAGTCCATGCCGCGAGCCATGACCTCCGTACTGACCATCACCCAGCTCTCGCCTCTCCGCATACGCGTCACCGCGTCTTCCCTTTCCTTCTTCGTCATGCCCGCATGCAGGCAGTCTACGTTAGGCACGCCGTTGATGATTAACTCTTCGGCTAAAGAGGTTGCACGGGGCTGAGACGATACGAATATGAGGACGGGGGGATTATAGGGTTGAGACAGATACGTCAACAGAGTCGGGAGTTTGGACGACTCGTCGGCGACGTAGGTTAGGGACTGTGCAATAAGAGGTAGGGGGGTATCTCTGATCAATCGATTAGTTTGGAGCATCCAAAGTAGTAAGCAGGCTAATAACTTACTTCAGACCAACGACAATACGTATGGGGTCCCTGAGCATCTCCATAGCGAGCTTCTCGGCTCCCGCAGGTAGAGTAGCACTGAAGACCGCCTTCTGGATAGATGGATGCGTGCAGGCCGCTACAACTTCCTGGACTTGCTCTAAAAATTCGGTGTCGAGCATACGATCGGCCTCATCCAGCACAAGGTGTCTTACGCTAAACAGATGATACGCATTCAATATCTATCGGGGCACGAGAAAACGTCAGTCGCACTTGCTCAAGTCCAGTGTACCATTTTGTAACGACGCCACCAAACGCAACGGTGTGCTTATAATCACGTCTGACGCGATATACATCAGACTTGGATACGACCTCAGCAACGAGTAGTAGACTGACCTACTTTGTCCCGCGCATTCTTGTCCGCTAGCGTAGCAGCCGTGGCCTTGCTGAACAAGACAATCCGCCATTTTCGACCTTCTGCCATACGTAGGAACTCGTTGTGTATTTGATGAGCAAGCTCTCTAGTCGGCGCGAGGATTACGGCCCGGACGCCTGCACCAGCGGTAGACTTGGCACTTGCCGCCGGTGCGCCCAAGGCTTGCAGGACCGGGAGGGTGTACGCGAGTGTCTTTCCCGTACCTGTCGGCGATATGGCAGCTAGATCACGGCCCTGAAGTAAAGAGACTGAGCAGCGCAATAGCACACTTTGAAGAAACCTGCGTACCTCCAGCAGAATAGGCACGCCGTGCGACTGGATACCTGTGGGATGCTTGAAGCCATTCGAGGCGAGATTTGTTAGGAGACGGGAGGAGAGGTGGTATCGCTCCTTCAGCGCCTCAAAAGAATCGGCCGGCCCAGGAACATTGGATCCTTTGGCCGTTACACGGTGTCGTTGGGTAGGTTGAGCACTTGAAGATTCTGCGTCACTTCCTTCTCGTCCTAGTTCATCCTCCTCATCATCCTCGTCCTCCTCGTCCTCGTCCACTCTTCTCCGCTTTCCGTCATGTGCCTCCGCGTTTTCACCAGCTTTCCGTTTGACGGCCGGGCCGCCCTTTGCGTACTTGAAGAAGTCAAGCTCGGCAGGGAGTTCGCCACTGTCATATTTAACTGCTTCCTTCCTTTTGGCCGAATTCCCCTTCTCTTTCTGCCAGAGGTCAGCGTGTGGAAGATGGTGAGAAGGGCCCCGGACATACATTAAACAACCGAACGTCGTCTTTGAACCGAGTTTTGTCAAACTTCACCCCTCCACGAGAGAGCAGTTGAAAAGCCTCCATGATCTAAGGTTAAACGGGTGGACGATGGGGCAGGTAACTTAGATCGAAATGCTGAGGCCCGGGGACGGGACGGAGCGTTACGAAGAATCGCGAGAATCGCTCAGAAAGGGATCCCACGCGAGCGATCGGGCGGCTCGTGGGCCGGGCGAGGCCGGACGTCGATCGAATCGCTCCCGATAACCGCTGCCAGTCCGATGCAAATGCGTCCACCATAACGCGCCGGGCACGGAGACGCACCTTTGCACGGCCAGACGCGGTCCTCTGCTGCAATACAGCCCTGTTTTATGCCGTCTTTGACCTCTGCAGTACTCGCCGGTGGCTTGCACGTGTAATGAGGCGCAGATGGATGCACGCTTCTTTCGGGTCCGCACGAGCCCCCCGGCGGACCGTCGACTCTCTACACACAGTTGGGACGTCCCGTGGTGATCAGACATTTCATATCTGCCTCAGTTGGAAAGTTACCTTGTATTTCAGACACCGAGTGCTTCTCATGACCAGCGATATAAAGCTGAAGGGGATTGGGAGAAGGATACTGCAAGGTCCCAACCATGGTCGCGCTCCTCCTCTGCTCTGCCCTCGTGTTTTTGCTCGCTGCTTTAGCACATGCCGAAAGCGTTATTGTGCCAGGCGCGGCATGGACTGACACATACGGGAATGTCATCCAGGCTCATGGTGGAGGCATCCTAAAGGTGCGAGCGAGAGTCGAGCCTCGCCATATGTATGCTTACTTGTCCAAAGGTTGGCAACACCTACTATTGGCATGGAGAAGACAAAACCACCAATAGTGCCGAATTCAGAGCAGTGTCCTGCTACTCGGTTCGCCCGTGTAGTTGCCCTGAGTCATAGAGAAGGACCTGACATCCTTTAGTCCACTGACTTGGTCAACTGGGAAAGGAATGCGGATGCGCTCACTCCGCAAAGTGGTACCATGATCTCGACGTCGAACATCGTAGAAAGACCCAAAGGTAGATCCTCACCCACCAATACCCACTTTCGTACTTGATCCGTATGTCACATCTCAGTGCTGTACAATTCCAACGTAAAGTGGTATACCGCACGTTAGGAACGATCTTTGTTGATGGCATGGATGAACAGAATAAAGAATACGTCATGTGGTTTCACTCCGACAGCTCCAAGTGAGTGATTACTTTCTGACCCGGCTTGAGTCTGCTGGTCTCATATACATCCCCGAAAGCTACGGCGCAGCCATGGTGGGCGTAGCCATTGCGTCTTCGCCTTGCGGACCATACTCCTACAAAGGGAGCTGGCAGCCGCTGGGTGCGCAATCCCGGGATATGGGTGTGTTCCAAGATGGTGAATGCTGGTTTGAGCACCTCGGAGGCTTCACCTAATGTGGACTCATCACCTTAGATGACGGCACTGCGTATCTCCTCTACGCCTCCGACAACAACCAGAACTTCAAGATATCGAGAATGGACTCCAACTACTACAACGTGACTACTCAGGTGAATGTGCTGAATGGTGCGTGTTAGCGGGCGTCCCTACTACTCATGTATACTCATATACGACGCAGGCGCTACCCTCGAAGCACCCGGTATCGTGAAGAGGAATGGTGTATGTACCACGCAATCCTCTAACTTGAGCCAAGACCTAATGTTGCCGTGTCAGGCCTACTACCTGTTCGCCTCTCACACCAGTGGGTGGGCCCCGAATCCGAATAAGTGGTTCCGCGCTAGCGTAAGTACTCATACAAATCGCTGAGTAGCATCCCCAACACGCATTGTGCAGTCGCTTTCCGGGAACTGGACAAGCCAAGAAGACATTGCTCCGGAAAACACCCGCACATACTACTCCCAGAACAACTTCGACCTCCCACTAGGATCCAATGCCATATACATGGGCGACCGCTGGAGGCCTTCCCTGCTCGGGAGCAGTCGGTACATATGGCTTCCTTTGAGCTGGTCTAGCGGTAGTCCGCAGCTCGTATGGGTGGACGTCTGGAGCGTGAACTTGGCTGCAGGTACACGACTGCACGACTGCCTTTCCTGCCTGCACTAACGGCGGCATCAGGCACGTACAGTGCTGCTAGTGGTACTACTTACGAGGCAGAGTCTGGGACGCTTGGAGGTAACGCGACGATCCTCAGCGATTCCTCCTACTCTGGTGGCAAAGCTGTGGGATACCTCGGTATGACTCTGCGCCGTTGGCGTCTGGAACCCTGCGTCTCACTCCGTACGTTTTATAGGCAACGGTGGAACCGTCACCTTCGATAACGTCCAGGGCAACGGCAAAGGGCAGTGGGTATCTTTGTACTACGGCAACGGCGACTCCTCCTACAGGAATGTGACTGTCAGGTAAGTAGCTTCATCGAAACTTTGCATAATTAACTCATGATCGACCCTGCAGTGTCAACGGCGGTGCAGCCGCCCTCGTCGATCAGCCCGACACTGGAGGAGGCCATGTCATCTTGAGTGTCCCGGTGAAGCTGAACCTGAAGAGCGGGTCCAACACCATCACGTTGGGCTCTGGCCAGAGCAGTAAGTTGTCAGCCCTATGTCCTGTGCGCTAGTTTGTCTGAATGGTTGCAGACTACGCTGGCGACCTGGACAAGATCATCGTCTACAACGTCGGGTAAGACAATCTCTTGTGGATGGAAGGGAGTGCGGGCAGATGGTGTTGTTCGACAATATCTGCATACGTTCTGTGTACAACCGGAAATGGAGACGACTTCCCTCACGAGCCTGTGTGTCTACTGGATAAATATGAATTGTAAGATAATGCAAGCAGATCTATCGGACCGTCTAGCAGGTATAATCCTAAGCACAGATGTCGCGCATCTACAACGAAGATCTTCACGAGGATACTAATAACCTCCACTGCTTCTTGAGTTGCTATAGCGGGGCGCATCAATACAGTATGGGTTCAGTTGTACGACCATCACGCACCTCGAAAAAGACAAACATAAGGATCGTATTAGGGACGAGGCGAATGAATGCGGGTGTCCAACCCTTGAAAAGGAATGCCGGGCCTTCCGTCCTCAAGGACTCCTTGAGCATTTGCATTGGGGTTGTGTTACCAGACTATACAGCTCATGAGCGGGTTCAGGAGTTGAAGCACACAATTAGACATACTAGAGACATCATTCTGGATTTAACGACGTCCGCGGGGGAACATATGGCTAAATACGGTCTCAGACACGTCTGTGTCGGGGTGAACGGATAAGACTTACTAGTCGCAACTGTCCCAGCCAGAGTACTGGCAGTAAAGTGGCATAAGAGGTTGTCTTGCATTTGATAGTCGACCATGGGAAGACGATGACGGAGTAATAACGTTTTGAAGTAATCATATCTATGTTCATGTGATCAACGAAGATCCTTTACGCGGGTAGCACCCGGGGACAGGAACTGCCACTCACGATCCAACCTGGGAAGCCTAAACAGTATTGTATATCAAATTCACCAGCATAAGCCCGGGATAGAGCACGTACGTTCATTAAGACCGCCCTAGTCTAGTATTCTCGTCAGACCGGATTGAAGCGGGTTCACCGTTTCTCGACTTACCACATTGGGACCCAATCCTCTCATCAGTCCTGGGACACCCTCATCCTTGACTATCCTCACGAGACCCGCCAGAGCATTGCGGTACCCGTATCGCTTCTCAGGTGGGCGTATGGAATCAGAAGTCATCCGAACAAGCAGAATATCTAAGCAGAGACAAATATCGGTCCATCATCCTTAGTGCCTGCAGACGGCGCCTTACCTGCTGGGTTGCCTGCAATCCCACCTAAGCCGCCAGCCAGGGCCGCGGCCAGCAGTAGCTCCGTCGTAGATGCAGAGCCATCTGTGGTTAAGGCGTACTTGATCTTTTCATAACTACCAAGTCTGACGAGCGAATATGACATCTGCCTCATCAAGGAAGCTGTGAGTCCTGTGTACAAGCTGCGAATGCCGGCCTCTGCTATGGAGAAACGCAGGACGGTAAATGTTGAGGGTCCTTTGGGGCCAGCAACGGACTGCGGGAGTGTTTGCATTCGACTTCAAGCCGACACAGTGAGCGGAAGGACACATTACTTGGGGTTCCAGCAGCTCACACTTTCGTCAAATCCAGCGGATGGGTGCAACAAGCCGCCACTGTTCATCTATTATGAGTGTCGTCGCCATTGCAAGGGAATCCATAATGAACATACTGGAGGCAGCCACGCCTTATCATTCCAGAGTTTCCGTCAGCGTGTCCCAAATGCCTGATTCACCGTCGATACACTAACCTCCCAACCTTGTCCGTCTCAGTAGGGGCGGGCGCACCACGGAAACGTAGAGCTCACCAAAATGGATAGCTACCAGGCATATTCTCTACCGCTGTATCTTTCCAGTTCGTGTCCAGTACAGCGCATGGAAGGCTTAAGTCCTGCAGGAGTCAGCGCGATCGCTCGGACCTGAACGACCTATGTATAACACGGAGCTCCGTAAGCCTGCCGACTTGCTGTGAGTCCGCGCTGTCCACCAGCGTGTACTGGACACGAAGATAATTTGTAGTGCTCAGTCAGAGCGTCCCGGGTAATATCACGGACCGTACTCTGAGCTCTGCTGCATATCGCCGGACTAATAGCGGTCGGCATCACGCGTCACGACTGTCACAGCGCTTCGAACATCGTGCTCCGTGAAACGAACGCATAGAAATAGCATTAATATTCACAGCGTGCATAAGAGAGGCAGTATGTGTACCGTACATAGTCAATGCAGAGGTATAGGAGGAGAAAGTCAGCTAAGAGAACCCTCTTCTATTGTGTGGCCACGGGGTCCGTGAGCGTGGGCAAGCGTCACGGTTGGTGCCACCGTCGAAGTTGACGCGGCGCCTCTTTTTGCTCTTGACCATCACCAGCGCGCGTCGTCTCCTTGTCCTTATCCTGCTTTCATCTGTAAAACCTCTCTTCAAACCGACGTCTCCGACACAAAATGAGCGCCAACGACAACGAGGAACTCATCGACTACGAGGACGAGCAGGACGTCGTCACCAACGGTGTTGCTGTGACAGGCGCTGCTGCTGCTACTGCAGGCGCAGTAGCCGATGGCGAGGGCAAGGAGGAGAAGAAAAACTTCTCTGGAATCCATTCCACCGGCTTCAGGTGTGTCTCCTTTATCAACAGTTGGGTGGGTGCATCTCGCTGAAATAGGCTCTTCAACAGGGACTTCTTGTTGAAACCCGAACTTCTGCGAGCTATTAGCGACCTTGGTTTTGAACATCCCTCAGAAGGTAAACTACTTGACCGAACCGCCGGTAAAGAACTGCGACTCACATTGCACATCATATAGTTCAACAAGAATGTATCCCTCAGGCTGTACTTGGAATGGATGTCCTTTGCCAGGCCAAGTCTGGCCACGGCAAGACTGCCGTCTTCGTCTTGGCAACATTGCAGCAACTTGAGCCCGTCAACGGCGAAGTTTCTGTCATTGTTCTTTGCCACACCCGAGAACTGGCCTTCCAGATCAAGAACGAGTACACTCGATTCGCGAAGTACATGCCCGATGTACGCGTCAGCACCTTCTACGGAGGTATTCCCATCGCCAAGGACGCCGAAATTCTGCGAGACAAGACCAAGTGTCCCCACATTGTGGTCGCCACGCCAGGACGTCTGAATGCCCTGGTTAGAGACAAGATTTTGGACGCGAAACACGTGAAGCACTTTGTTCTCGACGAGTGCGACAAAATGCTCGAACAACTTGGTTAGTTATGCGCTTTCGCCCTCCGCCCCGCGTCGTCCTTTATATTGCTTCATCGGCCGCCTGGTTTCGCGACCTTGTCTCGCCCGTCCGCGGCCTTCGCAGCGCGTTCACCGTTCGCACATCCTTCGATCTGGAATTTGGTCGGTAGGAAGTAGGGTTCGGGGTGACGTCGAGTCGGAGTATTGTCGGAGTTGACGCGGTCGTGCCTCTCATGAAGAACAAGTGACGGGACGCGACAAGCGGGGAAGCTTCGTGGCTGAACGTCAAGTGCACGCGAGTGCCGAAGACCACGCTTCCTTATGCATGGCTACGATCTTTCCGCGTTTTTATTCGTTCATACCGGCGGCCACGTTCTTTCGTTCTTCTATTTTCTCGTTGTTTTGTCGACGCGTCATCTTACTGGCATACGCATCCGTTAGACATGCGCCGCGACGTGCAAGAAATCTTTCGCGCTACGCCCCACCACAAGCAAGTTATGATGTTCAGCGCCACACTCGCGAAGGACATCCGGGTCACTTGCAAGAAGTTCATGGCAAACGTATGCGTTTCATCAATCTCCGCATGTTCGAGATGCTGACGCCTGCTCCAGCCCCTCGAAATCTTCGTGGATGACGAGACAAAATTGACGCTGCACGGTCTACAGCAGCACTATGTGAAGCTGGAGGAAGTACAGAAGAATAGGAAGTTGAATGAGCTGCTGGATACGCTGGAGTTCAACCAGGTATGATTTGTTGCGGTGTTCGGGATGAAGTGCACGTTTATGACGACATCGTGGCAGGTCGTCATCTTTGTCAAGTCCGTTGCGCGGTGCATTGAGCTGGACAAATTACTCGTCTCTTGTAATTTCCCCAGTATAAGCATTCACTCAGGGCTCGCCCAGGAGGAACGGTATGATGCCTTCACATGGTCCTTGGTTAATTTACTCACGAGCTTAATTGTTGCTTAGTATCAACCGCTACACGTCCTTCAAGGCTTTTGAGAAACGTATCTTAGTTGCCACGGATATTTTTGGTCGTGGAATCGATGTGGAGCGGGTTAATATTGTGATCAACTATGATTGCCCTCCGGATGCCGACAGCTACCTGCATCGTGTCGGGTGAGTGCATTCCATAATTAATGACAGTGCGCATGAACTGAGTTGGCTATGCCTTGCAGTCGCGCTGGGCGATTCGGCACCAAGGGTCTCGCTATCACATTCCTCTCGTCTGAGGCGGACCAGCAGGTCATGGCAGCTGTGCAGTCAAGATTCGAGGTGGCAGTGCCTGAGCTGCCTGACCACATTGATCCGGCCAGCTACAGTAAGCTTCACCTGACCTTGTGCGCGCTGATTATGTGACTGACTGTGATATTTTGTGTGCTCAGTGACTTCTTGATTGTATCTTTTTCCCCGCCGTTACTGGTCTTCGTATACTGGTCCCGTACAATGTTGTCTTTCCCAACTCTCCTCTCCTCTTTTCTATCGCGTCTCCCTGTAATCGTACTACTCTGCCAATGTCACTGAAGCCGCCGTCGGCTCTTTGTGTAATCGCGACGTTGCGGCGAGAGGGCCGCGGAAGCTGAAATGCGTACACTGAGACCAATGATAAGAGAGCCGGAGACGGGATGGCCAGGTACGCGTGCAGCCGACAAGAAATGACGTAGGCAGACGTCAGGCTTCGGGCCCAGGCCTTCGGGGAAGCGCGCTCCGTTAGCCAATCAGAAGGGTCGCCCACCTGCACCTTGACAGCTTCCCACGCTTGCGCTGCAGGAAGCCCAACTCTGCCCAAGTCGCTTTGCGCCTTGTGGAATCACTCGCCGCCGGCTTCGCTCTGCCCACACACCTCTTAGGCGGCCTTGAGTCCCTCTGCTCGTCGTCGGACACCCCCTCCTCTTCCGACTGCGAGCCGTCTTGGTCGTCCGCCATGCGCCGGAAGTATGCACAACCATCGCTCCCCAATCTGTATTTCAAAGAGGGCGTTCTCTCCGTGCCCGGATACACTTTCGAAAAGGTGCGTGGATGGCCAGAAACTACTCCGATACGTATCCTGATCATACTCAGGCCGTTCCGTGGGCGGACACTGGGAGCCTGACACTATTAGCGGAGGGCAACAGTCTCAAGGATGGGTCCGCCGTTCTTGCAAAAATTGCACCCGCACATACGAATGGGTCAATGTGCATAGAGCGCGAGGCGCATATGTAAGAGGCTGCCGCTGGATTACGTGCTATCGCCTGACATCACGCCTGCAGTCTTGGGAGACTGGCAGCAACCCCAGATGCTGCTAGCACTTGTCTGACCCTCATTGATTACTTCGCTGTGCCCCGGGATAAGGGCGACTGTGTTGTGCTGCTAGTCGTGCACCCAGGATTCAATTTACTGGGCCGCTATTTCCCGCCATCGAGAGTCAATGACCTGCTCCTCGCTGACCAAAAGCGGCCCCGACCGTCTACCTCTCATGGTGATATATACATGATGGGAATAGAAGAACCCGAATTAGAAGAAATGGAAGCATTCGATGTGATGGACCTGGCGTCCTTCCTTGAGTAAGCTGAAATAGCAGTATCGCAAACATGAGTCTCACAATGCTGTCAGATTCGCCATTCAGGCAACACATTGTCTTGAAATATTGCACAAGTACGTCGGTATGTGTCACCAATAGTAGGTCAGATGCTGATCCGTTGCTCGAAGGACTGGCTTGATCCACCGTGAAGGTAGCTAAAATGACTTTCGCACCTATATTATTCCGTTCCTTACGTGACATCGTTCAGTACGCGCGAACGCGTTTCATTTGAACCATCATTCGGGCTTGGTCCGCTTCGTCCATTTCGGAAATCGCGCTATCTCGCTGGAGCAGTTCGGGGGTCCGTCCGCCCTCGTCATTCGCGCCGCCGATGCTTTCGAGGAAGTCGAGAAGCACAAAGTCAAGGAGGCTTTGTGTTATCTCGCGCCCGAGCAAACAGGCGGCATGGATACCACTATCGAGGACCACAGAACAGACCTGTACGCCATTGGTATCCTCTTCTGGACACTCCTTGTCGGGCGGGGTATCATGCCCTTCGAGGGAGGACCCTTGGAGCTTCTGCATGCAATCGTGCAGAAGCGGCCGATGCCCGTGCACGAAGTCCGTCGAGATGTCCCGCAAGTCCTCGCCTTCATCATAGACAAGGTAACATATCGGCAGCCTCCTTGCACTCGCGTGGCTGAAGTCTGTTCTTCAGCTACTTTCCAAAAGTCCAGATCATAGATACCAGAGCGCGGAAGGTTTGAAAGCCGACCTCCTCGAGTGTCAGCGGCGACTTCTAGCCGCTGTCTCGTCTGCTTCTGACTCATCCATGGAACTCATACCAACATTCGAAATTGCTACTCAAGATCGATATGCAGTACGCCTCTACCCTACTCCATGCCCATCCTGTGCTGACTTTCGTCAGGAGTTCACTATCCCTACTAGCTTGGTATCCACGCTATTTCCCTCTGAAACCCAAGTGCCAACTAACATACTCGGATTGTAGTTTGGACGTGAACGAGAGCTGGAGCTGATCCGGAATGTGATCCGGAACGTATCGACGTCGTATGCGCGGCATCACGGCGGTAAGGGAGGCTACATCGCCCTGAACGCGTCAAGCCCTCAAGGCAGCGAGACACAAAGTCGTCCCGGGCGGAGTGAGGACCAGGGCGAGGCGTCCTCGACGAAGAGCGAGTCGTCGCAGAGTCTCGTGCTGAATGAAGAGGAGGGGAGCCCGAAGATGACACCGCCACTCTCTACACAGGCAACGAACACGCAGTTTGACCAGAGCTCGACGAGCACTGCCACGACGAGCATGATGAGCCCGCCGATGACCACCAGCGACGGGTTGAGGAGGGTTGCGCTGACGCCTGCGAGATCAAAGACAGCTAGGGCTCACACGATTATCATCGTTGGCCCTCCAGGAGCTGGTAAGAGTTCATTGGTGCTTGCTAACCAAGCAAAGTGGCGATCGCATGGGTTGTGGGGTCAGGCCAAATTCCAGAATGCGGATGCTGCACCATTTTCTGCACTAGTAAGTCGGACATGCACCCACCCTTGAGATAGTTTGCTTATTCGTCGGACTGCGTCGGAAGCTATCGTGTCTCTCCTCTGTCCTGAGGCAATTGATGGTATTTCATAGCGATCTTCACCGATTCGTGGCCGCCTTGAAGGCTCGTTTGGGGCCTCAGCTGCAGAATGTGCCACTGCTGTATCAAGGCGCGGACGAACTCCGCGACGTGTTGAGCCTCTTCGACATCAATCTCGAGCCTCCTCGCGAGTCTCTGTCGACGAGGGAGCTTCGCGCTCGATTTCAGTCGCTGGTAGAAAACGTCTTTGTCGTGCTGGCGGAAACCCGGTTATTCGCGCTGTTTCTTGATGATCTTCATGAAGCAGATGAATCGTATGTTTTCAGCATTCTTTACCAGGTCTTTCCACTTATAGTCAATAGGTCCTTGGATCTCATCGCGACATTGATGAATTCCAAGAGCCGTATGGTGCGGCGACTTACCTCCGTTCCCTATCAGTGTGATGTCTAATTTTGTCCAGCTCATGTTCGTTACTCTGCGGAACGACAAGACATACCAGTACGTAGGTCTTATTTGCCTGTCAAGTCCCACTGAGAGTCCTCCTTCAGAACAACTGTGGCTCGTGTGAAAGCTATGGCACCGACGGGCTCGCGTACTACTTGGCTGAACCTGGAACCCCTACCATTCTCTGCTATCTCCATCATGGTTGCTCGTACCCTTCATCGGCCAAGAGAAGAGTGCGCTCCTCTCGCTAGAGTGGTCCATTCAGTGTCTGGAGGTAATGCGTTCTCTGCTCGGAATGTCCTCACCCAGCTGCACAGGCAGCGGCTCATCACGTTCGATTGGGAGCACAATCACTGGCAGTTCAATATGCCCTCCATTGAAGCTCTCTATCTGGATCAGCATATCGTCTCTGATCCCGCGGACCCACTTTTCCTGACGAAACACTTGAGGGAGCTGCCTGATGAAGCTCGTAGGTTCATCATATGGGCGTCTTTCTTCGGGGCGACGTGAGTACTCAAGCTGTACACATGGGACTGCAACAAATAGCAAACCTACTTTGCAGGTTCAAAGTGACGGAGGTGGCTCTCCTGATGGACTGGGAAGATCCTGGCAGCAGTGGCAGCGGCAGCGAGGACGACGGTGGTGCTGAAGAATTCACCCCCATGCCGCGTCCTAAGAGGGAAGGCAGCGTAGGCCCTGCCAACCATAGCTCTATTCGCGGATTGCAGACAGCGATCCAAGAAGGATGGCTGGTCCAGCGTGGCCGCGACATGTGTGCGTTTACCCATGACCGCTATAGACAGGCCGCAGAGACAGAAGTCGAGAGCTTGCCAGAGGAAGTGCGAGCTAAGATGTCCTTCCGGGTAAGTCTTCAGAGGCTCGCTGAGTGGTCCACAGCATTCATACTGTATGCGACGGTGTTCTTAGATCGTCTTAATGATGCTTATGGAGTCCGCGCCTGATGTCTATCGCATCGCAGAGCATGCGAAGAGGTAAGTACATTGTCCCATTCGGTATCATCAATACTCACTTTTTTTCATAGGTGCCTCCCTCTTCTGCGAGAGCACGCGAAGCGGGAGGAACTACTCAATCTCATGATCGAGTCAGGAGATGCTGCCTGGGCACGAGGTGCTCATGAGGTCTGTTACAATCAGCAAGTATATAATGTCCTTCTCAACATTTCGTGCATACAGTTGGCTCTACAATCCTTGGTCAGTGCTAGGTCCCTCTTGACAGATGACGCTTGGGACAGAGATCCCGCGCGTACCCTGCTTCTATTCACCCGACTCGCAGCGTAAGTGGTTGCACTAGTACTTATATGAATGTATTTCGTCACTGACCCACGTTATAAAAGACTCTCGAACTGGAAAGGTTCGTTGCTCGAATATTTTGACCTGCGTATCCTCACCGCGGTTTAGGTGACTTCAATGAGTCCGATTCCCTTGTCGAAGAATGTCTGTCCAAAGCGGATCATCCTGAGGACAAGGCGAGGTTACTCCGTCTCCGGTCGCGAAACCACTGGATGCGGAACAACTTTGAGGGTGCCCTCAAGGACAATCTCTTGGCCTTGCATATATTAGGGGTTGAAGTGAATGCAGCGCCGACTCGACGCGAAGCAGATGCTATGTTCGAGCAGGTTAAGAACGAAATCCTAGCCGTGGGCTTCGATGACATCCTGGCAATACCACGTGCGACGGATCCCCGAACGGACCTCGCTGTCGCATTGTTGAATGATGCTGGTCAGTTACTTTAAATGTTCCTTTCTGTGTGCTCTACTTATAATCGCTAGGCACACACGCGTATTGGAGTAAGGGGGAGGGGTTTGCTGATGTGATTGGACTCACGGTCAGCTATCCGTAGGCATCACGATTGCATTCCATTGACGCGTTTCCGGTAGACTATTCAGCTGGCGCTAAGGTGCGAAAAGCCTGCTCCTCCGGAGACATGGCTGTACTAAAGTTGTGGCGAAGGTCGGGGATGTCGCCCGGCACGTCTTTGGGGTTCTTCTTCGCCCTAGCAGGTAAATTAGTCTTGTTCGCTGATTATGCTGGGTTCTGATTACTGAGGGTAGCCGCAGCGGAGAGACGGGATCTTTACAGGTTTTCTGCCGATTTAGGCAAGCTGGCGCTCCGCATCGCGGATAGATATGGCACTAGCCTTGAGAAATGGTGACCACTCTCCGTTGCTCTCTAGATTGAACGCAGCTGATCTGGGTCGTAGTCGTTCTCAAGTGTTATTCTGTGCTATGGTATCAGGCTACGACAATGTCCATATTCGGACAAATATTTCTCGGCTAGATCAGGGTATGAAATTCGGAAACAGCTCTGGGGATCGGTAATGCAGCTCCTTACTTATTGAGTGCTCCCTTCTCATTGTCTTTCTGCAGTGTCTACACCGGTTTCGCCAGCTTGCATACTATCCAAACACGAATATACATATGCGACCATTGTGAGTGCTGCAATGCCTTCAGTGAATATAACTCAGATGGATTTTTAGTGAGTGAACTGGTCCCAGCAGCCGAGGAAGTAAGTGCCCTATTATCCCGACCCTTACGTGATACTGAGCACCAACCCAGTCCGTCAATGACATCAAACTTTGGACTCCCGGAGCGGATGCAATTGTGCTTGCCATGGGTTTGTGCATTTCTGTTTTATAGTGCGTGTCCTAAATGAAATACAGGCCAGTTGAATCTCGTACGGGCCCTGGGAGGCTATACCTACGCCGGCTCCCCGGATACCTGCTTCGATACCGAGAATTTCAAAGAAAGCGAGTATACCGAGGAAGTCCGTCACACTTCTGGCAACTTGCCTCTTACCATGAATTGGTGAGCACGTTATTCCATCAGTGTGAGCTGGTAATTGAAGTCTACCAGGTACAACTCTTTCAAGGTGAGAACTCCATGACAGTTGCCTTCCGTCTACGTCTCACTTCTCTTAGGTCGTAGGTTTCTTCTGCTTAGGTTATGTGGACCGTGCCGCGGAATTGGGATTTGCCGTCTACGAGACTCGTGACAATCATCCCAAGTCAGCATCGAATCTCACGTTTAAAGAAGATTACTTATAGTTGAGTTGTAGCCACCGACACGTCCGCTATGCTCTGTTTTTCCACACGCTATCCCTTATCGCGTGCATGCGTGATACTGCATTGCCTGTTAACATACGAGAGAGGTACATGAAACAGGTGGAAAAGAATCACTCCTTCCTCAGAAAGTACGTGCGAATGTCCATGGTTGTAGCCGGTACTTATTATCAATCAATAGGTGGTTATCCCCAAGTCCTGTGAATAATAGCGCCTGGGTAGCTCTCATCGTAAGTCAGATCGAACACTATGCTTTGGTTGTCAACTAATTCAACCATCCTCCAGGATGCTGAACTAGCATCTCTCCTCAATCGTCCTGATGCATTTAAGCTCTACGACGTAGCTGTAAAGTTAGTGACCTTCCTCTCACTATTCTGTAGTCCGTGACGGGGGCATCTTTAGGCTTGCAGTTAACAACGACTGGTTGATGGAAGAAGCTTGGGCGTTGTATCTGGTCTGTGGAACCTTTTCCAGCGGATAAAGTTGTTCTTCAACTGACCTTCGGTGCGAGTAGGAGGGCTCTCACTACGTCCGTTGCGGAGTTGAGGGCCTTGGAGGTGAATTGCAGCGACGGGGTATCTCCCGACATTCCCAGTGGGGAGCGCAGGCCGTTGTGTAAGTACAGTACATTTTGCAGCATCTGTATACTGATAAATCAGGTACAGAAACTACCTTACTTCGACCGTTGGAAGCAAGCTTGCGACGCCATCAAAGCGCAACGTATTCTCTTCCGATGTGGCTGTTCAGACTGACAATGTTATGATCGGGTACCGCCACCAAACTTCCGCTTCCATCTATGAGGCGACCAAGCAAGATTCATTAGACGAAGACGACGTCGCAACGCTCTCCGCATCTGATCTGGCGTCCATACTCAAATGGAGTAAGGAGATCTCCAGTGACATCAATCTGACATCTGGTAGGGCCTCAAATTTATCAAAGAAATACTCCACTAATCCACCGACAGCATTGCAGCGCCTGACAGAAATAGCGACGGGTAAGTCTTCTCGTCTTGTGTAGCAAGCACCATCTACAACCGCGCGTGCAGAGTCGTCGGGTGCACAGACGGCTTGTGTCGTAATAGCTCGGGAGGCTGGCGATTATACTGTTGCGACGAGTATGGTTCCGCCAGGCCGCTGCCAAGTATACGAGTATGTCTTCTCGCCTCTGCGGATCAACCGCTCCGCTAACATGTCGGCAGGAACCCCAAGCCTATACGGAGCATAACGGATCCATTGCAGAAAGCAATCACCCAGCAAGGTATGGTCTTACATTCCTACATGGCTGACGCTCAACTGAAGCTGTCGTCAGCACTGAACGCCAAGGAAAATGTCTACTACGATGATATTACGGTTGATTCACGTTACACTTCTGAGGCAGAGCAGAGTCCTCACAAATCCGTCATATGCATCCCGATTTTCAGCAACCGAGGACAAACATTTGGAGCGGTTTACCTGGCTTCCAAATATCCCTTCTCGCGGAATACGTTTACAATGCTGACTTTGCTCTGTCAGCAAGCCAGCATTAGTATCGCGAATGCTCTGCTTTTCCGGTCTGTGCAGGCAGGTACAAGGGAGAATCTGAAGATGATAGCAGCACAAAGAGATGCTTTGGAAGCGGCGCGCAAAAGCAGGGAAGACGCTCTCAAGGCCACCAAGGTGCGATTACAACCCTCTTTATCAGCCTCTCTCTAACCGGCATTTGCTATGCAGATCAAGAGCAATTTCTTGGCCTCTATGAGTCACGAGCTGCGCACCCCTTTCAGGTGGATGTCTTGCCCGATCTCCTCATACATGTTCACTCAGTCCGGCTATCTAGTTCCTTCTATGGGCTGCTTGACATCCTAAGTACTACGGAGCTCAATGCCGGACAACAGGAGATCGGTAAGAGACCCACTTATCCCACGTATAGCCATCGCAGTTTAATCCTTTCGTCTGCAGTCCAAACGGCAAAACAGTCGTGCGAACTGCTATTGAAGGTCTGTACTTTTTCTTGCATTTTCCAATGCAGTTATTGACAGATATGCCTTAGATCATCGATTCGATTCTCGACTACAGCAAACTGGAAGCATCTGGTATGGAATATATGCGCTTCCATGGACTGATTCTGACGCGGTGCTGTAGCCGTAAAATTGGAATATTCGGGGTTCCTGGTGGAAGACATCATTGCTGTGAGACATGCTTTGAACCTGGTTACTAGCTGGCTAAATTACCCCCTAGGACTGCATGGAGTTACTCTTACCTATGGCTGCAAAGAAGCTTGATCTCTCGTTCAATATTGAACCAGACGTTCCTCAATGTAAGCTGTCGGACCACGGCCACGGACATTTAGCTGGCTCTAACCCAATTGATTAGCTGTTACGGCGGACTATGCTCGTATACGTCAAGGTATGTTGACGAGAATAACTTGGTTTCAGAGCTGTCCTAACTACGGTGGATAGTTCTGATGAATCTCATTGGCAACGCGGTCAAGTTCACATCGCAAGGCTCGGTGAAAGTTGTATGTTCAGTTGACCGCAGCATTGTTCCGCCCCCAGGTGAAGTGCAATTGAAATTCGTCATACAGTATGTGATATATCCACCCCGCATCCGAATAAGTACTGATTGCGTCGCAGAGATACCGGTATTGGCCTTTCTTCCAGCGATGTAGACCTTCTATTTGTACCCTTTCAACAAGCCGACAATTCCTCCACTCGTCGTTTCGGTGGAACTGGCCTTGGCCTTTCCATATCAAGAGGATTGGTCAAGCTCATGGGCGGAGCTATTGGCGTGCAGTCGGAGTTGGGTGTTGGCTCTGTGTTTTGGTTCACAATCCCAGTCAGGATATCCGAGTCCCCTGAATCGCGAAAGGTATGCAATTTAGCAGTTGAAGCCGGGTTCGCTTGTATTCACATATGTTTAAGGTGCTCTCTGAAATCAATGATCTCCGAAATCGATTAACGAAGCCGGTACCCCCACGCGTACTCCTCAGCTCTCCATCCGACGTCACGTTGATGCTTCTCAGCAACATGCTTGATGGCTTTGAAATCGGCACTGCGACATCAATGGAGGAAACAGAGGAGTTTTTACGAAATCAACATGCTCAGGCCAAACCGCTGGACTTCGTTGTCCTTGATGACCAGTCTGAGACACATGCGGATGATTTAGCGCGCCTGATGTCGTCCTTGCAAAGCCCAAGTCTAAGAGAGACTAAACTCATACATATGTATACGCCGACTACGGACGCCTTGACGGGCCATACCATCTTCAGCAGTAACACCCCTGGAGTCGTGAAGATGACCAAGCCGCCAAGAAGGGCCCGGCTTCTGCAGACTCTCGCAAGCTTGAAGAATTTGGTCGGTACCCCTACCGGCCAGAGTAGACAAGCTGTCACCTCGGCTGAAGATGCGGCGCTGGCCAAGAGGACACTGTTCGGGAACGTTCTAATCGCAGAAGGTTCGACATACCGATCGCACGTGAAGCAGATCATTGATATTTGCTGACTGATAATGTCTTATAGATAACCCAGTCGCTCAGAAACTACTCGTCAAGCAGTTAGAGCGATATGATCTGAAAGTTACTCCGACTAGTAATGGCGAACAGGCTATCAGCGGTACGACAGACACGTTCTGGAATTGTTGCAGCAGCTGAATGTACTGTTAGAGTGGGAGGCTCATGAACCTGGCTACTTCAGCGTTGCCCTCTTCGACCACCGTACGTATTCTGTGGGGACAAACCACGACTGACTAGCTAATCCAATCATGCAGACATGCCCGTATGTGACGGCGTCGAAGCCGCGAAACGACTGCGCATGCTGGAAAGCAAGCGGAGAGTCCCAATAACCCTCCCTAGTGAGACTCATCGGCCGTGGCATCCTCGCACTTGATACTGATCCAGCTTGTACATAGTTGTTGCGTTGAGTGCGGATTGTCAAGAATCTACCAAGCAGCTATGTCTAAGCGCTGGCATGAACTCGTTCTTGAGTAAACCTTTGAAGAAGAGTCAGTGTGTTCCGTCATATACCGTATGTCTGCGTGCGCTGACCCTGTTATTCCAGCGGATCTTATGTCGCTACTTTCTAGTTACGGGACAGGGCCACCAGCTACTGGCAAAGAACATGACCCATAGGCTGATGCTGTCCGCTCTCTGTCTTACGATACCCTACCGCTTCCACTGGATTCCCCTCACGCTCACTCCCCGACATCACAGCCTATCTTATAACGCTAATCCTCACGCCCTCTGGTCACACAGCAAACCTCATGTCTATTCCCTGCACTGCACGCACATTAATACCCTATCTGTACGCCTATTGATACATTGTTTCTGTTAGTGCATCGCTGTATCATCTACATTATCTCATCCCAGGATCTACTTTATCGCATTTAACACTACTCGCGCTTTGCTGCTATCGTCTGTTACTCGCTAGATACTGTATGTCGATACAAATGCGATTTATGTACGAGAACGCCATCTCGCAGCTATTAGTATTGCGAGCGCTGCGGTGTCGGCAATAATGTCGTGCGCGCTGCAGATTCGCAACGTTGCAATTACAGCTGATTGCAGAACGACGGACGCACCTCATATTTCTACTGCTGGGCACTCCACTTTTGTCGGGGTAAGCTGGGCGATAATGTGCTCGATTGCCCTCGAACGAGTAACTGACGGCTTTCTAAGCCAACATCTCACCTTTTATGGCCATTTTGTGGTTGTTTGGCTTTGGAGCACCTTGTACAGGAGGAATTTCAAGTGCGTCTATCGTTCTGCAATCAGCTGTAATATGGTTGGATGGATGCCTGCGATTCGTGGGCTGATTAGGGTACCCATATGCTCATCCATGGATCTACAACTAGCATCACTGAAAACGTCCATTCCATGGTCCTGGGTCAACCCAATGGCTCTCTGCACTTCCTTCCCCTACTTGCGCGACGACCGTACCCGTCCCTGCAAAAGGTAGGGGCGGGACTGGTCCACTCGAATTAGATCTACCGTGGACATCACGAGACGCCAGAGATCCGCTCCGAGAACGTGACACAGACGCCACTTGACCACGCGAAGCACTGCATATCGACCTTCAATCAGACAGAATCACCGTAAGGGACGTATTGGGCTTACCTTGAGCCCGGCTGGAGAACGGCTGGAACGATTGCGACGGGCGGCGTACCCCAGCTACTAATTCTCTGAGGCTTTAGAGTCTCGAGCATAGGTTCTGAGGAGGCAAGTCTATCGCTACGCTTGCCGCAGCATTTCCGCTTGACACCTGTAAATCGTTAGTTTGGGGATGTATGGGCTGAATTACAGGACATACAGAGGAGCAGCAAAACTGCAAGGAACACCGCCACGATGCCCACAGCAACTGTGACAGGGACGGAGATTGTAAGGTTGCGGGTGTACCAAGCCTGCAACATATATTAGATGCGGCAGCAACACTAGGATCGGGTTATGATACCTTCGCTGTTTCAAATAGGCTTCCAGGTCGACAGGCACCATTCGTGCATGTTCCACCATACCCTATGGGATACTAAGAAGGCATACATTATACGAGTACGTATTCACTCACCGCAAGGCGAGCCATCAACAAGCTGGGTTTGCAGGGTTATACACTGGTTGGCGTGGGATGGGTCTTGACAGGATACCATACATGACTTATCGTTCTGCGCAGGACACGCGGTTTGCAGATTCATTGAACCCCCAAGTTGTTGGCATTGCTCTAGGAATAGTTCAAACTCCCTGCTAAGCCTTTCGGCACAGAGAACGACTCACGACTAAGGGATGTACATTGACCACTGGCACATGCCAATCCGCCCTGCCCACAACTCTTGCCTTCCCAAATGATCAGTAAACGAAGAAGAGGCCAATTTGGCATAGACTTACCGTTCGGAGCGAATATGTCGGGAGGACAGGTCGCGTTATTACCGGAGCACGTCTCTGCCGTATCACACGTCGCGTCCTTCGCTGGACGACACACCTGGGTCGAAGGTGCAAACTGGCAGGAATCCGTGCAACACTCGCTATTGGTTGGATCGCAGACAGAACCTGCAGTGAACTTGCACGTCTTTGAGTTGCAGCAAGTCGAATTCACCCCGGGGCCGGGGTCGCAGTCTTCCCCATCCTCGACGATACCGTTCCCGCACATTTGGAGAGAGATTATCTTTTGCGACGGGTTTGGAGCCGCGAGGCAAGACGTGTTTGTCTTCCAACCGGAATTTCCCTGCATCAGAGAACCTGCGGCGAGGGTCGCGCGTGTCAGACCTACAATAAGGAATGACATAGTATCCAGTACTTACAGATGTTCCCGAGAGAACAAGCGGAAAACGTCGTCTCTGAGGCAGCTGTGGTTGGATTCATGACAAACTTGCCGCCTGCGTCACACGAATTCGCGGACATGGGGCAGCAATTTGTCGTCGAATTGCACCCCGATGTACACTATAATACCTGTAAATGAAGAGCCATTGTATGAAAATGCTGTGCGAAGACTCACGTCGTGCTACACAAGAGGGCTGAGTCAGGATACTATTTTACGAGGATTTAATTCAGGACGTACAATTGCCCCAAAATTGTGCCCGATCTCGTGTGCAACGACTTGCCATTCTGTACGCCCAGCGGTGGAAACGGCCGTGCCAGAGACAATAGATGGTGCACTCCCAGAAGCCTCTTGTTGGCAGCTGGACAATATGTACGAAACCTTCTGATCAGCACTGACTACAGGAAACTACGGTACGACAACTTACAGCGTACTCAGCCAAGCGATACCGACTTCACTTCCAGTAGGGCATCCGCTCATGAGATGCCAGAGCCCGACTCCGTCGTTCGTCCGGTTCCCGCGCCAGCTGGAGAAAACTGATAACCGGTCGTTCAATGTCAGGTTGTTTGTACCAGTGCAGTCGACGTTCCAAGGGTTCGCAGGGTCAGGTGTGGTAGGACATCTTCATCGGAAGATAAAGTCAGCCCGGTACAAGGAAACGTCCAGTGTGAAGTGGCTCACGTTGCGTTGTGCACCTGAAGCTCAACTATTCCCAAACTAATGTTGAATGTTTGCTAGGAGGAGGTGAATGACAGATCACTGCGAAATACTGAAGGAATACATACTTTGTACAGCGAGCTTGCCATATTCCAGTCATTCAGAATTTGAGTGGTGGCATTCGATGTGGTCCCATAAAGCGCAGTATACGCGCAGTCCGCGGCGACACCCATGTAAAGCTGCAAACGTTGAGACACGTCCTAGAATGAGAATGCAAGGTACATACGATCTTCTGGCTTGTCGGACACCCCGCATTCTTCCCGATGCTGCTCTGGAAGCTATGCATGGATGAGTAACTCGAGCAGGACCTGGCATAACAGGCCGGCTTACTTAGTCGACATGTTAGCGCCCACAGCATCGTCACGCTTAATGACAGAGAGCGGATTGAAGACGCCCAAAGGATCGTACCACGGGCTTGTGCTTTCCTTTCTCAGACTCGGGTTCAGGCTGGGATCCGTGTTATAAGGCAGGTGATCGTGCCCACACGTCCGAGGTGGTGGAGGCAAGCTAGATGGGTCAACCGGAATACCAGTGCGTAACGCATGCTCTTCCAGGTAGCTCATCACATCGGAGTCGCGGAAGATTACGAGAGGTGAATCAGGCTCGTCTTGGACAGCGAGGATGGGCGAGTCGAACTCGTGCTTATGACGCAGGTAGTTGTCCTTTGTCATGACGTGGTGAACGACACCGTGTACAGAGAATGCGCCCTCGTATACCGGCGGAGTACCTCTTGTGATGTCCCCTTGGTCGTGGACCATAATCCGAGCCCATCCGAGTGACGGTCGAGGTAAGGCTCCAACAGCATCCTCTCTCATACGTGAAGGAGACTCGTCGGCAGGGACAACCTCTCCCCAGTATACCTTGATCGACTCTCGTAGCAAGGGCTCCGTGCGGTCGAGGACGGTGCTGCCATCCGTATTAGTGTAAAAATAATTGACCCGAGCTGCGGGGTGGATGAGGTGGTCGTTCGGGCGGAGATGTAGGTGGTAGGTCTGGTCGAAAGCGGAAAGCGTCAGGCGGAAGGTGTCGGAGTGTCGAAGGATGGGTTCGCGAGAGGTGGTCGAACGGGGCTCGTGGGTGGATGGTCGACGAGGTAGGATCTCGAGGGCAAGGGTGGAAGGGTTAGTAATTCGTTTCAGGGGCCGTGCTGGACCCAGAGACGCTGGACGCCGTTCAGCGTGTGTAAGTGATAGCTTACCCGTACGCTATGGCTACACACCTGATACAAGGCCCGCGCAGACTATAAGTACAACGGCCAGCGTATGAATTGCATGTCGAATGTATGACATTAAGTCGCCAGACCTATATTCTCTGTTATGGTGGTTAGCGCTTAGCCCGAATCATTACCGACCGCGCTATTCCCTGACAGACCTGGCCAAGCAATTGGATTAAGCCCTCTAATCGAAGTCCTTGAACGAAACGAACGTGAAGCTCTCAGAGCAGACGGAACCAGGCCGCCTTGAAGAGGGTATAGAAAGTAGACCACGCCGAAAGCCCAGTAAATACCACCAACAACGCTAAAACAGCGCTACAGTCGAAAGCGCAGATATTGCGATGCGCTCTGTCGTCTCTCCGTCGCGACCACCAAATCCGAGACGTCCGCAATTGCCAATCATAGTACCTAAACGACTCAGCGAGCACAGCCTCTGACAGGGTGCTTCGACTTATAATTATCTTAGGAATTCTGCCGTGATAGAGGACGTTAGACACCGTTTTCGAATATACATGTACAGAGCTCGAATGTGTTCCGATGCGTAAAGCAGTAAATGTGATAAATAAACGGTAACAACAACCTAAACGACCTCCTTAGGACATCGCGGTCTACGCGTTTTTGCTCTTGTAGTCAGAGCCCTGCCCTCCCTGTTTAACGCCATAATAGTACGTCTTCCGACCTATACCATTGAACCATGCCAACCTATGAAAGGCAGGGGAATTGTCGCAGAGCAGACCAAGGAGTTCACAGAACCATCCTACCTGGAACAGAGCAGAAACAGCGTGAAGGTGATATTCCCGTGCGTCATGGGATTCCAAGTCCCTGGGGCCAACTTTGCCTCAGGAGGTAGTGCCACGAAAGTGGCAATAACACTTCCACACCTTGTCAGAGGAAGTGCCAACGAAGGTGACCGGCGAAGTCTTATACTCACTGAGTTAACTTAGAGAAGATGGATCAGTACGACGAGAACCACTATTTTGAGTATTCCGCTCACATCCGCGATAGCTAAGGCCGTAAAGCTTGCGCCCAATATACGTTCTTGGGACACGGGATCCCCGGGCAACGCATCCCTTACAGCCCGAAAGACGAACGACGATATGAGTCCCAATAATAGGTAGCCTGACGCCCACTCAGCAACCGGTCACAAGCTGATGGACACGCACTCACAGTTACCCAGTTGCCAGATCGCCATTTGCGACCTGCGGTCCAGAGGTGCCGTCGGGAGAGCACCCGAGGGTGGTATGAGTTCTCGATGGAACCAGGCTGCACCGGGGAAGGTCCAAGCCATGATCGCAGGCAGCATTGTAGATACTGCCGAGAGCATCATGAATATCTGCACTAGCAGCATCGTAACATGGGGACTTACTTGGCTCGACATAGAGAAACAGGGCCTTGTAGAACCCGGGCAAAGCGGGAAAGTCCACCATGGTAGCAAAGACAGAGTTGACGAACTTACCCTCGCACGCGAATTCTTAGTATAACTCTCGCGCAGTTCCCATCAGCATGCCCGAGACCATGGGAGTTTCGACATGGGGATGTTATGACATTTGGTCCCTGCATTTGCTAGCGGTCTTTACGGTGGACGTTGCGGTATAGGCGGTAGCCCAAAGGAGGTAACTGCGCGCCCCGGCAAACGTGCTTGACATTGTTATAGCTTGTAATTGGGAGCTGCTCTACCTCGCCGACGTGTCCCCGTGGTCAGTACACGTATTTTGGCAGTCGCTTAACGGTATATAAGCAGTCTATTCGATGACGACGATTGCCATGCTCGGTGGAGGTCACCGATAAGTTATAACAGTACACCCCTACTCAGGCTCCAAGATGACCGACCCAACCCCACCTCAGATGCCCTCTCTAGGTCTATCAGTCGCGCCTGACAGCCCTGGTTCCTCAATCTTTGACCTTCCTGCAAAGTCGCCATTGCATACCAAGACATCCACCGTTCCCGGTGGACCTTCTCGTGAATATGTCGGCTTTACGTCCACCGAGCCAAAGGACTCGCCGTCATTCCTGGTGATATCTGGCGGTACCGGGTGTAACTCGATCTGTTCGGCTTTTGGTAACGCTTGCTATGTCCTCCCTGTATCTGACGATGGAGGGTCATCGAGTGAGATTATACGTGTGCTGGGAGGACCGTCTATCGGTGAAGCTCTTCACCTTTACTTTGACGAACCTTGTCTCACGCTGCACTTCAACTGGTAGGTGACATACGGTCGAGGTTGATACGATTGATCCCTCCAAGTCCTGCTGGATCGCCCTTGGATGCTATTCGAAACTTGCTGGCGCATCGGTTCCCAGCTGATATGACCGAACGGGAGGCGCGCGATGAATGGCGGGATGTGGTCGAGGGCCGGAGTGCCCTGTGGACTGGAATCCCAAATGATCGGAAAGAGCTTATAAGAGGTGCGATGAATGTGGCAGGTACTTCTGATCGTCCCTCACATGGGTCGCAGGTTTCCTCGTTCATTTCGAAAGCGAGCTCCTGAAACGGGCGCAGAAGAACTTCTCCTTTCTGAATGGAAGGTGAGATAATGTCGCATGTACAACTCTTTGCTGGATCCATTACCTTGCTTTAGCGTTGGTAACTATTTCTTAGCGGCAGCCCAAGAGTTTTTCCGATCGCTGCCATCTGCCATCTTCCTCTTTTCATCTATCACGAACAGTCAGGTCAATTGCTTGTCTTCCTCGTGTACAGTAATGGGCACTTACGCCCCTCTGATAGGCAAATATACTACCTGTCATAATTACGAATCACACCGTCACCATCGCTGCGGAGCTGGTGGGATTTAATCCTGCCTTTTTGCTAAGCACTTGTGTCTGAAGCTCGAATCTGAAGGAAAACGGAGACAAGATAGTCGGGCAATGCAACATCTCTCACCCGGTTTCTTCCTCGGCGCCATCCATCAACGTAACCGACTCGGACCCAACTTCACCCGTCGTAGCACATCCCCAAAATGTCATGTTCAGGGCAGATTCGAAGGACGACTGGTCCGCATTAGAATCTCGCATATCCCGTATGATCTCCCATTTGTTAATTGCTCAAGTATCTCACTGCCCGGCAGGGTTGTACTACATCAATGCTTACGGGAACGAGATACAACCCGCACCCAATCCTGACTACCTGGCAAACATCGCCACCAATGATGTCTTGGTATACTCGTGCGGTTCACTGTGGACTAGGTGAGCGAATCTCTGCCGACGCCTTGGATACGCCATAGCTAACATTCCCTCAGCATAATCCCGTGCCTTGCTCTGAGAGGTGTTGCCACCGCGATTGCGCGCTCGCCTTCTCTTAGGGCTAAAGTCCTCCTTTGTACGGTTTTGCCACTATCTAGCTGCTGTTGAGACTCACTCGTCTATTTTCTACAGTAAACTCTAAGAACGACAGAGAGACAGCCGACTACACCGCTGTAGACTACATAGAGTGAGTGTTACTGTTTAGGAGCCAACGCGTCCTTTGATTTACCTATCTCTCCAGAGCAATCGTCAGATCTCTGAAATGCGCTTGCGCTCGCCGCTCTGACGATACGTATCCGACTTCTGCATTCATCACTCACCTTGTCTACCTCCGCGGCACCTCCGTTCCAGTGGAGATAGAGCGGATAACTGTGCGCAACTTCCATGCTGATATCTTAATACTCCTCTGATGTCCGATACACCTTGCAGGCGATGGGTGTTGCGTGCATAGAAGTGGATGGCCAGGCTCCCAATTCAGACGATCCGCCGCTGTATGATGCCCCGAGTGTCAGACAGGCCATAGACAGAATTCTGCGACAAGAAAACTAGATTTTTGGATTGCTATGGTACAGTGGACTGTCGCCTATTCATGACATACACCTCCTTATGAGAGCGAACGTTGAATACGTACATACGCTAGTAATCTTCGTCCCCCATTTCGCGAACATGTTGTGACAGATGTAGTGTGACAGCACTGGGAGCTCTGATTGGCCCATCAAGCATTCGATGTGGCAAACAATGTTCTCACGCCTGCTATATCTCTGTGCCTGAGTCTGGGGCTCCAGGTCGTGTCCTAATTACCTTCATGACCAATGATGGTCAACCGCAGGCGGTTTCCTCGCCGTCCTGCGCATCGTCCTCGTCGCAGCGCCCACCAACGGCTGGCCCCACAATGGAGGCTAAATTTTTACTGCAGAGTCCGAGGGCGAACGGTGAGCCGCGTACCCCAGCCTGTCAACGAGATAACGAGCATATGCGAACTCTGTTCTGGCCTCGACCATAGATAGCGCCCTGTTGTCGTTCGGCGACGACACGCCCGACAGCGCCGACGCCCTCCACGTCGAGGTCTCGCCGAACCCGGGCCTCGACGACTGCCCGCCGTCCGAAGAAGACGAGGGCTTCTTTGACGGGAAACCCATCCTCGAAGGTTCGCCCACGAAGCCAACCATCATGTCCGGGAACGCGCTCCACCTGCACCTCGAGGAACACGACATCTCCGGCAGTGCGCCCTCCATCCGCTTCGCGCCCGACCCACCGTCCGTGTCTAAACCGCAGACCAACGACAGGAGCGCAGACGCGCCGCACCTAGTGCGACCAGCACCTCGGGTGAGGTTCCGCTCGCGCGTACGCATAGCGTCGGGCCTGCATAGGCATCGGCAGCACCATCCGGAAGATTCGCCCGACTCGAGCTCCTCGTCCCTCTCCAGCTCGCCGTGTTCGTCGCTATCCGTACCGCTGCGCTATCAAGCGGACGAAAACAGCGCGCTTGGTCCCCTAGGAAGGAGGTTGAGCTCGTACGCTGCGCAGGGAGGTTTTAAACACCGTGTCATGGCTTCACCAGTGCCGCAGAGACAGTCGAGCAGGGCGACGGTCAGGGGGCAGAGTTCAGAGGCTAGTGAGAGGAGCTCATTGCTCAAACCTGGCACACGTGTCCGCACATACGGAGAAGACGAGAGGAGATCATCGGGCGAGCAGGCTGATGTTCATCCTGAAGTGGATGAAGATGCCGAGTTCGGGCCCTGGCCCCGAAGACTACTAAATCACCACGTACGTGTGTATCACTTAATTGCTATCTGTTGATCTTACCGTTCCGGCAGTGGTGGTGGTGGCAGTTGGAGCCAATATTATGTTGTTTCTGCGTTGACGACTCTGATACGGATGACTGACTAGGAGGGTGACTTGTCTTGGATACCTCCGCCTCCGCCTGTATCACATTACGACTTCCTTCTTTCGCTGTGTTACCCGCTTTCCCGCTCTTTCTTGTGTTAGGATGTTGAGATCCATTATGTATCACCTATGCATAATACACACATCGTGTACAATATCATCGTTATACAGGGGCTCTATTCTTCCTTCAGATGGGAAATTAGATATAGTTTTAAGCATGCTCGTTCTTGTCGGGATGGTGAGACGGCAGCACCATGGTGGGAGGCAGTGTGGTGATGGGCGGCAGGAGGCTGGCAGCGCCGCGACGAGCCTGCTGGATCAACAGCTGGTCCATGACGACGAGAGCGGCCATGGCTTCGACGATGGGGACGGCGCGGGGCACCACGCACGGGTCGTGGCGACCCCTGGCGGCGAGGGTACCGGGAGTGCCGTCGTACTGAGCGGTCGACTGGGCCTGGGAGATAGTAGCGGGGGATTTGAACCCAATGCTGCAACATCATTGTCAGCCACAGCACAAACGGCGAGATGAACGATGCTTACCGGAAGTATACGTCTTCCCCGTTGGTAATACCACCCTGAATACCGCCGCTCCAGTTCGTCGCAGTCCCCAACTTCCCGTCCTTGAGCACGAACGAGTCGTTGTGCCTGCTGCCGGGGACCTCCGTGCCCCTGAACCCGCTGCCGATCTCGAAGGCCTTCGTCGCAGGAATCGATAACATCGCGTGCGCGAGCTTCGCCTCGAACTTGTCGAACACGGGTTCGCCGAGCCCCGCGGGGACGTTGCGGATCACGCAGGTGACGGTGCCGCCGATGGAGTCCTGCGCCTCCTTCGCGCGCAGGATGCGCTGCGTCATGCGCTCGGCGGTCGGCGCGTGCGGGCAGCGCGTCGGGTGCGCGTCGACGTCCGCGCGCGTGACGCTCTTGAGCAGGGACACGAACTCGGCGCTGAGCGGCTGCTCGGCATCGTCCGACACGTCCTCGTCCTGCGCGCGGGTGGGCGGGAGCGTGGACGGGAGATGGATCTTGCCCACGGAGGAGACGAAGGCGACGATTTCGATGCCATAGGCTTGTTTGAGGTAGCGCTCGGCGATGGCGCCTGCGGCTACTCGACCTGTGCGCGCATAGGGTGAGCTATGCCTATCCAAGAGACTGTCAGTGTGACTCACCGATGGTCTCCCTAGCGCTGCTACGACCGCCACCGCTGCTGGCCTTGACGCCGTATTTAACGAGGTAGGTGTAATCAGCATGGCTGGGCCGGGGGTAGAGATCGGTCTCGGAGTAGTCCTTGGGACGCTGGTCCTCGTTCTTGACCAGCAGAGCGATGGGGGTGCCCAACGTCACGCCCTGCTCAACACCGGACTGAATGTGTACGAGATCCTTCTCATCTCTCTGATAGATGTAAAGAAAGGAGCCGATACAGAATCAGTGGACAGGTCGTGAGAGCGTGTCGATTGCATCGCGGGACAGGGGTGTTTCGCAGTCAACACACGAGTTATCAGATATCAGTCAGAGCAACGGGGATCGAATCGAATCCGACGCGGTAAGTTTGATGCCCGAGGAGACCAGAGAAAAAAAATGACTCACAGGGGTCGTGAGGTTGCTCTGCCCCGGCCTGCGGCGGCTAAGTTGAGTCTGAACGTCCGGTGCAGACAGCTGCAAGCCCTGTAGCCGCAGTCAGATGTATACGTTACACATTGTGTCATGATTGTCGGTACTTACGGGCGGACATCCATCAACAATCACGCCGACGCTGGCGCAGTGGCTCTCGCCGTAGGTAGTGACCCGGAAAAGCGTACCAAAAGTCGACATTTTGCACAAGACAGCAGGGCAAAAGCGCGACGCTGGTTTGACCGGGCGAGGGACGCGGATGGGATCCTTTTAAGCCTGGGCTGAGCCTAGGGAAAGACTGTGCTTGACGGCCGACTGAGATGAGAGCAAATCTAATCTCTTGCGGGCGCGTGGGAATAAAGTCGCGCACGTGACGTATTCACCCGCGCAAACCCCGCGTTCGTGGCACCCAAGGGGCCAACGCGGGTATTACCGACGACGTCAACCCTATTGTCGTTGTCCCTTTCCAAGTTTACGGGGTCCCGACTTTCACTTTCTTGCACGGTTTGCGTGCACTTTCTATTTGCGATTTCCCAGAGCTGTATTAAAATCTGAATCTTTTTCTGTACCGTTGAGTAGCATTCTAGCACAGGTCTACATACTTTTTGAAGTGGTAGGACATACGCTATACCTTTGATAAATGCATCAAGCAAAATCTGAGGACGCGAGCTGTAGACCACTTGCCTGATTCGGACAAACGACGCAGTGTGTCTGAAAACCGGCGATGCGAGACTTTTTCTAACAGTCCTCTTTGAATGGTGCAAGGATTGCTGGTAGTCTTGAATTTACAGTTGTATATTGTATCATGTAGAGTCTGTAGCCTGTCAAAGTATCTTGTGCTTTCTATACTAGTACATCGGCAAATTTGAAGAAATATGTATCCATCAAGCCCTACGGTTGCATGGTCACAACGGACCTTTGGCAAATATGCGCCCACCAACAGCTCTGTCAAGAGAACTACTATATTATAAGCACTGTTTATAACCAGTCTTATGCATCAGGAAGTAGAGAGATGTTCCTGTATGTCTGAGTCAGTGCAGAAATATCATCGACTGAGAAGTGTTGGGGATCTTTCAGAACTGAACAATGTGATCTTAGGGATCAAAGATATATATAAGTAGTTATAAGCTATTACCTATGTGTACATGGATGACAGAGGCTTGTTGATTCCCGACAATCGACCACACAAAACATAAACCCAGGCAGAAGAGGAGCCGCCACAAATTGCCTTATCAAGGTGGTCCTCTCTCTTACGTGATGCTTTCGGGGTCCTGTTCACTTTAGGGGGTTGCCGTCGCGCGTTTTCTGGCCGTTGGCCCCTTGGTGGCACCGCTCGTTCGTTCCGCCGCTGAGCACACACTTTGGACTGCACATCTTGTCCATGGCACCGCCGCTTACAGGAGCGAAGAGACAGGCAGGAGACCGAGCAGATGGGGAGCCGAGGCAGAAGAGAAAGCGGGTTGACGCGACACCGAACAGCACATCGGGTGGCGGGGCTATGAAGAGGCATGATAGAGGCACGGAGGGGGATGCGAGGCCATCTCAGGTGCGCTATGCTCAAAGCTGTTTTGCGAACTGTTCAATCCAGACAAGAACATCCAGGTGGACTTTTCCAGCATGCCCACCGAGGCCCTGCACAAATACCTCGCGCATTACGATCTTATACCCAGGATATATCCGTCGCCGCTGTCGCCCGAGGACCCACCGCCGCCCTCATCCCTGCTGAACCCACACCGGCATTCCTCACGCATGGCGAGCCCGCCGCCACAGACGAATCGGCGCGAACCGCAGAACAGAAGACGCAGCTCGCGGTTGCTGGAAGACGAGACGCGGCATCGCACGCCTGTACTGGCGGACCGCGAGGAGATCCACGACGTGCTTGCAGCGCTCGCAGAACGGCACTTCCGCGAGCATGTCATCACGGCAGGGGAGGCAGAGGTGACCACGCTCTCGCTGTTCATGACCTCGGCAAAGTCGAAGGGTACGCGTTACGTCACACATTCTTGTTTCTGATAATCAGATTATGCCGGGCGGTGCCGAGCTATTTTTGCCACGGAATTTGATTCGCCTGCCATATTTGGACCAGTCCTCCACTCATCGTTCTGGCGACCGGCTAGCTGATTTCTTCTTGTGATTGGTTCACAGCGCGCCTCTTCCGGTGATTGGACGGCTGAAGGCTATTGAACAGCTGTGATGCTCGGATTCCTCGGTGTGCTGCAGTTATGCTTTCGTTTCTCAGGGCAGTTTCGGTCAGGATTGATACGTATCGCGGGTGTATTTTTGGATTACTCAGGAAAAGGAGGTCAATTAGTGCGCGCTTTGTTTTACGCTAGACGGTGCTCCAAAGCCATGTTGAGACCGAGTGTTGTTACCACGGCGACGTCCCCGGTAGTGCCGGCCATTGGCCAATCAAAGGGGTCCTTCCTTGCTACCCCATATAAGGCCGCAAACTTTGTTCTTCGCTTTCAACCCCCTTTCTTTCCCCCGCCATCGTTCTCTCTTGGCAGCTGTGCTGTCCCATCTTTTCTTTGTGAGTGCCTCCCGTCCAGTATTGAGCCACTCGTACTGACCATGCCTGCAGCTCTTCAACTTCAGGATCCTTTCTTTGCACGGTCACTTCAGTTCTCCCTAGAAATCACCTAGTCGCAGGTCGCTTGTACTCTCAACCATGAAGTTCTCTACGTCCATCGCCTCTCTCCTCGTCCTCGCTCCTTTCATCTTCCAGCAAGCTGCAGCGGCTCCCCCGCAATTCGGTGGAGGTGGCGGACAGGTGCGCCCTCAGATGTCTTGCGAGAGGATCACACGAACCTGACTGTTTCCCTTAGTTCGGTGCCGGAAGGGGTGGCAACAACGCTGGAAAGGGTGGTAACAACGGCGCCGGCGGTGCCGCTGCCGCTGCTGCTGCCAAGGGTGGTAATAATGCTGCTGGGAAAGGAGCTGCTGCTTCGAGTTCTGCTGCTGGCGCAGCGGCTTCCAGCTCTGCTGCCGCCGCCCAGGGAGGTGCGGGCGGTGACCTCCAGTCATCTCTCAGTGAGAACTCTCATCTACTTTTGTGTCGCGCCGTTCATTAAACTGTTCATAGCCCTCGACCCATCCGTAATCGCTAAGGGCTTTGAGAACGACGGCCAGAGCCAGCCGGAAGCCGGCCAGGTCGCGTCCAAGACATCCTCGAACAACTTCATCAACTTCTGCGCAACCGTCCCCCAGCTGCCCATCACGAACGGCCAGCAGATCACGACGGGCTCATGTAACCCCGCCCCCATGGGTATCATCGCCGCCACGACGAACATGCCGTCCTGCAAATTCCAGTTCCCCACGAACGGCGCGAACATCCCCGCCAACCAGGCGTTCACCATCAAGATGGCGATCAAGAACCTCGACACGGGCAACTTCGTGAACGCGCAGGAGAACTACTTCTCCGCGCCGCAGTTCACGGGCTCGAGCGGGAACGTCCAGGGCCACTCGCACGTCGTGATCGAGCAGCTCGACTCGATGACGCAGACGACGCCTACGGACCCGACCAAGTTTGCGTTCTTCAAGGGCTTAAACGACGCTGCCCAGGGCGGTGTGCTTACCGCGGACGTCACTAGTGGTCTCCCTGCCGGCACGTACCGTATGGCGTCCATCAACTCCGCGGCCAACCACCAACCTGTCCTCGTCGCCGTTGCTCAGCACGGTTCGCTCGATGACATGGTCTACGTGAGTGGCTCATGGTGTGTCGACATTTACATCAGCTAATTGATTGCTTTAGTTCACCGTTGGTGGTGCTGGTGGCAACAACGGCGCTGCTGCTGCAGGCAATGCAACCGCAGGTGCCGGTGCTGCCGCTGCGAGCGCGAGTGCTGCTGCTGCTGCTAAGGGCGGTAAGGGTGGCAACGCAGCTGCAGGCAAGGGCGCCGCTGGCAACAACGGTGCCGCCGCTGCCGCTGCTCAGGGTGGTAAGGGTGGCAATGCAGCTGCAGGCAAGGGTGCTGCTGGCAACAACGGTGCCGCCGCTGCCGCCGCCGCGGCCAAGGGTGGTAAGGGCAAGAAGGGCAAGCGCTTCTTGCGCGAGTACTAGGCTTGTCTCCGCCTGCTGTCCTGTACGTGCTGTAGATATTTCGTCGCTCTGAAGTTGCTTCGTTCTTGTTGTATGGACGTTCTTTTCGCATACCTCTACTACCCTTAGTTCGCATGTCGGCGTTGGTCGCGTTCTTCATGGCATGTACACTAGACCAGATGCTTTCTCGGAATGAATGAGCGGGATTGGATCCTTGCTTTGGGGCTGGCCAACCATGGGTGTTCAATTGCAAGTACGTTCTGCAAAGCTGAGTTGCAACTATATCACTGTACGAAGTGCTCATCATGACATATGCACCTTGCGCATTGCCACGAACCTTGAGCATAAAGTTGTAACGAGGACACTGGAAGATGATGGTCGTCCTCCGCCAAGACCTGTCAAGATAATCTACTCATACAAAGTCAAATTCCCTTTGGGCTTCTTTCATTATATATCGTCAGTCATCCTCGTCTTTGAAATTCCCTCCGGCTCGAGTTTTTCTTGGCCATCGTAAGCCGGCGGCTCCGGGCTCTAACTCTGTACCTCTCCCGCCACCATGTCGTCTGAAGACATCGCAGAAGAGATCCGGAACACCCTCCCGGGGACGGAGGAGATCATCGTGCAGTACCTCGCGGGGTACCTCGTCGACGACGCGTGCGAGGATGAGGATGTGCTCCTCATCGCGCGCGAGATCCTCGCGTCCGTCGCGCGGGGCAAGGAGGACGCGCTGCAGCGGCTCATGACGCGCCTCGGGGACCTGATGGAGGATACGCTGAGGGCGCGGGAGGCGAAGAAGGCGAGCGCGAGCGGGTCGACGCTCGTGAAGTTGGATAAGGCGGTCGAGATGAGCAAGACGGGTGCGATGTCGGGCACGATCGCGCTCTCGGAGGGGGTGGATTTGGAGAGTATTAATAAGGGGAAGTGAGTGTGTTCCTCAGTTCGAGCGTGAGGCCTGTGTTGACAGGATATGGTCCCAGAGCCTCGAAGGTCGATATCAAGAAATTGGAGAAACAGGAAGCTAAGCTCAAAGTGCGCAGAGGACACCTGAGTGTTTGTTAGGATATGCCGCTCACCATGCTATTAGGCCAAGATCGAGAAGCGTTCCCGCAGAGATCTCTATGAAGGCTCCAAACTCCTGGACCAGCAGCGGAAGCAGGTTCGTGCATATCTATCATGTTCGAAATATCTGCGAATTTTGACCGCGCATTAGCAAACGTACGAGGAGATGTTCATGAAGGTGAACCCGCTCGAGTCGGCCGCTGCCGCGAAGAACAAGAGCAAGGACATTCATCTCCCGAATATTGACGTCAACTTTGGCTCCAACCGGATTTTGTGAGGTTCATCAATCTAGTGCGGTGCACTGATTAACTTCTGGCTTTATTTCAGATCCGGTGCAAGTCTTACTCTCGCCCATGGTAGAAGGTACGGTCTGATCGGTCGCAATGGTACGCATACATCCTCAGTCGACAGAGGATCATGATATCGACACCGTGTAGGTGTTGGTAAATCGACATTGCTACGGCATATTGCTATGCGAGAAGTACCCATTCCGGCCCATATTACGATCCTTTTCGTCGAGCAAGAGGTAAGGCATTTTGCTTCAAGGCGGGCTCCGAGCCTGACCTACGGTATTGACAATCACTTCTTAGGTCATGGGCGACGACACCACAGCTCTCGACTCGGTCCTCAAAGCAGACGTCTGGCGGGACCACCTCATGAAGCAGGAAGCAGAGCTAAACGCGAAGCTTACTGAACTAGAATCAGAGGGGGACGACAAGCGGTTTGAGGATGCACGGGAAGAGACGTCAACGCGCTTAGCGGAAGTCCACGCGCGGTTGGCTGAGATGGAGGCTGAGACCGGCCCTTCGAGGGCTGCCGCTCTGCTGGCAGGTGAGTATCGAATGTCTCGGTTCTGGTGATAATGGCTACGGCAGAGTCTGACGTGCGAGGTCTTAGGTCTGGGCTTCAGCGAGGAGGACCAAAAACGCACAACAAAGTCATTCAGTGGAGGCTGGCGTATGCGGCTTGCTCTCGCCAGAGCCTTGTTCGTGAAGGTAGTGGCTTCCCGTATATTTCGTTCTGCTTGCGTTGACGACTAAATAGCCTGCCCTTCTTTTACTGGACGAGCCGACAAATCACAGTCCGTAACTTGTATATGCTCGTTTTTGTACCAGATCTGACGGTCCTCCAGTTGATCTGAACGCTTTGGCATGGCTCGAAGACTATCTACAGACGTGGCCAGGAACCCTCCTCGTCGTGTGCGTTACACCTGGTTACTGCTTCTTCGTGGTATTTACCTGATGCTTGATAGGTCTCATGACCGTGCTTTCTTGTGAGATCGTGCTTCGCTTGAGGTTTATTTTCTTGAGTTTTGAACTATTGCCACCTACAGAGACGCTGTCGCAACGGATATTGTGCACATGCACTCAGGCCGACTCGATTACTTCAAGGGGTGCGTACTAGCACAGATTCTGTTCATCAAGCATTTCTGTTGACGTCGAGCTCAGGAACTTCACCCAGTTTTATGCGACTAAGTCTGAGCGCGATCGGAACCTGCGCAAGGAGTACGACGCGCAGATGGAGTACCGTAAGCATTTGCAGGCGTTCATCGATAGGTGGAGATACAATGCGAATCGGGGTACGTGAGGATCCATCAGACTACGGAGACACGCTAACATTAGAGATAACAGCTGCTCAGGCTCAAATGAAAATCAAGATCCTGGAGAAGGTATGTTTCCTCACTGTAGCATTATGACAATTCATACCCAATGTACATCTGTGATAGCTACCCGATCTTCAACCTCCAGAGGAAGAAGAGAAGGAGAAGTTCCGGTATGTCCCGCTGCTGTCTAGAACCCGCCCATAGCTGCCTGACCATGACTAGCTTCCCAGAGACAGAGAAAATCTCGCCGCCATTACTCCAGCTGAACGAAGTCTCGTTTGGTTACACGCCGGACAAAGTTATCTTGAAAGGCATCAACTTTGATGTCGGGCTGGACTCGCGTATCGCTATAGTCGGTGCCAACGGTGCTGGAAAATCCACCCTGTACGTTATTTTCATGCTAGCGTGTCCGGTCACTCTTCTGACGATGTCCGTAGTATCAAGCTCTTGACTGGAGAGCTACAACCACTAGCCGGTCATCTTACTCGTAACGGGCGACTCCGCGTGTACGTGCCTCTTCAGATCTTTACAAGCTAACTTCTCACGCGGAGCGTGTCTAGGGGATACTTCGCTCAGCACCACGTTGACACGCTCACTCCGACCATGACTCCGGTCCAATTCTTAGCCTCCAGGTTCCCTGGAAAGACGGAGCAAGAGTACCGATCCCATCTTGGTAACTTCCAAATCAGCGGGATGACAGGGTTCGTATCTGGGTTATCCTATTGCTTATCTTGAGTTCCTACTAACACATCCTCTGAAGTCTGCAGTTGATTGGGACATTGAGTGGAGGTCAGAAGTCGCGTGTGGCTTTCTCCCTCTTGTCATTACAAAGACCTCATGTGTTGCTGCTGGATGAGGTACGCCATTGGTATCCGTATTTGGGCCAGACACTGACGATGACCCCTTAGCCTACTAACCACCTGGATATGGAGGTACTTCATAACTTCATTCCACTGTGAACTGAATTTAACTCTTGGATAGGGTCTGGACGCCTTGGTCGCTGCATTGACAAGTTGGAATGGAGGTGTAATCATCATCTCTCACGACGAACGGTTCATTACCAGCGTAGCCAAAGAGGTGAGCGTCTCTGAGTTGGAACCTGGATTGTCATGAACCATGCAATGTTTCAGCTTTGGGTGTGTGGCGACGGGACCGTACGGAAATTCCCAGGTGATGTACAGAGCTACAAGGTCGGATTCTCTTCTCCTGTCATGATGTTGATGATGCTGATGCTGTCCATAATAGAAACTCATCGTCAGCAATGTCAAAGCGAAGCCGTGAGACGGTTAGGTCCATTCTTTGTCACATCACATTGATTACAATGTTCGTATCGGAGATATCATCACGACCCTGTTGTATACATCACGATTATCCATCACAAACATAAGGCTCCCGGAGTAGAATTACATGTCGAACAAGGAATAGCACATCAAAAGCGCAAGCTACCGACACTGATCACGATTTCCTGGGTCTTCTTGGCTGCACCTCCGGAGGTGTGTAACTCGGAGGAGCGTCTCCTGTAAGCACTGATATGGGTGAAGAGGGGTACGAGTATGGTCTTCCACTGGAGCTTTGCACTTCTGGCACGAGGCTCAGTCCGCTAGATTGAGACTGATGGAAAGACTGCGTAGTTGGAGGCGCAGATGAGGGTGGATGGTGAGAAACCCTTGTCGCAGCTTGACTGCTGGTAGTTATGCGTTGGACAGTCATTGACGGAGTTACTAGTGGTTGTCCACCAGGGAAATAGGGATCGAATGGATCGGCCGAGGATGGTGCGCTGTGAGGTAGCGAAGGATACTGAGACTGCTGAGGCGTGGCGAATAGAGACCCATCCTTGAGGGTAGAAGGCCGTGTAGTAGCGGAAATAAACGGCTGGATTTCCGACTTGCGGTGCCAGCGGAACACTTGCCCCCGACGGTAAATGAAGAACCCCGCGGCACACAGGATGACCAAGAATGCAACGCCTCCGACGGTACCTCCGACTATGGCGCCCACAAGCACCTTCTTACTAGTCTTCGACCTGTGAGCGAACCCGACGGTATCAGGTTGGGAGCTATTGGGACCGTAGATATTGAATATTCTAGGTGAGGGCACCGTCAGCCCGAGTGTTCTGGACAGGTCTGTGGGACCATGCTTACACGTAGACTTCGCTCAGAAACCTTGCGCCGAAGAGATACCCCGTGAGGCTTGAATCGGACCACCCTTCGATGCCTCCGATACAACGATCGCCCTGATTGATGACAAGTATGGACTGATCGACGGTGAATGATTCCGATCCGAACACCGCGGTGAAGCTCATTTTCGTGTCGCACGGGACGGTCCAGGCTATTGCATGTGCGCTTGCATCGGATATCTGCGACGCACCAGAGATACTGCCGTCTGTGGAATGTTTTTGTAGTCTGTTGACAAAGATAAAGTAGCAAGCCGACGTACAGATCTCGTTTGCGAGGTTCTGGGGGATGTAGACATTGGGATAATACGGATCGACCGTGCACGATCCTCCTTGAGTATTTGATATGCTACCACTACCTCCGGCGAATGACCAGCCATCAAGGTCGATAATCCAGTCGGAAGTTAATCCGGTGCCATCAGCATTGCTCGACGCCTGCTGAACTCCTTTCCATGATACATTTCCGGTATACGCGGACCCATCCGGGGAGAGCAAATGCAGGACACCGCCGTCGTTGGTACTGTTGTCGGGAGCGTCCAGTGCCATGCCATACTGAAAGCTTGTGGCGCCGTTATCTTCGCCCAGATATGCGCCGAAGATCGTGTCAGAGAAGTTGCCTTGCCTAGAGTTGGTACCGAGCCCCAGGACTCCAGATACACCGTCAGAAAACACCGGCATAGAAGCATTAGCGACGACGACTATGACACTATGATGGTTAGATGTCTGGGCGACGAACGGTTCACTAACTGGTCATATTGGGATAGGCCCAGACACCTCCGCTCATCGTTTGCATGCCACAATCCTCTTTATACAGAGGACCATCGACGGTGTTGTTGAGCATGGCCACGGACCTTGCACCTGCAAGTGATTGGGCAGTGGTGGATTTTGACGCATTATAGCTGCGGTGTCACAGGGTCAGTTATAGAGACAGAAAGATAGCCCCTGGGGACGTACGTAGGAACACCACTGCAGGAATCGCACTGTGAACCTGCGACCATAGTATAACCCGTTCCCGTAGAAATAGCTAGGCCAAAATGCTGTGTATCAGAGCCAGTAGACTGCAAGCTTATCAGCACAATGAAGCGCGGTGAAAGGGCGAGGAAGCACACCATGTTAACATGGACTACGGGTCTTCCAGAAGCATCCAGTGCAAGAGGAACAGTGATAGGTTGTCCTTTCTCCCATGAACGCTTCGATAGACCAAAGCTAGATGAATGAGACGCTTGCACTGTTATCAAGCACGCTAGGGCGCAAAATACCAGCCAACGAATAGAGGCCATGGCGGTAGCAGACAGGACCGTCCGAAGGGATCCAGACCTTTGCGAGAGCTCTACTTATAGTACGGGGCCTGTGGTAATAGCACCATGTTCTGCGGCGATCACTCCCTGAGGCACAGCAGAAGATTACGCTTTCCGCTTGCGCTTGATTCTGCCTCGCAAATAGGTTAGAACGATTGGTAGCCGAGGAACTGCCCCAGTGGGAGAGCGCCTGAGAGCACCCACGTCAGGAAGTTCACGTTCATATCCGGATGTCAATCAGCCACTTACCTTCAACGAGAGTAACTATTTTTATTCTTGTCGTCGCACGAGACACTCCTAGAGGCTGTAGAAGGTCTCGTCCCAAGGGGTGCGCCAGGGCCGATACCGCTTTCTCAACCTCAGCCGCTCAATATCGGAGTAGAGGTACTGAGCCCTCCGGGGGTGGAAGAGCTAATCCCATCACGTATGAGCATCACTTACGTCCATGGCGGATAGGCTTGGCCACGGGAGGAGTTTAAGATTGACCGGAACATTCTGCTTCGGTCATTTCGGACGGGATTGGCTGGAGGTACGAATGGGCTCTCTTGAAATAAAGCGGTGGCTGAGGTTATGGAGAGGCTTTTGGACCACTGAAGGACTATCACATCTTAATCCGAACGCCATGAGGGTCAAACCAACAGAACCCAACTCAAATACCATCCGGGAGGACGTTGACCGAAAGAGGCAAGTGCGCAAGATCATTCCGCGTTTGGTGCTACGCTGCGAGCCACGGCTGCCTGGCAGGCGCCCAGGACGATGGGCCTTACAGGAAGGCAGTTCTCGATAGCTTGTAAATCACTGGCTCTGCTTCGTAGGCCCGTTACTGAGGTCTGTAGGAGCATTGACGCCAAAGAATCTTCATCCAGGATACATGTGGAAATGTACAGTCGTCCACGTCAGCGCAATAGAAACAAGTTGGATGGTAGGCATCCTAAAAATCAGAGTGGCTGGACACCTCAACCAATACAAAACCATGCCCGAAGTAGTTGCCGGTGGTGACATTAAATGGCATTGGCAGTGGGACCTGACAAAACCCGAGCTGGCTGCAGTGCTGTCTCCTGCGGCTTCAACCACACGATAATACCACTTCAGGCCATTGTGGGCGCCTCCGATCCCATGCGGTGAAGCACCCAGCGCCAAGAGTCCGAGGACCAGCGGGTGCTATCCTCGCCCGCCGCCCGGTGACCCAGGACTCCGAGAACTGAGAGGCGGAACCCACAACCAGGCGCTTGAGCTTTGCAGCCTGGTATAGACGTCCAGATACTAGGAGCCCGCCGTATACCTCTTACATCTGATGATTCATATCATGTTAATAGAACCACGGTATCTGTGGATCCTCCTATGTGTCATGTTTATGGAATGCGCACTTGATGACTCCTGCAGCTCCTGGAGCCGTATGGTTCTCGCCTGTACCATCCTATCGATAGTTGATACCCAGTCGTTAAAGCTCTTCCCCCCGAGGAACTTATCGAACCTTGCCTTTAGAGAATACTGTTGTAACTGGAAGAGTGATGACTGGTTTCCTGGGGGACGCTTTTCACTCTTTTCAACGCATCCTACCCGTGCAAGTTGTGGCGAAACAATACACACCTCCGAGTCGCCATAGCAATGACGCACATCGAAAGTCGAGTTATGGTGCGATTCCAGAGTCAGGGTGACACTTTCTATAGACACAGGACCTTCAGATGCATTGTGCGGTCGTTCTCTGGCCGCCTGATATCCAGCTTCTTGGAGAAGCGGGTATCCTGCAAGCACGTTCTGCAGTCAGATCTGCGACGTATGGAAAAGGGGATCACTGTCCATGATTAATCGAAGCGTCCGTTTCATCCACGATTCTCGACGAAATGTTGCTGAGATCATTCACTTGGACGACGGTCACTGATGTTGAGAGCGTCCTACTGCCGACCGGCAGTCCAGGAGAGTTGCAAGAACATGCGGGTCACCCACCATTATCGGAATTCCTCTGGGTGGAAGCTGTGCCTCCGGTCATCAGTTGAGACAGTAGAACTGTTGAATGCCCCGCCAAACACCAGTCCAACGGTCTTCTCATCAGATGCCGACATACTTACCGGTCTTGGGCCAGTCACAGACAAAGAAAATGGGCGTTGGAACGTTGAGACCCGGATTATGCGAAATCTTTCCATCATGGAAAGCTCAATGAATGATGTTCGAAGGTGGGACATGTCACAAACTTACTCGGCGCCGTGTTGGGACGTGCTGTCCGTAAGCATGTGTTACGGTGCGATGAACTGGTTACATACCTCCCAGCATCACACCAAGAGAGAGGATAGTCATTCCAGCGATGCATTATTTGCGTATGGATAGTCTACACTGTCCTTGTGTCAGCAATACAGTTCTCATTCATGTGTCCTCCAGGTAAAGACATGAGGGGTGATGAGATGAAATAAGCATGAAAAAGGGAATACAATCACTATGTCCTCCATTAATTAGAACTATGCTGTTATACCATGAGTTGAACTATTTCTACGGACCTTTGTTACATGACAGCAATGCAATGGAAGAGAGGAAAGAAAATGAGGAAAACACATGGTGCAAAAGGGCGGGACCTACCCGGCTGGGAAACCGGCATGACTGCTACAATCTCAATTTCGACGGAACATCCGACTCAAACTGAACAGACTCGTCGCTGCTCAACTGTCTCTTCTTCATGCTCGGCCGCTTGGACAGACGCAACTGCCCTTCCTTACCCTCCTTGATCAGCTCGGTGGGACTTGCGAGGCGCTTGTGCTTTGTGGGTGACGTCTGCAAGGTGGTGACCCGCGGTATCGACGCAATGGGTATTGGCGAACCAAGCCCAGATCCCGGCAAAGAAGGCGGACCCACTTCTGGACCCTTCCGGAGGGTATGGCGCTCGGTATCAGACCTTCCCCGATCATCCTCTCCGTAGAGTTCCTTCTCCTGGTCCACAAGGCGAAGTGCTCCTTCGATGATCGCCCGATGCACAAAGACATATTGTCTCAGGCTCTGGCAGAGACTCATGCGCTGTTCGCGGATATCCTCGACGACGGTGCGGATGGGATCCTTGTACGACGACAGCAGCGGGGGAGAGTCCTCTCGGTGAAGCTTCCTTGGCCGAGTATAGTCAAAGGGCTTCGACTTGATGAATTCAGACCCGTTCGGACTTGCGCTGCCGAGAGCTACTCCCCCATTTGTCGTCTCTTCACGCACATTCTCTGGAAGGCTCGCCCGTTTATGCGAATCGCGAAGGTTCACGGTCCCTCCGCCTTCAAAGGTCAAGTCAGACCTCCCCGCCAACGGAGAAGACAACGACGTTTGTTCCCATGAGCTCCTTCTGCTATCTTGAGTGGTGAAGAGTGACGGCACGGATGGGAACGAGTCTTCAGAGGAAGCAGTTGTGTCAGCATAGGCAGCAGGATACCTCGAGGCGGGCAACGTGCCTCGAATTCTATCGTCCGGAGTCTCTTTCCGCTCAAGCTGGATTTCGGGGGAACTTCGCATCATTTCAGCAGGCGAGGCAAGCTTCTCGGGCAGGGGCGAACGAGTCTTGATTCCGTTCGAATGACGGGACTCGTAGGAGGAGTGAGCATGGGCAGGACCATCAGGGCGAGCTGGACCACAAGTATGAGGCCTGCGTGTCCTTGCGAAACGAAAAAACAACTGATGACATACCTTCTGAAGGGGATAGAGGCGCTGAATAAGTTCTGACGCGTGCATCCGCATTCAAAGAGCCGCCGAAGATTAGCGGACCTTTTTCCACGGGGGAATTGAGTTTCTGCAACGAGGTCTGAAGGGGAATCGCCGCGCTTTCCGCACTGATATCGAAATGTGGCGGGAAGGCTCTCAGCGGAGCCTGGGACCGCGGTAAGGTGGGAGGGGACATGGACATATGCGCCGGGGGTGACATTGAGTGCGACGGGGTGGGCGACAAGGAGGGATAGGACATGGGCGACATGGACTGTGACGCGAGATACGCAGACGAACTAACAGAAGTCGACAAAGGCGATCGCAGATACTGCACGGGGGACGTCCTATCGACATCCATCGGGGCGTCCTTGCTGAATGAGGCCTCCTGCGGCACGTCGAGGATCCCATTCTGGCCGGTTTGAGCGACGGCGTGCACGGGCTTTGGCGCGGCCAGCCCGGTGGCATCCCCTTGCGCAGAAAAGATGCGATTCAGCCTCTCGTGCTCGGCCGGACCTTGAAAAGAAAACGACAACATACCATCGTCCACGTCCATCCCCTCTGCGCTGTCCGTCCCGGTCCTGCTCTCCTCGGCATGTCTCTGCCTCGCCGCCGCCTCTCTTCGCTTCCGCAGCTCGCGCTTGAGGCCGTCCAGGACGGCGTCGACCACGATGAAGCCACCCGTGCGCCCGACACCGGCCGAGCAATGAAGAAGCACCGGCGGGTTGGGCGACTCGAGCAGGCGCTTGACGATGCCAGTCTTGGGATCGAGATCGTTCTTCTCCTCGCTCGAGTCCCGACTGCTCGTGCTGCCCGTGCTCGCAGTCTTCGCGTGTCCCCAGGCCCTCTTCTCCTCCTGCTCCTCGCGTTCTCGCGAAGCTCGCCGCTCCGGCTCCTTCGCGCGCTCGACCTGCAGCGCCTTCTCGACCTCCGCGTTCATCATCTCCACGAGGTCGAGCACGCCGTTCGGATCGTCGGGCACGTTCATGTCCGGCCAGTCGAGGTACTGCAGCTGCGTCACGATGCGCGCGCCCGCGTCGGGGTACTTGACGTTCCTGAGCTCAAACACCCTCTTGACCATCGTCACCTTCGCCTTCCCCTCCCCCTGGCCCGTCACCTCCTTCTGCGCCTTGGCCTCCTCCGGCTTCATAGGCGGGAAGAACTCGCCCTCGTTCGCCCTGGGATTGGCCGCACCAAAGAACCCGCCCTCGCCCGGCTTATTGCTCGCGCCGCCAAAGAACCCAAACGCCTTATTCTCGTCCTCCGGCGTCCCCGAGCTCTCGAGCACGCGCAGCACCAGCGGGCCAAACTGGCCCTCGCGCCAGTACTTGCCGCTCTTCTCCATCATCCCCTCCACCTCCTTCGTCAGCATCACGATCACGTGCACGTTCTGCTCCCAGCACAACCTGCACAGGGCAAAACCGAATCAGTCTTGGGGTGAGTGGGAGGGTGGAGAGTGTGAGGGACTCACGTCCAGAAATCGGCAAAGGTAGCTTCGAGCGGGCCCTGCGTAGCAATATACCGCTTCCTCGTCCCAAGGGGCTGCACGTAGCTCGCGTTCACATAATCGTCCAGTGTACTCGTGCTCGCAGGCGAGCTCGGGCTCTTTGGCTCCCTGATCAAGCCTACGCCACCCACGCACGCCCCGCTGGGCGCACTTGACGCTGACGAGACAGACCGCGCGACGGACGCGGGGTTGAAAGAGTTTGGTTTCGAGTGCAGCTTCACGCGCGCGTGCTCAAAAGGCCAGATGTTGCGGTACCTGCGGTGTAGATATGTTAGTCGACGAATTATCTTGTTTGGCCAAAATGAAAGGTAAGATGAAGAGGGGGGGGGGGGGAAGATGCTTGCTCTCGGTAGGCCGAGGACTGACGAATCCGGCGGATTAGTGTCCCTCGCCTACCCAGAGCAAGCACCCACCGACGACAGAGTATGAATCCCAATGCCCCCCTCCCAGTCTCGCGACTCACACTCTGCCCCCACACCACACCAAAACCAAAAGCAAACCCACTCACCGATTCTTCGCCCCCTTCTCCACGCCAGCCGTAATACTAAACGGAAACACATTCTTCTTCTTCCCCTTCCGCCCCTTCCCGCTCCCCACGCTCCCCGCCTCGCTCCCGGCGACACTGCTCGACAGCCCCACGCGCCACTCCACGCTCGCGAGATCCTGCGGGACGACGCCGCCCTTCCCCCCCTCCTCGCCGCTGCTCACCGCGGTCGTGCTGCCGCCCACGCTCACCCCCAAATCGCGCACGCTCGCGCTCGCGCTCCCGACCAAGCTGCTCTCGCCGCTGCTCGGCGGCACCGCGCCGCCGCTCCCGCTCCCGGTCCCGCTCGTCGCGCTCAGGCTCGTCGCGCCGCTGCCCGTGCTCCCCTCGACGCTCCCCGCGCGATTGCGCCCCTCCGTATACCGCTTGCGCACCTCCTGGCTGCTAATCAAGCCCCCCGCAAAGTCGCGTTCCTTGACGACCTCCCCGTCGTCCGCTCCTCCGATGCCCTTGCGCCCCTCGACGCCGAGCGGGCTGTGATGCCCTTCGCTCCCGGGCGTGAGGACGCCGCTGGCGTGGCTGACGTCGGCGAACGCGCCCTCGCGCGAGTGGTGCTCCATCACGCCCATGAGGCGCCTCTGCTCGGCCAGCTCGATCTTGTAGAACTGCATCGCGAGCTCCTCCGTGCCCTCGTCCACGTCCGCGAGCGTCGGCTTCGGGAGGTGGTACTTGCCCCTGCCCTGCTTCTTGGCCTTGGAGTGGGGGGTGGACGACTGCGTGGAGGCGGAGGTGGTGGACGGGTGCGACGCGGCGGGGGACGCCCGCTTCGGATCCGGCTTTGGCGAGTCCTCGTCGCTGAGCTCCGTGCGGTCGCTCGCGCCGCCCGCCGCGGCGGCGTCGGCGTCGTCGTCGCTGTCGCTGTCGGTGTGCCCGAGCCCGCGGCTGCCCTCGCGGCTGGCGGTCCACTTTTCGCGCTCGCGGTCCTCCTCGCTCTTCCCTGCGCCGTGCAGCTGCATCTTTTCGTCCTCGTCGCTGCTGAGGCTCGAGGGGGTGCCCCCGCTCTTCGCTCTCCAGGCAATCGCCTCGAGCCACTCCCAGCCCACGCCCTCGGCGATGCGCACGGCCAGATCGCCCCTGCGCACGCGCTTCCGCACCGACCTGGGGAGGACGAGGGGGATGCGCTCGGTGATCCCGTGCGAGAGCTCGATGTTCTGGCGGATGGTGTCAAAGAAGGGGTTGTACGGCTGGGTGCCCGCGGGCCTGCGCGCGAGGGCGGACGAGTGGGCAGAGGCGGGCGGCGAGGTGGCGGCGAGCGTGGGGCGCGGCGAGCGCGAGGACGTCGTGGTGGAGAGCGTGAAGGCGGACATGGGGAGGTGCTTGGTGCGGAGGACGGGCATGCTCTGGCTGGAGGCGCTGCTCCTGGCGCCGGGGAGGGCGAGCTTCATGCCGGGGCCGCCGAGCCCCGCGCTGAGCGTCGGCGGGGTGGGCTGCGTGAGCACGGCGTCGTCGTCGTCGTCCTCGTCCTCGTCCTCGTCGTGCTCGTCCGCGAGCGGGGATTGGTCGATGAGATCCCGGTTCTCGCGCCAGAGCGCCTGGAAGCCGCCGGCGACCCAGCAGACGTCGGCAGGGGCCATGCCCTCGTTGGCAAACTTGCGCATGAGGCCGAGGAGGTTGCTGCCCTCGCGGACGGCGGGAGAGTCAAGGTCGTAGACGACGACGCGGCGCTTGTCCTTCCACTTGCGAAAGTTGCGGCGGGCGGAGGCGGAGGGGAGCATGGCGGTGAGGCGGGCGAGGGAGAAGAGGGGCCGCTTGAGGAGGGTGGAGGGGACGGAGAGGGAGAGGGCGGAGCGGAGGCGGGCCTGGGTGTAGGCGGCGTGGGGGCGGATGTCGAGGATGAGGGTGTCGGGGTCGGCCGTGATGGGGGCGAGGTCGTTGGGGTGGAGGGCGGTGAAGGCGGCGGGCGGGAGGGGGGCTGTCGAGGGCGGAGAGGGCGCTGCAGCCGGGGGCGACGTACGGACCGGGGGAGGGCTGATCGACATGTCTGGGCTGGTGGTCGTTGCCGACAAGGCGGGGGAGTCGAGGCGGGCGGTGAGCTGGTTGGCCGAGGGCGCGCCGAAGCGGGCAGCGATGGCCTGGGCGAAGCCGTCTGCGTCGTTTGTGTTGGCGATGTTGACGGGAGCGGCGGAGAAGAAGCCGTCGGGGACGGTCTCTGGAGCCATGTCGCGATGGATTGGGCGTTGTGTCGAAAAGAGCGGGTGGAGCAGACGGCGAGAAGAAAGAGGGCGTCCACGCTCTGGATTGCCCCTGACGTCAGCTCGCAAATGACGTGCGCCAGCCAATCACAGCGCGGCGAGTCATCGGACCTCGACTCCTTCCCGTCCATTAAACTCTCAGACGAGCCTAGCCTTCACTCACTCCGAATGTGAGATCCCTGTCTCCTCCTACTCAGAGACCCATCCTCACGACCCTCGCCCCAAACCCAAACGTCCATCGCTCCCGCGATCTAGCTAGCATCGATCGCAATCGCATACATCCCTCGCAGTCCGAAACGCAAGCCATCAACCCGCTCTCGCCCGTGCGCCGGTAGATTCACAATGCGCGGCGCCCGTCCTCGTTTGTGTAGACAGCGAGCGTATGTTCTCCCGAATACTCCGTCATTCGCCTGAACACTGCACTGCCGGTCGCGGGTCTCTGCTGTTTTCTTCGTCACGCGGGTACCCATGTAGACGTCTCTGCCTCTCGTGACATGTATGTACTATACAGGGCGAGATGTAGCCGTGCAGAAATCACAGCCATTGGTGTATCAAAATCCGTCCCGTCTCGGTGCCCCACTCACAGCATGCAACGACCATGATACAACTCAAAGGAGGGGACACCCTGGGATCATCCAGGCCTAGCGAGATTGAGCCAGATCCTCGCCATGTCCTGCAGGATGCACGTCTGCCGCTGGTTGCGTACATGGAATCCCACAGCTAGGCCTCATCCCATCCATCCGGCCATTCACCGTCCCTTTGCAAGGGCCCCTCTAGAGTCCAGACGGACATCTTCCACGCCCAAAGAGGGGTCCGAGTGTTAGACTCGCCCTTCCCTCTACCCGTGTACAAGATTCGCAAAGCCCAGCCCGAGGAAAAGTTGCAGGAGCCCTTGACGATCCCCCATTCCGTCTGAATCCGTGCTTGTCGTTGCCCGCCCTGCATGATCGGGAGCGTTATTCCTGTGTAGCTCCAGACACTCGCCCATGGCCATGTCTGTGTAGCCCCAAACAAACTGACAAGAGCTGACGATCTCCCCATCCATTTGCCGCGGCAAGTGGGCGGGCTCTATCAAGGTTCGCGCGCGCGCGCGGCCGAGAGAGAACCGCTGCCCGCTCAGCGCGATCTGCGCACCTCCCAACATTGGCAGAAACCCAGAAGTTGCGGTGCGGAGACTTGCATTGCGGACAACGTGGTCGGCACAGCCACATATCTATTTTCGGTACTGTAACCCCCCTCTCCTGCAGCGACCCAATAGTCGGCAGGCAGTCAGTGCGCCGAGAGCCAATAGCCCTACCCGCACGCAGACGGCCGGTTATTAATATCGATCATCTGCCAGCGGGAACCAGAGGGCGAAGGAGGGCTCCGCCGCACCCCTGACATAACACACGCACCCACAACACGCTGCGCGTCCCTACTGCTACTAGCCTCGAGCGTATTACCCCCGGGTCCCCCCGCGCGGGGTAGCACTTGCACTGCCAGCAAATGGCACCGAGTCCAGACGACTCCGAGTACTTACTATGTACTCACTAGTGCGCGGAAAGGAACCACCAGCACCTGCCCCGTCTCGCTCGAGAGGTATTTGTAAACGACGAGCACCCCGCTTCCGCGTTCTCATGCTATCGGGGCTGCATATCAGAGTTCTTCATCTTGCCTGGCCACGGTAGGCCCAGCCCAGCCCCGGCTGGCTGCGACGGCGATGGGGGGCTTATGTCCGAGCGGGGTTGCAATCTGCCACTGACCAAGAAGACACCGGCGACACGAGGGGCGTGGTAGCTGCAGAATCACACCGCCTGCCGTCAGGGCCGGAGGCTTCGAGCAGCACGGGCGCGAATCTGGGCTGCGCATGCAAGTCGGACGCCCGCCCGCCCGCCCGCGCTGGGGGACCGTCCGGTCCTCGACTCGGACAACGGACAAACCGGCCCACACAGCGCGGGCGTCGCTGGGTCCAGCCATCGCAACCGCGCTGCCACCCTTGCCCGGCGCGAATATTGCACACCGAGAACGGCGGAAATGTCTGCGATGGATCGAGTGATGAGCGAAAGGGAAACCCGACTTTCCTGTCAATCAATTCAGGATGGACGGCCCGCAGCCCGTGTGATGGCAGCAACGCTCACCTTCGGCCATCGGACGCGCGAAACCGGACGTGCCATTCATTCATCTACATGGCAAGCGCTGTTATTAATACATAGCAAGCAGATTCACCTCCCCGAGAACTGTCGAGGATAACGTTATCACATAGGATCGCCGCGCAATACCGACGATAGTACCCACTTAACTTCAATTGAATTCATTACCGCCTTTTTGACGACCGTAAGCCGCAGCGATGAGCGATCAAAGATATGTCGGCGGGTATTGACATGCCACTCACGTGCGTTCATTTTGGTCTGAGACGGGGTGTCCGCGGTAACGAGAATTTGGTTGCTTGAAAGGTCCAGGCAAAGCTGGCGCTAGGATCGGTACCCCAGTCTGTTCCACACTTCAAAGCCCTGGAAGTTCGTTTCAGGACTGAAACGCTAGGGTACTCAGCAGAAGAGCGGCAGTACTAGTCATGCAGCCAAAGCACTGGTGATGGACACGTCGTGACAGCGACAACGACTGACGCGGGAATGGATCATGAGCCCGGGGTAAAGTGGCTTTCGGGTTCCAGCGCTCAACCATCTGCAGCAGGTCAGATGAAAGCACATTTTCGGTTTGGAAAGTTTCAGGATCGGAGCTCCCCGCCTTGTACGCTGGTCTGGGGCGATGGCGTGCTCACGGTGACGAATCCGCACGTCTGCTAATTACCGCCTCCGGTGCATTTGCATGCAGAGGAAGGCGCACCAGTCGCTGAAGCAAGCTGCGTGGTAATGTCCCCCGTAAGTCTTCCCCACAGAAGGACATAGCATCTGCCAATGGTACTCACTGTCAATCAATCAAAGGTCCTCATTATACCCTCTGCTATAGCTAGCGATTGCCGGAGCTTGCTCCCAATGCATTATATCGAATCTATCCGGCGGTTGCTCAACTTCTTTGAGGGGAGAAGGACTGCGCACCTCCCGTAACACCGAACGCGCCCTGAATTGAGTTCTGCGAGAGCAAGCTCCGGGCCCATATTGCCCTGCACGTGCGGAAGCGTGGATCCATTTCATATGGTCACTTGGGTAGCCCAATGAATGGCGCCCGACAGGCCCCGATTTTCGGTTTATTCCATAGCCGGGCACGATCGGCTCTCGATGGTTGCCGGGGCCAGGAGGTGGTCATTCATCAAGAAGCCGTAGACGAGAAGAACTCACCGTGGCCAGGATCGACAGGACAGCACATCAGGAAAAGCCCAGGCGTGATCTCCATGCATTGCGATAGGGCCCGTTCGTGTCGCCGTCGGCTCTACGCAAGTATGGACACCCGGATCTCAGCTATGCCGCATGGGCAGCCAGAAAGAGTTCCGTTGATGTTTGGCCCTGTAGGCTGGTCAGTATCGGACGACAAGGCTGCGGCAGCGCACAGAGAACGTCAGTCTGTTGGCCCCAGCCCTGTCGAAACTGCACCAGGACAAAGAAGAATAAGCATTACACCAGCAAGAGATTACGCAGCAGGTTTCGTGGTCTTATCTTCGGTGTGAGTAGGCCGTGTCTGACTTGGGTGAAGCCCAAGCCCATGTATGAACCGATGATTACTGTGGTCAATGTCTTCTACAAGTCGAAACAATACAGTCGTACATGCGAATAGCGATAGCCAATATTTACGATACATATGTCATGCCCCCGAATCACCTTTCAGCACGTAAATCAGCTAACCACGAGCAGAAACCAGGCCAGAACACGTCAGAACGCACCCGACTCCTTTGTCCAATCATCGTGCCGCTTGATGTCCGCCTCCGTCACACTCGGCTTGACGCTGTCCAGCGACTTCAGAAAGTCCGAGAGCTTCAGCGGCGGCTCGAGCAGCTCGTCGCCGGACAAGTCCGACCACGACTTCTCCTCGGCTTCCGGGTCCCCGGGCGAGCATGGCGTCCACTTGATTCCGCTCTCGGTCTCCACCTTCTTGAAGTGTGTCGCTGAAAGGACTTTCCGCACGGGTTGCATCAGGGCATCGCGAACCACGATGGAAATATCCGATCCAGAATAACTGGTCGTGATTGAGCAGGTGCGACTGAGGGAATCGCATAAGACCTACCCATCTGTCCTATCGGCAAGGAATCGGTAATCCTTCTGTGTTAGCTCGCATGGTGTCGACCCAACATGGAGCTCAAACATTCGTTTGCGAGCTTCAGGCCCAGGCAGAGGTATATAGATCCGCTTTTCAAAGCTAGACACTTTCACGCTCAGAAGACGCGCACACGACTAAAGAAGAAGCAGGTGCATACCGTCGTTTGATGGCATTATCCAGATGCCAGGGTATGTTTGTAGCGCCCAGGACCAACACTCCCGTATCGTCGTGACCTACGCCGTTCATCTGTACCAGGAACTCTGTCATTATACGTCTTGACCCTTCCGACTGCCCCTCATTTCTCGTGCCAGCCAGGGAGTCGATTTCATCAATGAAAATGATCGAGGGTTTGGATTCTCGTGCCATCTCGAAAAGTTGTCGAACCAATCTATGACATCAATGGTCATTACACCTGATAATAACCCATTACATCCACTTGAACGATACCTTTCGGAATCACCCTGCCACTTACTGACAAGGTCACTAGAACTGACACTGAAGAATGTACTGTTGGCCTCCGTCGCGACAGCCTTTGCGAGGTACGACTTTCCGGTACCCGGTGGCCCGTACAGCAAGATACCCTTCCATGGTGTACGCTTGCCCGTGAACAGATGGGGGAACTTGATAGGCAGGATCACGGCTTCCTTCAGGGCTGCCTTCGCGCCCTCCAACCCAGCAACATCGTCCCACTTGACGTTCGGCTTCTCCATCAAGATCGCACTTGTAAGGCCCGCGCGCAGTTTCTTGACCTCGGGATCGCCGTCCTCCTCATCTCCCTCCTTCCTGCCAACTAGCATGAGGGATACAGTCGGCAAAGTGTAAGGCCACTCACTTCTTTCCGTTGCTAACTCCATTTGCTCCAACCGCTCGTTTAGCTTTCTTCGTCTCCACCTCCTCCAGATGCTTCTTCAATGTCTCCGCCCGCGCAAGGTACTCCTCACACTTTGTTCGTATCAGCGTCTTCGAGGAAGGGTTCTTCTCATCTGTAATATCTCATCAATAAACGCCCCTTGGTTGAAGAGCAACGCACGCACGTACATTTCAAAGCCAGCATGAAATAGTCAAGAGCATTGTTGTATTGCTTGTATGCCTCCGCATAGTTCTGTCTTGTGTCCTCCTCTATAGCACGCTGCACTATCTCGATAGCTCTCTGGATAGCCTCTTAACAACGCGCTATAACATATCGAGCAAGCACGTACATCCAAGTTTTGCGACATGAGGAACGAAAGCTCGAGCGATAGTTGCCACTATGGCAGTTGTAATGATGGGGTCAGGCACTCGGACTGTTTGCCTCTGTTGTACGCACTTCCGATCGCGTCGCGAGCTCAACCAAAGGCAGATGAAGGAGGGTAAGACAAGGTACTGAAGGATTGAAGTCACACTGATTATAATATGTACAGTAGCCGCAAGTTGGTTATTGATTGCAGTAGTAATAACAGCCGCTTCTCTACCAAGAAGCCCTAAAGCTAAGGTCAAATTACAGTGTAAGGGACACAGAGACAATGTAAAGCGTTAACAGAGGGCAGAGCAACAGAGAAGGAACCCCGGTATCCTCAACGTCAAGAGATCATGGCAAAAATGTTCTGCGTGGAATTACGGCGAGGGATGCGTGTACAAGAAGGAGACAGCTCATAACAATAGGAGAAACAGCCCAATCGATACAGGTGGAAATGTGATGAAGGACAGAGATCGTTGTCATCAGCTGAGCAGCTGCACTTGTGCCTGGGCTTGCTGCTGTGCGTAGACGTGCACATGATTCGGCTTTGCCATCGTATGGCAGACCTCGATGCTCTGCACCCACTGGTGCGCGATGACCTCCTCGATGCTGGACCTATGTTTGGGATCGGGTTCTAGCATCTTCCGGATGACAGGTCGGCACGCCCGGGGCGACAGGTTGTTGATCGTTGGAGGACAGGCTGACTGCGCTGGGTTGGACGAAGCGCAGGCTGCAGCATACGCAGCGTATAAAGGATTGGAGAGCTGGGCCGAGGGCCACGGCAACTCTTGGAAGTGCAGGCAGTAATAGACAATGCCGCACGCCCAGATATCGACGAGTCGAGCGTCGTAAGCTATGTGGCATAGCGATAGGCAATTAGGTGACCACCCAGGACAAAGGCATGTCATGCTTACGTTTGCCCAAGAACTGCTCAGGGGCGATGTACGGCTCACTACCGCAAAGGCCGGTCGACATATGGATCGACGTCTCCCATGGTAGTCGGTAAACAGTCGAAGCGCCGTAGTCACCGATCTTAACGATGGGGGTCAGGAATAGTTTCACCAGGTATAGTCGCAACCGTACCTTCAGATGACCCTTGGTATCGAAGAAAAGGTTTTCCGGCTTGATATCGCGATGAGCAACACCTTGACTATGCAGATATTCGACGCCACATAAGATCTGCTTGAAGCAGCACTCGACCTCACTCGGCGACATTCCTCCTCTCTTGATGGCAGCGTAAAGATCTCCTCCAGGGCAAAATTCCATCACTTCACACCAACGCTGATTCTCATCTTGTACAAGATCCACGGTCTCAACGATGTTGACATGATGCAACGTCGAGGAGATGCAGAACTCTGCGGTGAGCTTCTTGACGTACTCCTTCTCTGTTTCGTTCTTTCGTCTCTTGCGGAACTCCTGGATAAATCTTTGTAAATTTCTACCACCTTATGGGCAGTCGAAAAGGTGCCTCACCTTAACAGCATAGAGTTTCTCTTCGCTCCGGTCCCACTTGTGAGCAAGGCGGACGACGGAAGTTGCTCCTTTCCCGATAGCTACTCTCTCACAGACGCCATATTTCTTCAGCAGGCTAGCCGTACTCTCGCCAACAGACTTGGCGTCAGAATCAGACTTCCTGCTGCTAGCGTTGGAACGCTGCGACGACCTTCGAGCTAGCTTTGGGCCCACGCCGGACATGAATTCCTTCAGGCTCAAGGACTTCTTCTCCCCGCCATCGGATGCTACAGATGCAGCTCTAGATGGAGCTCTCGACGGAGCCTTCGACGCGGGAGCGGTCGACGGTTGTATCGGATCTTTGTGCTCCTTCTTGGGGGTCGGCGTCGAAGACTCCACCTTGCCGCCAGCCTTACCGCTAGAGAAACTAGGAGCCCTGCTACCAGGCCGACTAGGGGCTCGACTCGAGGGAACGCTCCAGCCCTCGCTGTCAGACACGGTTGGCGACAGTGTTGTTGGGCTGGCTGAGCTAGGAGTCGAGCTTGACTCTCGTTTTTGATGCAACTGTAATTGCTGGAGCGACTCCCTAGTCAGGCCTGGCTGCTTCTCATGCGCAAGCGCATCTGGCGGAGGCAGTGGGATAGAGCGGTGAGGGCCACTGCTGACCTTCGGAACTCCATTCATCGAGCTACCTGCGGCCTTCGTCTGAGGCGCTGGCGAGGGCGCTTGAGGTGCGGTCGGCCTGGAAGCACTGTTGCTGACCTTGGAGGCAGCGTTGTGGGCTGTTAAGTTCTTGATAGAAAGACGTTGGTTACTACTGTCCCCATGCGGTGGTTTATCGGAGCCGTCGGTACCCTCTCCCTCCCCCGTCTGAGCGGTGTCTGCGGAGTCTTGGGCGGCCATAGCAGCGAGCTTCGTTGTGGACGACGTATTAGCGAGTATGTCTGCGATGATTTGTAAGGTCGGTTGGTACAGGTATATGCGCGTAGTCGTGAAATAAGTGGAGCTGCGTGGTCGTGTTTATTGTATGGATATCATGACGGCAGACACGTTATACCAGCAGGTTGTCTGTAGAACGAGTCGACGAGCCGGGCGAGCGAGAGGGAAACGGGTCAAAGACCCCCTCGCCTTTAGCCTTAGAAAATTGCTGGTGGATGAAAGAACAACGCAGAAACTGGCAAGGGCAGTGGGAAGCGGACGGTTCAAAGGAGACGGGCTTTGGCTCCCCTGCAAAACTCTTTGAGACGCTCTTACATAAGGCACTCCGGTCTCCCGGGCCATTGCCGGCCGGTGGCGTTCCCCGGCGCTGTGGCTGCTCGTTTCCGCTGCAGCGCCCTCGCCAACGCTGCAGTCGCCGCTGACGGGCGTGGCTTCGCAGCGCTCTCCGTGTCGCTCTCGGGCTCGGGCATATCGGTCGAGACGCGCGAGCTGATATGAACGTTAGCCAGCTTCCTGCATGAGGCCAGGTTAAGCATATGCAGTCCTGGCCAGCGTCCTCGCGACCCACCAGGACAGCTGATTCCCTAATGCATCTGATAGAAGCGTTTATCCTCATCCGCGACCCAGTGACCAACCTCCCTGCTTGCTCGGAAATGGCATGGTCCAGGACTTTCCAGGTATGCCCCGGCGAGATCAATATTCCCGAGATGTCGACATTCCATTTCGGATCGTCTCTCCCGGACTCAGCGCAGACACGTTCACGTCGAAGCAAGCACGAACCATTTACCGTTGATATCTCGACAAACGCGAACCATGACCCTGTATCAAGAACTCGACAAGAACAGCTCGATTATGTGAACCCGGGCGTGGAGCAGATAAAGGGGGCGCTGGTGGGCGCTGGTAAATGGGACTGCGCGGAAGAGTTGGGAATTCGGGATAGCTCTACTTTCGCTATTGGTCTGGCATAGCCGGATTACGCATCTCTCAGGAGACATTGCGACGCTTGCTGGTGTTAGGCTCCATCCTATTGGCTGCGGCCCCGGAGTCTGTGGCGGAAACTTGTGGCAGGGCCGAGCTAAACAAGGATGCATTCCGTAGGTTTCAATCGTGCTGCATAGACAGCTGCAAGCGGTGTTAGGTGTTAGGACGGGTTTCTCGGTTGCACGCGAGGAGTCTTTGGCCGTTCTGCCTGCCAAACTCTCATAACGCGAGGTACAAGCTTCGTACCCATGTCATTGTTAACGAGGGTCGCGACGTCTGCTGAAAGCAAGCGGAAGCACTCCGAACTTACCCCTTCTTCCGCGCTCGTCTCATCACCTGGGAACAGTCTTCCATCTGATCGATCTTTGTTCCCATTCATTATTTTGTTCTCGTGTTTGTCCTGACGTTGCCAGAGCACTGATCTATGACATACCAGGGATAGCACAGGACAAGCACAAGCTGCATCATGACTGAGCTTCCTGAGGAGATCTTCGCAGCTTTGGGTCCCCAAGGTGGCACCTCTATAACAGATAGTACGTGCCTTAACCAGCTCTTCTTGTGCACCACTTACTGGTAAGTAATGCTAAGCATAGCATAGCGGTCGATGTTAGACGAGTGGAGTGGCGAGGAGATACACCGAGTCTGGACTGCAACATTCCAATCCATCTTGCTTACAGTGTCCAGAGATGGTCGACTGGGTGTCGTCTGGAACCATCAGGGAGACTGTATTATTGGAATGATAGAGGCCTAAGTCACCTACATATGTCTGCATGTGCTGAGACCTATGAGAGACAACCACCCCATTACTCGGTGCACTGGCTGGGGACATTATTTTAGTAGAACATCTATGGGGTCAGAGACTCAGAGGGGTGTGATTGTGGGTGCCCTTTACTCACAAATGGACCCACACAGACAACTAGGATTCTGCATGCTCGTACACAGTAGTCCTGCATCTTGGTAGCACCCCCATACCTTGGACAGGGCTCGCTGCTATGTCAGATGTCCTTGACTCAATATTCTCAGAGTACATGTGAATGAGATCAGCACAGGAAGACATCATGTGTTCTACCTGTTGCCAATAAGATGGAGGTTATGCCTAATACCTGCTCAGCATTCAATTTCAGACAACTGACAATAAGATATGTCGATGCCTGACTAGCAGGAAATGACGAAGCCCCCATAACTTGATGAAGGCACGTACCGTTAGTAACCTGGTGTTATGCCAAAGAGCAAGAATGCTTGGGAGGGGCAGCTTCCACACACCGCAGGACAAGCGTTGACAGTTTTCAACCCGGGTATGCTGAAGAGGTTTTCACACCATAATACTTTGCGCGGACGGTCACATGGATGCTGGGTAAAGATTCTGTATTCCTTCAAACTGAGGACTTACACAGATTACATCGCCTCCTACTTTGTATGAACCATATACGGCCGCCATTACTATCATTGGGGGGGTTCTGTAAAAGTTAGATTTTTTACAGAACTCCGAAATCTCGAGAAGTATGCTACAGGGAGCTTAGCGGGTTGGTACGTATATGCATTGTATACCATACAGATGGTCTGTGAAGTCAAAATTGCCTCAAGTTGGCCCCTTGTCGTATGGGAGGTTGAACACCGTCCAAAATGCCCACTGGAACAGGTCTGATGGCCACTTGATGGGTAGATCTGCCAGCCTACACGGCCCCGGCATATATCGGCTTGCCTAGAGGAGGTGTTTCTTGTATGTGTAAACCTCCTGCGCCCACCCGATAATAGCTGCAGGCTTGTGAAGTGCTCGTATGGTAGATTTTACAGAACTCCAAGGGCCCAAGGGCGTGACAGATGCGTGACAGACGCGCGCGGATCGGATAGTGTTACCCGCGCGTGACGTTTTTACATTACTCCCCGCAAGTGCCGTCTGTGTGCGGCATCTCTCTGTATTACTCTGTACATAGTGAATCGAGATCATTCTTTTTGCAGATGGTACTTAGGAAGGTATACTATGATGCCTGAGTGAAATAACAGGGAATGATGAAGAAGGTAGCCCTTGGCCGGTCATATTGTCAAGTTTTTACAGAACCCCCCCAATGATAGTATGTATGATCAGCAAGGCTAAGTACTCTCGGCTTGCCCGTCTTGCTCTGGCTACGGCACCCTGGACATTGGTACCACTGGCATAGACTTTGAGATGTCCTGACACTCAATACATAACCACGAACTCAAGAGCACCGAACCTGATTTGTCATGGAAGCTCTCTCATCCCAAGCTAGCTCACTATTGCGTCGCGACCTTTCCTCGTCTTTGACGGATTGGAAAGGACTGGGCGAGATGTTGATAGAAGAAGAAAACTCTACCTCCTCCGGATACAGCTGGGCAGCTCCGTCACTGGACATTGCCCTCTCCCAAGTTGCTTCCGAACAATCACGAGCTAACTGGATCGATGTACTGAAAGCACTCACAGCCTGGGGAGTCATCGAGTATGCCTCCGCAATTGTAGTCAGCCCCTTTGAAGTGGCGACAACGCTGCTGCAGGTGCAATGGGTTC